TGTAATAGTAAGGTTAGAGATATAGAATTTTTTAGTTAATTTTCAGTACAAAATGAGGGGTGCTAGTTCCTATTCCCCGCCTGCGCGTCCTCGCGCGGCGTCACGCGAGCGAGCTGCGCGACCGGGTTGTGCCGAAGGCAACTTTCTGCCGAGCGCTTTACCCTATTAGGCAGGCGGTAGGCCTGGGGGGGGGGAAATAGCAGATATTGGGGGGGGAATTAACTCGAGCCATAGAACTTTACTGATGAGTTCTATAGGGAGAGTAGGTAGTATCATATTGAACAACTTGCTACGGACGAAAAGACAAAGTGCAGATGACTGAAGAAAGGTTGTTATGTGCGAGGGGTGTGGATGAGTCAAATACAGCTAGGTGAGTGGGTCTATCGACTGTGGTCCCCACACTAACCCCCACGCTAATCGAGGATTTGGAAGATTCGACACAGTTGAAAGTGACCTGGCGTTAGCTCTTAGGCTATACAATGACGCTTAAAATAAGCGTGTGGAGGCAACCACCTCGAGATTAGTTGTCAGCTCTGCAAACCCCTAAAATTAATACCTTACACAAGCTTCCTCGAATAGTCTACAGCGCAAGGCTTTCTAAGGCTGATCAGTAGCCTAGTTCTCTCATCTTTTTTTAAAACCTACCCTCTGACACACCAGGGCTTTTCGAGAAAATAAATAGCGATGACCCTGCGTACGTATCAGGTTGCTTATTGTTTCCGCCCCATCGTCAGCTTCAGAGTGTAACGTAGGTACAGACCTTTTCTTCAGCCCCCACCTTCACTACCAGCTTCTCTATTTTTGCATAGCTAGCGTTGATACGGCTCAGAATTACACAAGCCTCGAAATAGCAATAGTCATCGCAATGTTTGTCGAGAGTTTAAAGTATTTAAATGCCGATAACCTACATACATCCCCTGCAGCAACAACACCATGGACGCCCACTACGAAATATACACTGGTATTTGGACCGATTGGTCGCACAACAAATTGCTCGGGATCACACTCACCACCACACGTACCCATGGAAGCTTTTTAATTGCTTTCCTCTCTCTTTTCGTTGCCGTCATTGGCACAAGCACTTGGAAAATTTGTTGCTTCATACTCCACTACATATACTCGACTGAGGCCTCACGAGACGCACTGTATCACCAGCGGCAGGCCATTCTCCGAAATTCCGCGAATGCGAGCACAGGAATCTCTAGCCTATTCCTACTGCTCAAAGCTTGGCAAACCCAGTCAACCAAAGCATACCAACGGATTCTACCTTTACTGGCATTCAGCTGTCTAATTCTAGCAGCCTTCGCTGTAGCCAGTACCTTCTCTTCGCGAATCTCGTCTGTTGGGACCGCAGTACTTCTTTCAGGCACCAACTGCGGATACATGTATCCTTTAAGCAAGTCATCGGATCCAATGGGATTAACCACTGTTTTCCAACCATATCTCTCACAAAAACACACTTCCGACGCAGACTATGCGCAAGAATGCTATCCTGACATTCAAAGCACTGAAGGTTGCAACACTTTCGTTCAAAGACGACTGAGCACAAGTGTCATCCGAAACGCTTTTTGCCCATTCCCAGGGGACATCTGCAAGAGCCAGGACTCAAATTTATTACTGGATACTGGCCTTGTTGACAGTCATAACGACCTTGGGATTAATGCACCCCCAGGACATCGTTACCAGTTTCGATTCGTTCTACAATCCGCTCCATTGAAGACAAACGGCTATACATGAGAGGTAAATCTTGGCCCTAGTTCATATGCTCGATATTACTATGGACCGCGGTTGCAGGTTGGTCGATTGCAGTCACATCATACATATCAATATATGGCCAACCAGAAAAATCAGTTTGTCAAGGAGAACTTTACAAGTGTACGGCCTACTATGGATATAGAGTAAAGACTACCCAATCCACCTATTTAAATACGGCTAACACATTATAGCGTCTACGGAGCTCAGCATGCGAACGGATCGCTCGTTCCGGTATTGTCAAACATCGCACCAATAAAAGAACTTGAGAGGACCGATGCAGATCTTTACATTGCATTTCTTTCGCTGAACGCTCTACTGTTCCCAGAGAAATCGGATGACATTTGGTATTCTGCCCACGATTTTGCCTTCAACAAGGCCAACAAAGTCGTCAGTCCAAACAACCCCACGTCTCTGTACTGGAGTGATGAGCCTGCCTCTCCAATGGGACTAGTATTGCAATACCAGCTATGCAAGCCTGACTTGCCAGACGAACGCCGATGCACCGAACTGTCGTCATTTATCGATGCATACTACAGTGCCGTGGCATTGTGGGAAGAAAGCAAAAGCGGCGGCCCATTTGAGTGGTTTACATCTATTCTTCAAGGTCCCCAAGACCCGCTTCTTTCGCCAATTAAAGTTCTAGGACAGACAGCATTAGACTCGATAACTCTAATGGGTGGCGGGTTTTTAGGACCACTCAGGGAAAATCAGTGGCAGCTTGACGTCGAAAAATGGACCAATATAACTCTAGCATCCATCCAGAAAAGCTTCGTAGAAGCGGTAACCGGTCCTCCCAACGCACAACAAAAGGACTTTCAGGTCAAGCCCGAAGACAACTCACAAAAGCGTATGTGCCAGAACCAGGTAACTCATCCCAAAGAATTGTTGTAAAACAAAAGACCAGCAGAGCGTTCTGACACCAGACACTGCAGAAGATCTTAAGTACTGCCTACACCAACTTTTCTGTCTTCGGTCTCGCCTTGATTTTAACCGTCGGTGGCATCACAATTATCCTTTCTTACATCCTCGAGCCGCTGGTCGTGTGGATCCAACACCGGCGTAACCTTGATGTCTATGCGCGCCTAGAGTGGACCATGAACGGGACGCTTCAGCTACAACGTCTTGCCCATGAGGAACTCGGACTCGGTACGTGGCGCCTATGCGACACTGAAGTCCCCGTGACCGAAAAGTGCGAAAGACTGGGTGTCATGGACCTGAAAGAGAAGTCACATCCAAAGTTGAAGGCACCGCCGCCAGGACTTGAGGAAATACTGAAAGAGGAATCCGAGGACAGACTCAACCAAGACCAGGAGTCTGGCAAGGACGATACTCAGGAGGAACTTACTGAACTCTGCACTCCGGCAAGGTCAAGCTCGTCTGAAATCAGTAACCAGTAGTTGTATCTCAGCAGGTTTACAGCCCGTTGAGGGCCTCAATCTGTAACTTTATGGCTTAGAGTAGTACTTAGATTGCAAATGAAAACTCTCTTCACTGACAAGCTTCGTTTTTTGGAGCATTAAATCTGTCTCAATGCCACAAGGGACCCCACATATATACCTTGCATACACTACAAAACCCTCAACTCGGGCTTTGCCATCTTCTCCTCGCGCCATTTCCAAAACGCCACCGTTGTGGCCCCGGGCCCAATCAACAACTGATTTCCGAGCAAAAGGCCAGCAGATTTCCAAGTTGACAGCGAAGAGATGCCCACCCGCTTCATATCCTGAACATTCATAGCCGCCCAAATAATTACCGTCAGCGCAACGGAAAGAAGATCGTACCCCAAAGCTTTGTTCTCCCAACTCCGACTCAAAATGCCCATTCCCGACACAAGGGCTAAATGAGCTGCAGACGCAACGAAGAAGACAATCTTATACAACATCCTCGTATACGGCAGGTCATATCCTTGATAGTCTTCCACTGGAGCTTTGTCATCTTTCGGGACAATAGGGCCATCGAAAAGTTTTGTGAGTAGTGAACACAGCACACTCACTAATATTGGTGTGGCTTGCCACAAACTAATGGCCCTCTGAACCTCAGCAACGCCATACAAAGCTGTAAATACAGCAGGCGAAAAGAGGCCAACGAGCAAAGATATCAAGAGAGTTTTGCCGGCTATCTTTGAGATAGAACGCTCTGCGGGCATCCAGTAGGCTGTACCTTTTGAACCGTTGAAGAAAGCCAGGATATACAGCGGTAAAACAGTACTAATACCAAAAAGTTGGGCGGCAGTAATCCATAACGTGGAACTAAGCAGTGTTAGCCAAGAAATTACCGATAACAACAATACATACCACCAAACTGAAGACCATGTATTCCTCTTCCGATAGCTCTCAATCAAAATAATCGCAATGAGAGGAAAGGTCACTAAGATGAAGAAGTAGCTTGCTTGCAAGTTGCTTCCTGTTTTGGATGAGAAGCCAGTGAGGAAATCCCAAAGCGCTCTTTTCAAGCTTAAAAATCTAAACCCAGAACCATCCTGAAGCGGCCAGGCATTTGTCCCGACTGCATTGCAACGGAACAAGAAGATACCAACCAAAGCAACCACAGTAATTCTACTCAGCAACGCATTCCTAGGAACAGGTTGTTGCAAAAGCTCGTCTTCATACGGTAGAGCACGTGGTTGCTTTGGTACGGGCAGTGTCTTCACACTGGCAGCTCCTGGATATGCTTCCGAAAGCAATCGCAACGCTGATCTGGAACCCATGCCTGGAAAGTAGTACCGATTGAAAAACTTAAGCAACGGCGTTTCCATAGCGAATCTGTACTGTATATTCCTCGAGACGTCCACTAGAGTAGTGGCGCGAGGCTTGCGAACTTCCTGGGTGGTTCGGAAGACAGACTCGATAGAAGACGAGGGAATTTTGGTATCCTTGTGAGATTCGAGCAGAGAAACCAGGCCATTCGTTAGAGCGGCACATGTCTCAATTGCTGACATACCGCCTAAACCAATAATTGGATTGAACTACAAATAATCAGCCATCGGATTCGTCGTTAACACTGTACTAATTACCTTGTGGACCGCATCGCCAATAACGATACAGCGTTGCGAGTACCATCTCTCCAGCACGTATTCATGCAACGGAGTTTGTACAGCTATAAGCTTCCGTTCGTAAAGGTCACCGAATTTAACTGTTTCGGTAACGCCGTTATCTTTGTGTTTGTGCGCGGTTTCGGCCACATCCTTTTCGTTATACGGTGGCAAGTCTTCCCCGTAGTACTTAGTTCCTGTGTTTGTAAACAAGCACTAGTAAGTTCGATCGTTTGGACCTGACGCAGCGAACAAGGAAGATCCTTTATTGCTGACATGATGAAGTGTATCCTCCGAAATTCCTGGAACCTTCGAAGAGATTCTAAAGAGACACCTATATTAAACTGGCATTTCATCTAGAACACATTAGAGAGACCTTTAATCGTACAGGAATAAATACCTCTTCGAAGTTCGTTGTCTTTATGGGTTGTCGTCTGCTATATATGCTTTCCTACGGTACTGTGAACACTATCCGCGCCAACGATAATATTCGCTTTAAATTCTTCCCCCTCTTGAGTAGTAATAGTAATACTATCGGCTCGCTCGTGTATCCCAGTTACTCGTTTTCTTATTAAAATTTTCTCTTTTTGTTGGATGTGCTGATAAAGGACCTCAACGAGCATTCGTCGCTTAAAAAAGATTATAGGATAACTATGCCTAAAAATTAGCTTCGTAATTTATAAAGAACATCCTACTAACCGTTAAACTAGATGATGATCTAAATTCTCGACATGTATTAAGACGCTGCTATCTAAGTCCTGAATGATGAAGTTGTCGATCGTGTAGTTGACTCTTTCCATAATATCCTCAAAGCAGCCAAGCTGATCTAAGATACGAAACCCGTTCGGAAGGACAGAAATACTTGCCCTAACTTGTGAAGCAATCTCTGGGTAAGCCTCTAGCACCACGAAGTCGATGCTATGTTTTTCTAACGCGAGTGCCAGCGTAAGCCCGGCAATGCTGCCGCCGACAATAGCAACACGAAACCTTTTGTCCTCTATGTCGGGAATTTTTCGATCGATAAAAACTTAAGCTGAGGAAGGCTGACAATTTAAGCTGCGGTGTTCATCGTCTGGTGGAGTCATGCGCGCGTGGAACCCACCATTGCACCGATTCGCCGGGATCTTCGGTGGTTATACCATAGTCAGCAAAGTCCCCGATAAGCGAAGTTTACCCTATACAGTGTAAGCTTTTTGGTGTGGGGCAAAATATGGTGCTACCCCTGAGGAACATCGATCTGAAGAAACTTAGGCTATTGTAGTTAAGCCAGGGGGATACAGTTGATAAGCGGTACCACAATTGTGCGAATGAGAATTCAGAGTAACCCCGACAGGCCAGTGTGATACTCGTTGCCCGTTTATAGCTGACGTGGCAAGGCTGAGCATGGATTTGCCTCGGAGCGAGAATATCAGAGCAGTTAGGACTAAGTCAGCCCTCTAGATCTATACAATATTGCAACACATCATTTACTAAAACTAATGGCAACAGTCCGCGAGGGTTTTACAGTCCTTGCCGTCGCCAAGATTATATTACTGCCTTTGTTACCAAACCCCGACGCTGCTGTTACTACAGTATAGAGAACGACAGCTTTAGCTATCTAGTCAAGCTAGCGGAGACAGTACGGGCGTACGATTTAACCACGACAAAATACTACTAGACATCTACATAAAGTGATGTTAGGCTGTTGAATAAATCGCGGCTGGATTTGAAAGAATGACTAGCAACGAAAATTATATACATGCTCTAATAACCCAACGGTAATAAAACAGAAACAAGAATAAGAGGTTGAGAACAGGGTTGAGTGCCTTAAGTCAAATAACTAAATAGGCACATACCTCTCATAGGAGTTTCCAGTACCGTGCGCCATAACGCCAGTGTAGACCCATTGCCGGGACTTAATCTTGTCGGTCGGCTTCTTATCCTTGTCCTATTCATAGGTAATCTTGTCTACGTATACGATGCGGTATATGCCCGCCGGGTTATCGCGTTCGTCTACAAGTTATAGTTAACATCTTTGCCTGTTATCAAACGTGTCTGTATCAACTTACTCGCTTTCCATATCTTATCCTTCTTAATAGGAAACTCATACATCTTTCCGGAAGATGAACTAGGAAACACAGATTTCCCGTATGTGCCCTCGTTGCCGAAATACTTAGGATAGCCAACAGGGTTGCTCTTCTTAGGGTCGATAAGGGCATCCCCCAAGGGCCTAAACACGCCGCTAGTTGTGTAGATTTCGTCTACCGTAAAGGTAGTTCCGTCGGGGCACTTAACAGTGACCTGTTTAGCCATCTAGCGGCCGTGCAGAGAGACATCGCTATCCTGGGCACTAGGATCGGCGATAGGGGAGGCTATAGCGACAGCGGCAAGGCCGAGGAGTAAAGTAGACTTAATATCGAAGAGTATTTTAATTGTTGAGAGAGCGTATCGAAAGATTAAATAAGCGTAGTGAAGTTGAAGTCGAAGCTAAGGTGGTTGAGTAATGAGACTCTTGGAGACGGCATTAGAGGCATTTAAGTATGTACAGAAAGAAGTCCAAGCGCATTAATATCGTTCTGTAGGATTCAGCCCCCTCGTGTTCGTCGCTTCAGCCCCCGACGTCGTTACCCCGTAACAGGACGTCTAATAGAGGGTTGCGGCCTTGCATTATCGGATGACTAATAAAACCGAGTCAATCTGAAGATCAACCTCTAAATTAGGTTTAAGGTCGAAGAACGGGCGCGGTCGCGGGGGCCGCGAGAACAGGTAGGGCGAACTTAGGGGCGGCCGCTTAGAGGCCGTTTAGGGGGGGCCAAACTCTAACCGTATATCAATCCACCTCCCGCCCCACCACTCACCTGCTTCAACTCCTTCCAATATGGACACGCTCGAAGAGATACAATAGCGTAGCTGTCCAGAGTATCACGCTGACCTAGAAACCAAGCCCGAATTTAAGATTTTGACAACCCTACAATCGCCCGCAGATGCTGTACAGTAAATCGTAGCCTTAAACACGGCAAGCATAAACGACAACCAGGCGTTTCCTAGTGATTTCGAGAATACTACACGCTGCGTGCTCGAAGTTGCCGAACGAACCGACGTACCCGAGCAGCAGCGCAAGCTCGTCGAGTTCGTTCATCAGCTTTAGAAAGTCATGTTGACAGACGCGGCCGGCCAGCCATTAAGGCATGATAGCGATCTTGTTTACACCGATCTAGCTAGGTTTAGGCCTATTTTTGCCGACGAACTGGGAAGTTTCGGTGAGTAACTGCATAACAGCCACTCAAGTTATACTAACCTAGTTAAGGTCCCTTGGTCTTTCAAAGAACGCCCGAGGACGAGCGGTGCTAGGAGAATCTAGTAGTATTCTTCTCGCAGCTTACGGCTATATCGACAGCCAGTTACACCGACTATACGACTTAGACACTTTATGCTCTCAAGTACGCTTTCGGGGGCCGGGCCAAACTACTAACTACAATTACGGTACGCGCCGCGTGTCTGTGGCTTGTGTACGCTGGGGAGGTACTCTGGAAAAATACTCAGACCAACTTCAACTTCGGGGAAGAGGTTCAAGAAGGGGAGGCCCCGGCTTTTAATCTTGAAAAATGGAATAGCTAGGAAAAGCTGTTGATGGATTATTAGTTACAGTTTACTAATCAAAAAACAAACCAACTTATCGAAGATGCTCTGACGGAAATTAGGCGACTTCAGGCTGAGGATTAAGACCGCATGACTTCGATAAAAGCCACCGGAAAACTTTCTTTAGTTTCGACATTAGAGAATAGAAACCGTCTAGTAACAATAGGATTAACAAGAGTTACATCTATACAAATCTCTAAATGAAACGCCCCTCCTTCCCTAACCACTGACCCATATAGTCGTAAGCCGTCTTGGTAGTATCACCAAACTCTCCCGGATAACTCTCGCATTCCGTACAGGTATTAATCGTATGTTGCGCTCCCTCAACAAAAGCAATAGACTTGTCCTTGCTGCCTGCATTAAGATAGATCTTTTCAGCATTAAGATACTCATAATGACCAGTCATCCCCAGTGTGAGTAGAGGAACTGTGATTCCGGGAGCAGCTGCAATTGGCACCATGTGGCTGGAGTTCCAGACAACACCAGTAAAACTATCCTCTCCATAGGAGAAATCATCTCTGACCCGGAGCGCAAACGCCGACAAGAAACGCTTGATTGTCGTCTTGATAGCGCCGTTGGTGTAGGACTTCGCATTGGATCCGATGGTACTCGCAACGCGAACAGAATGGACAATTTGCGTAGTAGTCGACCCGTTTTTGTGTAGTAGCGGCCATGGCTGGGAAGTATGCGAGAGAAATCGGACGTCTTGCGAGATAAGCTTGTTGTTGAAACCAATGTAGGAAGCATCCGGAATATAAAAGTCCTCATCGTCGCTAAACGACCCATTACCCGCATTGATCGCCTTCAAGCGTTCTTCGGCAAAACTGACAAGACGCTGCATTCGAGCCACGACTCCAGACTGGAAAGCTTTGGTGAATACTGCAGAATAATTGCCCCCCTTCTCTGAAAACCCGTTCTCCGGAGCAAAGAGATCAAGCGAGGAATTGATTTTCAATCCACTCGTCTCATCAGTAATCGCAGGATTCAGGCTGAGTAGTGCCATCGACGCAATGCCATAGTTTGCATCAAGAAGCATCACTCCGTCCGCCTTCGGGAGCGCTGACATGTTTTCCGAGCAAGGATAAATCTTTTCAGATCCTTGGCAAGCTGCAAGCCCATTCTCTGCAATGTTTTGGTAGGCGGACATCATCGCTCCGCCACCGCTGTGTCCAAGCAAGACAACTTGGCTTATGTCTGTTTGGTTTCGTAGGTAGGAAACTCCCAAAGCAACTTCCTGCATCATAGATTCGAAGTCAAGGTCTGTCATATAGCCGGATTTGCTGGCATCGTTGTTCGCGCAGAGAACCGTGTATCCTCTCTTCGGTAGCTCCGTGCAAGCAGAAAAAGTCAGGTAGTCCTGTTCGGCGTGCATAACGAGAATCCCAATGGCGGCTTTCGCTCCATCAGAGGCTGGCCGGAAAAGACCACCGACGACACCAGAGGCCAAGTCCAGAAGTTCCGGTTTAGGGAGTGTGCCATTCATCAAAGCAGAAGAAAGATTGGAAAATACAAGTAGCGCACCTAGCGCAGCTCTGAAGAGTACCATGTCGCCTATTCAATGCGTGGACGACTTGAATGAGTGAAATGTTGAAAAGACCCCTTTACCTCTACCACAAAGCTTTTATACCCGCTAGTTGTGGCTCAAGTCACATCATTGCCGCATGAGTCTGCCGCGCAGTTCCGTGGAGTTGCTTTCTTACTAACTTTATTTGCATTTTCTCTTGCCTTTTTCGATAATATAGCAATCATTACATAGTTGCTCCTGAAAGGTTCAAAGGTAGCTGAACGGCACAGTTTCGCAAAGAGTAGAGATCAGCTATTCTTTGTAAATCTGCTGCCACGGGTAATTGAATCAGGACTCCAATGCTGTCATGGAGATTTTCCACGGATACATATTAGAACATATTCGGGAGAACCTACCGTTGTCCGAATCACCGAAGTCTATCTCCGAAACAACACTCGCTTCTTTCTTTTATCGCCGAGACCCTATCAAAGCTTCAGATCCATACAGATGTTGGACGAAACAGGCCCGCCAGCGAATCAGGGCCCTGATCCAGCCAATCAGGGCCCTGATTCGACTAATTAGACACGCACGGAATGGGCCGTGTTTGATTAGCCATATCAGGGCCCTGATATGGTGTTGTGGCGTGATTCGCGTGTCCCTACTGACTCGACCCCCTGAAGCGATCCTTGTCCCCGCTATATAAAGGCATCAACACCGACCCGCGCCTGCAGCTGTATCCCGCGCCTGCAGCGGTGCGTAGGCCCGCCTGTTTATCTGTTAATATGAGGCCTGGTTCAACTGTGAAAAAGCAAAAGACTGAACACGCGTTCATGCATCGTAGGAGGCCGTTTTTCGCCCATAAAACGGGCTTGAGAATGCACTAGCAGGTCACTGAGCTTCAAAGTCTTCTTCGATTTACCAAGCACCTACCGAGCACATATCAACTTCGTTCAAATCATGTCTTCTGGGTCCTCCGCCAACCCCGCGCGCGCTGCTGAGCGCCCTGCTGCTGCTGAGCGCCCTGCTGCTGCTCAGCGCCCTGCTGCTGAACGTCCTCCTGCTGCTGATGACGTTGTCCCTCTACCCCCGCGTCCTCTCAACCTTCAACGAGCTGTGCTAGCGTTTAGTGATGCCGTAAGAACTTCGTTCAATGCGTATATTGAGGCTGCCCCTGAGCGCTATCACTTCAGTGACGGAAAGTATCATGAGTACAGCTCATGGTTCCTTGGGAGACACCTAGTAGGTGATGAGGAGGAGAAACGGCGTAACACCTTTAATAGATATCGGTACTATAACGGAGAAGGTGGCAAATTAGGCCTCTATAGGAGGCCTACGTAGAACCATGGAGAGAGGAAGGTGTTGAGGACGTATAAGGTGTTTAACGTTATTCGAGACGTTCATCTTAGTAACGGCTATTTAGGTGCGTTTACTGTTCTGCAGTAGCTACTGATATTTATACTGATATGGTGTTGTAGTAAAAGAAGTTACGTTTAAGGATATACAGCCGCAGTACTACGGCGTTACTGGCGCTGATATAAAGTGGCTACTTCGTCTCTGCCGCGTCTGTGCTGTAACCAGGCAACCTCCGCCTGCTCCGCGGGCCCTACGTCTAATTATCTCGAGAGAGGTGTTTGAGAGGGTACAAATGGATCTGATTGACTATAGGAACCACCCCGATCTAGTAACGCAGGATAAATACGTACTATATATTAGGGACCACTACTCCAAGTACTGCATGTTGATACCCCTGAAGGACAAGAGCGCTCGAGCAGTAGCTGCAGGACTGCTACGCTGGATACAACCATTCGGCTTACCAAGGCAAATACATACTAATAACGGTACTGAGTTCCGTAGTGTTGTTCAACAGCTATTCGACGACTACGGGATCGACCTTGTATGTAGACGTCCTCGCCACCTATAGAGCCAGGGGGGTGTTGAGAGTGCGAATGGAGATGTAAAAAGGAAGCTTGAGAGGGCCCGAATCGCATATAGCTATCCCGGCTTCGCCTACGCCTGCCTAGACGTTACACTACAGCAGAACAGCTACTGGCGAAGGGCATATAGCGCTTCACCATTTAGAGTACTCTTCGGCCGCGAAATGTGGGCAGGACGACGACGTCTTGTGCCTCCTAAGGCACGTGTTGATGCCTCTCCGCGAGAGCTTGTAGAGCTAGAGGACTTAGCGGATGAGGACGTAGATGACGAGTAGGAGGAGGACGCGGAGGGTACTGCGGAGGGTACTACGGAGGGTACTACGGAGAGAGAGCGCGGGAGGGCCCGCGGGCGAGCGGACGAGGCGGGCGAAAGTTCGCGAACGAGCGCTAGCCCGCGTGCGAACGAGCGAGCGAACGAGCGCCTAGTAGAGCGCGCTACGGGAGCTGCAGAGGTTGTAGCAGGTTCGACTGGAGACCCCGCGGGTACCCGTAGTTCTAATTTTCCGCCAAGACCCCGCTAAATACCGCCCTCCGAAGAAGCCCCGAACCTCTCTTCGTCCTCGTCGGACCTACCGCTACCTTCGACGCTCGTGCGGTCTCGCGCCCGAAATACAACTGTTGAAACGATCGATCTAACGCATGATACCCCGCCGCGGGCCGCTCCGCGTGCCTCCCAGGGCCCTCCTCCGCGTGCCCCGCTGCCTCGCAGTACTTCACTGATTAGGACCCTCCCTGGGACGCCGTAAACACTGCTTCGCCCCCCGCCCGCGCTATCTTCGCCTGCTACCCGCGTCTCCCCTCCGCCAGCTGAACTAGAGCTACTGCAGCACCCTGATGCCGACGAGCGCTGGCGGCGGGCCAAGAAGATATTCGCTTATCTACAGAGAGAGGAAGGCTTTAGATCAGCGAGAACAGCGCCTGCGGGAGGCCGCTACGCGTGCTCTACAACTGCAGGCGGAGCAGGCGGAGCAGGCGGAGTAGGTGGAGCAGGTTGAACGTGCGGAGCAACCCCCTGAGCAACCCCCTGAGCATCCTCCGCACGTTTAACACGCGGCCAGTGAGCCTCCGCTCGCTTAACACGCGGCCAGTAAGCCTCTGCTCGCTCAACACCAGGCTAGTGAGCCTCCGCACGCTCAACACACGCTTACTAAACAACGGTTCTCGCGCGTTTGGGACCGTACTAAGCTTGATGAGCAGGTTCGAACGAGCCAGGAGACGTCCCGCGGCCATATGGTTTATCAATTTAACCAGGGCCACCCGCCTCCGCAACCATTTAGTGTTGATGATGTTGTAGCAGTAATAGTGCCTCCTGAGGACCGCCAGGGCTCCATGCAGGCGGTGATTGGTGTGATCCATGAAGCAGTAGGTACTGGGTATCGTGTTAAAACACCTCTTGGCATCATATCTCGGTGTTTTCCTCCACATTCGCTCACCCTGCTAGATATCTCACAACGTCCTGATCAGCTTGATACACCCGAAGCGAACAGCTCAGTAATACTACACAGTGTTGCTCGCAAGACTGGTCTTTCAATAGGTGTTATTAGTGCTCGCTGCGGGTGCAGAGGAGCCTGTGCCAACAACAAGTGTGCCTGCCACCGGGCGGGGACTGAATGTACCGGTAGTTGCCATGGGGGCACACCGTGTTCGAATTAACCGCAGCAGGGTGAGTCCTCTACTGCTGCTGCTGCTATAGGCGGAGCAACACGCGGAGCAATACGCGGAGGACGTGGCAGGCGTGGTAGGCGTGGTGGGCGTGGCGGGCGTAGAGGAGGACCCTCTACTGCAGAGGCACCTGCTACTGCAGAGGCATCTGCTACTGTAGAGGGACGCGGAGGACGCCGAGGACGCGGTGGGCGCGTAAGACGAGGTAGTGGGGTAGCCCGGGACGGTGGCATCACGCGTTCGGGGCGGGTGAGCAGGCCAACAGCGCTCGCGCGCGGTAACGATTGATTGAGATACCTTGGCGGACTTGTATAAGGTTCGTGATAGTTAGTAGTCTTCACTTTCTCCGATATTCTCCGAAAAAATTGGTGTAAAATAGCGGGGAACAGCGGGGAACGAGGAATTGAACTGACTCGCCGAACCTTGCGGAGGTGCTCACGTGGTACTGCTAAATCTAATACAATTCGGGTGCACGTCCCACTAAACACCATATCAGGGCCCTGATATGGCCAATCAAACACGGCCCATTCCGTGCGTGTCTAATTAGTCGAATCAGGGCCCTGATTGGCTGGATCAGGGCCCTGATTCGCTGGCGGGCCTGTTTCGTCCAACACAGACGAACGGTTGAACCAGTTTCAACTTTGTATCTAGGCGTATTGCTTTCTACTTTCCCTCTTTCTGCTCTTTAAAACTACACTCTGACACATTCGCTTCCAAACTACCCTCCGTATTTGTTCTGCAGTCGCTCGCTATATCCGTTCTCTCAATACTGTCTGTATATGCCCTCAAACTACCCGCACCTGCTCCCAAACTACTCGTGTCTGCTATCAAACGACCCGTACCTACTCTCAAACTACTCTCGTACGTATTCACTGGTGGCTTTAGCTTTGGATGACCACGCTCAGAAATGTCAAGTATAGCAAGCCTCTCTCCCTTCTTCGTGATAGGATTCGATCCATCAGTAACCGACCAAGTCCCTAATCCTAGCTCTTCGTGCGCAAGTCGTTGAAGCTGAAGTGTGTCGTTTGCGATCCACTCTAGCCTGCTGTAGGTATCCCAGTTTTTTCGCTTTTGAACTGTCTCGGCGATTGATTCAATACAGTACGAGACTACAATGACCAAAGTGCCTACAGACAAGAGAATGACAAGGCCAAGAACACTAAATGAGCTATAATCGTAATTTGTTACTTTCTACAGCTAGGTTAGCTTTCTCTTTGCAGTCAAGGACTGGAAACGTTTACGTACCTGATTTTTACAAATTTTCTTCTCATAAGAGTCTTTTGGCCTAGCTATGACAGATTCAAAGCTCGGAGGCCCATTCGCACTCTCAATAACCTGTCTCTGTAAGGCAGCAAGAGACGTTAAGTGCAAATTTTCAACTTCTTTTTGCCACTGAGTATTTGGCAAAAGCCCTTGGTGACCTCCAGATAGCGACTTCCTTGCTGTCAAAGCGGATATCCCTATATCTTTCAGGACATCTACAATTGATGACCCAAACCACATAGAGGAGGTGAGTCTGTCCTGTGCCTTCCACATGGAGGGTGTGAGTGTATTTTGTGTTTTTTCAGAGCTCTGAGAAAAAGGACTATGTGTATCCTGCCATTCGACTGTTTGATCGAAACCGAGCAATGGCTGACATCCCTCGTCGGGGGATTTCGTAGCGTCGCAAATCTGGTGTTGATGTGCACATGCGAGAACTGTGACAGGCTGATCGCGACAGTACATAACAGTCGAGTCGTTTCCTTTCCGCATTTCAGCGCAAGGAGTGTGAGCTGAGTAAATCGCGTCGTCGCTTTTGTCCGCGAATAACACATTGTTCGAGGAGAAGAAGTGCAAAGAGACATCTGCATCATTCCTTTGAAGTTCCTTTATTGGAACGAATTCTACCTTGTTAGTGTCGACAAAGGCTACCATTGACCTAAAAATCAATTAGCTTTAGATAGATTGGCAAATTTGTAGGTTCCATACATGACACTATAGTCACTTGTCTGAGAAGTGCTTTTAAATGGCTTGTCGGTGGAAAATTGTGCAGTTATCGGCAACTGAGTGGTCCCCACGCCGTTCACGTTTGTTCCGTAAAAGTATGAGGTAATATTTCTCCCTTCCGGATAAGGGAGCGTATAGTTGTCCGTGTTCAAAGGAGCACACTCGGTGACTCGACGGTATAAGATTCTTTCATCCTTAGGAGCGTTCATCCCGAGGTGGTGGTGGCTATTGAGGTATCCAGTGTCCAGTCGGATATTCCCGTATCGTGATTTGCAAACAGCGTCTGCAAAGGGACAGGAATAATTGCCGTCAACGGTCGTTGGAAGATTTATTTGAACAAAAGTAGGACAATCTTGTCTTCCGGCGCCCTTACTGTAGCACCTCTGGTTATAATCAGAGGAGGATGACGTTATTTGTGACGCGTATGGGACAAGTTCGGCTCCCTGCTGGTATAGAGAAGCATTTACCCAAGCGATCCACCCGCAATCTTTGCCTGTTAAGAGCACCTCTTTGCCCATAGAGCTGGAGATGCGAGACGAAAAGACACCTGCTGCTCCAAAAGTGGCTGCCACAGTAATTGCCAAGGCAACAATAGGAACCGTCCGCATAGAAATGTTGGTCGCATTCTTCCGCCACGCCCAGGCAGTCCTAGCCAAAGCCAAAGCACCAGCGACTCCGGTTCCTGATGTCCTTAAAATGGCCTGCCGTTGATGATACAGACCATCTTGCGGAAATTCTGATGAAAGCCAGTGGTGTAAGGCAAAGCAAACAATTCTCCAGAAGCAGGCTCCGGTAGTTGTGACGAAAAGAGCTAGGGCCGCGACAAGGAAGTTGCCATTACTTCGTGATAAAGTCAGGGTGCTGCCGCGGATGGCACCGTATGACCAGTTGGTCCAGACGCCAGTGAAAATTTCAGAGTCAGCTAGCTTGAGGGTCCCGGAGACACTCATTTGATTTATGAGGCGTAAACGATGGTTGATAGATGCGCGGCAGGTAAGCAGAAATAAGAATCTGATGAAATGTCTAAGCCTTAACATCTACTCAAAGTTGGTCGCAGCTTAAATACCTTATCTCAAAATCGAACCGAACCCAATGATTCAATTTAGAAACCGGTGCATGTCGGCCTCACTGATATCAGTACAAAATAGATATTATCAAGCACTGCCACGATGCAAGCATACGTAGATATAGCACATTGCGATATCTTTGGCAGCCTGGTGCCAGCTTTGGGGGCCAACAAAGGATCGTCAAAACCTGAATGGCTGAATTTATAAAACAAGCACCCATCTTTAGATAAAGTGGCGTCACGATCTGAGGTAAGATAGTTCGATAGGCTGCCTTTGCTCTCACCAGTTCTTTGGATTTTCTTGAACTGCTCCTGAGTTTTTGAAGCTCTTATGACCCCACGAAGGCGTGCACAAGATCAGTCAACCCGCTAGCAGGGATATTCGTCTCAATCGGGAACGGAAAGTAATGCACCGTCTAAGCCCCCTCCTTACAAATAATAGCATCACCCGCATGACATCCAGAGCGTCATAAAGACCTAAGTCTTCTCTTTCGAGCAATGCATCTAAAAAGCTATCAGCAAAACAAGCACAAGGCATAAAGAAAGCAAAGAGGAACTTGCAGTAACTGCACTAACGCAACCGGAGACAAAAATTACCTAATAGGCTTCAATTACTGCGCATTAACCGGCAATCTGGCATACGCGCAATTATCGGCGAAAGCGTGGAGAGTTTTCTGTAGAGTCCGGCCGCTATGGAGTTAAAAACGTCGTTGCCCCAAGTGGCACAGGTTTTCGTGTTTGTGAAGGCAACCAATTATTACTCTAAGCAGACGCAAAATTCAACTTCAATGTCCTACATCTGTACTTGGGTGGCTTAGCGAACGTCATTGTTCTCCAATAGTATCGTCTTTTTGTTTTTTCGCACGATTACATCCAATAGATTGGTGGATTGTTGCGGAGGGGAGGTTGCTGGTGGCGGCTGTGTGAACTTGGTTGTGGGGAAAACTTTGATCATTTAGATAATTCAAATACTGTCGAAAAGGTTAGCTTGAGCAAATCAAGGAAGAAAGAAATGGAAAGTATAATACGACAACTAAACCGACTTCGCCTTTTGCCAGGTAGCGCGGGAGGAGAATCGACGGCGACGGCGACGGTGGGAGAGAAGTTGCGAGAGAGCCGCGGCGGTAAGAGTGCGGGGCGGTAACGGCGTAAAGGCAGCGAAGACAGGGTGAGATAGCGGCGGTGGCGGTGATGAGGCTGCGGTAACGAGAGGCTCGCGACGAGATGGCGGCATAGGTAGAAGAGGGTGCGGTGGCGGCGAGAGGATGACGAGAAAGCAAGTAGGCGGCGCGAAGGTAGCTATGAGAGTATGAGAATGTGGTGAGAGAGAGGGACGACGAAAGAGGGCGGCGAAGAGAGAAGGCGGCGGCGGGAGAGGACGGCGACGGTGAGAGTGTCGAGAGGGCGGCGAGAATATGCCAAGAAAGCAAGAGGGCGGCGACAACGACGAGAGCCCGAAGGTATGGTGGGAGAGGATGGTAATGGTATTGAGGGCGGCGAGAGAGTAATGGCGATAGGCGGCGGCAAGAGAGAGAGAGAGAGCGAGAAGAGAAGAGGGCGGCGGCGAGTATGACAAAGGTAGAGCGGAATAATGGCAAGAGGTCGAGGTCGACGAGGCAGTGACTACAGCTGACCGAGGTGGGGCGCAGGGCACAGGGCGCCGAGGTAGAATAGTCGCAGGTTGTGGAGTTTTCCGTGGATATCTGTGTGACAAAGTCGTTAGTAGAGAAAACGAAGACCAAGAGGGGAAAAGACATCTTAATCGTTATGGAACAAGATGGAAAGATGGAAGGCGGGTTAGTGTTGTTCTTGGTGTTGCTTTTGCTGGTAGTGGTAGTGTTTTGTCTCACGGTTGGGTTGTTGGTTGGTTGTCGCGCCTTCAACCAAAGGACACTCTGCTCCGCTCCGCTCTTTCCAACACTCTGTACAAATATTCAAGAGGGAAGGGAGCGATGATAAAGTTCAAGACTACCCCACCTAGCGGAACCCTCAAAACCTCCGGTGCCGCCGAAAACTACCGACACCACCGAGATCATCATGACAAAGGCAGCGAGGATCATGGCATCAAGACACTATCAATTAAATTTCGCTTACATCCCATTTGTTTTTGTTACACTTCTCCGTCACCTGCGGGTGTTTACCGCGGACAGCTTGACCTGTCGATGGACTGTCGACCCAGTGTCCCTGCGTCACAACGGGCCCCGAACGTCGACCCGGAGGTTTAATTTCTATTCGGCTATGTATGCCATTTTATAATGGAAGCTTATGTGTAAGTGTCAGCATGTTAATTCAAGTTCCTATCCAGACAAGCGTCAGCTACATAGCTCGACTCCTCTCCGCGTTCTTAAGCCTCGCGCAGCATATCCATCTCAGTGCTTCAAGTGGCTAGCTAAGCTCGCAAAACCGCAGTCCGCTATGCCGTATCCGCCAGCCACAAGAGACATTTTAACACACTCCCACACCAAAGTCTTATCTCGGGCAAGGAGGAAGAAGTACCATTCGTCACTTTCGACCAGCATCTGCTTCCCTGCGGCTGAGCTGACCGAAACTGCAGCTGAACCGACTGAGGCTGCGTCTGAGTCAGACGGCTGAAACTCGAGTTACCAGAATCTGTCCATGTGGAGCAATTCTTGGAAAGAACAGGGAAACGGTAAAGGTTTCAGCGAACCGGTGAGTCGGGCCCGGAGTAACGCGGAAAGACTCGAAGATGTTCAGCCAGTTTCGCTATTTTCTGTCCACCCAATCATTTCAAGGCAACAGCACGCCATTTTGGCCCCAATGATACGCACTTGAAGTTATATCTGCATCTAATCTTCGTAATCAAGACAATTTAAGCTCGAGGCACCCAGTCAAACACGAGCCCAGTTGAAATACCTCGCTCGCTTCCCTATTCCCCAAGTCAGCCTTCAAACGCCACAAACGCCTCTTGTCAAATCAATAATAGCTAATAAAATCTTCTCTTCAAGCGAACCGCGAATCCTACGGTCAAAGTTAGCTCCGCCTCAACCCTTATCAGTAGTCTCACGACAGGAGTTTTTGAACTCCGTACCTTGTAGATTTGAAGAATTCCCTGCGTTACAGCCCCAACATCTGCCGACCGGATAGGAACACGATGTTTCCCTTCCCATTCGACCAAAATTGCGCTCTCCGGTGCCATATACTGACGCAACAGCTTCTGATGCAAAGGTAGGCCTTCATCTCGAGTTCCGTGTACGTGCAAAGTCGGTGTCCGCAGTAAGAAATCTTCCGGAACTCGACCCGCGAATGAGCCAGATGCGTTTATCGGAGTGCCTGCTAGGTCAAAATACAAGCTGTCCTTGGACCGGTCGCTGAGTGAAATTGGAGGTCCACGTCCCGCCATGACGACTCCAAATTTCCAGTGGACGCCGGCAAACCCCTCTACCGGGTTTCCCCTCCAGTCCCATCGAGCCTCTTCCTGTCGCATCTGGTTCTCCAACAGTATGCTCGTGGTGAGTTTGGCGCCCTGGCTGAATCCGAGCAAGCCAACCCATTCTCCCGTGCCAGGGTCGGCTTTCATGGTCATGCGCAGCTTGTCTTCAATCTCGTTGATGACGGTGTCGGCATCGATACCATCCGGAGTAACGTGGTGAGGCATCCAGGAAGCCCAACTGTAGCAGGGACCCATCTGGCTGTAAACCGGCTTCAGGTCTTCGTGCATTATACAGGGAAAAGGACCGTCTGCGAATACCAAGCGGAAGTATGGAGCAAGACTTGCTACCAAGCTTCTGGCTTGAAGCCGAAATATCCTTGCAGACACGCCTCCGCCATGCAAGCAAAGAATTCGAGGCTTGTGAATGGTCTCTGGGCCGGAAGCGAAGACGACCATAGTTGTGGTGCGTAATAAGAGCAAAAATGAAATCGAAGTCGACAGTGTTTGCCTCTCACTTTGAGAATTTGTATTGATGTTTGACGTTGCCGAGAAGGTGAAGTATTTGTGAGAATATTTGGGTTGACGTGAAGATGATGTGAGCATTCATATCACTCATATAAAAGACTCATATGTCGCCGAACCGGAGCATTTACTAAGATTTTCGAGTACCTCGAAAAGCATCCAAGGCTTATCTTGTATGATCTTAGGTCAGCATTGGCTACTCCTTTGGAAGTTCGTTAAAACACGGAGTTCGAAGTTGTGCCGTTCCGGCCACCAGTAAAACATAAGAATTCTCGTGCCACTGATTTTGCCAAATCAGCCCAGGTTGCCAGAAATTTGGAGAAACAGTTTGATAGTAGAAAAACTAAGCACAGCTTGCTTTTAGATCGACATATCAATACGTAATTTACCTCGTCAGTGAAGTTCACTGCTAAGCAACCTTCAAACTCTCAGCGATCGCAACATACGAGCCAGTCTTCAAATCATCAATGATACCAGCTTCTTTTGGCTCCCACCCCAACACCCTCTTAGCCTTTTCTCCAGATGACCAGTTCTCAGTGCTGAGGAAACGAGCAAAAAATTGTCCCCAGCGTGAAAGAGCATCTTCATAAGCGACAGAATGCACAGGGAGGTTCAGTACCTCCCCCTCTGCCTCTGCCAAATCCCGAAACTTTACTTGACCTGAAACTCCGTTGAAGATTTCTCCCGTCCTCGCCTTTTCGGCAGCCAAAAGGTACAACGCCGCAGCATCGTCCACATGCACCGCAGAGGTTTGAATATCGCCATTGCCGACGTATCCGACTTCGCCAGCATTGGCAAGCATCGTCATGAAAAGTTTAATCCCACTTCCTCCCCGGCCGTACACGAACGGAGCCAAGCGGATGACGGAAACTCTGACTCCCTTCTTCGATAACGACATGGCGTTTCTCTCACACGCAATTCGACCATTCAGCGGCTTATCCGATATAGGCGAGCTCTCGTCCGTCTCGACACCAGCAGGGGCCACGACCAAGGATCCAGAGGTGGCGACAAACGGTTTGTTGCTGCCTTCCAGACCCGCGCCCATGGCAGCGACGGCATCAGCGTCGATCCGCACCACTTCGGTATAGTCTCGGTGGAAGTTGTCCGTGAATGAGTCGGCCAGATGCAAGACGATGTCAGCTTCGGTGCTCTGTTGGCGCAGGGCATCGAAGGCGTGGAGGTCGCCTCGTACGGGTATCGCTCCCAGTTTGGTGAGTTTGGCGTCGCTGGTCTTGGAGCGAGACAGGGCGTACACCTCGTAGCCGCGGGCAATGGCTAGTTCGGTGACGACTGAGCCAATGTAACCGCTGGCGCCGGTCATGAAAATGCGTTGCTTGGACATGGCGAGAATATTGGGTAGGTGTATGAAGAGCAAGAGCTGGTTGACTGTTGGCTGTTATTTGTTGTCACTAAACATATTAAATAGCTCGAACTCGGGATTAAAAGCCAGCTTACATGCGTAAAACCGATCTATTCGGATATTGGTAAACCCCGTGAGGTTAATTGTTGACTTGTCCAAATGGGATTTAGGCAAAGTTCAAAATGTCGGAATTAAAAGCCCGTTGACTTGCTTAATACCGGTCCGGGGATAACTGGTGATCCTGTCAAATCCTGCATTATCAATCCGGGCATCAGACTTACTCTATCTGGTTCGCGTGGGCGTTCACAAGTCATCGAAACGCATGAGCAGGTTCCGGTCACGACAACACTACATGGTGGCGGTGTTCCGTGTTTGTCACCCTGCAACGCGAACGTGTGAAGCGGAATAGGCGAAGTTGCTTTGCGACAAGCGACCTCCACGTAGGCCAGGTCATACGACCTCTAAGACACGAGGGGCGAATGTGAAAGTCGTCGAAAGTGCGAAAGGGCTCTGCAGCTGATGGTGCTGGTTCTGCCGGCCTGCCGGCAGCCGGGCTTGGTCTCGGGTTGACGTCAGAGCCAGAATCTTCAAAAAGGCATTGCGAAATCAGAGGTGTGCCGAGCGACTTGCAAGTGAGACGTGGGAGGGTGCGCGATCAAATGCACGAGTGAAACCTCATAACTTGACAGAGACGGAATCGAACGAGTGTTGGTCAAGCAACGAGTGTCTGGCGCTGCCGCCTGGCCGCTGCCGGGCTATGCCCTACCGCTAAACTACATAAGGCAACTGACTTTGCCGGCCGGTCCAACAATCTTTCGAAAGGAAAGTCTTTGAACAATCAAAAACTATCAAAAACCGAAATTCCCGTAGGCTGACACTGACAAGCCTCCAAAGCGGCCAAATCCAGCCCCAACTCCTCATGACGCCTAAGAATCACCTCCTTGACGTTTCCGTTCCGTACCTCGGCAACAACACTCTCAATCACCTCTTCAGGCACCTGTCTCTGTTCCAACAAAACTCTCAACATCTCGTCTCTCTTTGCCTCCATCAACATCGACTCCGTGACGTTAATCTCCGGGTTCCGCTCAAACACATCCCGCAAAAGGCCATCGACATCTGTTACGCGATATGAAGCGACGATCGCCGTAACCACCAGCGGCGTTGGGGTAAATTGAGGTTCCAGATCGAGCACAATTCGGACCCAATCAATCAAGAAATAATGTTTCTTGATATGGTATTCGAAAATTTCGGGAGTAAAGGCGCATCTGCGAGGATATTGAAGGAAGGCCCTCAGCGTCTCAGCCGAATGAACAGCTTTTAGAATTTCCGGAGTTAATTCAAGATCTTTAGCCTGTGCAAGGAGAAACCTGGCTAGTTTTCCGGAATTATAGTTGTTGTTTGTGGCAGCGGCAACAATCACGTCGTGGGTGATTTGTATATCTTTGTCCATTTCCAGCAGTAGTTGAATCTGTTCAAGCTCCACACCACCGACAATAGCCTGCTGGAGACCTTTTGGCGTGACAAAGAATCCGGCTCCGCTTTGCAGAAGAAGGTCAATCTTGTCCTGGTTTTCATCGCGATCGTAGGACCTGGACTTCAGTAGAAGCTCTGAAAGGGGGCTGCCGCAACTTCCTTTGATGTTCTTGTCGGCACCATTGGCCAGAAGTATCTGTACCATTCTCTTTCCTCTGTGTCTACAGGCAAAGTGCAGGGCTGTGTCATGCTCGGACGAGACATAATTGATGTCGATACCGCAGTCTATGAGAAATGTGGCGAGCCTTTCGTTATCACCATGGATTGCTGCTATCAGAGCAGATCCAAAGTAACCTCCGGTCGAGTTGATGTCAGCGCCATTCCGAAGAAGAAGCTGCACAAGAGGCAGGTCACCCATGAAAGAGGCCAAGTGAAGAGAATTTCCGAAAGCTCGCACTTCGGTGTCAACCTGAGCTCCGTTTTCCACCAGATTCTTGACAATTTCCTCGCAGGTGAACCTTTCTTTGGGAGACATCGGGGCTTTGTAAGGTCGATAACTTTCAGAGTAAGCTTTCACTGCTCGGAGTGTCTGATAATACTCCCGGCCTTTTGCTGAGTATACCGCAGCCACCAAATCGTTCCCTAGATGGCCTTCCAGTGCTGAATAAACCGGGCTTCCATACTTTGCGCTCACGTGGCGCGTATCTGCTCCTTTTTTGATGAGTATAGGGATAAGTGCAGATCTCTGATGGTATGCAGCCACTTGCAGTGCGCGCCCGCCGCCTACGAGATCGCTGTTGACGTCGACTTCTTCCAGGATCATCTCCAAGGCATCTTTCGACCCTATCCTGCAGGCTTGCAAAAGGTAATCCGTCGTTTTAGGAACATTCTTGAACAGGCTGATAACCATATCCCTGCAATCGTTTGCCACCTCCAAAGCCTCCTTGCAAGCAGGCTCAACCTTAGGTTCTGGCAAATTTTGGATGAGAAAGTCGCATATTTTTTCATGGTTCTCCCCTTTGACCGCGACTCTCCAGAGAGGAAAATAGTCAGAATTTCTCCCTTCAACCGCGGTTTTCAGCGCATTAGTAACCCTCGCAGGGTCATAGATTGTAGCTCCGGCTTTGACAAGCTCTTGCACAACCTCAAAATTGCCCTCTCGAGCTGCGACGGCAAGCGGACTTTGGAAATTCTTCTCATCACATCTATCGGGATCAGCGCCCAACCCCAGAAGGAGACGAACGATTTCCAGATTGCCATATGCGCAAGCACGGTGCAGCGGGCTTGCACATTTGCTCCTGCCGATCAAGTTAAAGTGCGAAGACCCTTTTCCAGGCACATTAACATCCGCGCCTCTCGAAAGAAGCATCTTGACAATATCAATGTCTCCCGTCTCACACGCAGTGAGCAAAGGGTGATCATGATCTGGAACGCCTTCGTTAATATCTGCTCCAGCGTCCAAGAGAAGTTGCAGCATGGCCAAATCTTTGGCATTCACTGCCATTATGACGACTGGGATAGACGACTCCCTTGGGGTGAAACCTTTCGAAGACTCATGACGTAATTTTACATCAGCGCCGTGACTGATTAGAGTGCGGACAGCTTCCACGTTTCCAGTCCGGATAGCCGCCCTTACAGGTGGTCCCTCAGCACTTTCAACCAGATTCGCATCAGCGCCGGCGTCGAGCAGAATATTCAAACAATCGTCCTGTCCCAATACAGCAGCAGCTTGGAGTGCAGTGCCGAAGTGGTGTCCACGTTGGTTCACATCCACGTATCTCTCTATCAGCAGTCGAGTGAACTCCTGATCACCGCCAGCCACTGCCATTTGTAGGAGCAAGCTGAACCTTTCGTCGGCCTCAATTTCCGGATCAAGCTTCATCAAAAGTTTGACGACGGCACCTGGTCCGCTTTCCAAAACCTCTTGTATCGAGTTTGATTTGGTGAAACGGCCATCGTCGGCATCAAAGTAATACAGTGCTCTGTCCAGTATTTGGGTATCCGCTTTGGCACCGGCTTTGAGCAACACTTGAACGATTGGTAGAGACTTGGTCTCTCTTCCTGCAGCAACCTGCAAAGGTGTTTTGGATTCCAGGTCAGTGATGTTGATATCAGGTCCGTGTCTGATCATTGCATAGACGACCTCATCTGAGCATTTTGCAGCAGCAAGGTGTAATGGGTACTCCTTGCTGTCGACCCTTGGGTTGACGTCGGCTCCGTTCTCGAGTAGCAAATGGATGACCGTCTCCTGTTCCCTGAGGGCATCCTCATCCAGCTCTTTGTGAGAGATTTTTTGCAGACATGCTTCTAGCGGTGTTCTCGGAAATATTTCCAAGATTTCTGGACGTGGATTCCAGAGAAAAAACACTTGAGGTTGGTTCTGAGGTTGGTTCTGAGTTGTGGGCTCCTTATCGAACAAGCCATTGACATTAGCCCCGCACTGAATCAAAAACTCAACCACGTCCCTCTTGCCCGCATTACATGCTGTGTCAAGGCTTCGGTTGAGTGTGTGGAGATATGAATCGTTATCCCGCAGCTCTGGGACTAATGAATGCAAAACTCCCAAGCACCCATTTTTCGAAGCATCTTCAAAAAGCTCCTCGGGAGTCACAGATATGTCCTCGGTGGTTCCATCTGTAGTTCCATCTGTTGGTTTAATCGGTCTCCTCTCCAGCAAATAATGCGCAACACCATCATGGCCCTTTGAAGTTGCCTTTTTCAGGCCGAGGTTGTAATGCCGATATTGTAAATGCTCGCCGCCATCGCATTCTATCAGGCGCTCAAGTACCGACAGCCGGCCATGTTCGGACGCTAGTAAGAAAGCATCGAGTAATAGTCCCGGGCTATGCAGGCTCCAGGAATCCTTGATCCCAATCATAAAGTCAACGACACGAGTCTTGTCCGATTTTGCCGCTTCCTTCAAAGCAACACAATGCAGCGATCGGAGCTCAGTCTCATCTACCATTTGGAAGGCTCGTTTCACCACAGAAGGATGTTCTCCGTGACAACCTCCTAGGAGTATCGCGTTGACAAGCTTCTCGGTGGAGCTGTCCCGAAGACCATGATAGCGATCACAATCCTTATGGGTGGCTTTTTCAGGCCAGTATCGCTGCCTCAGTCTGATGGCTGTACGTCTCAATCGGGTGGTTGTACTGATCGGGCCCCAAATGCTCTCGTAGTCGAGCAACAGCTCGATAATGGCGAGGTGACCATGCCATGCTGCTCTTTCCAAAGCTCTTTCAATGAACGGTAGTAAATCTACTCCATCCGACGTAAGGGATTCGACAACCCCAACATGTCCAATCTTGCACGCTGCGAGCAGAGCGCGGCCTCTCTCATAATCCTCAATACCCAAAGTTTTCGCGTTCTCGAGGATTACCTTGACCACTCCTTCCTTGCCTCTTGCTGCCGCTGCTTCTAGAGCGTACCTTTCGCGATAGTAGTCTTTATGAGAAGAGTTTCCATCTTCATCTCCATATCCATCTTCATCAGCATCGACTGGTCCATAAGGCTCGTGTTCTTCGGCAACAGACACCACAAGCCCACATACCCTCTTGAAAATTTCCTCTAACCCGGCTACCGAGGCCAACGGCTGGGTGTGGACGGGAACCTTCGATCTTTTACGGCTGGTGTATTCGTTTTTAGTTGAGGACGCATTCCGCAACAGGTTCTTAAAACGAGGAAAAAAGGGATGGCTGAAACAACTGGACAATGCTCGCCACGGTAGTTGGTAGTCGTGTCTTAAGAAAAGGCGGACAACTTGCTCTCGGCCCGCTTCCGCTGCGGCATGGAATGCGTCTTGAGTTCGTCCACTCATCCCAATCCTGGCACCAACTTTGAGCAGAGCTTCTGCCACATCCCGATGGCCTCTGTATGCGGCAGCCTGCAAAGCGGTTCCGTAAAACCCCCCTGAATTGTTGACGTTGGCTTGGTTTTGAATCAGGATATCCACAATCTGCAAATGCCCTCTAGTGGCTGCGGCTTGAAGTGCGTCACCGAATGGGCCACATGCATTGACGTTGGCTCCCCGTTGAAGCAGCATTTGAACGGTGGACAAGTGGCCCGTCAAACTAGCAGTTCGTAGCGGACTTCCAAACAAACCATCTTCTTCTATGTCCAAGCCATTTTCCAAACATAACGAGGCAATGTCGGTTTGGCCAAAAAGTGCAGCGGTTGCTACGGCATTCGCCGGTAATTTGTTTTTCTTGGAGAAATCCTCTACCAAGGACATATGACCCTTGCTGATAGCTGCATCGATCGTCCTGGAATCGTCTGATTTTGCTTCAAATGCAGGAAGCACTTGGTTCATAAACTCCACCACGTGAGAAAATCCGGCTTTGGAAGCGCGATGAACAATCTCATCAAAGTCGTCCTGATTGAATATCTCATGACCTCTTCCAAGGAGGAGAATGGCGAGGTCTTCGCGACTGCAATCCAGCGATCCTCGGAGAGCCGTATCGAGAGCATTCTGCTCATCCAGTGCATTCGCGTACATGGCTGACTTGGCCATAGTATTGTTCCGAGGTCAAATGTCGGATAGAAGCGCTTCCAGCAAGACCTGGAGCAGTGCGGCGGAGAGTGGAATCCTGCGGATCCGCAAGAAGCAAGAAGTCAGCCTAGAAGCTAACGAAACAGGTCGCTCCACGCTGTCGAGATAAACAGCGTACTAACCCAGAAGACGCCCAGGACTAGCCGATAGTTTATAGCTGACCGCACAGCAACGCTTGCGAAAGATCTCTCAAGGAAGAAAACGGCAGGTCTCGTCTATGTAGTAGAGAGCATAGCAATTAGGCACGTGGTAGAAACACGAGCCACCACGCCACTGAGACTAGGCAGAAGCGCACGGACCTGCAAACCTGCGATAGGTTAACATCTCATCGATCAAAGGTGCGTGTTCCGATATTTACGTACCGTCGTTCAGGAAATGCTTGCGAGTTGCGTTGAGATTGGTGCTGCCAAAGATAGATCAGCAGCTGCACAGCCCGGCCCACTCCGATCAAGCGACCTTGGGCAGCTTGCACTGCCTATCCCAACAATTCTTATGCAGTCCGCCTGCAAGGACATCAAGGAACGACTTCTTGTTGCAGTATCAACAAGGGAACGAGGAGCGTGTCGGTCAATAGATGAAGGCAGTTGGAAGTGCTGCGGCATGGCGGGCGCCCGCCCGTAAGAAGTCAGTTTAAAGCTGACGAAGCAAGTTACATAACGCTAACCAAAACAGGTAGCGTACTAACCCAGACAACAACCCCGAGTCAGCCGATAGGCTCGCGTAGTGCTTCCATATATCATTGAATGGCACAGCGGTGTCATTGGTACGAAAGTCCAAGGTGACCCGTGTTGGCACTTGGCAACCGCCGGCCGTCAAGACCACCACCAAGGCCACCGTAGGCAAGAAGGCTATCGCTGCCCAGGCCAGGCCTTCCAGCAGACCATCATCGTTGAACCTACTGGTAGTATAGGTGATGGTGCTGTAACCGGTGCGAGTCCTGGGACCGGTGTGAGCGCTGGTGCTGGTACGGGTGCAGCTACTTCTGCTGGTTGTGCAATGTTGCAGGAGGGGGCGCGGGAGATGACGGAGATCGAAGAGATTGAAGTATGGGGGAGGGATGGTAGGAGGTAGAAGGTTCACGAAGATGGCCAGTGGCTTGTGTGCAAAAAAGCACAGAAACCGAGTGGGTGAAAGGAGAGTCAAACTCCAGGCAAACAGTGTAAGCTTGTTCTTCCACAACTTCCTCCTTCTCAACAGCAGTGGCGGCGACATTGCGTGGGTAATCGGGTAGCGTCATTGAGAGGTTGAGGAGTTTGCGTTGAGCTGGCGCAAATGTCGTCCAGCTCGTCTTTTCCCTGCCTCTGTCACCCAACCGCTAGTTTTTTTCTCCGCCTTCATAGTCTTGCGCGACCGGGCGAAAGCGTGCGGCGCGTTTTTGGCGACCGGAAGGCTCACGATACGTTCGCACGGTTGCGAGTCGAACAGGACAGATGGCAGGATGGCGATTACCTAGTACGTCAGGTTAGCCATGGCTTGATACAGCAGACGGGAGTATTTGGCTACCAAACAAACTTAAAAGCAAGCGGCGGGCCAGCGAACGTGCAAGTGAGAGTTGAGCAGCTGGCTGCAGTAAATGAGAATTGAGAAAAGGTGGAGTAGGTTGAAAGGCTGATAGGTTGATGAGGTTGACGAGGTTAAAGAGGTTGCTGGAAGTGCTATTCGCTGCGAGAGCCGCAGAGCAAGCTGCCGTGTGAGCGCGTGTGCGTGCAAGACCCGTCAGAGCAAGACGCATTACAATTGGGTGGGTGCGGCGGTGTACGCGCCTTCCAACTGCGAGAGGAAGGAGCACCCAGGCAGCCGCCTCAGAAAATATCCCGCAATCGCGAACTCAAACTTTACCTCTCCACTCCCGCCCCCCGATCGTCTAGTGCATCACAATGACTCTTAATCCTGTGGATAGTGAGATGACGGGTGCTACAATGATGATGACCGGGAAGGGAGTTCCCTCTGAGCCACCTGTAAGTTGACGCCTGAGATGCCGAGTACGACGTCTTGACTACCTTAACACTGCACAGCTTAAGAAGCGGAAGCTGAACAACGCCGGCCATGTTGCTGGTAGGGATGTTGATGACGCGGGCGACGAGGATGGCAATTTGGGTCCTTCTGAGAAAACTGTAAGTTATCTCTGACCTCTCGTCTTGTTCCCGAAGCCAGTGGTTAACATAGCTTTAGGTTGCCAAAAAGAAGATGACTCCGAGGGCTATGAGAAAAGCCGAGAGACGCAAAGAGAAGCTGAAGGAAAAGCGTGCGCAACAGAAAGAAGAGCGTAGAGCTAAAGCTAGCGGTGCCCTGAAGCTGATCAAGCGGGCAGCGATTCTGGCGATGAATCTGGGGACGCAAAGTTGGTAAGTGGTCCCTCTTTTCAGCGACTTTGAGCCGAAACTAATCGAGTCCCAGACTGGCACTCAATCGCGCAAGCGAGGCAAAAGGAGTCAAGAGGCCAACAAGAAGAGACGTAAGGCGAAGAGGGAGAGGAACAGAAAAGCACTGCGGGATTACAAGGCACTACTCGCCAACCAGAAGTCTGGTGGTGAGAGCGCCGCGTCCGGGTCACAGACTCGCGACAAGTCTCCAACAGGGTACTCCTATAGAGGAGACCCGCGCTATCTCTCCTTCCGCCGCAATGGACCCAAAGGGTAAAGCCCGGGCCATTATCGTCAATTCCGCTGTTGAGGTTTCTTCCGACGGCGTCGACGACTGTTCCTCTAACGAGGGATCTCCTGTAGAGGAGACCCTCGGGAACGTGTCTAATGACGACGGCGGCGACAGCTCTCACAATGAGGACACTCCTATAGAGGAGGCCCTTGGGAGCGAGGCTGAAACTTCGCTCGCGGCCAACCCAATGGGAAAAGCCCGGGCAATTATTGTCGAATTAGGCAACGACAGCTCCGACGAGTGCTCTTCGGACACATCGTCTGCAGCCGGTCCAAAGGGAAAAGCCCGGGCCATTGTTGTTGATTTATGCGAGGACACTTCCGACGAGGAAGGCACTCCCGAAGAGGGCACTCCTATGGAGGAGGCCCTCGTGGAGTAGGTAGTTTGGATCGCATTCCCGGGTCGGCTGCAGGGTTCCGGAGCGTTATTGCAGTGCAGGCGCGAGGTTGGATCCCTGTACCTCAGCAAGGCTCCACCTTGACATGGTGCTGAGGCTCACTGTCTCGTCAATTGAGCAGTGCCAAGAGAGCCGTGTCGAAATCAATCAATTCGACAAAACCGCCGACCCCGGTAGAAACTCTGCTTCTTCAAACCCCGGATGACCACACCGCTTCCGTCACTTCTTCAACGCCATACGGTCAAGACTGGTTGAGACGTTTGAGCCGACCAGCAACTTCCCACCCTTTTGAAGGCGTTCATCGGTACATCCAGTTAGGTTCCGCACCAGCCTTAGCAACTACTCCGCCTCTGTCAATTCTCGAATGTTGTCCAGCCAAGACGGATAATGACGCCTGAGTTATTCAGCAACTTCCGACCCTCAAGAAGGCATTCGTCAGTGTGTCTGGCTAGGCTTTCTGTGGCCGTTTCCACACCTTGTTGCTGCATCGCGCATAGCACAACATCCAGTCGGAGATCCTGTCTTGTCCATGACGGTTTGGTGGATTCGAGACCCGTGCGACCGAAAGAAACCCGTGGTGGCTCCTCTCCTTTCCTTGGTCCTTGTAAGTCACACTCCAGCTACCCGGCGCGGTATGACACCACCATGGCTAAGACATTCCCAGCGACTCGGAACGACGACCAGCCTCTCTGCCTCTATCGGGCCCGGATCAACGACATTGGCGACAGAGATAAGTTTCCTTTCTGAATACTAGCCGGCGTTGTCTTTGGTACTAATCACCCTTCCTAGGACTCCTCGGCGGAGCGCTGCGTCGCCGACTCATTGAAGCGGGAAGGTGTTTGGCCAAGCCAGGTTGGAGTGACCAAAATAGGAGGATGGAAGGTGAACTGGGGAGTTGGGTGGGTCGAGGACAACAGTCGTAGAGGGTTGCGATTGCGGCTGACAGCGATGACAGCTGGAGGTTTGCCGTCGGACGGCGATGGCGTTGCCCTTTCAAGGGCGACAAGCAGGCTGGGTCATGGCAGGACGGCGTTGGGAAGGTTTTGGTCGCTCGCTGCTGCCTTTGCGGCTTTTGGGATCTCGGATTCGATGGACATCTGGAAACTACGCCGGGGTGTTTTCTAGGACTGTTAGTCGTTGGAAGTCGAGTTAGTTTTGTGCGATGTACCTTAAAAATCTCAACATTGGTTTTGTGAGCTGGACCTCTGTTGTAGTCGTCAGTGATGAACACTTGGTTGTGGGGGAACGCCATCAACGCGACGCGACGGGCGAATGTCCATCTCCACAACCATACCGAGACAGCCACATCTTCCCACCTCGAGCAGCCAGATGCGCCTTCGGCAATTGAGAAAGGCGAGTGCGCGCCTTCTCTTCCGCCATCACGTTGTTTACATGACCTACGGGGCGATGACCTTCCGGCGCACGCACCATCGCACGCAGCTACTTTGACTGGCCAGCAGGCGGCGAGGACGAGCAGGTGGGCCGAACAAGCGACCGCAGGCTGCTGCAGGACGAGAAGGCAAGGAAACACAAGACAGCTGAGGACAACGGTGAGTAGGTGCTTGGGCGAGATGTTTGCATCGCGAGTCTTCGACAGCTCACATCCATGCAGGTCACGACTTCGGAGGCTTTTGGACCTTAGCAGGACGTCCGCTCATACTTTGCTCTGCAGCACTGCGCCCGCTGCGCCCAGTCGACTCACTTTACCAATTCTCAGCGACTCTCTAGGCAAGCAAGTGCGAAACCTGGCCAACCTGGTCCACGCCTCTGTTCACAGGCAACAGCTCATCCAACAGACCGCCCGACCAGTTACTCCGTCGCTTCACACTTTGCACGGAAGGGTAAGGCTACTTTGGTATAGTGCCTGCGCGTGGGCAGAAATGGGCGATTGGTGGCTTGACAAGTCGCGGTGGAGGCAGTGAGAGACGCAGGTGCAGGTTCAGGCGAAAGCGCGGGGGAGGGATGCTAGGGGAGGAGATGCGGATGAGAAGTCACGTCGCGATGGCTTGGTAGAGGCGGGAGCAGACACGTATGCAGGTGTAGACATAAGGCCGGATCCAAACGCAAGTGCAGACGCCAGCCCAGGAAGGGACACTGACGTTGGACGTAGAGAGTGTGAGTGTCAGTGTCGCGATGGTGCGTTGGATGTAGAGGCAGATACAAGTACAGGTGCATACTTAACTGCTGTGGAGGGAGGCTGGTGGTGAAGGTGGTGAGGGTGAGAGTCCAGCGTAGGTAGTGATGCGAGTCCGTATCGTGATTTGGTGCCCGATGATGGACGTGTGGAGGGTGAGTCCAATTTGCCGACGGGGCGAGGAGGACTGCTGGTGAGCTGCTGGTGGCACTGTTGAAGATGACGACAGTCCGCTTCCAGCGGATTGGTGAGTGACTGTAATTGTCGCACCTCGCAGCCAGTTCGGTCGCGCTGGCGTCATACTGAAAGCACAACCCTCAGCGATGGCCACAGCACAGCTGCATCCGATGACGAGACCCAAGGAGGTAACTTACTTCCGGATTCTTTTCTCGACCTCAACGAGCCGACCAGCGCCACCAACGGCTCCAGCAGTCACCAATTTGTCGAGGCGCATGATGCCAAACTCCAGGCAAGAAGCTGCACCACTCAAGCTAGCACTACAGGTTTGAATATCCTCCCCACGGTTGTCGTCGTTACCGGATACGGACAAATGAGCTGCTAGTGGCAGAAAGTGGTGAGGGTGGGAGACCATGTCGAGACAAGGTAGTAGAGTGAGGGATGCCGACCTGAGAGATGCCTTTGACTCGGGAGCCTTCTTGGCCTTTTATCCTTCTTGACTCATATGTCCCTATGGTCCTTCTTCGCCACATGTGCGGCAGCCGCCAGGACGGCGAGGTAGACAGGAGCGAAGGGCAAGCGCATGACGGCATCAGGCCGGACGGCGATGAGACTGGCAAGAGCGAGGGCGAGAGCGTGGTGGCAGCAGCCGAAATGGCAAGGCTGGCAGAGCGGAGTGTGAGCGCGTGACGACAGCGACCGAGATAGTGGGGTTGACAAACGTTGAAGACGAGCGTGTCGCGCCGACGGGCAGGGTGGCGAGGGAGTTGGCGAGAGAATGAAGAATGGAAGTGTGGGAAGAGCGAAGGTCGATGGTGGCACTGAACTTGCGGGAGGGATTGGCCGACACGATGATGCAGCAGAGAAGATGACAACAGCTGCCGCAATCTCCTGGACACCCACGGTCAGCTATTGAAGAAGTGAGGCAGCCGTAAAAAGTAAGTAGGCTAACAGGCTAACGGCACCAACGGTGGGTGGCGTCGTCCAGGAAGCTGGCGGAAGCAGCTGACGCGAACGTCGTCGAAGGAGGAATAGAGAGTGAGAGCGAGAGGAAGTAGGCTAATGGTGAAGGACGTTCAAATTTCCAATCGTGAGACCGCGAAGGTGGCCAAAGGTCAAAGCAGACCCTCTTCATCTAGTCCTTCGGCAGAAGAGCACATTCCAGCCTCGACTGCCGCTCGAACAATCATCAGCATCAACAACTACGCATCGATCCACAGCTCTTTCAGCGATTCAAAACCACGATATGCCCATTCTCTTCTCCCTCTTCCTACACATCGTTGAGGTCTTTCCCACTCTCGGCTCGGATTGACGATTGACAAGAAAAAGAAGAAAAAAAAAAAAAGTACTGCTGGTTGCTTTTGCGGGAAGCTCCCCTCCATCCTGGTATCGGTGGTTTGATTGGTGCTAATCAGCCTTCCTAGGGATTTCCGGCTTGGGTAAGTCAGCCAAATTCGAAGATTGTCAGCGGCGGATCCGCTTCTGCGCTTGTGGATTACATGTCGCCGCCACCGCCGCCACCATTGGGTAGGCTTGTCACCAAAGCACCGAACCGTACAGTGCTGGCTCCATCGCCCGGGTCCAGATGCTGGTACTAAGCAAACCGGCGACACGGAAATGACCGGAAAGGATTGTCTGGATCCTCTCAATCACCCGTAAGTTGACCTTGGCATGCCGACCTCTCCAAAGACGGGGCTAACGTTGCACAGCTCAAATATCGGAAGCTGGACGACGGCGACCAAGGTACTGGCGCCGAGTTGCGCAGGTGTGGTTCCTTCTGCCGGGCGAGACATAAGCATTTCTAACCTTGTCAACAAGATCAAGAAATAATATAGCCCTAGCTTTCCAGGAAAGAGACACCTCGAGAGTAGCATCAGCAGCGTTGGTGTGCGCTGATACTGCCGTCATCCAAGACTTCGGCTGCGGAAGCAAGCTGACAACGAGCGCCCGTTACCATCAGCGATATCACCACCGAGACGCGGCTGCTATAAGCTCAGCCTCGCCCTCCGCCACCTCAACAGCCACTCCGTCGACTGCTTCTGTCATCAAGTTCATTTTTAACATGATCAGCAGGGCCATGCCGTTCTCAGCGTTCTGGTACTCGATATGGCAGTGTTTGTGCGGGCGCTCCGCTCACTTCAACGACGAGCTGGCCACGCGCGAGCAGAAAATATTCTCGAACATGGAGGCGGTCTTCGTGAGCGGTTGCGGCCGAGTGGCCCTCATTGAAACTTTGGCATCTTTGGGCAGGTGCAGTTGATGGCACATATGACGGTTGGACGAAGGTTGGCAGGAACGACGGCTAGAAGTGTGTGCAGAGCGGCGGGGAAAGCCAGTCGGGCGGCTTGGTGACTGACCTGCTGGGCGAGTAAGTGGCTTGAATCACTTTGGTTAGGTTGCTTACATGGAGAGTTAGTGAGGATAGGGAAAGCGATTCGATTTAGGGCGTAGCGGGCGCGGCGCCGCAGAGCAAACTACATGCAAGCGTCTTCGTCTTGCTAAGACTCAAAGGTATGAGCTGGCAAAGTCCCGCGACATGAGCATCCCGTACACAGGCACCTACATACTTATCCTTGTCCTTTCCACCATCCTCCGATTCACTCATATGTCCGCTGTGTGGTAATCTGCCGCTTATCTAGTCCGCCGGCTGCCAAAGTCAGAGCGGAGTGGAGCGAGTGGTTGGGAGCGAATGTGCGCCATGAGAGGTGTGGCCGATCGAAAAAGAGCGTCTTCAAAGAAGAACCAAGAGAAGAAGACGAGGAGAGGACACAAGCTAGCGGTTCCAGTGAGGTGACAGAAGCAGCCGACGGGTGCTCGAGATGAATCCGCGGGTTGTGGAGGTTGACACCCGGCTCATTTCCAACATTGCGCTTTGGCTCCCGCATGTTGTTCCAATTATCCTACAATTGTACCAAGTATCGCTTCTTGGCGTGGTCTTTCTGCAGGACGCGGACGGCGGGCCAGACGGTCTCGACCTCGACCTCGGCGACGGGCGGGCGATAGGCGTCTGAGTGAGCAATCAGCTCTGGGCGAGCGACAGACGCTGCGATCGGTGCCTGGAGAGAGTGAAACTGGCGTGATTGTGCGAGAAAGGGAACGTGAGTCCGACGTGGAAAGCGAAAACTGGGAGGGAGGCCGCGTGAGCATGAGTACGACGAGCCCGCTCCGGCTTTGCGGCCTGGCGCGAAGGAAGACAACGGGTGGGCGGACGAAGAGAGTGCAATGTGCAGTGTGAAGTCTTCCAGTTCCTCGTGCACAAAGAAAGACGACAGCCCAACACCACCTCCGCTCACGCACGCGAACTAAACCAAGAGCCCACAGACCCTGCCGCACGATCTCGTCCTTCCTCCCTCACTGGGCTCGTGGGCTTGTATTGTATGCTGGTGGTGAGGAGAGGTGCCGGAACGAGAAACAGGATCTCAGACCGAACGCAGTGCAGTGCAGTGCAGTGCAGTGCCGGGCTATGGCCAAGAGCCAGTCAGGCGGAGCGAATGAGTGAGTGAGTGAGTGAGTGGTTGGTTGGTTGGTTGGGCGCGAATATAGTGTATACAGGTAAACGACGACACCTAGGGTTTTGAGGAGGGAGCGCGTCCGCGTCGCATTGATTGAATGCGCGCATCGGAGGCCCTCACTCCCCACCCACAGTTCGGGCCATGTACTTCGTAGCAGCCGCAGCAATTGGTATTGGTATAGCATAGCATGCATGGCATGCGCGAAACGCGCGTACAAACTTGCTGTAACTACAGACATGAAACAGAGCACAGAAAAAAGAAAGAAAAACGCAAAACACATCAAGAAGATACAAACGAAACGAACATAGCTCAAAACGCCCACCACCCACCACTGCCCAAACACCTCCCACACACCACTATTGCTGCTTCCTGGGCTTCCTTTCCCACCCCGTCTTAAACAGCTTCCCCATCTCAAACGTCGGAAACGGGTGCGCCTCGGTATTAAACACGACCTTGTCGAGGGGCAAGACATCCTCATCGCCAAACAGCAGGAAGAGATACTTCAGCGTCTCGGCCATCCAGAAGCTCTCCATATTATCGCGCATGCTGGGCGGGACCGTCGTCACATCACCCAGCGACGTGAAGCCGCTCCCGTCCTCCAGCAGCGTGTGCTTGACAAAGGCCTGGAACATTTCCCAGCCCCACTCGCGGTAGCGCACGTCGCGCGTGATGCGGTACATGTAGAAGAGGCTTTCGGCCGACTCCGGGCGCTGCAGGTTGTGCGTGTCGGCGGGCTTGATGACAAAGTCTTCCTTCCAGGGGGCGTCGGGGGCGGGGCTGAAGGACGCCGGGCTGGTCGGCAGGTCCGCCGAGCTGTAGTCCGCCCACATGTGCGGTGGGTCCCACGTCTTGAAGTAGGTGATCTCGGGCGCCAGACCGGTCGCCGTTGCTTTGTACATGCCCCAGCACGTCTTCATCAGCTCTTCGGCCAGTTGCATGTCCGCTTCCTGCTTGGCGCCCCACTTGCTGCTCTTGCGCGCTTCCTCGACCGTCAGGCCCTCCGTGGCGCCCAGCGCGATCGTGCCCGGCATGAAGCACACCAGGTGATCCATTTTAGGGGATAGGGCGCTGTCGAGGCCGTTGGGGCGCTCGGCGAGCACGGTGAAGTTGGACGGGTACGAGTAGGTGATGAGGTGCTTGCGGACGCCCATGACCGACTCGTCCCACATGTCGAGATACACGGGCTCCTGCTTCGCCGTCTGCAGGTACTGCTTGATCAAGTACTCGTAGTACGAGTCGCCGCGGCTGCCGAGGCGGATGTTGTCGCCCTGGAAGCGGCCGGACTCGGGCTGCACGAAGATGGGAACAAGACCGTCGGTCGGCGCGAGGTCGTCCACCACTTGCATGACCTTCTCGGCCTTTTTCCAGTAGTTCGCCTCACCCGTCAGCTTGGCCACGTACTTCATCTCCAGCTGCAGGGTCGTGGCCTCGGCCGTGGACGAGGCGCCCATGTCCGCGTGCGACTTGATACCCTCCATCGTCTTGAGATTGATGCTAGCGTACGGAATGCCAGACCTCGACTCGTAGGCACCGAGCAGGCGGTCTGCGAGATCAGTCGCTTTCTCAAGGAACAGGTCCTCGTCGGCCGAGCCTTTGACCATTGGAATCGGCGCATAATCAGGAAACTCAGTGGTGAGGTAGTGCGCCGAAAGCAAGCCGCCCAACATACGAATCGTAGTCTCGAAAGTGTTCACGTCGTGGTCCTTCTCGTAGGTCAGGGCCGTCGAAACCCATTCGCGCGCGTGCGTCAGCTGCGTCGTGAGGTTCATGAGGATGAGTGTGTCCAAGGCGTCCACGATAATCCAGCCCATTCCACCCTCGACCATCTGGCGACCGTTTCTTGACTTGGGATGGAACACGTCGTATCCTAAATCAATCAGCAGCTATCCGGTAATGCGCAGGCACGACATACCCCAGGCGTACTTCTCGTACGCGTCCCAGCTGAGCTTAAAGGCATCCCGCACCCTATCCTGCCTCTCGGCCCAGTCGACAGCGGCCGGAGGCCTAGAAGCGAACATGTTCTTCCACAGACTGCTCGCGCTGGGCGTGTCCTTGGACGACTCACGATCCGAGCTTGAGAATATGCCCAGCCAGTACAGCACAGTAATCAAACCGAGCAGCAACAAGGCCTGAATCCTCCTTCTCTTGAACCACGGCGCCCCCTTGCCCGACGCGGCGTAGTTGTACGGCTTGTCCTTGTACATGGGCAGCTCCTTCTCACCAGTGCCAAACATGCCGCCGATGCGCTCGGAGACACCAGCATTATTATCCGGAAAGCGGGCGCGGCTGGAGCTTCCCCAGGCCGAGTCCTCTTGGGGGCGCTGGGGATGCTCAAAGTCGGGCTGGGTGCGCGGGACGGCGAAGGACATGGCTTCCTGGGCGGCGGTGGACAGGGCCGTCTCAATGGCTTGTCGATGCGGCTCGATGGCGTCAATGCCGTCCTCGAAGGCCTGCTGACCGCGCTCTAGGGCGTGCTGGCCGTGCTCGACAAACTGCTTCGAGTACTTCTGGGCGTTGCGCGCGGCCGACTGCTGCAGCAGGGTGAAGGCGTTCCTGGGCGCGATGGAGGGTCGAAGGCCGAACGGGTCGCGGTTATTCATCCCCGAGGCGGCGGGGCGATGACTAAGGGGCTAACGAGCGGGAGGTTTTTGTCTTGGGATGGAGATGTGGGTATATGAGAAGTGGACAGTTGTTCTTCACTGGGCTTGCCATGGCTGTCGCAAATGAACATCTGGGGATGAGCTGCTAGTTGACGGGGCGGTAATCAAAGCGTCGATAATAATCCATCCGCATGTCCTGTGCGTTGCCGTCTGTCTGCAGATGGATGGCAGTGACGTTATCCATCGCAAGTCAGTCCCTCCCGTTGCCGTCATGACCCAGCAGCTTCTCTCTGCCCGGACACCTCTGACTTCCCCCCCGACTCTGCATCCACCAGCATGAAACACCGTCTCCAGATCAACCCCCTGGTTGCCGAGCCCGCGACTCGCGACCACGATCGCGTCCATGCGCCGCCTGAATCCCTGCCGCCCGCCAGCGCGACCAAACTCCACCCCACCAACGCCGGGGGAGAGAATGCCCGTCTGTTCTTCGTGGGCACCGCAACCACCATCCTGTACGCCTGCGACATCACGGTACACACACGCCCCCATGTAGTTGACCATCCAATCCAGAGAATGGGAGGGCATCCGTCTCATGACCGACGTAAGCTGATTTGACCTCTTTCGCGTAAATAATAATAATATCAAGACAAATACCCCAGCCCAACTTCCTGCACGCCGGCGACCACGTCCACCTCGGTCCCGGCGTGACAGCGACGCGCCAAACCAATCCCGCCGTCGACCTGCACGCACTACCGCGCATCGACCTTGTCCTCCTCTCGCACTACCACGCCGACCACTTCGACCAGCACGTCGAGGCCTCGCTGCGTCGCGACCTGCCCATCATTACGACGCCGCACGCGCGCGAGCACCTCGCAGTCAAGAAGCCGGCCGCCGACGCCTTTACGCAGGTCTACGACCTCGACTTCTTCGAGAGCGCCGTCGTCGATGTCGTCAAGCCGCCGCCTGACGTCGATGACCAAGGCAAGCCTACCACTGCGCGCCGTGAGCCCGCCATCAAGGTCACGGGTATGCCGGGGAAGCACGTCCCGCCGGGGCCGCTGAGTGTCGCCAACGAGCTGCTCGGAGCCGTACGTGTGCCTGCGTTTGCTCTTTGCCGTTAATCACCATGTGGAGAAATAGCGATGGCAGTGACTGATCTCGATGCAATGTCCAGGTCCCGCCCACCAACGGCTGGATGCTCGAACTGGGATACCGCACCTCTTCGCCGGCTGAGAACGACGGCTTCGAGTGCGGCTACCGCGTTTACATCTCCGGCGACACGCTCAACGTGCCCGAGCTGCGCGAGATCCCGCAGCGTTACACGGATGCCGGATACCCCGTCGACCTGATGCTGGTGCACCTGGGCGGGACGACGATTCCCGGGCCGTCGATGCCGCTGCTCATGGTTACTATGGATGCGAAGCAGGGTGTTGATCTGATCAGGCTGGTGAGGCCGGACGTGACGATTCCTATTCACTACGAGTATGTCGGTTGAGGACGATCGCAATCAGGAGTCGGGTGCTGACTGTGCTGGGTAGTGACTACGACGTCTTCCTCAGCCCGTTGGAAGACTTCAAGAAAGCGGTCGAAGAGGCCGGCTTGAACGACAAGGTTGTGTACCTCGACAGGAAGGACGAGTACAACTTCCGGGTGCAGTAGAACCAAACTGGCAGCGACGCGGGTGCCGAGGGTCTAGCTCGCCGTGGTCGCAGGGTAAGATTGTGTAAGTGGGCCAGCTGGTAGCTGAAAAACGCCGTGTGAACGCAACCATAGTTCCAAAAAATAATGTCGATTATGACTTTCTGTGACGACGTTGGCACAGGAGAGCGGAGGAGAGGAGAGAGAAGTAGAGGAAAAAGAACAGTGGAAGACACAGCAAAAGCCAGACGTGCCTAGCTATCGAGTCGCTTAGAAGTCTAGGTAGATCCTCAGTAGGTAGGTACTGATACGCAATCAATGTCAGTGAGCCACTCCATTCAAACAAGGTAGGTACCTCGTACTTCGTAAGTAGACGGGCCTCAGCCAGCTGCCGTCAGCGGTTCTGCCCGCACTGACTCTACACTGCAGAGGAAGCTCAGCTTGGTAGGTAGGCCCGACATGCCCTTGCCTTGTAGTCCTGGGAATGCATTAACTCGCTCACTGCTCCCACCTTATGTTCGACTTGACATATGCACGCGCTGGATGACTTGCGGACGGCTTCAGCTACTTGTGCGTACAGGAAGTCAGCTGGGACATTCTTCGACACCGCACCGCCACAGCCACTCCGGCATCCAGCCGTCAAGGAACTACTTGCTTCTACTTCTAGCGACGAGCTGACCAGCTTACGGTGTCCACGCCAAAGGAATCCAGACCCGGCCGTGAGCGTGTGGTTGAGAGATGTTGCTGGGCGTGTGTGAGGGTTTGGGTGTAGGTAGGTGTGGGGGTGGCGGTTGAGGGTTGAAGGCGTAGTGTGTAGGCTGGCTGGCTGGTAGGCTGGCGGTTTGAGGTAGGGTCATTTGTGTGCTATGTCGTGGGCTGGGTAGGGGGTGGTGGGAGGTGGGGATGAATGCTGGTGGTGGGTTGGGTTGGGATGGATAGTGGGGAGTAAAAGAACTGCGTAGAGTAGATTCGGCCGCCCGTCCGTCCGTCATCACCTTCATGAGAATGGACATCGAGCACATCGACCTCATAAAAACAATCGACACGGCAAGACAAGCCAACCCCGCACTCTCAATCTCCCCCGTCACACACATCAACGAACCCACTCAGCGCACATCATCCAGACACAGACACAGACATAACCCAATCGCATTCCCCGCGTCCTCGCCGTACACAAACTCGCCTTGTCCATGTTTCTTTTTTTAACTTGATCGAGGTACGCCATGATTTCATTTCATTCAGCCACTAGCAAAAGGACCAGAATGTGACGGCGCTGTCACAGGTCACACAGCACAGCACAGCACAGCACCATGCCCCCACATCTCAGCCTCTGCTCTCCGCGCCTTTCAAAAACCCCCTCCCTCTCCCCTTCATTTTTTTTAGGTTTCTCGTTCTTGCGACCCCTGCTGTCAACGCGCTGGTTCCGTTACTTTTGACTTGTGCATTGCTGGGGAAGAAGGCGTTGCCGAGGGAGTGCGCGCGCGTGGTAAGAAGTTCGTGCCGAAGGGTGCGTTTAGACACGCTTGCCCTTCTGGTTCTTCTTGGGGATGTCGGAGATGGTGAGTCCTAGAAACGCGGCGTGTTAGTTTTCTTTGTCTTTTTCGTTTTTGTCGTTTTTGTCGTTTTTGGGATGTTGGTGGTGGTGGTTGTGGTGGTGGGAAAGACAATACGTACCAGGGGGAAGGCTCTGCTTCAGCTTCTCGGCCTTGTCCGAGTCCTTCAGGACAAGGGTGTAGAGGAAGCGGTGGCAGCGGACCTTGAACTTGATGTTGTTGGTGTTCTTGGTCTTCTTAATGCGCGCGGCTGGGGAGATATTAGCTGAGTGTTCTTAATCCAATTGCGAATCCAATACTGGTGCGGTTGCCCTTGCGCTGCTGCGGCTGCGGCTGGGGCGCGAGAGGTGTGGAGGTGGTGATGATGGCGGCGTGGTCTGGCGGTGATTTCTTCCTTTCCCTTCTCCTCTCTGCGCGCGTAGCAGATCGTCTCGAACAAGTGAGTGACTGAGTGAGCGAATATGAGAAGCGGCGCAGCGGCGGCAGTACCGATCGTCGTCTTCGCAGCGCGACGACGGACGAGGCAACCAACCAACCAAGCCCAGCTTCCTTCCCTCCTCACTCACTCACCCACTCACTCTGCCTCCTCCTCTTCCTCTTCCCGCGCCCGTCACCGTCTCCCCCGCTTTCAATCTCTTCGCACCGCGCAACAACCAGCCCACCAGACCAATTCCCCCTCGCAAACCCCACCACCACCACAGCAGCAGCAAAAAACATAAAAACTCAAAAACAAACGGAGCACCCACAGGAAGCATCCTTGCGGCGGCAGATCTCGATGAACTGCTTGATGTCGGAGACCTCTTGAGGCATGGTGGGCGAGATGTGTATGACGGCCGGGGGGGATGGTTGTCTGAGGAGTGAGAGGTGTGTGGTCGAGGGGACGAAATTCCCGTCGCGTGTGTGCGCGCGCGCGGCCGGCGGGGGCTCGCTTGCGCGGGCGGTGGGCGCTGGCAGAATCGGGCCGGGGGCCGCTACTGGCGGGAGCGTCTGGACTGAACTCCAGGGTCCGTTGTTGCTTGTGTTGTTTGGAATTCTCTTCTGCGTGTGCGAATGTTTGTCGTCCGGAACTGGCATGGCCGTCGAGATTCCCGTCCCACAAACTGCCACAACACATCGCATCCTATCCGGACGCCAATGAAAACGTGCAGATAACCATTCGTAAGAATTTCATGCGCAATAATAAAAAAACACGACCTATAAGCGTATACCCAGTCCCAGCCCCAACACCAACACCAACACGACCCCCGAACCCCACCCCCACCAATCCAACCCCCACCACACCTTCATAGCACCATCCACGCCGCCACCGCCACCGCCGCTACCGTGACACCCATACCAGCAGCACCATCTCTCGCGCCAACGGCAGCATTGGCCGGCACAGCCGTTGCGGCAGCGCTCGCAGCTGAGGAGCTCGAACGGGACGCACTTGCGCTCGCGCTTGCGCTCACATCTTCCCTGGAAGCCGAGGCAGCCGTACTGCTCGCGCTCGCAGCGCCCGTACCCGTAGGCGTAGCAGCCGCAGACACAGAGGCGGCGGTGCGCGAGGAGCCGGTGGAGCTGGTCGCGGCGGCTTTGGAAGAGGAGGAGGCGCAGGTGGCGGCGGAGGGGATGTCGGAGAAGCCGCGGGGGATGCAGAGGGTTTGCGCGAATTGGATGACGGCTGTGCAGGGGTGTTAGTTACGGAAGCAGTGGGCGCGGTGTGGAAATATGTGCATTCCAAGGGTAGGGAGAGGTGCTGTACCTTCTTGGTCTTGCAGTGAGCACTTCTGGAAGACGCAGCAGGTGAGGTCGGCGATATAGGATTTGGTTCTGCAGATACAGTCAAAGTCGAGGCTGGAGCAGCCTTCTACGGCCACGTCCATGCAGGGTTCCTGGAAAGAATTTGTCAGTTTGTGTTTGTGTTTATGTTTGTGTTGGTGGTCTTGTGAAATTGAATTTGAGACTGAGTGTGCTTTATAGCAATGTGATAATTGAAGACAGTCTTATGAAATTAAATCTTACAGCACACGTTGGAAGCTGCACCTGTCCAAGCTGACAGATAGCTACACTGCTGAGACACAGCGCGACGGCAATGGTGGAGAAGCGCATGACTGAAAAGGAAGTTGATTTGCAACGAGAGGCAGAAACAAGAAAAATCTAGAGATACTACGCGGAATACGGCGGAAAACAGGGCAAATAAAGAGCAGTACCGGCGGCAATATATACGAGCGCATTGCTTAAGCACGTACGAGAACGTTGCCGGGTGGGCGTTCCATAAGCGGGAGGGCAGGGGCCTTTCGTGCACCTTAAACTGCGGCTCTACCGCTCTCGGCGGTACGATGCTCACATCCTTGTTATTTCCCACCATACAAGTACCTATACCCGTCGATCAATAGCCGTTTAACTTTGGCTACCAGAGCTTGTCACCGCTTGCACCTCTTGCTCCCGTTTCGGGACGTGCCAGCCCGTGGTCTTTGATACCCTCGCGCCCCAACAACCTCAACCTTCAATAACCACCTGGTCGCAGAACCCGAAGGTGAATATTAAAATCCCTGTTTCAGCTCTCACGTCGCCCTGACGCCCACGCCCACACTCCGCGTCTGAAACAGCTCGACCAGCCCGCTCCCCACGCATTCCTCCAGCACCCATTCGAAGCTCACGCCGTGGAACGTCTTCCACTTCTTGGTGCGGCCGGGTAGCACGCCCACAAAGTCTCCACGCGCCCGGCGCGCCTGGGTGCCCGAGTCGGTGCCCGCGATCCCGCCGTCCCACCGCTCCTTGAGCAGGGCCATGGGCGCTTCGCGGAACCTCGACGTCTTGCTGAGCAGGCTCAGCAGATGGGTCCGCGCGCTGGTCAGCAGTCCCAGGTAGGGCCCCATGTTGGGCAGGGCGAAGCTGTACATGCCTCCAGAGGGCCGCTTTTGCGATGCGTTGTAGAGTTGCCCTCCGCCACTGGCACCGCTGGTTGTAAAGGCGTCTGCGCCACCCACTGCGTCAAGCGAGCCGGATACACTTCTTGATCCGACAGCCGCTACAGAGGACATTGAGCCTAGAGAAGCCGCACCTGGGCGGGAGAAGATTTCCGCGTTTCCTGTTAACAGGGAGATGCCGGTCAAGAAACCTGCGGAACAGAGGGCCGCCAGCTCTTCCTTGGTGAGTTGTGCGGCGGAAACGGTCGGGGTAGTGGGTTGAGCGTGCAATAGGGAAATGTACTTCTCTGCTAGCAATGAGCCAGTGACCCAGCCTTAAGCGTTGATACTCACTCTTTACATCCTCATCGAGACCTGCATGAGCCTTTACCATACGCTCCCACTCTGACACCAGCACCAGCCCTTCCCCGACCGCTGCGCTACCCACGCCGTATCCAGGGACGACCACCTTGCGGAGTATCCCTTTCCTCACCAGCTCAGCAATCTCTCTCTCCGTCACGGTCGGCGACTTGCTGAGCGCGTGGACGTGTGCGATAGACACGACTGGTGGCAAGCTGATCCGAAAGTTCAGCACCTCGGCCGTGCGCTGACCGTTCATGCCAGACGCGCGCTCCGGCACCGCGCTGAACATCCTACTCTGGATGTTGCGCATGAACAGCGGGACGTCGCGCAGCTCGAGATCCGTGGCCAGAGTTGCCACGACCCCGGTGTCGTCTAACGGTTCATTGTAGAGACTGTCGTTTGCGGCGGCGGTCGGCTTGGTGCGGGTGGCGTTCGCGCCCGGCTTGGTGCGGGGGTTAGCAGCAAAAGGCGACGAGGTGCTGCGTCGCAGCGGAGTGTTTCTGCGATGGGCGGGCTTGGTGACGCGAGACGAGTTTGCGGGCGTGGTCTGGAAGGACATGAGTGGTATGAGTGGTGTGATGGCGGAGCTCGAGGCAGACGCGGATCAGATTAATGTCTCGTCGTGCCTCGGTCCCCGGACTTGGACGTTATTGCAGCGCTCGCCACAGATCATGTCAGCGCGGCGGCTGTGCAGCCGTCACATGCAGGTGAGTAACGGCCGGAGAAGCAGTGGCAGGAAATTGACCAAGAGCCAGTTGAGCCGCGGCTGCGCGACGTCATCGGAATCGCTTCCACCAACTTCAGAACCTCCGTCGCCTCAAATCACTGCTCATTCCTCACAACACTCCCCCTTTCCGCGCCCATCACCATGTCCCTCAATACTGAGCCTTCGCAGCCCGAAGAGCGCGAGGCCAATGATCTCCCTCCCAAGTCGTACGCCGACGCTGCTGAACCCGACGGCCACACCAATGGCACCGACAACGACCATCGACAACAGGAACCGCAGGAGCAGCCGCAAGAACAGCAAAAGCCCCAGAAGCCGCATCCTGCGCAACTTGAGATTCACCTCCCTGACCCTGGAAAATCCTACGCCGACGCAGCCGTCCAGCCCAATGGCGCGTCGACTCCCGGCGAGTATGTCGGCGCGGGCCTAGACACCTCTCCCAAGACACCCACGCGCGGCCACAGAAGAGTCAAATCAAAATCCAGTCCCAAGCGGAGTCCGGAGAAGGATAATGAGAACCACGTCGTCTACGAAAAAGTCAGCGACGTCGACGGCAAGAAGCACCTCACCAGCGTGAAGCCGGATGATGAGTTCGAAAAGAACCTGCGGTTAGACAAGGACGAGAAACCAAAAGAGGAGGATCACAAGGAACTTACCACTGGCAGACAGGCCGGCGCTGGATGGGAACACAGCCGGTGAGCCTCTCGTCTGGGCACAACAACATCAAACAAACTGCTAACGACCGCAGGATTCGCTGGGCGCCTCTAAATGTGCCATTGCAGCGACGTCTGCAGACGGCCTCGGTCCTCCTGCACACCCTCTCCATCGTCGGCATGCTCTCCATCTACTTCTTCCTCTGCTCCATCCCCTTTCTCTGGCCCATCCTCTTTCCCTACACCATCTACGTCCTCTTCTCCAACGCCGGCCACTCGGGCACGCTCGTGCACCGCTGGGAGGCGCTGCGTCGCATGCCGCTCTGGTCGCTGTACGCATCGTACTTCCCGGCACGGCTGCACCGGACGCAAGAGCTGCCCCCGACGCGCAAATACCTCTTCGGATACCACCCGCACGGAATCATCTCTCACGGAGCCTTTGCGGCCTTCGCGACGGAAGCGCTAGGCTTTGCGCAGCTCTTCCCGGGCATCACCAACACGCTCCTCACGCTCGACTCCAACTTCCGCATCCCGCTGTACCGGGACTACGCGCTGCGACTGGGCCTAGGCAGCGTGAGCCGCGAGAGCTGCGAGAACCTGCTGTCCAAGGGCGGGCCCAACGGCGAGGGCATGGGGCGCGCGATTACGATAGTGATAGGCGGGGCGCGCGAGTCGCTGGACGCGGCGCCGGGGTCGATGCGGCTGGTGCTGGCGCGGCGCAAGGGGTTTATCAAGCTCGCGATCCGCACGGGTGCGGACCTGGTGCCGGTGCTGTGTTTCGGGGAGAACGAGCTGTACGACCAGGTGCAGCCGCAGCAGCACCCGCGGATCCATCGCGCGCAGCTGCTGGTCAAGAAGTTGATGGGCTTCACGGTGCCGCTGTTCCATGCGCGCGGCGTCTTCAACTACGACGTCGGCATGATGCCGTACCGGCGGCCGCTGAACGTGGTCGTGGGCCGCCCGGTCATGGTGGTGCGCCAAGACAAGCCCGAGCAAAAGTACGTCGACGAGGTGCATGCGACGTATGTGCGCGAGCTGCAGCGCATTTGGGACGATTGGAAGGACACGTTTGCCAAGGACCGAGAGGGCGAGCTGGAGATTGCCGAGTAGTGGTAGTAGTAGTAGTAGTGTTGCCACTGGCTTTGTGGTGATTATTTCGGGTTGATTGTGCTTTTTTTGCTTTCGTTTTTGTATTTACATATCTACTTGCTTTTTTTGCGTAGGGGGTCTTGCGGCGACGAGATACTCCCTGCCTACTTACCCTACCTGTATACTTAGAGCACAGGAGATATATGCGATGATGACACCAAGCAATTCCGACCTACCTACCTAGGTATGCTTCAGTGCTTACATACTTTTGTCCCAGCATTCCTGCCTAGGCATCTACATACCATAGCCACGCGGCACCCACGCGGCAGCGGCACACTCATATACGAGTACGTACCCGGCCACGTTCTCTAGGCGCCCCAACCCAGCCCAGCGGATAGGTAGTAGGGTACATAGCTCGACGCCCGCGTCCCCGTCCCGTAGCTACGGCTTCCATACCTACCTAGGTCCCCATCCCACGGCCACGGAACAGGACGGGACGCCACCACGCCTTGACTCACTCGCGTCAGTCCGGGCTTTTGCTTTTACCAAGGCCAGATCACGGGCACTTGCGTACCTACTCCGTACTTACCTACACAAGAAGCCAGTAGGTAGTGTAGTAGGTAGCAGCGCCGACGCGCCAACGCCAGCGCCAGCGCCAACACCAACACCAACGCCGCCGTCCCTCGCTACCAAGCATCAAGCAGCACCAAGCACCAGCACCAGCACCAGCACCAGCCCAAACCCAACCCCAGAAACGCCCGCCTAGAGTAACAACTCAGTCATCACAGTCATCACAGTCAGCCCAGTCATCAAAAGCGCAGGTCAGCTCAGCCATCAGTCATCAAATCCCCCTGTGCCCCCGTCTCCCAACCAACCAAACCAAACCAAACCCAGTCAGTCACAACAACCAGCCGGCCTGGCGGGCACCAACCAAAGACGCACAGACCCGCGTTGCGCTTGCGCGCGCGCGCGGACGGGCCCCAGGGGCGTCGGCCCGCCCCGCTTCGCGCGGGCCCCACTTGCTGGCCTGCTCGCTCGCTGCTTTTGCTTGCTTTGCTTGGTTCCCTTTTTTTGCATGAATCATCTCATCGCTGGCTTGGGCTTGGCGGAATGGAATGGCGAGGGGCGCGCTCCCGAGTGCCAAGAACCCACCCACCTGCATGGCACGGCGCGCGCGCGTCTGGGGGTGTGCTGGGTGCGGAAAATGCGTGGGATGCGTGGGATGCGGGTGATTACGTACTTGCGTGCTTGCTGTTGCTATTGCTATTGTACTACCTAGGTACGTACGAATACAGGACGCGACGCGACGGTGGTGAATGCGAAAGCGAACTCGCTCGCTCGCTCGTAGTTTTGCGCCGCGCTCAGGCACCTCCCTCAGCGGCGCCATCACTGCTCTGCTCCCGCAAACTCAAATCCCAGATGCAGAAGAGTCCACACCTCCACACACTTTACCCCCTTTCCTTCCCTCTTCCCTCCCTTCCTCCCTTCCTTCCCTCATCCATCCAATCCAATCCAATCCCACCACCCTCCACCATGTCCAGCCACCCGCATTCGCTCGCATCTGCAGTCGCGCATCGGCAGGTCGCCCGACGCGGCAAACCGCACATCCAGCAAGGAACAGCGGGTGTGCTCCATATCGCACTCACTCAGCAGGAGTGAGAAACAGAAACCGGCAGCTGACCAAAACAGGCAGACAGACAGACAGACAGACAACAGACAGTGGACGAAGCAGGAAGGAAAAAGGGAAAAAGGAAACGCCCACGCGCTATATCTGCCCCTCTTTTACATTCGCGCGCCCATATGCAAGGAAAAGAAACGGTGAAGCGGGGAGGTATGGCAGGTGGAGTAATAGCAGCAGCGGACGCTGCAGCAGGGAGGGGGAAAGAGTGGGACTGGGGGAGCGGTGATGCTGTGACTGGGACTGGGGGAGCGGTGATGGTGCTGCTATTGCTGCTTCTCCGTACCATGACCGCTACCTTCGTCGGTGTGAATAAAAGACTTTTAGTACGTGAGTTAATGGGAGGGGTATTCGGGTGATATGCGTACTGGCGGTCATAAAGGTGAGGGGGATCGACGACCGCAAAAAACCCAAGCACGACCGCAAAACAGAAAGAAAAAATAAAACAACAATACCACAGGAAACGTGCCGGCTTCTATGCCAATTCTTCTTTTTCTGAACAAAATGAACTAGGGGAATCTTCCTTGCGAACCTGAATACTGAATCCTTTTATCGCTCCGGCTCCGTGTTTGATACTCCGTGCTTGATAATTGATACACTTTCACCCTCTGCGGGTCATTGCCCACTCCTCGGTCGGGCTCCCGGCTTTGGGTACTAGGCGCTTTCGCCTATGTGGAAGGTTCCGGGATGAGCGAGGTCGAGCGATCGTCACCGTCCGAGTCGAGGGCCTGCGACTTGTCGTCCTCGTCCTCGTCCTCGTCCTTGTCCTCGTCCCTCATCCGCTTTCTTGTCCTTGGCGTTGCTGTGCCATAGCTATCGCCAGCATCATTGCCATTTCTAGGGGAGCAATGATTAGCTCAAAGTATGAGTGATTCACAGCGTACTCTCGACCTAAACCAGAAAACAAGAAACAACGCATTAAACTTGGAATTATTCGTCATTTTCATACTCTGATCTCTCGTGCTTGGGCCCATCTTTGCGAATCGGTATCTTGATTCCTTGCGTCGCAAAGCATTTGCTGAGCACAGTGCTCTCGATCACGCCCGGGAACTTCTTGGCGCTGTACACTTGGAAGGGTTCGCTAAAGGTCGACGCGAGAACCGACGCCTTGCCCGTGTTGAGAGAGTTGGTGCCGTTACCAGCACCCACGTCGACAAAGTTCATCTTGAGGCTGTAACCGTGTCAGCTCAAACATACACAGCAATACAACACAAACTCACCGGAACATGCCCTCGGTGCGCACCGAGAGATCTTGCAGCACAAACCAAAACCCGGGACGGCCATGAGGATCTTGCAGGCGAAAGGCATTGACGCTTAAACTACCAATGAGGTTACGAGTAAACATGCCAGTCGCGCTGGCGGGCGCAGCAGGCACTGGAGGCATCACCGCCATATTTTGAGCACCCATACTTTGACTGGCCGTCATGGCATAGCCGGGCGGGGCGATGGCCTGAGGATAATTCTGATATTGAATGGCTTGCGGAGTGACGGGACCCGTAGGTCCATGCGGATAATACCCGCCCATCTGGGTCAAGGGCGGCCCGGCGGACATGCCATATTGCGGGACGGGAGCAGAGTAGGATCCGCGCATCTGGTTGACGGCATACGGGCCGGGATCTTGCCAGGGACGGTCGACGGTTGGCGGAAACGAGGTCAAAGTGCTGGTCGAAATGGATACGGTGGGGGCGCCCGACGAGGCGCGTACGAGGTTGACCTCGTTCATGCCGTCCATGGACCACAGATCGACGGTGAGGACGAAGAAGGTGGAATCGACCTCTCTGCGACACCTGTTAAGCAAGGCCACGAGGCGCCAAGTTGGACTTACTCGTAGGGTATCTCCTTGTTGGTCTGGGCATCGATGACGATCAGGCGCACGCAGGGAGGCGGGGTGATGGGGCGACGGTCCTGGAGGGAGCTCAGCAATTGTCAAACATGAGCGAGGGCGTTTTGGGGGTACCTTGTCGCCGAAGCCGCACATGCGCGCGCGGACGGGCTGCTGCTCGACCGACAACGAGTAGCGGCGGCCATCTTTTGTATGGCTGACGCCTATCAGATGATCGGTCCGCTGCTGGGGCTGGGGAGGAGGCTGTTGTTGTTGCTGCTGCTGCTGCTGCTGCTGCTGCTGCTGCTGCTGCTGGGGCGGCGGGTGGTAGTCCTGGGTTGGAGGCATGGCGGCGTACATGTTGGCCTGGGACGAGGGCGAGGGGTCGGGGTAGGCGACGCCGGGCGGTATGGGGCGAGGGAAGTCGTGTCGCGCGTGCATTTTTGGTCGTGGTGGAATTGCAGGTGGAAGACAAAGTCGCGGTCGGGGGGCCTACTCGAAGCTCTTATCCATGGCGCGCGCCGTGTCGCACGGCGCGGCTGGGCTGGGGTGCGGGTAGAGTACCGTGGGCGTCGCAGGCGGGGACGAGGCTGCTAGCGGCGGGAGCCTGACTCGCCACTCTCTCCGCCTTCAGTCTTGCTTTTATTGCTACACACTATCTACGGTTGCCCTCACCCAAAGTGGAACAGCGTCTGCTTCTTGTTCTTGTTGCCCTTTTTCTTGCCGCCTGCCACGTTGCCGCCCACAGAGTCGCCCGCCTCGAACGGCTCGCCCACACCGCTTCCACCACTCCCTCCTCCACCTGCCCCCGCCCACGCGTTGGGCGTGCTGGCGCCGCTGTTGACGTTGCGCACCACCCGCCCGTTATACCCCGGGCTGAAGATTGTCGTCGTCGGCTTGGCTGCAGCCGGAAGAGCCGGGAAGGCGTCTGCGCCCGCCGGGGCCTTGCTCTTGGCAAGCGACGTCGCAGATGCCACGCGAGACGGTCCCGGCGACGCCGCTGCCGACGAAGACGCCCACGGGCTGTTGCTGCCGCTGCCTCCGCCTCCGCCCGTGCGCCGTCCCCCCGATCCCGTAGCTGCCGACAGAGGCGGGAACAGACTGTTGTTGCCCGTCGCGCCCCAGCTGCCCTGCTTGCTGACCGACGACCGTGATGACTGCGCCGTCGAACTCTTCAGCTTGAGCACTCGCGACCCACCGGCCCCCAATGCAGACGCCGCAGTGTTGGCCGGCACGCCGCTAGGACCGGGGAGCGACGGATAATCCTCATTGATGGCCTTCCAATCACTCCAAGCCTTGAGCAGATTGTCGCGCTTGGCAGCAATCTCGAAGATGTCGGCGAGCTCCTTGATCAACTTGCCCAGTTCAGCCGAACTCGTGTCAAACAACGAAAAAAACGTATCGACAAGCTCGGGCGCCGTGATGCCCCCGTTCTTGTACGACGAGATTTTCGAGCGGAACTCTGCCAGCTTCTTCTGATCATTCCGGAGCAAGTTCGATGCTCTCTCCGTAACCGCACTGTGCCGCAGCCTCCTGGCCTGCTCTTGCGGTGTGAGTGTGACGCTGCTTGGGGCTGGCGAAGTAGATTGTCCACTCGCATTGCCGCCAAGTGCAGGGAAGGGGTCAACCGGACGCGGTGCCGTTACCGTCGCGGGTTCCTGTGCTCTGGCAGGCGGTCTGGCGGCGAAGGCCTCGGTAGAGGTGAGCTGTCCGCCAAATGTCCTCGTCGTGACTGACTGTGAACTCTGAATCGCCATCTGTCTCTGATATGCAATCTCGTCTCTGCGCATTGGCTGAGCAGATGACACCGGTAAAGGCTCCGCATTCGGGTCGCGTCCTCTACCACGGCCACGGCCCTCCCGTCTTCCTCCACGATCCGGCTCGTGCGGTGTGCGGTAGTTGAAGCCCGAGATGTCCACACGACGAGCATCGCGTCGAGCGTCCTTGGTGAGTCCATTAGGATGAGCTTCAAGCTGGTGGGCCTTCAGATCCATCTCGGATTCGAATACGACAAACTTCTTCTCCAAACACTCTTGATCCGGGCACACAAAGTGGTCCTTCTTGAAGTGAAGCTCCAGAGCATTGTAATCAACGTAGTACTGTGGCTGCCGACCTCCGCTACGGCGATCGCAAATGTGACATCTCTCGTGCTTGTCGCGGCAATGGGTGTAGAGCTCGTCATCACCGTAGAAGCGCTGACGGCAGAATCCACACTCCGGGTGACCCTTGAAACCGCTCTGGTCTATCGCGCCGGGGTTGTCGTCTCCGTACTTTTCGTGCTTGCGTAGCTCGGCCACAGTAAAAAGCTCATGCTCGTGAGTGAAGACTTTCTTGTTCCTCGTGCAAAGGTCGCTACAAAATTAGCATATCCCCAAACCAAAGAATAAAGTACTCACCACATGACCTTGTGATGTACGCTCTTGGTATGCCTGTGTAGGTCCGGCCAGCCCAAGCACGCAACATCGCAAGTCTCATCCGGACAGTTGTAGCGCAGCAGCAAGACGGTGTCGTCGCAAATCTCTGCCTTCTCGTACTTGATACCCAAATTCGAATCCGTGCTAGCAATATCGGTACTGGCATAATCCTCAAATCGCTTGTTGGCATCGTCGGTGAAGACGACATAATCGGCGCTGGTCTAGAAGCCCGTCAGCAATCGTGGCGCACTCACTCACACTCACGAGTGACTCACCCTGCAGTGCGCGCAAGCCTTGGTCTTGTAGAGCGCTCTCAGTCGCAGCGAACAAATGTGGCAGGTCCGGTGATTGCAAGGTGCCACCGACTGGTGAACGACAGCCGACGCGCAAATGAAGCAGACTTCAGCTTCGACGTCCTCATCGTCGGCGACAGGCAGCTTTCCCTTTGGTACTGTAGGACCACCATCTTCGGTAAGAGTGGCACCAAAGCCTCGGCCAGCTGGAGCAGCTCTGGCGGAACCATCGCCGTCTTGGGCACCGTCGCGCCCGCCACGATTGCCGCGACCTCCTCGTCCTCCGCGACGACCTCCCTTGCCACCTCTGTCGCCTCCCGCACCATCGTTCGCGTTCCTGTTGGCATTCCGGTTGGCGTTCTGATTTCCTCCTCTACCACGTCCCCTGCGCGCAGAGCTGTCGACGGACTGGTCGTTGGCGGACATGACGGACGTCGATTCGGGCTATGCAGCAATTGTCGGCGCAGGCGTTCAAGGGCAGGCGACCCTGCGCGAAGTGAATTGTGTTGTTGTTGAGGCGGCGGCGGGACGTTGGTGGTGCAGGTGAGGGGGAACAATGAATTTTGACGGGGCCAAATATCAAAAGGGCGATGACGCGGGGTGATTCATCTGAGCCCAGCGAGCGCCGGCGCCGATCGCGACCCTTGTCCTACGCGATCCCTCCCGCCGCTTCAATCCAGCTACGTAGATTTAGTTAGTTACATCCTAATCATCTCACACCTCCGCGCTCGCTGCACACTTCCACCCCGCTCCCCGGCTCTGTTTGCGCCGCGCTGTCATTCCTTCATCCCGCGCAGACGCTGCTAGCCCACCATGCGCACGTCAGTCTTGCCGCCCCTCTCTCCCTACCCGACTGACCGTCGCAGCATCCGGCGCAATGCTCTCGAAAAGCTGGCGTCGCTGTCGGCCAAGTCGCCCATGCCTGCGACCGGCCAGTCCGACTTGACCAAACTCTACCGGCTATGCCCCCCTAATGTAGACGGTCGTGGGGCCTCCCGAGTTCCCATGGTGCGCTTCCCCTTCCGGTCCCGGCCGCCCACCCGCTGACTCTACCCAGAGTGTCCCGGAGCTCGAAACCCTCCTTGCTCTCTGCAAAGCCGCCCCCTTCGTCGCCGAAGTTGGTACGGCAGAGCAACTTCTAGGCCAACTCACCCCCTATCTACCAGAATCCCACGCCCAGGCCATAGCCCCGTCGCCTTTCCTCCGCGACCTTGACCCCTCGCCATGGGAGATCCTCACGCGCAGCCTTACCTTTGCCATATTGTCTCTGGGCATCAAGCACTCGGCCCTGAAACGCGCAGCCAGCGAGGCGATCAAGAATTATGTGCAGGAGTGGTCGCAGGACGCTGCGTCTGTGGCTTCGGAGCAGTTGAGAGGGGAAGAAGCGGAGAACACCGACGGAGACATTGGCCGTGTCCTCGCGCTGTCAATGTCCATGATGGGCTTCCTGACCGCTGCGGCCGAGGGCGCCTCTTTTTGGCAGCCCGCTGATATGCTTGAGCTAATCCAAACTCTGCGCGAATCCCTCTCCGAAGGATTCATGGTAGCACTGGAAGCATCCATCTCAAACGTACTTTACGGAAATGCCGCCAAACGAGCTCTGAGAGATTGGCGTCGTTACACTAAGCACTACGCTGCGATTGGACGACCGTTGGGCGCAATGCTCCTCCAGCACGGCTACATGCGCCTCGTAGTCTCCTGCACTGCCGTCGTCGCCGCACCAGCCGATGCTCCTTCAGGAAAGTCCGTGCTGGACAGCCTCCAGCAATCCGAGGAACCGTTAAAGAAACCTCTGGATATGGCCACCGAATCGCTTCTCTCTTGCGTCGCCGGCGTGGCCGAAGACGAGATGGATAGACTCCACGCTGACTCCGAATACGTCAAACGCGTGGGAACCGTCTGGCAGCAACACTTGGCTCACGTAGTAATGGCCGATGCCCTAACCACCTATCTTTGCTGCGCTGTTCTCAGCGAGGAGGTAGCTGACGCCGAGAAACTGCTCGAGTGGCTGGAATCAACCTTGTCCGACGACATCCTTGCTGCCGACGAGAGCCTGGCTTCCACCGTCTTGAAGAGCTTGTCTGTCTTGGGCAAATCGTCTCCTACAACGGCCTCCCACCTTAGCCGCTCCCTGCCTAGGGTCATTGTTCAAGGTGGACTCAAGGAAGGAATATCCGCTGTTGCTGCAGAGTGCCTGGCCAGCGTCCTCATGCTTCTGCCGCAGGATGCCGTGATCACCACCTTGTACAGTCTTGGCAACGTCCTTAGTGGCAGAACAGCCCCGGAGCGGACGGGAACCAACCTTTCCACCCATGCAAACGGTACCGTAAAAGGCGGCTTGCAGACTCAACAAACAGGCGGAAGCATGATCTCCTTAGCTCCTGCTGACGTGGACGAGCCATCCCACGTCTATTCCACGGTCATCCAGACCATCGTAGGAGTCGCTTGCCGCTGCAAGGATCAGAAGATTTCTGAGCTGGCCTTGTCTATGCTCGTTCAGAAGATCGGAAGGGTCAGCATTTCCGTAGACGCAAAGCTTATCACCGAAGTTGCTCTCCTTGGCGCGCACACGGGCGCTGGTGAATTGAGGGCGCTTCTCAAGCTGTACTCGAAGCTCGCAAGGGAGGCCATTGTTCAAGACAACCAGACGCTGCTCGACGCTGTGCGAAAAGGCCGGTCTCATCTGTCAATGGAATTCAAGGTTGGCCAGCCTTCGTTCGATGTCTACTTGCAGTATATGCTCGATGACATCGTCAGCAAGGGCGACGTGCATGGCGCCGAAGCCTCGCAATTGGCTGATGCTGAAGTGGCCGCTCAAGAAATTGCTCAGCTACTGGGACCCCTGGCTATTCTCGCTTCCACCAACGCGGCAGTCTCCAACAGGTATCCCGATGACGAGGCCTTTATCAACTTGCAGCGCGATGCTTGGTTCAACGTAGCCGTGCACGGATTCAGCCTGACGTCGCCGTTGGGCAAGAAGCACTTGAACGAGCTTCGCATCCTGGCGCGGTACAGCCGACCCCTGGTCGCTGAGAGCCGCACGGATTTGCGTGAGAGTGATGTCGAGCTCAACACGGTTCTCAGGCGCGGCAAGAATGCTGAGCACATTGTCGAGCAAAAGCGTCGTCTGATGGAGCTTCTTCCCGCTTGCGAAGGCGACATCAAATCATTGAGCTACCCCGAGGTTATTTTCCTGAACACGGTCCACCTTGTCGAAGGACTTCGTGCGAGCGCTGGAGACTGCACCAAGACGCTGGCGTACTTTCTGGACCCCAAGCTGCGCGGCAAGGAGATGGGTAACTGCATGGTCGCCATTGCCGAAGCAGGTGTCCGTTCATACCTGGCGAAGACGGTTGCAGGTGGATTTGAATCTTTCTCTGCGCCGTATGTTGCTCGGCAGCTCGCGATCATTTTCACGGGCTGTTGTCACAGGATCGCGCAAGCCCAGAGAGTGGCCATACTGTGCGCTGACCTCATCATCAGACAAGTTCCGTCGGCTCTCTGCCAAAGGACATCTTTGTTTGCGCTCCTGGAGCTCCTGACTATGATGTGGGCCGGTTGTCTCGAACGTGACATTGACGAATACATCTGGACTTCCACCTTCAAGTCGCCGCGGGAGGATATTACTCTTGAGCTGTCTGATGACTATGAATTCCGTCGCAGGACTTTGATCCAGCTTCAGAACAGAGCAAGGGTGTGGGTGCTGAGTGTTATGGATATCGCTCCTCTCGACATCAAGGGTTTGCTGCAGACCTACCTGTCCGAGTATGATGACGATGGCGCTTATGGCCATGTTTCTCTTGGAAGGTCTTTTGCTCTGGAGATGGGCTCGGTCATTCCTTCAACGGATCAGCGCTTGGGCGCCATTGACAAGGAACAGGAGTTGAACATCAACACCGCATCGGACTTTATCGCGCAATACACGAACCGCCAAGAGTATCGGTACGTCGAAGCTATTGGTGACCACAACGAAGAATGGTTGCGCTTCGGAAATGGTGCGGATCCTCTCATGCGCAGGAGCGTTGGGAGCGGCCGCAGTATGGAAGATGCCAGGGCAGTTCTCGCAGACATGGAGCAGCGCACTCTTAGCCGCAAACATGTCTCTATCGCCGAGCTTCGCGATGTCCTTCGGAGAGCCGCAGCTCTTCTCTGCCGGAGCCAGAGCGACGAGTGTGCCATTGTCCATCACATTGTCGGTATCCCGTTCGCCGTCTTCAACAAGCAATCAATCAAGCTGGGCATCTCCCTGTGGATGAGCATTATCAAGGAGAACCCACGGATGGAGTCGAGGATTCTCGTCGAGATTGCGGAGAACTTTGAAAAGTCCGTCCGCAAGAGGATGGGCCTGTTCCACGAATCGTTCCGTCACCTCGACCCCTTCTACATCAAGCAGGAATTCGCTCCCTCTGATCGCGCGATGAACCAGAAGCGCCAGCAGCAAGCCTACAACCTGATTGCCCCACACTTCCGCTTACTGCAATTCCTCGAGAGCCACTTTAGCGCCACCCGCCTCGGAAGTCAGCACGTTGAGGGAGTGTACCACCGTCTCATGCACATTACGCTGGCTGCCATGAGCCACACCACCAACCATCCCTTGACCCGAGAGGCTCACTACCACGTTGTGCTTCTCGGCCTGCGCATCCTGCAGTACAGCACCGGCTCAAACTCGGCCGCGCAGTGGAGACTCAAGGACAGGATCCTTTCGGCTGCTCTCGCTTGGTTCAAGTTGAGACCGAGGTGGTCTTACGGTGGCAACCGTTTGCAGATCAAGGCGGAGACTCAACTCCTCATTGACATCCAGACCGCTCTGCAAAACGTCGCTGCAGTCGGCCTCCACGCTCAGGGATCTCGAAAGAGTCTGCAGGGCAAGCAGGAACTGCTTTTGCTGCTGCTTGCCACTGAACACACTCACTTGATGGTGTGGCTCTACCCGCTCAACCAGAACAAGAGGCTCGATTACATGCCTGGCGACACAGGCAAGCAGCCGAGCGATGCCGTCCTGTTTACACACTTGAAGACTGCTTGGTCGGAGCACCCGCATTTGGCTATCCAACTGGCCAATCGATTCAAGTCTCCCAAGATTACCAGCGAAGTCAGGTGGTTGGTAGTCAACTTCCCGGAGAGGGTTATCGACGATCCGGATGCCCTGGAAATCATGCTGGGTCCATCTATTCCCCACGATGTTTCGTGGCAGCTCAAGGTAAGCCATCTCAACATTAGAGAAGAACCAATCTAACAACAACAGTTTTTGATGTACTGGGCTCCGGTCAACCCCATCACTGCCGTCACGTACTTCTTGCCCGCGTACGGCAACCACCCCTTCATCATTCAGTACGCGATGAGAGCTTTGGAGAGCCATTCTGTGGACATCACGTTCTTTTACGTGCCACAGATTGTGCAGACGCTTCGTTACGACGTGCTTGGTTACGTCGAGCGTTATATCATTGAGACGGCCAAGTTTTCGCAGCTCTTTGCTCACCAAATCATCTGGAATATGAAGGCCAACGCGTTCAAGGATGAAGATTCGCAAATTGTAAGTTTCCCAATCGTTTGAGATAACAAAACTAACACCATCTAGCCGGATCCGGTCAAGCCTACGCTGGATGAAGTCATGAACGCCCTCGAGACTAGCTTCAGCCCCGAAGACCGTGAATTCTACGACCGCGAATTCTCTTTCTTCAACGAAGTTACTGGTATTTCCGGAAAGCTCAAGCCGTTTATCAAGAAGAGCAAGCCGGAGAAGAAGCAAAAGATTGAAGAGGAACTTCGCAACATTAAGGTCGAGGTTGGCGTTTACCTGCCCAGTAACCCCGATGGTGTCGTCGTTGGCATCGACCGTAAATCCGGAAAGCCTCTTCAATCTCACGCCAAGGCCCCTTACATGGCAACCTTCAGGATCCGCAAGGAAAAGAACGACATTGGATCTCGGGACGAGCAGATGGAGGAGGTCATGGAAGACGGCGACAAGGAAAACACGTACGAGGTGTGGCAGTCGGCTATTTTCAAGGTCGGAGACGATTGTCGCCAGGACGTTCTCGCCTTACAGATGATCGCGGCCTTCCGCGGAATCTTCAACGACATCGGCCTCGATGTCTTTGTATACCCCTACCGTGTCACGGCCACGGCGCCCGGCTGCGGTGTCATTGACGTGCTGCCGAACTCGATCTCGCGCGACATGCTGGGTCGTGAAGCCGTCAACGGACTGTACGACTACTTCGTCTCCAAGTACGGCGGCGAGGACTCGATCCGCTTCCAAGAAGCGCGCAACAACTTCGTCAAGTCAATGGCGGCGTACAGCATAATCTCGTACCTGCTGCAATTCAAAGACCGACACAACGGCAACATCATGATCGACGACGCGGGCCATATTCTGCACATCGATTTCGGTTTCTGCTTCGACATCGCGCCAGGCGGCATCAAGTTCGAGCGGGCGCCGTTCAAGCTGACGCAGGAGATGGTGGCGGTCATGGGCGGGTCGACGGACTCGCAGCCATACCACTGGTTCGAGGAGCTGTGCATCAAGGCGTTCTTGGCGGCGCGGCAGCACTGCGAGCACCTGGCGCACCTGGTCATTGTGATGCTGGACAGCGGGCTGCCGTGCTTCAAGCCCGAGACGGTGCAGCATTTCCGCGAGCGCTTCGTGCTGGACAAGACGGAGCGCGAGGCGGCTGAGTTCATGCGCTTCTTGATCAAGAAGAGCTATAACAGCTTGTCGACGGGCCAGTACGATCGATTCCAGTTGCTGACGAACGGTATTCCGTATTAGTTGTGGTGCTGTTGTGGTTGTGGGGGTTGGGGAAGAGAAGGGTGTTGGGTGCTGGGGTTCTGTGCGGTTTGTTTAATTGTAGTATAGTTTAATTGTTTTTCTTCTGCTGAACAAGCATGGCTGGTGATGGTGTGAGTTGCGTCGACCTGCATCCTCTGGTCCTGTGGTGTTAACTGTAACTCCGCTCGGTATGATGATGATGATGATGATTTTCTTGGACGGATAATATCGTGGAGGCGCAACGTCAAGTCCCCGTTCTACGCGGCTTGTAGAATCAGGGTGTGTAATAGCTCAGCCAGAGACAGGCGCGTAACAGCACTACGTAAAAAACACAACTGCTCAATTAACTAGTCCCAAATGCATAAAGATGCGAGATGCCGCCTGTTCTTTAAGATTGCTTCGTAGCGAGTACACATATGCCGAGAAGGAGGTCCGAAAGGGGTAGGTTTTAGACCTCACATTCAAGAATGGCCCCGAATATTTTGTCCATCTCTCAACTACATATCAAATAAAATCCACTCTACCTGCAAAGTACTCCTTAGACAGTTATAAACAACAAACCATTACGTTCCATCTAGTAGGCACTATATAGCTATATAAAGATAGAAAGATGCTATACTATATATAAGTATAAACAATATACGAAAATATAAAGTATATATTGATAGTAACCTTAGAGTTATATTCACTATATCTACGACCAACCTACCTAGCCGCTACTCCGTGCCATTACAGTACAAGCCAAGCCAAACCATCCACCCACATAGGTAAGCCTATTACCCCAAACCCGCCAAATCCCACACAGCATACCCAACTCCCCGACCTCCTGTCTCACTCACCCACCCACCCACCCCTGTCTCACTCCCGAACGCCAACGCCCCCGCCCAACCGCCACCGCCACGCGCGCCTTACTGCGTACAAATCCACTTAAACGGCCAACGACGCGTGCCTGCGTGTCTCAGCCATCGCATGCGACGGCGGCTGTGGTTACGCGGCATGACGCGCGGTTTTATGTGGGTGGTACGCACGAGACGAACTGTAAATGGGAAAGGGTGGAGATGGTAGCGAGGTGGTGGTAGAAGTGGTGTAGGAACAAAAATACGTGTGAAGGATATTCACATTCTATTCGTACTTAGGCAGTAATTATTATTATCTATTTTCATCCTTCATAACTGTCTGGCTGCCTGCTCAGTGCGTATCTGCTTGCAATACAAGACAGGCAAGGCGGAGACAGACAGGCACATAGGTACATACAAACGTAAACGTACTGTACGTAGAAGGGTAGTAAACTTGTAGACGCAAACAAACAAACCCCGCATTACTCGCGCGAGGATATACATGTGTGCATGACCTCTTGAAACGACTCAAAGAATCAATCAATCAATCAATCAATTACTCTTCCTCCCACCCCATCGCCCTCTCAGTCTCACTGCTCTCCTTCCTCCTCCACCCCTCCCTCACCTCACGGCCGTATAATCCATCAGGCACAAACACCGAAAAATAGGTAAGAAGCAAAGAAGACGCAAATCGGCGCAAAAAAAGAGACAAAAACAGGAAAAAGAAAAACTTCCATAAAACGCCCTTAATCGCTGTTTAACAAAAAACCCAATCGCTCCATTTTTTTCACTCGCGGGAAAAGCTCAGAAAAAGAAGAAAGAAGAAGGTAACGCACAAACGACGGAAAACAATGAGGAAAGGAAAAAAAGCTCTTGTGCCGAACAGAACTGATCTCAATCACCTCTCCCGCCGCACGTGAGGCATCAATCGCTTTAAGAGGAAAAACCGAGAAAATATGCATCATACTCCGCTTGCCGCTGTGCACACAGAAGCAAGCAAGCCATGCAGTGGTAACTTGGTGTCAGGAGAAATGCATGTGCATCAGCAGCAACGAAAACAACAGCTGCGCGGCCGGTGTACGCGTACGCAGCATTATCGAGGGGTAGCCCATGCGCACTACCGCCAAATGTATATCCGCTCCAGGTAGATATCGTGTTGCGTACGCGTTGATGCCGCGGCCGGATGCGAGGTCCGTTAGTTTGAGTCTAAATGCCGGATCCCCACGTACGTCATGGCGTGGTGCGGATCGCGAGCCGAGCCGTGGTTACGCTTGACCCCTTGCTATTTGTTGTTTGCGGCTGCTGCTGCTGCCGCCGCTGTTTGTTGTTGCCGTATGCTCTTTCGTCGATTTCCAGCGTAAAGGATGGGTGTACGTGTATTTGTGGTCGGGTGAAGACGCAGATCTCGTTTCGCGACAGCGTTATAAGTACGGGAACAAAAAATCGGGCGACTGGGACGTGTAGGAGAAAACTTTCTATGGGTATCATGTCGCATTGCTGAGTGTTGTCGATGCATCAAGCTCACGAGTTGTACCACGGGCTCTCCGGGTACGATTCGAGCAGCAGGAACGTCTCGTACGGCATGCCGCGCGGAATCAACCGCTGGCCCGACGTCGACCGCGGGATCGTGTGCGTCTTTTCCTTCTCGGCGCTCTTGTTGGGGTTAGCGTCGGCCTTTCCGCGCTCCTTGGCCTTTTCCAGCTCCTTTGCCTTTTCGAGCTCCTTCGCCTTCTCGCGCTCCTTCGCGTCTTCCTTTTCCTTGGCTTCTTCACGCTGCTTGGCCTTCTTCAGGTCCTTCTCCGTCTGCTCGACGAGATCGGCCTCGGTGATGTAATAGTCGGGCTCGAAGCTGACTTCTCTCCAGGCGGCGAAGAGCTTGCGCCAGTAGCACGCCTGGGCGGCCGGAGTGAGGTAGCGGTCGCGGAAGGTCTTGACGCTATTGTCGGCGATGCGTTTCGCCTCATCGAGGTGCTCGAGGTAGTACTCCATCTTCCATTGCATGTCCGAGAAGTTGCGCTCGACCTGAATAAAGTTTTGCTCCGGGCCGGACGGGATCAGCAGGTCGTGGAAGTTTTCGGCCCAGTGAAGCTTGTGGATGACGGTGAGCGAGTGGCAGTTCAAAAGGTACTTGAGGCGGCCAGAGTAGGTGTGGCCCTCGGTGTGCACCGGGAACAGGTACTTGCAGTGCTTCGACATGGGAACCAGATTCTTGGGACCCTTCGGGCCATCGTCGCCGCCCCATTTGATCTCTTCAACGTCGGCCCAGGACTTGCCCTTGGACACTTTCAGAAGGTCGGAGCGGACGGCAACCGGACCGGCGGGCGACTTGGCGCCTCTCCAGATGGCGCGCTTGTCCTTTTGATCGAATGGGATCTCATCCTGCTCGATGGCCTTGAGAAGGGCGTTGTACTCGCCGGCGGGACCCTCCCAGCTGTAGAAGCCAAAGTCGGGCATCAACCAGAGGTTCTCGTTCTGCGGCTCGCGAGTCAAGGCCCAGGTCGTGGCCTGCGTCTCGTTGCCGTAGGTCGCAAAGTAGGCGCCATCGTCGACGACAAAAGAAAACTCGACGTTGGGAATGTGGCCGGGATAGGCCGTAATGGCACGCTGGATAGACTGGAGAACGCCGATTGCACGCTGGCGATAGTCGCGTCTGCGGACGCCGCGCGCGCCCAGGATGTAAAGCTACCGGGGACAGACACGTCAGCCAACGCAGCAGGCGATGCGGGGATTCAATTGGGCTTGCTCACCTGGCGGTCATAAATCATAGCCCTCACGATGCCGTCAATCTTCCAGCCAATGTCGAGATCGTCGGGCTTGATGTTGCCGACCTTCTTGCGGTGGGCGACGGAGCGGTTGAGCTCGCTCCACAGCTTGGGGAAGGCGGCATCGCACTGCTCGGGCGAGAGACCATAGTTTTTCGAGTCGCGTTTAGTGTCAAATTCCCAGCCGTCGGCGGGCGAGGACTGCTTGCCGCCGGGGGTGGAGGTGTAGGTGAAGGGCACGGGATCGGCGGCGCGCGACGAGTAGGTGGTGTAGCCGAGCAGCAGGAAAAGTATAAGGGTGACGCCGGCAAGGCCTGCTGCCCTCTGGGAGGAGAGGAGGGGCAACATGGCAAGCTTGGGGGAGAGGGAAAATAGCGAGAGTGGGAGGAGGTCGAGAGAGAGAAGGAAGGTGAGAGGGTTACGGGCGGAGGGCGGCGGCGGACAACGGTATTATTATTTAGGAGGGACAGCAGGCAGACGGGCAGACAACAGCAGCTCCGGAGCCCCCATGGCCGCGCCGGCGACTTGGCCTGAAATTGCCAGCCGTCGACGCTAAGCCCTGCGCTCAAGGATATAATTATCGCGCGCCAACCATTAAAGGAGCACATAGATTACCGACTAAGCTAGCGAGTACGACGGGAATGCCACAGCCCCTGACCAGTGGTGATAGCGTGCCGCCATGGCGCAGGGTCAAAGAGTCCAGAGGTTAGTTTGCCTCTGTCCAATTTCTAGCAGAACCCCTTATCTCAAGACAGAGTCGGTTGCGATTGCGCGTGCGGGTGACGACTTGCTCCAGACTTTTCGACCAACCTGAGGCAGCTGTGGGGGTGCTCGGGCAGATCCTTTGCGAACCTTGGGCTTGGCGCGTTGCATCTGCCTACCACTCGTACGAAGACAGCCATCAGGCCATTGCTTCCATCGTGTCAGACGTGGCTTCATCTGTTCACGACCGTTCCAGTCTCGCAAAGTCGCGCTCGTCCCTACTGTTGTATCGTTCCGTCTAATCTATGACACCCCCGCATTTTCGCACGGCTTGTACCCAAAGCCAAGCCGTCTTGTCTCTCGTCCCTGCAGGCGTCGGCTTACTACTAGCCTCGTACGTGACTACCACCATGACACTCACCAATTGCCGAAGCACTCTTCATCCGAGATTGGTCGTCGTCCCCGCAGGCTCCAAGTTACAATAACACGCCTATATGATTGACCGATCACCCCCGGAGCGAGAAGGCCGAAATCGAAGATCGCACCCACCACGTCAGTTCTTGGCCACTCTTGGATTTGTTTTTGTTTTGCCTCCCCACCTCTAGGAATTCCTGCCCTTTGTGCTCCCCCGTGCCCCCCTTCTCCTCACTTTGCCGTCCGTCGCACAATCGATACCTAGCTTCTTTCGTCCCGGTGGGGCGGTCCCCGATCACTTACTAACTCCCTTCGTGACCCCCCCTCATCTGTCAGCCGACAACACCCACTACTACGTACATCCAACTCGCCAACCCAAGACCAACATCTCAATCAGCAAACTTGGGCTTCTCAGCCCTAAAGATGAGCATAGACCCTACAACCCTTGTCTCAACCATCTTAAAATTCTGCCTTAGCGCATTCTCAAAGTCGTACGCATTGTCTTCTCTATTGTAGAAGAAGCCCCGCCGCAAGTACTGTTCTCGGTAAAATGCCGCAATGTAGCTATCCTTACGCCCTTGCCCAGCATAGTGGCTCCATGAACAACATCGTCAGGCGTCATAACATGCCTCAGCCGCTCAAAGATACGGCACTTTTCGAGCACGGGCGCGCGGGCGCAGTGCAGCAAATAGTACATAGAGACGGAGTCAAAACGGGCTCCATTAAGTTCCAGCGGGTCGAGAATATCCGCACAGACGGTGCGGGCGTCCGGGCGCTGCGACCGCTGCCGCGCCAGTTCCAGCGGCTCGCGTTCAATGCCCATCAGCGTTAGTTGCGTCGTTGGAGGGATCCTCGCGTTGCGCAGGTACAATAGTAGCCCGTCCCGACGCCGATGTCGAGGTGGTTCGCGCCCACGTTGGCTCGAAACTGTGGGAGTAGGTAGCTGCTTATGCTGCAGCCGAAAACCCAGTAGCTGGAGAACCAGAGAACCCAGACATCGTATAGGGCAAGGTACCAGGCAGGGTAGTACGTTGCTGAGTGAGACTGGTCGTGTGTGGGACCGTTTGTGGGGGTGGTGTCTCTCATTTTGGACTTGGGATTGGAGGCGCTCAGGCTGGGGCTGGCTGCTGACGCGGGGCTTTGAAAAAAAGATTGGTGTCGCTGGAAGTGTACTCTATAGACACACTTTCCTTCCTACTTCTACGGCTTCTTATATCCACAGTACGTTCAAAAGGTAACGAAAGATCCCGCTCATGGCTTGAAGAACATCCCGAAGCTCATCAGTTCAGCTACCGAAGAGTTAAGCTCGTGGCGCATCTGGGAGAGAAGAAACAAGAAATTAACCATCATGAGCTTGACGGTGGCTAAAGGCCGCATTGGTGTGGGCAAATAATGTAACGACTCTGGCACGTCTGGTCGTCACGCCCAGCGACCCTTGCGTCGGGTTCCCGTCCCCAACCCAGGATCCGCGCCACATTTTGTCATCACACGCAAAAGGAAATGATGGCAGGTGGCGTGGCAGGAAGCAATAATATGCAGGATGCTTTCTCAGCGCGCCGGGGGCGGAGAAGTGGAACCCTGACTCGAACCTCATTCATCACATAAATCACATAAGCTTACCCCGCAGCCGTTGACGTGATAACGAGACCGTAAGTGGGGAGGTAGCCAAGTACAAACACCCGCAACAAAATCTCACCAAGCACAACCGCAACATGGCGCAACAACTGACGCTTTTCGACCTGCCCAGCAAGGGTCGCAACGCCGCATGGTCGTATAACCCATGGAAGAGTAAGTGAGCCGCGCTCCGCCCCGCCCCGCAGCAATCTGGAACCAACAGCCGACTCACCAACCCGCCCCCAGCGCGCCTGGCGCTTAATTACAAAAACGTCGACTACAAGACCGAATGGCTTGAATATCCAGACGTAGCGCCGACGCTCAAGGCGACGGGCCTGGCGCCCAACCCCGGCGACGACGACACGCCCTACACGATCCCCGCGGTGCGCTTGCCGTCGGGCGAGGTCATCATGGACAGCGCCAAAATTGCCCCCAAGCTCGAGGAGCTGTACCCGGAGCCGTCGCTGCACCTGGACTCGGGCTATAGCGAGAAGCTGGCCCAGATCTTCCCCGAGGCCGTGGGCGCGCTGCGCTTCGTCCTGATCCCCCGTGTCCCTGGCTCGCTCCTGAACGAGCGCAGCGCCGAGTACTTCTATCGCACCCGCAAGGAGAACTTTGGTGTTCCTTTGGATGTGCTCGAGAAGGAGAGGGGTGGGGAGCAGGCGTGGGAGAAGGCGAAGGCACCACTGGAGAAGGTCGCCGCGATGCTGAAGGAGAATGACGGACCGTTCTTCTTGGGCGAGCAGGGTGAGAAGCTTACGGAAGTTGAGTTGTGCGTGTGCTGATGAAATATAGTTTGCTATGCCGACTTTGTCGTCGTCTCCGTCTTGCAATTCTGCAAGCGTATCGGCCAGGATTTATATGATCGCATCGTGGCTATTGACAAGGCTTATGACGACATCTACAAGGCTTCTGCCAAGTGGCTTGAGCGTGATGACCACTAGACGTGCGTAGAAGGGCTCTCGTAGAGATTGCCAGATTTGATATCTGGGAAGGTGGCTTACTGCTGTAGATAGACGACTGACGCAGAAATGAATAAAATGGTATGTCCAATCATTGTACAAAATGTGCAATATACGCTGCTTATACCGGATTGTACCTTATCCGATCCATGCTTACTTTCTTAGATCCTCTTCAACACAAATACCACATTGTCTCACTCTGCAAAGTTTGTAATGACCACACAACGCTTCTACCTAACTTCCTCCATCATGTTACACAAACCAACCAATTCACCCACGAAGCGCAAACCAACGAAACCACTACCACTACAAACCCTTCTCTCTCTCTCTCTCCCATCCACCCAACTCACGACCTATAGCGTCGCCCACTCCCTCCGAATAGGCTCCAACTCACCCTTCCCATAAAACCGCTCGATGATATCTGCCTGCTCGGCCAGCATGACGCGGTCCGTCTGCGTACCGATCTTGGCCAAGTCGCGCCAGCGCGCAAAGTCCGCCTCATTGCGCTTATCGCCGTGGGCGGCGATGGGGTTGGTCCAGTGGCCTGCTGTGCGTTAGCACGAGACACTCTTTTCCCGAACTCAACTCTTTGAAAAGGACTTTCTTGAAAGGGGAAGTTGGTGGAAAGGAGTGTAGCACGCACCCTTGGAGAACGCAATCAAAGTCGTGATGCGGCTCTGCGGGATATCGTAGACCCAGGAACAGACGGTCCCGGTCTCCTCGAGCCAGTTGCACTGCCACAGCTCGCCCGGACGGATGCACTGGTAGGAGCAGGTCTGGAAGTTGCGGCGGCCAGCCATGGGGCCGCCGTGGATGGCGTAGACGATGCGGTCCTGTTTTCGTAGAGGTTAGTATCAGTGACAACGTCAAGACATAAGGACGTACAGTAGTGATAAGGGTGTGTGTACGTACCTCGCACTGAATCCACATTTCATAGCGCCATTTCTCGGGCTCACGGTCCTGGTCGTCGGCCGTGTGCTTGATGTTGTAGTCGTAGATGAGGTGCACGTCCTGCAGGTCTTTGGCGAAGTGAGCGCGCGTTTCTGCGTCCATATTGTGCTTTTCAATCAAGCCGTACGAACTGAACCAATTGTAGAGATAGACAGGTCGTAGGTATAAACCAAACAGTAAGTCTCACTAACAAGTGCGATTGAGTTTGGATGCGTGTAATGATTGTCGGTAGAATGTATTGTTTAACTCGTACTGTGCGCTCCCACTCCGCAGTATATATATCCAAAAGATTCTGTGCCACACATCACCACACGCCACACGGCGTAACAGTGCCGCTCATCTCGCCTTTATCACCTGTCCCGGTGTTGATTTTCTGTGTCTCTAATGCAGAGGGTTGGGGGCGAGATCTACCTGGGGAAGGGTGTTTTTCCGAAAGACCCGAGGCCCGAGATGCCCGGGGTGTGCCGAGGTGAGCAATGTCACGGTATATCCGGATGGTGGGCAATACGGGTTTGAGGGATTTTAGGTAGGGGGTAGGTAGTGCGATGGGGGTTTATTTTGTTTTTTCTTGCTGGTGGCGATGATGATGATGGTGATGGTGATGGTGATGACGGTATATAAAACCCAACAGTGTTCCCCAGCTTCGTGGCTAAGACATATATACCTAGGTGCTTACATGCCCAAGTCCGCCTGCCTGGAGATCTAAATCAACTTGTCCAGGTGATCTAGTGTCTGCCTTGTGGTAGGGTAGGCACCCGCACGGTGGATAGGCTAGGGTAGGCACGGTGTATTGCGACTTGCAACGCAGCTTCGACTTTGTCGAATGCCAACCAATAGACGGGAGGAACGCTCAGCTGGTTGGGAAACTGTCAGAGAGAGAAAAAGAGGAGAAGAACCTAGGGAAGAAGAACAATCTGAAAGATAGCATGCAGGTTTAACAATTGTTCATTGAACAAACGTTAAATTAGAACTAACTGTCATATTATTTAGAAATATCTGACCGTTTTCATACCGTTTTAGAAGAATAAACCCATGTTGAAACCCAAAACCATTTAGTACTTATCTAGGTACCTTCTTTTTTTTAAAATCGTGTTAGAAAGATAAATCTATATTAGAATGTCGAGCTGACTACTTAGGAACCTCTTTTCTTTGTAAATCCTATACCAAAACCGCTCAAGAAATCCGTCTATGAAGTGTTTTTAGAAAAAGACTGTTTTAACTAGGAAGATACGTGTTACCTTATAACCTGTGTTGATTTCGTTTTTCTAGTAGGTTTTGAATTTGACACAGGGTCACCAACCGCCCTGGACGCTGTAAGGTAGGTAGGTTTTAACATAAGGTCTCTGAACACTTAGGACGCTGTACCTAAGGTACGATGGTGATGTGAGGTGGGATGGAGCTTGTTGAGCCCTGATGGGTACTTAGGTATAGCTAACTGAGCTATAGTAAAGTAACTGGCTGGCAGATTGACTATAACAACGTACCCCTAGTTACGCAAATGATAGAAGAAGCATCAAGTATCATTAGTTACGCATTCTAGCTACACTCAAACCCTTACTCCCTTCCCCACACCAACCTACACCACCACCGGCGCCGTCTGCGCGCTCGGCACATCCCCCTGGTGCGGCAAGCCCTTCTCCACCCGCGGGCCATACAAGCCACGAAGCTCATGCAGCCGCTCAACCGAGACATCGTTGCCACCACAAACGACGACGACGACGCGGCTATCCGGGCCCAACTTGCGTCCCAGCGCGCGCTCCAACCTCCCATCATAGCAGAGCGCGACGCTGACGCCGCACGCGGGCTCAACCATCAAGCGCTCATCGTCGGCCAAGCGCCAGCAGCCCATGGCCGCCTCTGCGTCATCGAGAACAACGCTGCGCACAGCGTCGCGCTGCGCGAGCTCGTAGGCACGGGACGCGACGCGGGTTGCGCCGAGGGATTTCGCGATCGACGTGATACCCGGAAGAGTGATGAGTTTGCCAGCGTTCAGGCTCGCGGCCAGAGAGTCGGCGCCGGCTGTCTCGACCGCAAGGACGGGGACGTCCGCCCAGCCTGCGGCGGCGAGGCCCTGCACGATGCCAATGAGGAGACCGCCGCCGCCGACGCTACAGATGATGGCGTCGGGGGCCTCGCCGTTAAGCTGAGTGTTGAGTTCGTCTACTAGCCCTGCATTGCCGGCCCAGACGGCGGCATCGTCGAACGGGGGGACGTAGACGCCTGCCGCGTCAGCGGCAAGTATGTCTTTGCGGAGATGGGCGTCTGCTTCAGCCCAGTTGGCGCCGTGGACCACGACCTCGTGGGCACCGGCTGCACGGACGCGGGCCACCATTGCAGGCGAGGTGCTGGAGGGGACGACGACGGTGGCAGGGCGGCCCATGCGGCGGGCTGCGTCGACGCAGGCGAGGCCGGCGTTGCCGCCGCTGGAGCAGTAGAAGTGCGTTTGTGTGGGGTCGGGCGCAATGGACAGCCGCGAGAGCATGTAGGCGCCTATGCCACGGGATTTGAATGAGCCGCTGGGCTGCAGGTTCTCGAGCTTGAGGAGGATTCTGCTTCTACGGTTTAGTACTGGTGGGAGTGGAGGGTGGATTTGGACGAAGTAGGAGAGTGGTGGCATAGAGGGACAGAAGAGAGGAGGCCGTACCAGCCTGCGGCGCGGGAGAGAGCACTGGATTCTTTGAGGGGCGTCTTGACCCAGGGCTGCATGGCTGGGTCGATGTCCATGGCAGCGGTGGTGTTGGTGGCGGAATCAATGGAGCCCATTGTGTCTATTTCTATTTCTGGTGAAGGTAGTGGAGGTGTATAGGTAGGTAGGTCGTCGTCGAAATAGACTCCTCGTTCGAAAAGAAGAGCAAAAAAAAAAAAAAAAGAGAGAAGAATAGGGAGAGTCAAGAAACCGAAGCACCTTGAAGAGCCCACCTACCTTTATATTCCTGAGCTTACGTCAATGACTCGCGCTCCCGCCCCGCTTGCGCCCTACGCTTGACATGATAATGAAGCGTGTCTCTACTCCCACGTCGTTAGCAACCTACGCAATACGCAGGTAGGTGCGGCTCCCCTCCCGACGCAGCACCAGCACGGTAGCAGGTCTCACCGGCAGCCCATCCGAAGCACATGCAGGGCACGCCTTACGTAACGCCCTTCTCCCCGCAGGAACTGCGCAGCGCTACCCCATGTGGAGAAGCATTCCCGACCTCCCTTTCGTCAACCTACCCTACCGAGTAACCACGACCTTCCGAACAGGTCTCTGATGTGCAGCCACGCAGCTCTACGAAAAGAAGCCGGGCCGGGACGGGCAGGGTTGACTTGGGAGGCCGGAAAGGGAGTGCTGGCGCTGGCGTTTTTTGGCGCACTGGGGCAGCGTTGCCTGTTTCGGGGCTTGCAAGCAGGGCGGTTCGGAGCGGTGGTTTGCGGTGAGGTCAGCCGGCTACGGGATGAGGCGATGCGAGCCGCGACGAAGCGCGGTTGCGGGCGCGGGGAAGGGAGGGGGGAGACGGAGGCGGCGCCACGGGCGCGCCACGGACAGCTGCCGACGCTAGCCTTGCGGTGAGAGGCGGGGGAGGGGAAGCTCGTGCGGGCTGCGTGTTGCGTGCGACTTACGAGCTTCCGGAGGAGGGGATCGAGGGGTGGCGTGGGGTTGTGAGAGTGGTCGCTGCGTGCGGCGGCGGGGCGAAGGCGAAGGCGGGGTGGGTATGAAGGTGGGAAGTAAACAGGAGCATCATCATCTCAACCACCACTACGAAGTCCTTCCTCCTGCCACTCGAGCGATTAAAGCGAAAACACGGCCGTTCTGAGTGAGCGCCGTGAAAGATGCGAGCTCTGGCATGCTATACCTCCTGCCCCTCACGCCGCCGCACTCCTATCAATCGTATATATGATTGATTTTGGTGAATAGTATTTAGAATATTCTCCTCTGTCAAATATCCAGTTACCAACATCGTCCCACATCCATTCCGCCAGACGAATCCGCCATCGCCTGACCCATCGTCACCGAAGCCCTCAACCGCCGCCACCACCACCACAATGCCGCCGCCGCACCATCCGCTACGACTACAACAGCGCAGTCGAGGCGCTGGTCCCCCGACGCCCGAATACCTTGTACAGCCAGTTAGGCGCTGACCGCATCCAGCAGAGTGTGCGGACGCTAACACAAGGAGTCGCGGAGGAACTCAGAGGCGCGATAGCAGAAGTGCGGCAAGCAGGCTGTAGCAACGTTGAACTCTCGACCACGACAGAGGTGCCTGAGTCGAAGTCCGAGGTGCACACAACGCGCAGTTCAGACGCGCAGCCCTGCTCCGCAACGCCGTGTAGCCGGCAGTCGTGCTCGAGGTGGTGAGTGTCGCGAGAAGCGCAGAGACGCGGCCCGCGTCGTCGAGGATTACATGTACGGCACAGACGGCGGCGTCCAGGCCTGCTGCTAAAGACTCTGTTAGAGGAGCTTGGTAGTCTCGCAACGGGAGGGCGGAGTAGTTGAGGGATACGTGAAAGCAGTGGTTTCAAACACTCAACAGTGAACATCTTCTGCGTGATCCTGCTCCCAAGAATTGATTGACTAACAGTCAGCCTCCCGACCGCTCTACCAAAACCTCAAATATTAAGCTTCTTGCTCAAGTCATCCCACCTCTCCGAACGTAGAGGGTCCAGCTTCCTCAGCTCAGCCAGCCACGCCGCCATCTCGTCCTCCGACACGCTGTCAGGACTGACAGCCTTCAGCGCAAGCGCGCATTGCAGCAACGCCTGGTAGATCCACTTGCAATCCTCAGCACCGTCCATCATATCCTTAATGCTCTCAAGCTGCTCGTCGTACGTTTCCTTGGGCAAGCCACTGTCCAGGTCAAGACAGATGCGCGCTTCGGGCGGCGTGTCAGGATCGACTGTGTTCATGAGGTACGCATGATAGAACCACAGCGACTGGTCGTACGGGTCCGTGTACAGCGCTCGCTGGATAAACTCAAACTCCGCGGCCAAGAAGGCGCGGCGTGCAGATTCGTCGGCGTTGCGCTCGGCTAGCAGGCGCGGGATTAGTTTGCTGCGATTATGCCAGGCAGAGAAGTTGGACAGGTTCGTGTTGATCATCTTGGTCGTGTAGGCGAATTCAGGCTCCGTCATGCTTGTGCCGCTACGCTCCGCTTCCTGGTCTGTTTCTGCTGCTGGCAGCTGCTCGAGGTGCGCTACTACGATCCGTCGGTAGCTCCAGCCGTGGAAGTTACGGCTGTCTCGGTTGAGCATCTTGCCAACAAGACCGAGTTCTTCCTGCCAGAGACGCCGTGCATGGCTGGCTGGTAACTGGCCAGTCGATTGCTCGAGCAACCAGAGTCTATGGTTCCAGATCCAGTAACATTTGGGGAACTTGAGGAGAAGGGGCACCAGGAAGCGGAGGTCGTTGACAATATAGTCTAGGATGATCTGCTGGCCCGGTGACAAGGCGGCTGGCTCAATCGCAGGTTCTGCCAGAGCATTCTTGAACGTGTCTTGCAGGATCAACCGGCGGTAGTTCCAGATGGTGTAGTATTCGGGGTTCTGAGTAAGAAGCTTCGAGACCAGAGCCAAGGTTTCGGTGCTGTACTGCTCTTCAGATACCTTCGTATTGACGAGGCGGACCAGCTCATTGTACTGGTCTATCTGCTGCAGCTCCTTTTGCTTGACCTGTTCGGTGCGCTCAACGGCGGCGGTTCTGGGAACGCCATGCTGTTTCCGTCAGGACAGACAGGTGGGCGCGAGGCTGGACAGGCACAACGCACGCTGGCCATGATGTCAGTTCGCGATGTGGATGCGGAGAGGTCGAACTCGTTGGCGCGCTTCACGACGCGGCAGATGGCGGGGATGATGGTCCGAGAAGTCGTTGGCCGCGGGAGTGCGGCTCTCTCGCCGCAACCGCAGCCCAACGCGGCCCGAAAGAAAACCCAGATCACGTGCGAAAATTTTCTCGCTTAGCAAGCACGGTCCCCTCCACCCGGTATAAAAGTCTGCTCTCCCTCGGGCTCCTTTCTTCTTCTCCAGTCGACTTTTACTCTAAGAATCATATTCTATAGTAATCGTCCTCTTCTGAGCTCCTTACCAGAGCCACAGAATCTCCAACCTGGCTGATGAGCGCTATCCTCGGCACCCTAGAGTGATACCTTGTACTTTGGCTTCGGCTGAAGTGGTGATGATCTCAACCCTGTCTCGGTGTCTGGCTTCGGTCGGCCTTGCTGGGTGGGTGTCGATGGACGTCTGACAGGCTGCAATTTTCTTTTCATCGAGCTTCTCGCTACAAGCGGGATCTTGAAGATGAGCGCGAGCGAACGCGGCGATCTGATTCGCAAATCTAGGTAGAGCTACAGAAAGACATGCTCAACACCAACCGTACTTCTCGTTGCCCACCCACTCAACAGCCTCCGTAAGGCTTCCGCCGTTTGACGGCGAATCCCCGTACCACCTCAAGCTTGCGATGCTATCCTTGTCTCTATTGATCACCTCTGTCTTGGGATCCAGCGAGCGCGCAGCAGCAACAACCTCTGGCGACGGGCTCCAAGTTTCCACCTCTGCCATGTGCCACCCTGCGGCTTCCTGCTGGGCTCTAGCAAGAAGCGCCGCGATGGCCGCGACAACAGCATCCGGACTAACATCCTCCTCGACGACCAGGCGCAGAATGTGCATCGTGTTGTCTTTGTCCTGCTGCGCGTCTGGGTTGTACCACATTCGCGTCCAATAGCACCACGCGCGCCTGCCTTCCTCGTCTCCCACAATCGCGCCTTTGACTTCCGGAACCCTTCCGTAAAACTCTTTGCCTACAAATTCTTCGCGCGCGTGGTGCCACTGGATCTTATCGAGCCTGGGCAATATTGCGACGTGCGTTTTGCCATCGGCCGCTCGCTCTTGCATGTTCTTGCGCATAAGAGCCTCATCTGCTGCGCAGAGATCTGCGAGATCCGCGGGGTACAGCTCTCGCACCGGCGGAAGCGTTCCGTCGTTCCCCGCCGCAGTTGATGCTGGCAAAGAAATGTGCGCTGATGGGAACGGCTCCCATCCGTGCGCAGCATAGAATTTCTTCCGTGTTGTTAGAGGCAGCTCGCACATGGTGATTCACAGTTTGCCAACCGCACTTACCTTGCCAATGTCTGACCAAAGGACCGAGAACTGGCACTCGCCGTGCTCCGGCTGCCAGGTACGAAGCTTGTTGCCTAGCTCCTGCATCATTCTTGCCGCATAGCCTCTCCCTCTGTACTCGGGTGGAGAGAAGACACTTCCCACGCCGTGCGTTATGACATCTCTGGTTTTCCCTCCCTGTGCCACGACAGCCCGCTTGCGAAAAGTCTCACACCCAGCCAATACAACGCGATCCTTCGGTGCCGTATCCACAAGCACCCAGTAGGTGAGTCCACCCTCCTTAGTAAAGTCCTGCCGGGCAAGATGCTCTTCGCGACGAAGATAAGCCTCGAGAGATAGAGCACCCTTCCATGACGCACCGTTTTTGGTCCATTGCAAGAGCTTCTCTTCGTCGGTGGGCTGTACTACGGCTAGGGTGGGCGAGTCGCTCGTGGGGAGGTTGACGGGATGATCGTTCATTTTGGCGGCGAGATATTTGCGGTAATTCCAGTAGTTTTGACGGATGGGGTCGTAACGCGTGGCCAGGAGGTCGAGAGCCTTGCCCACTTCGTCTTGGCTGCCTTCCTCGGTGGCGTAGATGTCAGCGAGCAGATCGAGGGCGTGGCTCGAGCGGACGTCGTCGGGCTTGTGTGGGTCGGCGAATGAGGTCGCGAAGTCTTTCAGCGTGTTCAAGGGCAGATGTGCGTGCCGGACCAGCCCGCGGAGGTAGTTCCAAGGGCTCTCGTTCTGAGGCGCGCGGTGGACGGCAGCTTTGGCGTAGTCAAATTCGCGGTCAAGGACCTTCTTATTCGAAAAGTTGTTCAAGTCGTTTCCAAAAACGAGGAACCAGCGGTGATTCCAGGCGGAGTTGTTGCGGACGTCCTCGGCAATCAGTCGCTCAATGGCCTCGATCTCGCCCTGGTCCCAGAGGTCAAAGCGTCGCACCAGCCACTGCCGGTAGCTCCAGACGTGGTAGTTCTTGGCATCTTTGGCAAGAATGCTTGCGATAAATTCCTGCTCGCCTTCAGCAGAGTCTAGCTTGTCGACTATTGTCTGGCGATAGTGCCAGATCTGGTAGTTCTTGAGATTTCTCAGGGCTGTTTCGTTAAGCCACGCAATCTCAGCGTGTAGGTCTTTGTTCAACGAAAGAATGTTCTTGGCACGATATAGCCTGCGGGCGTCAGCATGTGGCGGTTACCAGCAACGCACGTTGGAAGCATACCAGACAGTATAGTGTGCGGGGTTGGCGTCGATGATAGTATCCGTAAGGTCGATGGCGCGGTCGCTCATCTCGTTCTTAGCCATGATGGCGCGCAGGTATGACATGGCCTCGTCATAATCGTCCGAGTAGGCAATGGCAGCGAGAGGGTTGGGGCCGCCTTCATCAAGCGGGATAGGCTTCACGTCCTTCCACTCCTCGGCTTCAGCATAGTATCCCATAGTTGTTATGACGGCAGACGCTGGTCAGGTTGGTAGGTATAGTGTGGGGAGAGATGACGGCGCTTAGCCATCTTGCGGGGCGCCTCCTTGATATCATGGTGTTGTCGGAGGGCGGTTAACGACGGCCTTATGAGGACCCCATGACGATCTCCCGCCGGACCAGGCAGGACCAAGACAAAGTCAAAACGGCTCCGTTCGGATGTGCGGGGACCGGCACGACCGGTCAGATTGTTTGAGGACAATCGCTGCGGTGGTGATGACGCATTGCAGAAAAGGAAAGTTGACGCGCTGGTGGAGATGCGCTTGAGCCGCTGCTTGGCTGGTAGCCTCACAAGGGCCAGAGGCACGAAGGGGCAGGCCATGCCGACGACTCGTGTTCGATAGGGTGCATGCTAAGATGAAAGAAGAAAGCGGGCCGATCACCTTTTTGGACTACACTGCCACCGCAGTAACTGCGCCTCAACACCACACCGTGCGATGCCTGTAGGGGTCTCCAATGGCGGTCCGTCTCCACTAACCTCCAAGCCTCCATATTGTTCCAGAATCCAGACTCAAGCTTTCTCGAACCGTCAGTGCCGTCCAAGCGATAACAAGCCCTGCCAAGCACCAGCCCGGGATCCTCTCGCAGATCGTGGCGGTGCGGCATGCGTCTGAGCAGGGACTGGCCCGTTGCTCGATATTTCAAGCGTCATCTGTCTTTGTTTCGGCATCCCCGAGGTCAAATGTTTCGCTGTCTCAAGTTTCTTTGCTTCTGGTTACTGCCATCGTGACTCTGGTCCCCACCAAGTCTGCTCTAGTGTCATCACCGCCCCTGTGGCAGTGCATATAACGGTCATAGCTTTGTTGACGACGACCGCATCAAAGTCGTTTCAACGTGATAGAATCCCCATTGATTTCTCTGATGATGTCTGTCCTCCATCCTCATCGACTAGCCCCGCAATGGTCTCGGCCCGTAGATAGAAGGCACGAATCAGTAGAGCCCCGTGTCACCCCTGTCGACTGGAACTCAACAGCATGATATAAACTTCTTCGACAGCCCTTCAACATTGCCTCTGTCTACCCACCTCTCTCTACGAACCACCAACAAAAGCAGAATGAGCACAGAATCGACTCCCGGAACTTTGTCTGCCCAGCAGACCCTCAAGCAGATGCCCGAGGAGAAGCAACGAGCGATTAATAACATCATTGACGGCATTTTCCAAAAACTGCATCACGACGACCTAAAACAACTGGGCAAGCAGATACCCGCACAATCACAGGCCGCATCACAAGAGACAAAAGAAATTCCCGATCATGGCGATGCTGTTCAGGAGACAGCAGCACAGACGACACCCGAAGAGAGGCGGACTGGCAAGGCCCGACGCTTCCTGGGCGACACCCTGGTTGGTCGCTTTGCACGCGCCTCTCACAAGACGGCCTCTTCGACAGTAAAGATGGCCGGTGCGCTGTCCCCTTGGGGTGACAACAACCCGGTCACGTTGCCCAATGTGCGGTACCGCGACGCGGTGCTCTTCGTCACATTTGCTGGTGTTGGTTCGCACTTGGTCAACGGCGCCGACCACGTCGTGGGCGACATGTTCGGTGCAGACAGCTTCGCTGCAGAGGTAGTTTCCTCGAGCGCGGCTGCAATGGCTGGCAGCGTCGTGATCAAAGAGGGTGTTTTTCAGATGGCCGAGCAAGTAGTCGACAAGGGCGTGTTTGAGCGCATTTTGCCAGAGGAAGAAAAGATGTTGCAAACGACGAATGTCAAGAGCTTGCAGGTGGGCGTCAAGCACAAGCTGATGGGCATCGATGCGGATCTGAAGTTTGCCGGCGAATGTCCCACGAGGGACTGGAAGGCGTGCGATAAGGGCTGGTTCTGCCCGTACTTGTTTGCCAGTGCCAGGACACCGCTCGTACCGCGGAGTACCGACTTTTCCATGGCTCAGTTTTACGGACCCTTCCTTGGTGGTAAGTGCTGTAGGCTCCCATCCCTTCCACCATACAGCTAACCCTCTCCTCTAGGCGATTGCGCACTCGCGCAAAAGCTGCTCTCCGAGAGCGCCAATGTGCTGTCCCTGTGCGACCCCAACCCAACAAACAACATCGGCACCAATCGCATGATCGTCCTCTTCACAGCCATCTCGCCCTACCGCGCAAATATGTGGTCGACGTCGCGGCGCCCCGGCTGCGGCACGATCATCTTCCACCTCTTCGATGGATGCCCCGCGGTGGTGCTGCCCGTCAGCTCAGAAGCACCCATCTGCGCGTGGAGCCCTTGGACGCTGGAGCAGATGCGGGCAGGCGAGGCGGAGGGTTACAGCGTGGAGAAGCAGCACTCTCAAGTATGCGAGTGGCTGGAAGGGCTCGTGTCGGCCGAGCACGTCTACGAGCAGGTGCGGGAGAAACGTGCGGGCGTGCTGGGCCGCGCGATGAGTCTGGTGATCAATGGCGCTCTGGCGCTCGACAAGTGTCCCGAGAAGCTGGAGCTAGGTAAGGTGGATCCAGCGCGGGCGGGCGTCGTGATGTTCAGGTACTGACGTGCTGTCGGGATCGGCATCGGCGGAGATCGGCGTTTGGGCGATGGAAATCCTGGGCTTGTCACGAGCTGCTGAGGGGTTACTTAGGTACGAATAGACGCCTTTTCTGATGCGGGACGAGGTCGCTTGGCAGACTCGATGATGCTGTTGCGTCACTTGGCAAAGTGTGACTAAGATGCGGAGAATATCGGGGCAAACAGTCAGCATCCCGCCGCGTTTTTCCCAACGTACGATGTACACCATCTGGATAAAAGTACGGCTGGATTAGCTTCAGCCACATTGTCAACCCCGAGCGGTGACACGACTGGATCCGCGACGCTACCCTGTTCAATATGGCAAGAGTTACGAGGAAGGATGCCCCTTGGCCTATTTGGAGACACGGAGATTCTCGAGATTCCTTTGCGGTACATGCTAGTAGAAAGGAATGAGTCTGGATCGCGACTGGCAATCAGTAGTTTCGGACCGGGGTGCGCGAGAAAAAAAAAGCAAAGGACAAAGAGACGGAAAGCTGCATGCTGACGCGCTACGGTTGTACATACATACATGCATGAGACGGATGCGAACGCGAGATGAGGTCGAGAGGCTGGAGCAGTCACGCTGGCACCCTTGCCCCCCCCCCCCCCCCCCCCCCCCCCCCCCCCCCCCCGGTCGAGCTTTTGTGGTGGGGACAAGGATAGAGTACGGGAGCCTGGGGGAGATGGTCGCCCCACCGTTTGTTTTCCTGGCGGCGGAGGGCAGATTCGTCCGGCCCCAGGCCGCAAACGTGCTGGTGAGCCTCGCGACCATCCACACCATTGGGTCTGGCTGCTGTGTTGCCATGCGCCGCGTTGCCCATCGTCGGCTGCTGGGTCAACTTCCCCCCGTCGTCGCCATATGACACCGCTCCTCCCAGTCTCCTACCCATTCACCCACTCTGGACTGCGCCTTTGAATCCTGCCGACTCTTTGGCGCTTTATCCACCAGGCAGCTACATTCGCACCCCTTCCTAACGCCGCTGCTACCTCCGTCTTGCTAGCAGTTGAAAAGGCGCCGCGTTGGCCTTAGCAACCATGGCTGTCAAAGACTCGCCTTACCTGCGCCCTACCACGCCGCAGACCATGGATGCCCGCTCCCTTGCGTCGAGCGACAAGCCGCCCTCGGTGGCCGAGAAGAACGATGCTCTCGACACCACCATGCCCACTGCCGCGTCCGAGACCGCCTCTCGCAAAGAGCGCCACTCCATCTCTGCCGGCGGCCCTGTCGAGTTGTCCAACCTCGAGCAAGCTCTCGATGAGACGAATCCTCAGGAGGAAGAGGAGGAGGAATGGCCCAGTTCTTGGAAGCTCACATTCATCACCATTGCGCTGTGTCTGTCCGTCTTTTGTATGGCGCTGGTATGTCACACCCCACTCAACGAAACTGGGTCAGGGTCCAAAGCTAACGCCAACCTTCGCAGGACAACACGATCATCGCGACTGCGGTAATTGCGCGCTTCAGCTCCTTTGTCTCCAGGCGTATACTGATTCTCACGTCCAGATTCCGCGCATCACAGACCACTTCAAGGCCCTTGATGACGTGGGTTGGTACGGCTCCGCGTACCTACTCACCACCTGCGCCTTCCAGCTCGTCTTCGGCAAGCTGTACACGTTCTTCAGCATCAAGTGGATCTACCTCGGCGCGCTGTTCATTTTCGAGCTGGGCTCCTTCATTTGCGGCATTGCGCCTACGTCCAATGCCTTGATCGTGGGCAGAGCCGTGGCTGGCCTAGGTTCTGCTGGCATCTTCTCCGGTGCCATCTTGATTGTTAGCAAGACAGTGCCGCTGCACCAGCGCCCGACGTATACGGGGTAAGTTCACACCCGCGACTGGATGAGAGAGCAGACTAACGCGGTTATTAGTCTGATCGGCGCCATGTATGGAATTGCGAGTGTCGCGGGCCCGCTCATGGGAGGCGCCTTCACTGACAAGGTTACCTGGCGTTGGTGGTAAGTCGAAACCAGGCTTTGCGCCATCTGTTGCAGCTGCTAATTCACCTTTTAAGCTTCTACATCAACTTGCCATTCGGACTCATCACAGCAATCTTCATTTTCTTCTTCTTCAAGTCCCCCAAGGTCGTCAAGGCCAGCGCCGTCGGATGGAGAGCTAAACTCCGCGAATTTGATCTCTACGGCACGATCCTCTTCCTCCCCGCCATCGTGAGCCTCTTGCTGGCACTCCAATGGGGCGGCTCCAAGTACGCGTGGGGCAATGGCCGCATCATCGGGCTGTTCATCGTCTTCGGCGTCCTGATTATCGGCTTCATCGCGATCCAGATCTGGAAGGGCGAGCACGCGACAGTGCCGCCCCGCGTCTTCAAGAACCGCACTGTCTGGTCCAGCGCGTGGTTCGGCGCGGCGCTGGGCGCGGCCTTCTTCATCCTTGTGTACTATCTGCGTAAGTGCTCATCCCTACCTTTCTTCCTTCTCACTTTCGGCGTCCCTTACTGACGAGTCCACTCCACCAGCCATCTGGTTCCAGGCCATCAAGGGCGCCTCAGCCGTGAAATCCGGCATCATGAACCTGCCGATGATTCTCTCGCTTGTGATCGTTTCGATAATCGCGGGCGTCTCTGTCACCATGATCGGGTACTACGTGCCGTTCATGCTGGTGTCATCGGTCTTCATGGCCATAGGCGCAGGGCTGCTCACGACTTTCGACACCGACACCACGCACTCGCACTGGATCGGGTACCAAGTGCTGTTCGGGATGGGCGTGGGCTTCGGGATGCAGCAGACGCTGATCGCGGTGCAAGCAGCGCTGCCGGCGGCAGACATACCCATCGGCACCGCCATCATGATGTTCAGCCAGACGCTGGGTGGCGCGCTCTTCATATCCGTCGGCCAGAACGTGTTTACGAACCAGCTGATCAAGAACGTGAGCAAGGCGATTCCGGAGGGCGGCGCGGGCTTGCAGGCCTTGGTGCTCGCGACCGGCGCTACCGAGATCCAGAAGGTCATTGGCAGCAGGTTTCCCCAGTACCTGGAGGGCGTGCTGACGGCGTATAACAACGCCCTCACTGAGACGTGGTATGTCAGTGTCGCGATGGGCAGTCTGAGCTTGCTGGGCGCTGTGTTCGTCGAGTGGGTCAGCGTCAAGGGCAAGAAGCTGGAGATGGGGGCTGCGTAAGCTTCTGAACGACGGCGGTTGTGATGGTGGTAGTTGTGTGGGCGGCAGTTTTCCCTTTCTTCATCTGACTTCTTCCCTCTACGTTGCTTTATTCTGCATCCTGCCGCCCCTTGACTCGCTTTCAAAACCCCTCCCCCCGCTTTCTTATACCCCGCGACAAACTCCACTATTCTGTTGCATGCTGACTTTGATAATTATGATACTCCACTCTACATCACCGGCATCACCACTGGTTGGCATCCGGCGTAATTGCTTAGATAGGAGCGAGGTAGTTAGACGAAAATAAAAATGCGTGTGCTTGCTTGCATGCAACGTACCTACCATACCCATGCCTACACAAACAAATAAACACAATCAAAGCATGTTAAGGACACGTACAGTAACAGTGGAAAGTTCCAATCCTTATACCGCTTTCGACTAGTGTATCTTGGCAAGGTCGAACGTAGGAAGCAAGATCTAGGGATTTATAGTAAACAAACACGCGTCGTACAAACAAGCTCGATATATTTACCAACACCTCTCTTCACTAATCCGAAGATCTCACATCGCACATACAAAATCATCATTAAAGTCATAACTAGCGCGCGCGTAGATAGGTATAGTACAGAGCGGGATCAGAACAAAGGAGAGCCGCAAACAGCAGACTCCCATCCCGCAAAACAAATAACAAAATGCCACCACCATGATCCAGCCGTAGGCCGCTTCGCCTCGTCTCGAGCGAGCAAGCAAATACCTAAGGAAGGTGACAATGGAGCCGCGCCATGTCTAGCCGACTAACCCAACCCAAGCAATCACCTCTGGTGCGCCGCGCTGTGGGAAGGTGTGCACAGGCGTTATCCCATCTCACCTGTGAGAGCTCCTCATCCGAATTAAGATGAAAATAAGATGACAATAACAAAAAATAAACACCGTCTGGCCGTTCATCGTAGAGAATTCCTTTTTCCCGTATAGTACACGCTTGAAAGCAGAAAATTTCGTTGTTAATGGAAAGGGAGAGAAAGCGCTTACGCCTTCCACTTGACTTCGGACCACTTGGCGTATTCGTCTTTGAGGCTGCGCTGCACCCAGATGATGGTGATCCAGGTCCAGACACCAGCCCAAATGAAGGGGACAGTCCAGCCGACCTTGGACCAATGTTAGCATGGCTGTTTATTGACAATTGAGGTTGAACAGTGTTGAAATACTAACCACATAGGCAGCATCACGCTGAATAGTGAATATGAGAGCAGTCGTAACGCTGGCAATAACGCAGGCGCCAACCGCCCAGAACAAAGTCAGGCGGTGCAGCATTTGCCGGAACAGGTGGCTGGCCATGTAGCGCAGGTTAAGGCGCTGACGGAACTCGGTACCTCCGCCGCCGTCAACAGCAACCACATCCTCAATGACAGAGTAGATGCCGGGGCGCAGCGGCGCACCTTGCGGCAGCGATGAGATGCGTACCGGTGCCCTATATCCGGCGATGCGGGCGGCGTCCATGATGAGCAGCTCGACGCCAAAGGCGAAGACCATACTGGGGACGGGCATGGCCAGCAGTCGGATAGGTGGTTCTTTCGGTACGGTGCCGACGATCAGTTCGATCATGACGGCTATCCATGCGATCGAGAGATTCCAGTGGAACCAGTCGAGCTTGTCCGACGTCAGCCAAGAAACGGTCAAGTGTTAAGGGGAGTGCTCACATAAGTGCGCTGAGCGCCAATGACGCGACAATCCGAACCCTTTTTCCACAGCCGGTAGAAGCGGATGAAGTACTCGAAGATAGAGACACTGCCGAGAGTTCCGGTGCTGATACTGAAGACGGCATTGTGCGACAGGTTCGTGCCATACCAAAGGCCAAAGTAAAGGGCAATGGGGGTGAAGATGCAGTCGACGACGATGAGACACCAGAAGATGGCGATACTCTTCTTGCGCGTGCGAAGGCTGTAGTTGAGATCCGGCGGATGGGTGAAGTCGGGGTCCTCGTATCGCACTTGGGTCGAGGCATTGATAGCTGACGGAGGCCTGCTCGTCGGAGCAGAGCCCGGCTGCGAGCCGTTGTATTCCGGCGGAGGCGCGAGCATAGCGGCTACCGTGTTTGTGGGGTCATCCGGAGGAGGTTGGCTCGCTCGACGCGGCGCAGGAGCGTGGTCCTGGTGAGCGATAGGCTCCTCCATGTTGGTGGTGGTGAGACAATGAGATTGGAAGGGTGGCGATCGCAAGTCAGAGAAGACGGGCAGGGATGGGAAACGGGCAGGGTAAGGCGAGGGGGAAAACGGTCGGAAACTAGACTTTTGATGGGGAGGGATTGCAGGTGTCGCGGGAGAAAAGGGACCGGCGGATTGAAGTCTTTAGTGCAGGTGGTGATGTAGTGCCTGCGGCTGGGCAACAGCCTGCAAATGCCAAAACGGCAGATGACGTAGGACAAGCCGGGCCCGCGCTGCACTTGGGTCGAGACTCGTCCCGGACGACCCCCGTCTCACGCGCGCCTCTCGTGCGCTCCGCATTCTTGTGTCCTCCCTCTCCCGCCCGTCGCTTCTTGCGTGGCCCTCCCGAGCATGCCATACTCACCTCGACGATGCGCTTCGGCCTCATCTTCGCCGCTCTCGCGGTCGCTACTCTGCGCCATCCGGTAGTCGACGCATCGACCAACGACACCATCTCCGTCCAACTATTTGCCGAGCTCGAGGAGCTTGCTCGTATCGTCGACATTTCTTACTGCGTGGGCTTGACCGGCCTGGGCATCAAGAAACCCTTCAGATGCCCCAGCCGATGCGCCGAGTTTAGGAACTTTGAGCTTGTCACCGTAGGGCTTCTCCTTGGCTGGCTGGGCCACGGTCGCAAACGCTCATGAGAAAATAGTCTTGGAACACAGGTCCGCTCCTCTCCGACTCGTGTGGCTATATCGCCCTGTCGCATCCCCCCTCGGATCCTCGAATCATCCTGGCTTTCCGCGGCACCTACTCAATTGCAAACACCATCATCGACCTTTCCACTATTCCCCAAGAGTACGTTCCGTATCCTGGAGAGGATAAAGGCCATGGCGATGATGCACCGGACGCAAAACCGCCCAAGTGTAACAACTGCACCGTCCATACGGGCTTTCACACTTCCTGGATAAACACGCGCGACAAGATATTGTCCGCTGTCAACGAAACTATTACTGCCCACCCCGATTACAAACTCACCCTGGTGGGCCACTCTCTAGGCGGCGCAGTGGCTACACTTGCCGCACTAGACTTCAAAGCTCGCGGCTGGGACCCTCACGTAACCACATTTGGAGAACCGCGCCTTGGAAACGACCATCTAGTTCGTTATATTGATGAACGTTTCGAGCTAGGTGAGAATACGAACGTTACCACGAGCAAGTTCCGGCGAGTCACTCACGTTGGCGATCCTGTGCCGCTGTTGCCTCTGAAAGAATGGGGATATCAAATGCATGGCGGGGAGGTCTTTATTGGGAAACCAGACTTACCAGCTAGCGTGGCTGACATCCACCACTGCTCGCGCGACGAGGATCCGAGTTGCATTGCTGGCGACGATCCTTCGGCATGGGTCCCTATGCGGTTCAGGCTCTGGCAGCTGTTTTGGGCTCACCGGGATTACTTTTGGAGACTAGGCCTGTGTGTCCCTGGAGGAGACCCGTGGGATTGGAAGGGCAGGTATCCTGGCCTTGGGAACGACGATACGGACGAGGATGAGCTTTGAAGCAGGTTTCTTTGGGGGCAGGCTGGCGAACGTAGGGCTCTCTTCTTTCAGCGAGGCGTCGGGTTGGAGTCGGTCTTTTTTACGCCCTGATGAGTTGTACGTAGTACGACTGGGCCGCACGGTTGTTTGGTTGTGTCACTGGCTGCGGGCGTGTTGTTCATTATTGTCAGCGCGATTCGAGGGGTTTGACTGAAGCGAGAGCTATCATGTCATGTGTGTGACGCGTTTGGTGGCTTCGCGGGCTCGTCAGCAGGAATGATCAGCCGGCAGGCAGATGTTTTCGTTTTGATCGGTTGATACATGATACGACGGTGACCCACGTTGGGAACTCCTTCGACGACATCGAATCTTAAACGTGTTCTGTTCAGCATGACTCGAGATTTGGCGTGGCGAGCAGGAAACAGGCGCGGAGGCGGGCGCCTGACTGAGACATGGAAGACATTTGATTTTGGGCTCGGGAGCGAGGGCGTGCGCTTCGGGCTTTGAGAGCTCCAGGCAGGCGTGGGAGCACATGGCCCGTCACGTCTGTTCAGCGTTGCCCAGGTGTGACCGCCGATGCGCACGGCTTCGCCTTGCAGAAGGCCCCTGCCTCGCCGCGGAAGTCATTGCGCCCTTTGCGAAGGCTTGACGCTGCTGCTCTCCCAAGATCCCCTCGTTAGCTTGCATCCAAGCCCAAGCACTCCTCCATGCTGGGAAAGCCACCTCCGCTCTCCGCCCCGTCACCCCTACAACGAACCACCGCCGCTCCGTACATACATCTTTCCCCCGTAGTACATATCGCCACCATCCAACACCCTCCGCGACGCGCGCCAGAGCGCTTCCCCTCGATCTTCGTCCACGCATCATTCCCGGACGAGACCGCATTCCAAGCTCCGCAAGCCACCCGCCGACGAGCGGCGCTGGCCCTTGTGTGCCCTCTCTGAAATCGCCTCGGGTCTGCGCACCGCCTTGTCTCTGCGCCCCGTCGATTTGCGCCCGCCGGCGGAAAGGCTGCATCGCCGAACATGGGCAATGTCGGTAGCAGGCAGGGCGAGGGAGAGCCTCTATACTTGCGCGACCAGAATCGCTGTAAGCTTCCACGCTTCCAGACACCCTGCGCCTCCGTCACTGAACAAATGGCCTAGTTTCCATCGCCAACGTCGTCGTCACCAATGCGCGCGGCCGCATCCTGCTGAACATCTCGCCGAACGCTTTCCCGTCAACGCGCTACAACGTGAGGAGGGACATAGGCGATGACACGATAGTGGATTATGTTCAGGTTCGAAATGCCTCTGTCCTTTTGAGCCATGCCGCCGCTGAGACTGTCGACCACAGGACCCCGAGACCTTACCAGGCATGGCACCCAATTTCCTGCTCCGGCTGTCAAACGACGAGGAACTATACTTTAATTTTACTTTTGTTGTCAGGCAATCATCTTCCCCTCTCTACGACCCGACCAGGCCCAGCGCGCCGCATGCGGTAGACACGATGATCAACGGCCTGACCTACGTTTTTGCGCCTAGCAGCAGAGAGCTTGATAACTTGGTCACGAGAGAATTTCACATGGACCCGAACTTGCACAAGAATCCGAACGTGGAGTTGGTCGGCGACTATGCTACCCTGGGTAATCAATCAGTACAGTTTCAATGGACTTGGAAATGGCGGCCACCGAGGGCAACGGAGGACCGGGGTGGTGGCTGGCGGAACAGCTGTAGCGTAAGTGCTTGCCAAAGCGTTGTCAAGATTTGCCGCTAACCAGCGCGTCAGTTTGTGGAATACGACCCACGAGCTCATAGGCTAGATACGTTGGCAAGCTTCTCGTTCTGGGTGCAAAGTAGGTGCCACGCTTCATATTATTGGACTTTGTTAACAAAACACAGACACACAGCGTTTTAACAGCCCAAAAACGCCGTCGCCTATGCTTGAGCTAAACGTACCACCCAGATTACGAGTCCCGTCCGCGCAGTCAATGGAGTCTCGAGTGAGCGATTCCAATGAGAGTGAGTACAGAGAATTGCCTTCGTCGCCCATGGTAGAGGCTTTACAAGAAAACACATTGAACTTGGTGCCTACTTACACGAGCGCCTTGAGTGGCGGCACGCTCGGTGGTACTGGCGCAATAAAGGTCGACTTGTCCTCCCAAAGACCCGGTGAAGATATCAGCACTCTAGATGATGGCCCGGTCTTCCGTGCGAATCTCAAGAACTATGAAAAGACCACCGTTGATATGCGCGGAAAGTGGAAGAAAGTGCTCAAGAAAGCGGAAGCCACCCTCGATGCTCAGATGGCCAACAACAATGCAGTGTCCGAGTTGATCGACGCGCTTAAAGAAACATCAACTTCGAACACCAGTTCCGTGCAACCTGCGATAGACCATTACTTCGACAAGATTGCGCGCGAGATCTTGGCTTACGAGAAGTTGAATACCATCAATGTTCAGAAGCTAATCATTGATCCAATTTCTAAAATGTATAATGTGGATATCAAGCAAGCGGAGGCGAAAAAGAAAGATTTTGAAGACGAGAGCAAAGAGTACTATGCCTATGTCAGTCGCTACCTTGGCCAGCGACAGGATACGATGAAAGAAAAGAGGCGCATCGAGACCGACATGAAGTATCAATCCAAGCGACGCAACTTCGAACTGAAGCGTTTCGATTATTCCTCGTATATTCAAGACTTGAATGGAGGAAGAAAAAACCAGGAGGTGCTATCTTATTTGACGAAATATGCGGACGCCCAAGCCAAGGGCTTCATGGCCACGGCAGAAAAAATTCGGAGCATGCTTCCCCAGCTCGAAGCGCTTACCTCCGAGGTCAAGGAAGCCGACAAAGAATTCCAATTTCAGAGGACCGAAAGAGAAGTGAAGCGGAGAGCCCTAGAGAAGAGCGCAACAGCATACAAGGAACCAGAAGTTTTGGCTTTCGCTCAAGCAAACGGCGGGCCGGGGCCGATCAGTGAAGAGCATGGACGATCCAACAGCGTTGCCCCCACGTTCAAGACCATTCTCAGCCCGCCCCCATCGCTAGGATCACCGCCTGCGACAGCAACCGTGCCGACGACTCCGGGCCTTTCTGGCCTGCCACCCGTTCTTTCGGGAAGTAGCCCTGGTCAAAACAAGTTCAAGGGCATTCGTGACTTGGAAGATAAGCAAGGTGATGGCTCAGACAGCCTGCACCCTCCCCACAAAGAAGGCCTTTTGTGGGCACTCAGCAAACCAGGAAGCCACATTGACCCTAAGGGCTTGAACAAACAGGCTTGGCATAAGTAAGTTTAGTTTTCTTCTTATGCACAGACAGGATACTGACAGGCTTCCCAGGTTTTGGATAACTGTTGGTGAGGGAAAGTTGTCGGAATATTCGGACTGGAAAAACAAAATGAACCTCCACATGACGCCGATCGATCTTCGTGTAGCCTCCGTACGGGAAGCACGTAATGCGGAGCGTCGATTTTGTTTCGAGGTCATCACCCCGCAATTCACCCGTGTGTATCAAACCACTAGTGAAGAGGATCTCAGGACTTGGATCAGCGCGATCAACAATGCGCTGCAAAGTGCGGTTGAGGGCAAGGCCATGGCTGAACCGCCTCCCGAGGCCATGGATCGCTCAACTCGTAGGGATATTGCATCCGTCCTTACTGGAAAGAGCACGTCTCTGTCTGGTCACCGTCATCAGATGAGTGGCTCCAAGCCTCCATCACGGCATGCTACTGTCGGCGATAAGCCGGCGTACAGGATCGCCGAGACCAACATGGGAGAATCTATCAAGCTCCTGGAACAAATCCGCGAAGTCGATGCCGGCAACAAGTACTGTGCCGACTGCGGCTCGGAGAACAAAGTTGATTGGGTTTCTATCAACCTCGGCATCGTGGTGTGCATTGAGTGCAGTGGAATCCATCGCTCGTTAGGCACGCACATCTCCAAGGTGCGCTCGCTCACTCTTGACATCCATTCCTTCACGCAGGACATTATCGAGTTGCTGTTCACGATCGGCAACCGAGTCAGCAACATGATTTGGGAAGCACGGCTTGATCGGTCTCAGAAGCCCGGGCCAGTGTCGACGCGAGAGCATCGTCTTAGGTTCATCAAGCAAAAGTACGAGGAGCGCGCATTTGTGGAGCCAATCTCGTCGACCCTCTCACACTACTCCACCGCGGACGAGACCCTCATCGCATCTATCAAGAAGAACGATATCCAGAACGTGCTGTACGCCCTCGCCCTCCGCGCAAACCCTAACGCAGCCGACAAGTCCCGCAACACACCCGGAGTATACCTCGCTCTCACCGCAGCGGACCCCGTGTCGCCATCTGCCGTGGCGTCGCCCGCAAACTCGCCCGGCCACCCACCACCAGGCGGCCCATCGACCGGCAGGAAGACCTTCATTGTCGCCGAGCTACTTCTCCAAAATGGAGCAGAGCTTCCCTCGACACCCTCACCCTTCCCGCTCAGCATGTCGGCACGCCTCTACCTCGAGCAAAAAGAAGACCAGCGCACAGGCCGGCGGCCCGGCGCCAACGCCTTGGCGCCAGGGAACCCGGGCGCGGGCGGCTCGAACTCGACGGCGAATCACCCGAGCGGGGACACGATAACGGCGCTGCCGACGATAATGGCAGGTAACGGGAGCACACCAGGCGAGCGGGCGCGCGAGCGCGACGCGCGGCTACAAAAGCGCGTGTCGGCTGGCGGGAGGCTGATGAAGACGGACGAGGGTGGGCACGGCGGCGGGCGGCGGATGTTCTGAGGCGTAGGCGCGACGACTGTGGGAGGATGGGTACGGCGACAAGCAGAAACACAAGGGCAGCGGCGCGCGCGGTGGAGGCAGGGGGTGAGGGGTGTTTGGGAGGCCTTGTGGCGGTAGGTAAGCAATAAGCGATTGGGGAGGCGGGCGGGGGGGTGCTTACCGGCTGACTTTGATTACTACTACTTTGACTTTCTTCTTTTTTTGATTGTTGTTCTTCTTCATCAATTCCCCCCCAGCTTGCCTCTTTTTTATTATCTCTTTCTATGAAAAAACCCTTAATTATGTGGTTTGGTACCTCTTATTTCTGTCTTCTTTTATGGCGTTTGAAGGCTTTTGATCGCTGGCCTTTATTCCTCTCTCTTTCTATCTGTCTCTATCTCTCAGTCTCTCTCTAGTTCAGTCATTCGATCACTGGGCTTCACGGGCGTTGGGTCGGATGCGGTAGGACAGGACAGTATCGTCATGAGCGGTGGCGTGTACGGTACGACATGCTGCCTGCGTGGAGGTGCAGTTACTATGGCTATATGTAGCTGTGGCTGTGGCTGCAGCGGCCACGCCTCGCACCGCGTTTTCTGTTTGGACGGTTGGTTGAATGGTTGGTTGGCCGGTTGAACACACGGACAGACGGACGGACGGGCGGACAAACGTATGCTCTCCGTGATTACTTACAGTAGCGAAAGACAGATGGGCGGCGAGCGCGTAGTGTGTAGTGTGTTGTTTTTTGCATGTTGTGGCTTTTGGATGGATGTAGCGCTAAGACGGGCCAGGGATGAGCCGGCGACATGAACTGACCTGCTTTCCTATTGTTGTCACTGTTATCTGTTGTTGTTGCTGTCTTTGTTGTTGTATGGCTGGCTGGGTCACTCGCTCTCTTGCTCGTTGGGTGTGCTCTTCTGTTTCTTAAAGCATGGGCGGCTTTCTCTGTCTCTGTCTTTATCTCTCTCTCCCTCTCTCTCTTTGTTCTTCGTCTCTGCGTGCGTGACTTTATCTGCGCAGTAGGTTTTTCCTTGGATAGGGGTAGCAGGCAGGCAAGCGAGCGAGCATAAAGAGAAAACAGCAAGAAAGATAGGAAGAAGGGGAAAGGGGGTGTCAAAGAGGTAATCTGTAATGGACACCAGGACTAGGGATGATGATGCGGTCGTTGGCGTTTTTATTTCCTTCCTGGCTTAAGTTATTTGATTGATTGACCGACTGTCTGACTGGTTGGTTGGTTGATTGGTTGATCGTGGGTTATGTAACAATATGCATGCATGCATGCATGCTTTTGGACTTTTGGACGTTTGACACGAATATGCCTGTGTGGTGATTTTTTTGTGTGCGGTTGTGGTAGATAGCGTATGTGAGGCTTTGGTTGTGAGTGTATATGGGTGTTCGACTTAGTGATATTGCAATTTGTCTCGAGGAGCCTGGCTGCTGGTTTCAGTCACGTAATGAGACATACTTCACTTCCAAGTACCTCTCGTCACCAACATTCCGTGCATGGAAACGCTGGAAAGCTTCTCCCGTAACAGCATGTCTATCATGGAGCGAAACAAGATAGACCGTGTCTATTTGCGCTAAAAGCGCGTCCTCTCTAATCCATAATTATCTAGGCAATTAAAAAGAAAAAAACCCTTCCGTTCTTTGACGCCTTTAATGCTTTTTGCGCCGATCATCCCTTGCCCGGTTCATCTGAGACACAATACAAAACGCCGCGTTTGGGTATCATCTTCGTAGCAATGCCTCGCGGCGCAATTCAAAACTCCTTTTCCAGACGTGGCAGCGGTCGGTATGGGGGCAGGTGGTTGCGAAAACTCATCGAAATAAGGTCTCATGTAGATAGAGAGCAAGCGCCTATGTCAGTGGCTTTTCAGTCAAGGCAATCTCACTCGGGTCCGGGCTTGAAATGGGGAAGTTTGGCAGGGACAAATGATGTGTCAGGCGCGTCTTGGGTCTGCGCAGTGTCCTGGCGGTCACGTTGACGTGGTTTGATGTAGTCAGGCGCCGCAAAGGTCATTTCCGTTGGTGGCGCATCAAATGAAGGGAATGGAATGGTGCCGGGCGACGATGGCCGCTCTGGCGTCTGCTGCCGTGGCACTGGATGTACCGGTGTCACTGGCGCAGATTTGGTTTCGGACAAAGGTGACGGCTGCTAGAAGTCAGCAATAGCATCTGTCAGATCAAAGTCGCTCATCAAAAATTGAAGATAGTACGTACCGAAGGGGAGTCTGGTCGAAGACCGCGCTTCGCAGCGAGAACTCGCGCTGCGTCGCGTTTCCTTTCGACGACTTCTTCCTCTTCCCGTTGAAGGCGCTCCTCTTCGTATCGGAGGTCGACCATTGTTGGGATCTCATGAATGCCAGCTTCTGAACGCTTGTCCACCGTTGGAGATGCCATATCTGAGCGTCTTCTAGAATCCGCACTTTTCGAGGACGGGGTTCTGGTAGACATACGTGACCCAAATGGCCGTTTGTCGTGAGGTGTCTTCCCACTGCTGTTATCGTCGTGGAACATGCCTGTATTCCGACGCTCAAGCACCATGGCGAACTCATCGTCCAGGGGAACTGCATCGTCTATCTCGTCCTCACTCGGGAAGATGTCGCCTCGTGAGCTCATGGAGTCAGTAGTCCGACCCGACGCCGTGGTTTCGCTCCTGTGCCGCTTGGGGCTTGCTTCTTCGTCACTCTCCTCAATCAATGGCTGTTCCTCCAGCGATCTCCGGCCTGCGCCCGGGTGCTCCTGCAGGTCTGCGGCCGAGGGCCTGTATCTCAGCCCCTTACCTCCAATCTTCCATGGAAGCCTCCCCAGAAAACCAAAATACGAGCTCGTAGGTATGATTGTGGGATCGGGCCCACCGTCGTGGGGCTGGACGGCGCTCTTTCTTCGTTCGCCTCTGCGCGCACCGTAGCTCATAGCTCGCTGTCGGCCCGGCTGGTGGGAGGTGGGCTGACTGCCGGAGCCAGCCAGCAGCCTGTCAAATTCATTGTTGCCCCAGCCGAGAAACTCATCGTTCTCGTCCTCGTCCCAGTCGTCGTAGAAGTCAAAGTTCAGCTCAGCCCTGCCGCGGCCTCTGCGACGCTGGCGACGCAGGCGGTCCTCGCGGCTTCGGGCGCATGGCGCGACACAGGCCTGGAAACAGCCGCCGACCGAGGAGAAGCACGGCTGGATGTAGTTGTGGGAGAAAGAGTAGATGTTGGCCTGAGCAGACTCGTTGGCCGACTCAAGGTTCTGCGAGATGTGGTCCAGCGTCCGGCGCAGACGCGGATCGTTGCGATTGCGATACATGACGGTGACGATGGTGGAGACAAAGGGTCAGGGCGACGCGACATTAACCGATGACCTGCAGCGTGTGCGCAGCAATGGTGGCCGGCATGTGGGAGAGTGTCACGGTGTTGGGTGAGCGGGCAGGCGAGCGGAAGCTGTGGGAATGGGTCGACGTCAGCCCGGGAAGGAGCTTGTGTGAGCCTGCCGCCCGCCCCTCCCCGCATCATCAGCGTCAAGCGAGATTCACCGTCTCGCGGGACCTTGGAGTGCTTGGGAAATGCTCAGGTATATACTGTTCTCCTAGGCAGTATGCGTGCGTTCCAAGTCATTTTCTTTTAATCCATATCCAGGACTCAGATTTATGCTGTACGTACTGTAGGAGTATACTGTAGGAGCTGGACAAGGAGTTAACGGGTATTGCTTGTTTGTTATAAGTCGTGGCCGCCCTCGGTTCGCGCCTGCCTGGCGTGCTCTGCATACCCGTGAGGGCCTTGGGCTTCTGCCGTTCGCCAACCGCGCCTGGCGCCCGCTCTCTGCAAACTGAGACCTCTGTACTCGCCTGGCAAAAGACACCCGTCAGCGACGTGCCATTCTGTGGCGTCGCGGCGCCACGTGTGGGGCCTTTTTCTCTCTGCTGTCGATCTGGATCTAGGAGCCCAGACCAGTCCGGGCTCGCCTCCTCACTGCCCGCTTGCCATCGATGCGACATTGATAGGGCCAGCGTAGTCCACCAAACTTTGTTTGCCCTGCTTTCTATTATGCCTCCTGTCCTTCAATACCGCCTCTCAACCCGCGGCCATGAGATACGTCCGCTTCCTAAAGGTCCCCAAGACCGACGGCAAAACCCTCAATGCCCTGATCACCATCACTTCGGACCTCGGGGAAGACTTTTTGGCTGAGAATGTTACTCTTGCCGCCACGATTCGCTCAGCAGACGACCATGGAGACATCTACCTCCGCAAGCGCCTCGAATGGACGGCAGGCATGCGCTCCCTCCCCGTGTCCTTTGACCTGCGGCATTGCGACCTAGATTGGCCTATTCGGGTCCAGGTAGGCGCCAGGGGAACTGCGCAGACGGACCTTTTTGGAGAGCACGAGGACGATCATGTGCCCTCTCTGATCTCAGCATGGAGCGCCTCTCTGGACGTGCCGCGGGGCATCAAAGAGGCAGAGAAGAAGGTGGAGCGGCGCTTTACTCCGCTGAGCAGACGCACGCTTAGCATATGGGAAGAGACGGGGGAGAGCATCGCGCGTCACGTTTGGTTTGTTAGACGTGTCCGCGGCTCAGGTGAGCAGGTAGCTAACAAAAATCCAGGGACGCCGGCGTTGGCCTTGCAGCCTTCTTCGACAAGACGATCGCCCTTCAATACGACATTATGCCACTTCTCGACACAACGCTCAGCTCAGCGACATACAAGAAGCTAAACGTCATCGAACTGGGGGCCGGTTGCGGCATTGTGGGAATTAGTCTGGCGCAGCTCATTCCCGACTGCCGTGTCACGTTGACCGACTTGCCCGAAGCTCAAGAGATTGCCGAAAGAAACATCAAGGGCATGAATCCTGCCATGTCCTCGCAGGTTAAGTTCGAGCCATTGGACTGGGAGGAGGAGCTGCCAGAGAACATTGCTCAGCGACCGTACGATCTGATCATTGTCTCGGACTGCACATACAATCCGGACAGCAGCCCGGCGCTCGTCAAGACGCTGCATGCATTGACGAAACGCTGCCCAAAGGCCATTGTGGTGCTGGCGATGAAAGTGCGGCACTCGAGCGAGGCCGTCTTCTTCGACCTGCTGCAACAGGCAGACATTATGACGGCAGCGAGCACGTGGATGGCAATTCCAACTGACCCCGGCGACTACGAGTCGGCCAAAAAGATCGATATTTACATCTTCCACTCCAAGGCACGGCCCAAATCGGCCGAGACGCCTTCCATGATACCCGATCCTTCGATTGTGGCTTTTTGGCAGCAGTGAGGTCGAGGCAGGCGTCCGCAGCATGAACTTATATTATATGATACCAATGAGGAACGGCCGTGCAGCATCGACGGGACCAGGGACACGCATGCAACCGGTCCAGTCGAGTCCGGAGCGAGGCGCAGCCGGTCTGGCCAGGGAATTTGCCCTAGAGTATGAGCCTGGTTTTAGCCAGGCGAGGAGTTTGGAGACGACAATGTGTGTTGGGCAGCGACCTAGGGTTGCGGGTGCGGGTGATGATGTATCTGGCGTTATGCAACCGAATGGTTTTCGTAGTCGAAAATGCAGCTTCAGCCACGGCGGTGCAGCTCTGTTTTGACCGCCGTCGCCGGGAACAGATGTTTGTCATCGAGGGGAGTGCGGGATTTTCTTTAGTGTGCGGCACGCTTCCATGATCGAGTCGTTCCGTTTCGTCACTGGGGGGGGCATCGGACACGGACACAGAGCCAGGCTTCAAAATTCATCATAACCGCCCCTCAACGTCCAACCTCGACCCTCGACCATCCATCCACCCCTCTTCATCCCCCTGCGTCTGTCCGACAGTCGCGTCGCATTGCCATACACAGCCTCCTCACTGCCTAGTCGCGTCCCAGTGACTCACTCCGGTGCGTACCTTTTGCCTCGTGTCGCAACGCCGCCATCGTCCCGGCAGAGCCCGACGCGCCCGTGAACAACAAAAACAACAACAAACAGCAGCTGACCCGTGGCGGCTTCTTTGGTCGAGCAGACGCACTGGATTCCCCATAGAGCATCGACTCGCCTTTGGTCTTCTCAAAGGCAAGCCCTCCACCACGGCCCCGACGGCCTCGGCATCCGGAAAACTCCAAGTTGTCTTGCGCCCGAAAAACAAGGACACGCTCAACAACCTGCCGCCGCCCGCTGCTGAAGTCGCCTCTCGAGCTTGAGCGTTTGATTTTCCGTTTGAATCAAACCTCTCCCCCGGAATTCCCGCCGCCTCAGCTGCCGCATAGGACGCTCTCTGTGGTTCTTCCTCTCTCGGAGGAAGAGTCGAGGAGGCCTCGCCTGTCGCAACTCAGTCTCGGTTTCGAGCCTTTTAGGCCCCCTTAACACGACTTTCGCAGCACTACCGCTTTTCGATCACATACATATACATACACAAAAAGAGCCAGGAGCGCGTTTTTTGAATTGATGACCCTGGTTATGGCACCCTCCGCTATCACCACCACCGCCGAGGAGCATTACGCGCCGCTGTCGATCAAACCCTTTGCACCGGTGGAGAACAACAGTCTCGCAGTCGAGTACGGGCACAATGACGCCAAGACTACCAAGGAATTGATTGGTGAAGCGTTCCGAGAGCGTGTCGACAAGATCGATCAGGATGCTTGCGAAGCCGGGGAGGAGGATGCCTTCTTCGTGGCCGACATGGGCGAGGTCTACCGCCAGCACCTCCGATGGAAGATGAACCTGAAGCGGGTCAAGCCCCACTACGGTAAGTTGCTGTTGTTGTCCAGAGTGGGCCGCTTGGTCCAGGCGCAGAAGAAAGAGCTCCGCTGACACATGGATGGTGGGGAACTACAGCCGTCAAGTGCAATCCGGACCCGCAGGTGCTGCGGCTGCTGGCAGAGCTGGGGACGGGCTTCGACTGCGCGTCCAAGTCAGAGATTGAGCAGGTGCTGAAGATGGGCGTCGACCCCAGCCGCATCATCTACGCGCAGCCGTGCAAGACCAAGTCGTACGTGCGCTACGCCGCCCGCCACGGCGTCAAGCAAATGACGTTTGACAACGCCGACGAGCTGTACAAGACCAAGGAGCTCTTCCCGGACGCCGAGCTGCTGCTGCGCATCCACACGGATGACTCGGCGTCGCTGTGCCGGCTGTCGCTGAAGTTCGGCGCGCCCCTCGACACGACAGAAGACCTCCTGGCGCTGGCCAAGGAGCTGGACCTTAATGTCGTAGGCGTAGCCTTCCACGTGGGGTCAGGCGCGTCGGACGCGTCGGCCTTCCAGCGGGCAGTGCACGACGCGCGCGTGGTGTTCGACCAAGCCGAAGCGCTGGGCTTCAACCTGCACACGTTGGACGTGGGCGGCGGCTTCTCCAGCGACACGTTCGAGGCCATGGCGGCGGTGCTGTCGGACGCGCTCGACGAGCTCTTCCCGCCGCACGTGCGCGTCATCGGCGAGCCCGGCCGCTACTACGTCGCCAAGGCCTTTTCGCTCGCGTGCAACGTCATTGCGCGCCGCACCGTCGAGCCCGCCGCTAGCTACATGCTGTACCTCAACGACGGCGTCTACGGCAACTTCAGCTCCATCATGTTCGACCACCAGCACCCCGTCCCGCGCGTCCTCAAGGCCGGCCCCGCGTTCGCGCACGACGAGCCGCTGTCGCTGCCCACGGCCTTCCCGTCGAACGAGGCGGGTCTGGCCGAGGCCGCGGCCGCGTATGCCGACAATGCCGATGCCGACGCCGTGGCTGCCGCTTCGGGTCCCAGCATCGAGTACTCCATCTGGGGTCCCACGTGCGACGGCATCGACTGCATTGCCGCGTCGTCGTCGTTCACGACGACCCTCGACGTCGGCGACTGGCTGTACTTTGAGGAAATGGGCGCCTACACAAAGTGCTCGGCCACGCGCTTCAATGGCTTCTCGGACGCGCATGAGACGCTGTACGTGTCGAGCGAGCCGGGGGCGTCGGCGCTGCTGGGGCTGTAGGTTGCCGGCGAAAGAGGAGGTTTGGGACGCGAAGAAAGTTGGAAAAGTTTAGAGGTTGTGTTTTTCTTTGGATTCGTTGATCTTTTTATTAGCTATTGTTCCGATTTGAGGGGACGTAAAGGTATAGACGCGGTGGATTTTGGTTTATTTTTGTGGTCATTATTGCTTATTTATATATTTATTCATTGCTACTTTAGACCACCATCGATTGATTAAGTGGGTGATTGCTCGCCACCGCCGTCTTTAAAACTAATCCCAATCCATGCCATTTCTCCCCGTAAGCCATCCAACGCAACAACCAGTCGTCCGTCCGTCTACCCCATCATAACAACAACAATATGCAAAAAGCCATCCGCATATGCCGCCGCGCGGCCCAGCTCCTCGAGCGGCGCCCCCATGGGCACCACGGCGCCATGCAGCACGGGCTGGGCCAGCAGGGCGCTGCGCCGCGAAGGGAAGAGCGAGGGCAGCAGCCCGTTGAGCGCCGTGCCGAGCGTTTGGATCGGCGCATGTTTGGAGGAGGGCGTATTGCTGGAGCCGGAGCTGGAGGTCGGGGGCGCGAGGCGCGGCGGGATGGGCGCTTGCACTACGCGCAGAGTGCGGGGCGCGTTTGCCGCGGAGACGGACGCAGAGGGCGAGGGCTGCGCTTGTGCGCCCGCGGTCGTGCTGCTGTCGGCGGCGGTCGCCGGCGCAGGCGCGGCAGGCAAGTACACCTTGAGCGGGACATGGCGCAGGACGACGCCGGGGGGGTTGACGAGGCGGGCGTTTACGGCGGCGAAGGGCGCGCGCGCATGGGCTTGCAGGGCCGCCCACAGCGCGTCCGAGTCTGCTTTGCTGAGGCTCATGGCGGCTTTGGCGGAGCCGTTGCGCAGGAAGTCGGCTTCTTTGACGGCGTTGACGAAGGCGTCGTGCATGGCTTTGAGGGCGGGGTCGAGGGGGAGGAGGGACGGGGGCGGAGGGGCGTAGGAGAGGGTGAGGCGCCAGGGGAGGGGGTGGGGTGGGGCGGAGGTGTCGGCGTCGGCGTCGTTGTTGTTACTGGTGTCGTTTTCTTGCGTGCTACTGCTGGTGGTGGGGGACGAGGGCGGGGGAGAGGCCGGCGGCAGCGTGTTGTACGGCTCGGCGCCGGCGTAGAGGTCGTATAGCAGGCCCAGTGGGTGGTGCCATTTGAGCGGGACCGAGTCGACGGAGAACCAGCCAGCGCTGGGGGGGATGGAAGGGTCGATCAGCGCGGGCGCGAAGAAGGCGTGGAGACGCGGGAGGAGGAAGGGGAGGTAGGAGAGGCGCGGGACCTGGATCTGCGTGTGTGGTGGTGTTAGTCACTTCCGTCTCTCTTCTCCTCTCCCTCTCTTCTTCTTAAGCCTACCAGGTACGCGTCCGACTCGGTGTAGGTGCGGCACTCGGCGGGGGCGAGGCGGATCTCCAGCGGGACGGAGCCGTGCCAGACTTGGTTCTGCACGCGGCTCAGGTCGCGCGCACTAGCCATGGCGGAGGACGGCGGCGGATGCGGCGGCGGTGGTGGTGACAGTGGTGGTGGTGATGACGCGCGTGTGTCTACTCTAGGCGGAGGGGAGGTGGGATGTCGGCCGGCGGGAGCGGGACGCGGGGACCAGGCAGCCCCAGAGTGACATGTTGGAGACCGCTCTAGGTAGGCTCTCTTAGGTGGTTTGGGGAGGTCAGAGAGGAGCTGCGACAGAGTCAAGTGAAGCGCGCGGGCGGTGAGAAATTGGGAAATCAAATCATGCCATGCTCAGGCCAGCTGCGGGAGCAACGCAAGTAGTTTAAAGGCGAAATCCCTACCTACCAATATCGGCCATCAACAAACACGCTCCTTTGCCAACCACTACTCGCTCATTCAGCCGCCTCCGCACCGTTACCCCGCAAACGCGCCTAGCACGCTAGCACCCGCGTCCCGCCGCATCAATCAATCCACCATCCACATCCCAGCAACAGCAACCACAAAAGCCCCCAATGCTGCGCGTCCTGCCACCGCAGCCCACGGGCATCCCGTCCATGTCCGCGACAATGCCTCCTCCCCCGCAGCTAGGCGCACTGCCCACAGCCATGCCCGCGCAACCGCTCCGGCCCAGCCAGCCCACGCGCAAACGCTCGCACAGCATCGCGCGTCCGGACGACGAGGAAGATGGAAACGAAGAATCCATGCGCTCCAATTGCCGCGCCGCGAACACGAACACGAACCCAGCAGCAGCGCCGCCACACCTCCTCAAGCGCACCAGGACCTCCGCCGAGCTCGACGCCCTGCGCCTGATCCCGCGCCACGAAGCCCGGCCCTTTGACCTCGGCAGCATCGAGCTGGCCGAGCCTGTATCTGTACCCAACAATAGCGGCAGCCGCGCCATCCCCCCCGGCGCACCAATACTGCTCTGCGTGCTCGAACACACGGACGCGCACTGGCAGCTCCTATGGTACGTTCCCCGCGAAGCACAGCACATTTGCCCCCCAACAAATAGAGGCAAAACGAAAGCAAAAGCAGCATTAACATACCCCCACAGCGCCGCTCTCCCACACCTCTCCTCCCTCCTCCCAACCCTGCGCCCCGTCCTCCTCACCCGCGCCGCCCTCAACCCCGCCATACGCGCGCACCTAACACCCGCACCCAACGCCGCCACGATACCGCTTGCGCACCCAGCCGCCTCCTCCTCCGCCCCCTCGGTCCCCTTCCTGCTCCTCTCGCTGCTGCACCCCCTCGGCGGAGGCCAAACGCCGCTAGACGCGCTCGTGGTGCTCGACAGCCAGGGGCTGCGGCGGCTGGTGCTGCCGTTTGGATGGGGCGCGGGGAAACGGGCTGGCGAGCAGAGTGTTGGGGGGAGGGTGGCGAGGGAGGGGCTGCTGGGGGCTTTGGGCGCGGCAGTGAGGGAGGTGGCGAGGGAGGAGGGGGCGTGATTGGGGTGGGTGCGGTGTGTGTGAGAGTGGGGGGTGGAGTTTGGGTTTTGGTTTTTTTTTGGAGTTGAGTTGGGTTGGGTTTGGGCTCGAGGCAGGCAGGTTTGGTTTGGTTAAGGTTGGGTCTTGGGAACGGAAGGATGGACGGACTGGCAGGCATTGGACTCCATTTACATATACATACATAGGGAAGGCGAAAAGCGAGCGCGCGTTTGCAGTTGGTTTGTCTGCAGCCTGCGCGCATTTTATTTCGAGATGTATTGTAATTGTATATCAACAGCACGCATGGACAGGCTCAAGATAGTCAAGTGAACGGGATGAATTGAACCACGGTGTTTTGTGGCCTTTTAGACAAACTCGACTTCTTTCTATATTTGTACCAAAATCCCTATGATACTACCATACCCTCGCCCTTTTTGTTTTCACACGTACACCGCGCCTACTATCCAAGGCCCAAGGAGTACCCGATGGATACATATGAGGCATAGAGGTTTTATGGACAAACAACATCAAACAAGCGTTAGGCAACTCTATTATCCCGTGCCTTTACATATGTAAAGCATACAACATACATACATACACTAACTCGGCACCTCTCCCCGGTCCACATCTACAAGAACTAATCAAGACAACCAACCACACGCAACCACAAAAACCCCAGCCCTCAAAACCAAAACCAACGAATGAATGAATCACACTCCCTCTATTACCTACACACACACACACACACACACACACACAACCACGCAGACAAACAAGTACTCCTAAGTAGACGATGACTCATGAGCGCGCGCAAGTCCATCCGAACCCTCCGAACGGACAGACGGGATCGTCACCCCCCAAAAAAGAATAGAAGAAAGAAGAACCGAACAAAAATAGAAATAGAAAAAGACCAACAGCAATCAATCATCCCATCTCGTCAAACAGCCGACAGGCACGCAACGCAGGTGGCGAAACCCAGCACCGGCACCAGCACCAGCACCAGCACCAGCACCAGCACTAGCACCAGCAGCATAGCATCAAGGCACAGCAGCAGGTAGGTAGGGCTTTTCCAAAAAAGGGGGTTGCTATAAAAAGTACATACATACAAAAATGCGAATGAATCAGAAAGCAATCGTAGCTGCTCTCATCAACTCGACTCCTTCCTTTCCCGGCTTTGAATGATTGATGGCCCGAGGCCCATATTCGCCACCTTGAGCACACACACACACACACGCACGCACATATGCGCGTGCGCGCCCTTCCATCTTCCCCCCTCCCCGTCTCCTCCGTCAAATCAGTCTGGCCTCCCGATCAATGATTGTTGCTTCTGCTGCTGCCCCTGTACATACACACACACGCACACGCGCGCGCCGCTCAAGTGAACGCCATGCTCTTCTTGATCTCAGCAATCGCCAAGGCAGGGTTAAGGCCCTTGGGGCAAGTGCGGGAGCAGTTGAGAATGGTGTGGCAGCGGTAGAGGGACATGGAGTTGTTGAGGGCGTCCTGGCGCTCCGCCTTCTTCTCGTCGCGAGAGTCTGCGATCCAGCGGTACGACTGCAGCAGGATGGCCGGGCCGAGGTACTCCTCCGAGTTCCACCAGTACGACGGGCACGACGTCGAGCAGCACGCGCACAGGATGCACTCGTACAGCCCGTCCAGCTTCTTGCGCTCCTCCTTGCTCTGCCGGTTCTCGCGCCCGTCCGGCGGCGGCGTCTTGCGCTGCAGGTACGGCTTGATCGACCGGTACTGCTTGTAGAACTGCGTCATGTCCGGCACCAGGTCCTTGACCACATACGTGTGCGGCAGCGGGTAGATGCGCGACTGCTTGCTCGTCTCGGTCGGGATGCGGCCTGTGGAGGCGTGGCGAATGCACCGATCAGTGGCTGTTTATTTTTGTTCTTCTTCTATGTCGTCTGCGGGAACAAAGCGGGGGGGAAAGGCTTCGGGAACACGGGGGAATACGCACAAAGACAAGCCAGGGTGTTGATGCCGTCAATGTTCATGGCACAGCTGCCGCAGATGCCCTCTCTGCAACTCCGGCGGAACGTCAGGGTAGGGTCGATCTCGTTCTTGATGCGGATGAGGGCGTCGAGCATCATGGGGCCGGTCTTGTTGAGGTCGAGCGTGTAGCTCTGCATCTTGGGCTTGCTGGTCGGCTCATCGGGGTTCCAGCGGTAGATGTGGAACGTCTTGATGCGGGCGTCCTTGTCGGGCGACGGCTCCTTGATCGTCGATGTCTTCTTCTCCGACACGGGCTGCGTCGATGCCGACGTCTTCTCGCTGATCTGGCTCAGCGGCTCGACCGACGCGAGGCCGCGCTTGAAGATGGTGCTGGGCGCCGTGGCGGCTGCGGAGAGAGAAAGAGGGAGGCGTTAGCACACGCGGGCAAAAGGATGGGTGGCGGGAGAGGCTCACTCGCGCTCCTGGAGAGGCGGGCCAATGCTCGGGTGGTAGCCATGGCTGCGGATGGACAGATCGAAGCAAGAGAGACCGTCAATGTCGGGGATGAGGCGACTGGGCTTTGGTGGAGTAGTGGTGATGGTCGCGGTTCCCGGTGGCAGAGCGCAGGCACCTCGGGTAAAGCCACGGCTTATTCTGCTCAACAGCTGCGCCGTGATTGGCTGACGAAGTCCCCGCGATTGCCCGTCAGATAACTTTTGCCGTGCCTGACTGGCCACCGGCCCGTATCGAATCGCCTCATCCGATCCATTGCATCAACACTTCTAATATCAATCAACAACAACAATCAATGAGGTGGTCGCTAGGCATCGTTATGACAGCCACACCACCACCAGCAGTCCTGAGGCCGCCTGTCCGCCTTGTCCTCGACTGGGACGGCACCGTGACGTACAAGGACACGCTGCACTTCCTCGGCCGCATCTGCGCCTCTCACCAGAAGCAAACACAACAGGCACAAGCAGTAGCACCACCACCACCAGCACAGCCGCCCAGCACCAACACCGCAGCCTGGGACGCCATCGTCGCCGCCTACCTGCACGACTACTCCGCCCACGCTGCGCACTACCACCCCCCACCGCATCAGCGCACCCGCCCCGCCGACGAGAGCGCCTGGCTCGCCAGCCTGCAGCCCATCGAAGCCCGCAGCGCCGCGCGCGTCACGGCCGCCCGTCTCTTCGCGGGCGTTACGGCGGCCGACGTGCGCGCCGGCGCCGCCCAGGCCATCGACTCCGAGGAGCTGCGCCTACGCCCAGGCTGGGCCGACCTCTTCGCCAGCAATGGCCGCCGCGGCACCTCCTCCCCCGGCATCACCACCAGCATCCTCAGCGTCAACTGGAGCGCCAGCTTTGTGCGGGCGTGCCTGCTCCGCGCAGCCGAGAAGAAGGCAGCGGTGGCCACAGAGGAGCGCTCCTCCGCCGACCTCATTGAGGCCAAGTCCCCCGCCGCAGTCGACGCTCAAGCACTGCAGCGCGCGCTCCAAGGTCTTCGCATCAACGCCAACGAGATCGCGGGGCTGGACCAGCCCTCCGGCTCCTCAGGCCAGCTCGACGGCGCCATCCGCACCAGCGCCGACAAGCGCGCGCACATAGACGCGCTGCGCGCTCGCGTTGCTACTGGGGAAGAGGGCGGCGACGGCGACACGATCGTGTACGTAGGCGACAGCGCAACGGACTTTGACGCGCTGCTGGCGGCGGACGTGGGCGTGTGTGTCAGGGACGAGCCGATGGGGGGAGGGCAGCGGGAGCTGGCGGAAGCGATGGAGCGGGTGGGCGTCCCGGTGAGGCGATTAGGGGAGGCGACGGGGGAGCTGGGGAAGGGGGCGCAGGGAGAGGACGAAGAAGGGGGAGATGAGGCTGCCGCGGCCGCGGCGGGCGACAGGGAGGCGCGGCAGCGGCAGCGGCAGCGCGGCGTGTGGTGGGTGAGGGATCTTAGGGAGGTTGCCGAGTACATTGGGCAGGTGCGAGGAGCACGGCAGTAGTAGGTGATGACGCTGATGACTGAGGAGGATGATGATGACGCAGGAGGGGAGGGGATGGGAGGGGTGCGAGAGCCTTACGTGTATGAAGCCCTCGACCCTGGAGGGAGTGGTGGCCTCGGGGCCTCAGAACCTCAGGGACTCGGGGCCTGCCAACCGGAAGCGCATCCGCGTCCGTCAGTCAGGGCAAAAGAGGTCATCTGTGGCAGCGCGCGCTCCAGCAGTAGTCCAGACCCAGCCCTGAAAGAGTAGTAGGTAGGTGGTGCTCTGCCACCACAGCCCAGCTAACGGCCCCCCGGACTTGTTGGATGAGCCATCAGAGACGGGGAGAGACCCGCGGTTGCACGGTACTCGTGTGCCTGTGGGTGGAAGATGCCGTCCAATGTCCATGTCCTCCCCCCAGTCGGGAGAACAGCCGGCCGCCAGCGCCGGATTCTGTCCGACGACGTAGGGGCGTGGGAAGGCAGATTGCGCAGGACGCCCCGTCTCGATCTCCCGGACGGCACGTGTCGCAGACGCGTTGAAACAGCATCCATGTCAGCGCGCGAGTTGGCCGGCTGACTGGCTGGCAGGCTGGCCGAACAGGGGAGTAGGGCACGCACTACGTAGTGTGTGTGTGTGTGAGCGTGAGAGAGAGACGGAGAGCGCGAATCTCTTGCCCGTATTACGAACACCAGGGCGCGCCGGCCGGCCCGCCCGAGCCCCGATCGATGCGATCCATCCAATTGCTAGGTGCTGCTGTCGAGTCTGGAACTGCCGTTGGTTGCGTGTGAGCGTGTGAGTTGTGCCTGCAGCAGCACCAGCTGGGGCGCTGACGAAGCGCGCTGCTCCATACCTATGGACCCCCCTCGGTGCCTGACTGGCGACAGGGTTGTTGGGGGTTGGGTAGGAACAGTAAGTCAGTCCTGCGGGACATACCGAGCGCAAGGAAAACATCTGGCAGCGCAGCGCATGCGTGCATGCATGCGTGTATGCATGCATGTGTGCGTGTTGTGCGATGGCTGCGAGGCGACGGACGGGCTTCGGCGAGGCTTCCTTGAGGCTTCCATGTAGGAAAATGGGCAAGATAAACAAGAGATGATTGAAGCTGAGAACACCTTTCCTTCCCGGCCTGTCGCGCCCAAGCAAATAGGTATCAATGAAACAAGAACTTTCCAGGCATAGCGCGGAAGCAGACGTGGCTCGTCTCTCGCAGCAGCGCAGCGAGTGGTGGTGGTGCCCTGCCCTGCCACACCACCTTAGCCATCGTCGTGTCGCCTCGACGCCACACACGCTCACACACCCAACCTCCTCACCGTCTCAACCCAACGCGGCACACCGCGCGCCCATTGCCTCGCCGCCTCACTTCTTCCCCGCAACCTTCCCCAGTAGATCCTTCGCTTTGTCGCCCAGCCCCTTCTCGTGCTCTCCTTCGCCGTCCACAGGCTCCGCCTTCCCCAGCGCACCGCCATGAGCAGCACCGTGAGCGGCACCCCTGCCCTCACTACCAGCACCAGCACCAGCGCCAGCGCCATCCTTAGCCACAGTAGTAGCAGTAGTAGCAGCGGCATTCCTAGCGCCGCCCACCCCCGCCCCAGCCTTCACAGGCAGCACCGCACCACCAACGCGGGCCTCTCCCTCCTTCCCCTCCCTCGCCCTCATCATCACCTCCTCCTCCTCGCTCTGACGGCCCACATTCGCAGCCCCACCACGCCCATAATGGAACTCGTCGGTCGCGACGCCGCTGCCGCCGCGCTGCAGCAGCCCCGGCGAGGGTCCGACGTCCTGCGCTGCGCGCGCCAGCTCCGGCCGCGTCGGGTCGTTGCGTGCCATGTTGCCCGAGCCGCCGCGGCCCGTCGTGTAGGTTGGCGCTTTGATGGTCGGGGTCGCAAGGTCGGTGGGACGCGGGGAGAGCGATGATGGTCGCTCTGGCTTGCCGATGTTGCCTGTGTGTATGGCGTCTGAGGTTAGTTTTGCGTGTCTTGAAGCAACGCGTTGCGAAGGGGAAACGTGCCTGCGCCGCCGCGCCCATGCGAGTAGTTCCGGGGCATGAAGCCGCGGCCTACGCCGGCGTGGCGCGGATCGCCGACCATGGTGGTGGGTGGTTGGTGGTTTGGTTTGGTTTGGTTTGTTTGATTTCGTGGGTTTGGCGGGTGAGATGAGCGCGCGCGCGAGATTTGTGTTGGGTTGGGATCGTTTCGTTTCGTTGGCAGATGGCAAACAGGAGGGAAGTTGGCAGATAAGAAAAAAAAAAAAAAAATTCTTCACAGGCTGGGCGCGTGGCTGGCGTTGGCGTTATCGTTGTTGTCGTTCACTCGTTGTCGTGGGTTGTTGGCGATCCTACGTCAGGTGTGCCTGGGAGATCGACTGTGACGAAAACAGCAGAAAAAGCAAAGAAGCGCAAAGCCCTACAGGGCTAGACAAAGGGTTTTGCGACGACGCAGAGATGAATAGATAGAGATCGAGAGAGGGGGACAAAGAGAAAACAGTCGTTGTCGTCGCCGCTGTGACTCCTCTCTGCAAAGGAAATCTCTTTCTTCCACATGGCGCCGACTCAAGCTTTTTAGCAGAAGGCAGCGAGCCCGTCCGCCTGACTCTAGTCTCTGCCCGCCCCCCTGCGGCGGCGGCGCGCACATCATGCGGGGAGGAGAGACAAGCGCCAACATCGGGAGGTCATGGCGGGCGCGAGCGCGAGCGCGACAGCAGCGGCAGCGGCAGCAGATGGACGCCTCGACCTTAATACCTAGCGACGGCGGCGGCGGCAAGCAGCAGCACCAGCAGCAGCGGCTCCAAGGAGCAGGGTCATCGCGACTCTCTTAGCGCCTCGAAACGACACACCACCTCGGCGTCGGCGCGAAGCGCAGGAAATTCAACCACAGCACCACCCATCCCAGAAACTTACACGGTTTCGCACAAGATCATCGTACGAGCGCGCGGCAGAGCCTCATCACGCAGCAGTCAACAGGCAATTCGCTTGCGAAACGCCGGCCGAGCACCTAGAGAAGCGCCGCGAATAATAACAAAATTCACTTTTACCACTCTCATTACGCCGCAGCAGCAGTCTCGTGGTCCTCGTATCAGCAAGGCAAGTTCGGGGTGCGCGGGGCATCGAACCATGCGCTCGCCATCATTTCCGAAACGGCGCTGCAGCGCCCCTCCCTTCGTGCGCGCGTGCAAAAATGCGCAAACCGAGCTGAGATGAGGGCCAATATCGCGCGGGGCGCCGCGTTGGGCGGGCGGGCTTGCGCGCGCTCGACAGTGGATGGTCTTCTGGCCGGGCGCCGAGGGCTCCGCCTTGGCGTTCTTGGTGCCCGCTGTGCCTTGACCTCTGCCTGCAGTACTGCACTGCCCATGTGTGTGTAAGCAAGAGTGTGAGTGTGAGTGTGTGTTGGGTGTGCAAGGCAGAGAGGACACCACCATGACGTGCAGCATCGCGACGAGGCAATTCCTCAGGCGTCTGCTACCCTGGTGCGACGACGTCTCCATGCGGCTGACGAACGAGGCTGACCAGGCTGCGGGGAACAGTCATGCACGTTGCGGGAGACGAGGGTGTTGGGCGTGCAAGCGAGTCAAGCAAGATCTGCGTTCCTCTTCAGCTACCTATCGCAACCACTTCCCCTCCCCTCCTTCGTCATCTCCCCCTCACACTAATGATACAGCTGCTGCTCCGAGGATGCAGCGGATAGAAAAAATATCAAGCTCAAAACGCCCTGTTCCGGTGGTTCCTGGTACTCCTTCCCCTCCCATATCCAATATCCAATGTCCCAATGAAAATCCCGAAATTGTTCCAGACCACTCCTCGGTCTAATGATCCCGACACCTTCTGCGAGGTTGTTATGCCCTGATTGATGAACCAAAAACTCCACATGATGCGTTACGACCGTCTAATCCTTCCCGCGGGTGCCATGCCAAAGAGGCACCTCGCAAGAACGCCGATGAATGCTGATGCCGATGCCGATGCCGATGATGGTGGTGGTGGTGATAATAATAATACAAGATAAACGCTTCCGAGCAATTATTAGGAAAGAGATGGTGGTGGTGGTGGTGATGATGATAGTGGTGGTGATTGCAGCGTCGGCAGCCGGGAAGGCGATGGGGTCGTTCGCATCTGGCCGGAAAGAAGGAGGCGTATGGGGTTGCGCTTCGCCTCCATCATGACGAGATTGCCGGCAACTCGTTGTTTGAGCTTTGGTCGTTTCTGAGCCGAAAAGAGTCAGTGTCCGAGTCCTCCGAGCTTAGGCGAGTTGAGGGGAAAGTTGGAACTTACAGGCACCGGGGTCCCTGGGGTGCTGGTCACCGTTGTCCTTGGCCGAGTTGGTAAAGGTCGAGCCAAAGGTGGAGAGCATGTTGGACTGCTCAAAGGCAGTGGTGGTGGTGTTGTTGGTGGAGGCGAAGACAGTGAAGGCGGCCATGTTGGTAGTTGGTAATAGTAGTAGTAGTGAGAGTAAGAGTGAGAGTGAGAGTTGTTGTAGTTGTAGTTGTTGAAGTGAGTGGTAGTGAGGTGAGAAGTGTGTTTGCAAAGTGTGGAGGAGGCTGGAGTATTTATGATGATGATGATGATGTATAGAGGCAGGTATATATAACAAAGTTAGGACGAAAAGGGCGGCCTCTCAGGCGCGCTATTTCTTGAAACTCAATGACGATGGACTGTTCTTGAGCGCAAAGGCAAGGCGCCGGGGCCCAGTTATCGAAGCGTTTGCCTACATTGCGCAGCATAGCAGTGACAGTCTTTGGGGAGCAGATGGCTGATGGGCTGTGCACGCGGCGGTGATTGGCCCTTGAGGACGAGGCTACTTAGCTTCCGTGCAGCATCGAAGGTCCGGAAGGCTTCCACGATCCCTGCCGGCGGAAGGCTCACCAAGCATCCGCTTTTTTTACGGGGCCCTCGGGGCCACAGGGCCTGGGCGCACAGCTGGCGTGGCGCGTCGATGCTTGATGCCTGAGGTCGATGGTGCAGGCTCGTGGCTGAAGCGGCGAAAGGGGGGCCACCACGAATAAGGTGGCCAGGAACGAGTTGCGCGGCCTGAGTCGCGGGCAAGAGGTGAGGCGTCCCTGGGGCGACGATCGCGCCTGCCCGCCTGCCCGCAGCATCTCGTACCACAGAACCGCCAGAAATCGCTCATGAAACCGATGAAACACCTTTCTCGCCCATGGCGTCACTTGTCGCCGTGGGGAAGACGCTTCTCCCACGTGGCCGCGCCCAATCGCCCTCCCGATGCCGCTTCCCCGAGTGGAGCGCCTCGGGTACCTGCGGCGACAGCTGTCGTGGCCGAACAAGTGTTCGCTCGCCCCGAACGCGCGTTTTCACCTGACGCCGTGCTGCTGGGCATCGAATGGGACATGATCCGCGGGACAAGTCACGCGCAAACCCGACACATGTTGCCCCGGGCCATGACTTCACGGTCACGCGCTGGATCTCGGCGCGGGAGGGCTAATGAAGCGTGGCACCCCCATTAAGGCCGTGCCCAACTCTCTCTTTCCTGCCTGGCCACAAAGTCCAGACCCGGCCAAGAGCGCCCGCTCCACTACCCGCATTCCCAGCGCCCGGGTCCCTGGCTATAGGGCCTCTTGCCTATGATCGATACAAGTCGGGGCCAGCCTATACATCGATTCCATCGGATCCACCCCGACAACCCCTGCCTCCCCTTGATACTGCCCTATATCATCGCCCATCAAAGGCACCGAAACGGATTGGGATCCGCGTGGATCGTCATTAATTAGGGGCATTATACCACGCGAGCACGGTTGCCAATAATAGAACTCCAGATTGCCTCCACGAGATCGCGCCTAGCCATCCCGCACTGCGCGACCTCGTCTCTCCTGATCCCCCATGGCCTTGCCCAGAAATAGCAAGCGGCTGATCACGAACGACATGACGGCATCGGGGGCTCACCTTCACACCACCCCCTCTCGTCTCCTGAGCCTCTTCTTGCCCGGTGGTCCGCCTAACTTTAGATGCTCGACCACCCCAATGCTTCTTCGTATCGATGTTAGACTCCTGTGCCAGCTCCCGCCCCTTTTCCTTTTGCCTTTTGCCCGTCAACGTGCTTAGCGACGTCCTTCAGCCCCCGGATTGCCGTGCATGTACTGATGAAGACATGGTTGACTTACACAGCAAGGACAGCATCACCTACCCCTGACATGCTTCGTCCCGCCCGGAACAAATGGTCCAAATCATGAAACATCACCAAGCCAGAGGTGACACCCAGGAAGAGCTTGCGCCGGCCAAAACTATCAACGACGAAACAGAAGGACGTGATGGTGATAACATTGGCGATGTTTGAGACGCCGTGGAGGACCAGATGAGTGTCTGGATTTGTGACACCGATCTTTGTCAAGACATCAGCGAGATGGTATGGGACAAGATCTAACTCCAGTTAGCACCGGGAGAACGTTGTTTGAGTTTGGAGTCCTTCCCACCGTTTCTGGGCCACTGAGAAAAAAGACCGAGAATTGCAAGGCTGGGCACATGGCGACAGTTTCCTTTGGTTTCCACAACTCGGTCCAGGGCTTCCCTCGAACTCTTTCTCCGTCTTCAACGCACGCTGGATCTTTTGGTACTCGATCTGTACGACCTCGCAACGTACTGCTTCAGCTTTGCGCATACCAAACCGCAACCGACCTACCGAATGACTGCCCGAGTGACGCACCCACTCAGCACTTCACTACCATACGACACCCCGCTGCGGCAACGGCTAGCACTGGCATTTTCCCCTCGAATGGTCGGGCTACCGATCTTTCTACAGTATTCTGCGCCCCATGCTCGGTCTGTGTGTCGTCGCTGCCAGCTTGCCTGCCGTATTTCACTCACCGGACGGCCGCAAATCGGATGCTACGTCGAGCAGTGTGTTGGATACCCGAGGAGATTTGGGCGGACTAGAGAAAGAAAAATAGAGATATGAGAGGTGTTGTGGGAGAATTGGAAGGAGAGAGAAAGAGAGAGGATGAGAGAGAGAGGGAGGGAGGGAAGAAAGGAAAGTGGGAGAGAGAGGGAGAGACGAAGGAAGAAAGAAAGAAAGACAGAAAGAGGCAGAGGCAGAGAGAGCGTGTCGGCGGCTGTTCTCAGGGCTCAGCATGGTTTATCGGTAAAGGCCACACGCCATGGTGAAGGGTTAGTGATTAGAGATTTGGAAGCTGGGTTAGTTGTCGTCCGACGTGCCAGCTAGCACGCAGGGTACTGCTGTCAAACGGCAGTTGCTGCGACAACGGCCGGCGCAGTCGATAGGTATCGCGGTGCTCGTAAGGGTAAAACCGGCAGCAGGCCAAGAAAGCCGTATGCCAGTCCCGACACCGAGACAAATCCATGATGTGACAATCTCAAAACCGACACCCACAAGTTAGTTGCGGGGTGCAAGGAAACAGCCAATGTCGTCGCCCGCGATTAGATATGGCCGTACCGCGCGATCGGCCATTCGTGGCGCCGACGACAAGCGCGCCAAGACGCTAAGATTTCCCTCTCGAAAAGTTCACAAGCGCAACAACTCGCAGGCCTCGCCAGCACAGCCGATTGCCCCCGACCGCAGTCCCCAGCAGCAGCAGTAGCAGCCATGGCTTCCGACGAGATTGTCTGGCAGGTCATCAACCAGCAGTTCTGCTCCTTCAAGCTCAAGTACGTTTTCTGCCACGGTGCTCATTCCGCGCCCCACGGCAACAACAACCCGCTGACTTGGCGCTCTTTGCGCGCCCGCCCGCAGGACCACCAAGGACCAGAACTTCTGCCGCAACGAGTACAATGTCACGGGCCTCTGCAACCGCTCCTCCTGCCCGCTGGCAAACTCGCGCTACGCCACCATTCGCTCGCACCCCGAAACCGGCGCGCTTTACCTCTACATTAAGACGATCGAACGCTCTCACCAGGTCCGTGCAAGCAAGCAAGCGCCCTTCGGGCAATTAAAAGAACCCCACAGCAGCAGCAGCAGCCAACTAACTCGTACGTCTCGCAGCCAAACCGATGGTGGGAGCGCATAAAGCTCTCGTCCAACTATGCCAAGGCCCTCGAGCAAGTCGACCAGCGCCTAATCTACTGGCCCAAGTTCCTGATCCACAAAAACAAGCAGAGACTTACGCGCCTGACTCAGGTGCGCATAAGGTCGCAGCGCCTGGCCAAGGAGCAAGAGCGCCTGGGCGAGACGCTCGTGCCGAAGCTGGCGCCTAAGATCCGTCGCAGGGAAGAGACGAGGGAGCGCAAGGCCGAGGCCGCCGCCAAGCTCGAGAGGGCTATTGAGCGCGAGCTCATCGAGCGTCTGCGCAGCGGCGCTTACGGCGACCAGCCGCTGAACGTGGACGAGACGGTCTGGCGCAAGGTGCTTAGAGGGCTTGAGCGCGGTGGCGAGGGTGTCAGAGACGAAGATCTGGACGAGGGTATCGAGGACGAGGAATACGAGCACGAGCATGAGCAAGAGGAGGGCGTCGGCGATGTCGAGTACGTCAGCGACATTGACGGAAGCGAGTCTGAGGGCGACGTTGACGACTTGGAGGACTGGCTGGGCGAGGATGATGACGACGAGGAGGCCAGCGAGGAGGATGATGACGAGAGCGAAGAGGACGAGAGCAGCGAGGAGGACGAGGACGATGAGGAAGCCGAGAAGCTGAAGAAGGCGCTGGCCAGCATGAAGAGGAAACGGCCGGCGGGCCCGCCGCCGAAGCCCAAGAAGAAGAGTGCCAAGGGCCCCAAGCGCGAGATCGAGTATGAGTACGAGAAGGAGACGGGCCCGCGCCAGACTGTGTCTGCGTAGAGCGAGGATTTTATGGTTATGTACAGGCGTTTGGGCGCAGGGTTGAGCTGAGATAGCCTCAAAAGTTTGATTAGGATGAAGATTAGACCTTGTGCATGCCCAAAAACACTGCACGTCTGATCTCACACTTCGTCTACAGCATTTGCATTTCCTACGCTCTTGTATTTGACCGGTGCAGCAGCTCGCAACAGCTCTTTCGCGGAGCGGGCTTCCAGCAAGCAGCTTTGGGCGACGAGGCCGTACTAGGCGCCTCTGCTACGCCGATAGCATCGCAGTCGCGAACAGTGGTCCAGCGCCATCCTGGATAAACCACTGAGGTTGGCTGCCAAAATGGCTGTGACCAAAATCAGACGAGACACTAGGGGCTTAGTTGCCGGTGCTGATCAGGGTCACCAGTGTCTGGGGAAATGGTGGGGTAACGGTGTCTGGGGATATTCGGCTAAAGCGTTGCAAGGGCATGAGGCGCCACATGTGGGTTGAGGAATGCATCGCAAACGGCTCGACAAAACGCAAGACAAACGACGGGCAATCGCTATGGCGTGACCGGTGCGTCAGAGGAGAGAGAAACGCTGGTGCGTCGTGGCCGTTGGCCCGGCCGGTGTCTGCCGCTTCTCACAGACCGATGGATCATCGTCGTTTGGTTTGATGGACATTGTGTGGAAAATCCGGACATCATCTGATTGTTGGAGCTATTGTTAGCTCTCGTGTGTGTGTCCACGCAATAGTTGCCCCGAGTATCGTGGACCTAATAATCTGCCCAAAGACAAGTCCACTAAATTCGGGCGTACGGAACGGCGTCTACTGAGGTCGTGAATGACTCTTTGAACCCACGATGCGGTCGAGGCAGGCCTGGTGAGAGACACTCACAATCTCGTCGAAAATATCTCGGTAATAACCATGATCGGCTCACTTTATGAAGCGATTGTCCGATGTGGTCGGATATGAAGCGCTGGTGAGAGTCTTTATTGGCATCCTGGAGAATAGATGTTCGTTAAGACACGTGCTACTATGCCACACAGGCCAATCACAACTTCCGGTATCCACCATGTCCCACTGAAGCTTGAGATTCATGGCGATCCATGTCAAGGACAGGCTGTTCAAGATACCAGAGGCTTGGGACACTGCAGGTACAGCTTAGGCCTTGCTGCGCAACCTGGGATCTGCAGCACGCTACGAGGCATGGGCCGATAACGTAAAGCTAGCGCCATAGTTTTTTCTGGAGATGCCCCAGTTTGGATTTGCGTTGTCCGGCGAATTGTGCCTAAATGTAGCAAAGCTGCTCGTATGGGCGCAAATCTAGACTGTGGCGTGCGCCGGAAGGACGTAGTATCCGAGCGTGACTGTACATTGGGATGGTCGCAGTCTACACTGTGGCAACAAATGTCATGCGGTAGGTAGTCGTGTCCGGTGCTTCACGTCCGAGCGAGGCTAGAAAAGTTTTCATCCAGACTCGCTGCTGTGCCCAATGGAGGAGTTGTGTCCGCTGCTATACTCACTAGCCGACTCGCCTTCCGCCAAAGCTTCCGTCTGAGCAGTGTCTTTGTCCGAGTCGGCGATATCAGAGTCGCCAGCGGCGGCTCCAGCCTTCGAGTCAAGGTCGTTTCCACTCGCAGGACCCTTTCCACGCTTGCCGCCGCGGGCCGGTTCCTTGACAAGGACGCTTCGGGTCCATGTGGTTCCGTTCCAGATGCGTGACGCGTCTGGCTCATCATCATCTTCGCCTTCCACGAAGGTAAGGTCACCGGTCTCCCCCAAGACATCTGTGGCCGCTTCCTCAAGGAGAATGCCCATGGCCAACAAGGCCGTCTCGTCCATGCTCTTGAAGTCCCGCTTACTGAGCTCTCCCAGCGCAGCAGCGTAAAAGTTGGACGAGTACGCGTGCACTGCTTTGAGCAGGTCCGAGTCTGGCAATGGCTGGCCGGGTCCTAGATGGCGGTCCGTCCAGTAGATGTCGTCTTCCTCGAAGCGGTCCGGGGCATTCTTCTGTTTGAACAGAATCTCGTCTGGCGGCAGTGGCACTCGAGACGAGGAAGTCGTATCACGGTTCTTCGAAACAAAGGGGTGGGCAGAGAGGAAGCCATTGCCGCCCACGCGCGCTGTGCCTCGTTTAGATGACTTTTCATGAGAGGACGACGGGCAGCGCACCTGCTACAGCGTCGTAGACGGTCGCTACGCGTCTCCGAGACACGCGATCCAGGTCGTCGGCGCTGGACTGGCGTTTCAATGGCTGCGGCATGACGATGTCAGAAGCTGTAACACGTGCGTGCGCGCGTAAGTTGTGAAGGACGGCGGCGTCGGTCGTCGAGGCCGCTGGTGCCGCTCTCAGGTCGCGAGTCATGGTCTCGGCCCCGCTGCGTCATCCCACGTCCCACGTCGACTCTCCACCTCTCCACCACTCCACCACGGCCACATCAGACCCACGCTCGACACCACTGCCAAATGCATGAATTTGAATCCTCTTCTCCTGAACCGGCAGTTGGGCACCCTCAGCCCACGGGCCTTCTGTCGCGCTGAGACGACGCGCCGGCTCCATGCCCTGCAGCCCACAACACTGCAGTTCGACGGTGCGCCGCCGCAAGATGCCCGTAGCGCTGCCGTCCCGCATCGCGACGTCCTGGCGCACCCGGCCGGCGTCAACGCCCTAACCATTGACAAGTTCGAAGGTCGCTGGATGCTGTCCGGCGGCGCCGACTCCTCTGTCGCGTTGTGGGACCTCGAAGCCGTGGCCCAGCCCGCCGGCGACGGCGACACGTCCACCCAGACCCTCGTGCCGCTCGACTCGCTGCGCAAGACGTCGACCGCCCACAGCTTCGGCATCACCCACCTGTCGTTCTACCCGTTCGACTCTCTCGCCTTCCTCTCCTCGTCCTACGACCACACGCTCAAGGTGTACGCGTCGGAGACGCTCGCCGCGTCGGCCTCGTTCGACCTGCACGCCGTCATCTACTCGCACGCCCTCTCGCCCATCGCGCAGCACCTACTCGTCGCGTGCGCGACGCAAACGCCGCGGGTACGTCTCGTCGACCTCCGCTCCGGCGCGGCGACGCACTCGCTCGCAGGGCACAGCGGCGCGGTTCTGTCCGTCGTGTGGAGCCCAATCGACGACCACGTTCTCGCCAGCGGCGGCACCGACGGCACCGTCCGCTTCTGGGACGTCCGCCGCAGCGCCGGGTGTCTGGGTGTGCTGGACGCGGAGGATTCTGTAGGCGTTTTTGGCGCGGACGGCTTGGGCACCAGCGCGGCGCGCAGTAGCAGGCAGGTTGGGCGCGCGCATGCCGCTGCGGTCAATGGCGTTGTCTGGACAGACGACGGTCGGCACCTCGTCACGACGGGCCACGACGAGCGCGTCCGCGTCTGGGACGCCATGACGGGCGCGAACACGCTCGCCTCATTCGGCCCCACGATCAAGAACGCGCATCTCTCGACGCTGCTGCCGCTGATCAGCCCGCCGGGCCTCGTCGCCCCAGGAAAGGACGTCCTCTTCTACCCCAGCGAGCACGAAATCCTCGTCTACGAGCTCTTTGACGGGCGCCTGCTCAAGCGGCTCAAAACGCCGGGCGCGGCCCCCGCAGTCCCCACCGGCGGGCCTGGCCCGGCACGACGCGGCGGCGGCAATCGCGGCAGTGGCAGCGGGAACAGCGGGAATGGTGGTGGTGGTGGCGGTGGCGGCAGTAGTAGTGGGGCTCAAGCAGCTGCAGCGGCAGCAACATCGGCAGCACCCCGCAGCGCCAAGGCTAGAGCGCGCACGACGGCGCTGGCGTGGCGCGCCCACGACGTGCACCTCTTCTCGGCACATGGCGACGGGCGGATCCGGGCATGGGCGCCGCGCACGCCTGAGGATGCGCTGGCCGACGACGAGGAGCTCGCTGAGCGAGATGCTGCCGAGGGGAGCCGCAAGCGTAAGCGCGATGAGCTCGATGCCATTTATCGCGATTTTTCAAGGAGGCAGGGGGGTATTTTGTAGGTAGGGGTGATGGGGACGGCGCAAAGCACCTTTAGTGGCTGGTTGTGGGTGTTGTAGTATAATACTTACTTAGTACAGGCAGGGCTGTTTCGGTTGACAGTCAAGCCGCATACAAAGCAAACATGTTCCTAGCACCATTTAAAATGATGAGTGTGTTTTATGAAGGCACGAAAGTAGAAGATAAAGGTAATAAAGATATAAAGATATTTAAAGGAGTATAGGGGAAGAATATAGTAATGCGAATGTGTTGTAGATTTTTGTAGGCATATTCAGGTACGTATAGTGAGGAAGCTATCTGCAGCTGTATAGAAATCTTAATAACATAAACTTGTAAAGCTAATTTTTGGAGATATATTTTTGGTAGTACGTGGTGGTAATTTAGAGTTTTATGTATCAGTGTTTGACGTGATTGGTTGACTTGCTTCTTTTTTGTGTTGGAGTGGGTTGTTGATGTTGCCGATGGTGGCTGTATATGTGTGACGTTTGGTACGGCTGTGGTATATAGTTTGTTGGGTTTTGTTGGGAGTATGGTTGTCTTTTTGGATGTTTGATTTAGTATTTTCTAAACAAGTAGATATGACGAGTAAAGATAAAGTAACTCTCACACTCCTTTGCTTCGCGCTATTGCACCTCTGTAAAGTGCTCTGGTGTTCTCATACTATATCCTTCATGGAGCACTCTCGTACCTTCATATTTATTAATCTCGTATATATAAAATGTCTCGCGTATCAAGTACAGATTGTCTAGGACTAAAAGAAGATGTACACTTTTAAACGCCGTTGTCTTTTATGAGGATAAGAACATCATACTGTCACTGAGTCGACAGTGATGGGAACCGACTACACCCAACTCAAGCCGGACGTGATATTAAACCGGACCCAGACCCACCGACTTAGGCTCAGTGGACGTCCTCACAAACTTCCCCCTCAACTCCACCGACGACTTCACCCCCGCCTCTTCCTGCAACTCCTTCAGCTCCTTTAACGGCGGAATATCCTCCAACATGCCCTCAGCCAGCCTATCCCACAAAATGCCACACTCGGGCTTCCTCGCGCTCTCGACCAGCAACGTCCTCTTATCCGTCACCACGACATCACAGACGGTATCGAAGACATCGGCGCGCAAGTCCATGTCCTCGACAACCTGGCACTCATGGACGAGCGCCACAGCCGGGGTGTCCTTGCCCACGACGCCCAAGCTATACAGCATGCCCCACTCGAGGTCGAAGAAGCCACGGCCCTTGCCGACGCGGACGCCGCCCGTGCTCACAGCACCAGACCCGGTAACGAGCAGGTCGACGGTCCAGCGGTCGTGCTCCTCGACCATCTCGCGCAGCAGGACGCCCTGGCCAACGCGCTCCATGCCGTCGAGCGAGGCGGCGTAGGCGCGCGCCCACTCGCCCGTCCCCGTCCCGTCCGTTGCGCCCGTGCACCCCGCCTCCAGCGCCACGAAGCCGCGCTTAATCCCGTACGTCGTCACCAGCAGCGTCTTGCCGTCGGCCAGCACGCGCCGCCGCAGCTCCTCCAGGCAGTTGTCGGGCGCGACGAAGACGACTCGCGCCGCGTGGTAGGCCGGCAGCGCCGTCAGTCGCGTTGTCGCCGCGCTGCTGCCCGAGAAGTCCGCGATGAAGGACGTGAAGTCGTAGTTGAAGCGGGAGTCTGGTAGCGCGATTGGTCGTAGGGCAGGCCAGATTCGTTGGCGGATCGTCGCTTTTTGGGTTTCGATGTCTGTGGGGGTGGGGCGGGAGGGAGCGGGGGTTGTGCGCTCGGGTGGAGACATTGTTTCAAGGCGGACGTTGCTTGTTTGATGTGAGAGGATTTAGGTATGGTTTAAGGCCCTCCTTTGGTTTGGTGATGTTATGCAGGGAAGCCCTTGAGACGCTGTTTCCTGAATATTGATGTCTGCTCGATACCAGTGGAATCAGCCTTCTCTTTTTGCACGCGTCTTCAGTCCGAGCTCTTTCGGTAGATCTGAACACACAGACCTGGCTTCGCTGTCTTTCAATTGCTTTGGCTGTTGGAGTCGGTGAGCAAACACGGCGTGACGTTGACCAATATGGAATATGGTGAAGTGTGAATCGGTCCGTTTTGGACGCCCGCTGGTTTCGGCCCGTGGATTCTGGTGATATCCGACGTACGACACTGTAGCTACGACTGCTATATTGGTTAAGCAGTGAGAGAGGTTCATGTAATATAGAGAGCGGGCGGCAGCGAGGTTTTGTGGGGCAAGCCTTCTCAGTGTAAGTGAAATACCAATTCAGGATCGTGGCAAAACCAGTTAAACTTTTCTTAACGCTGAAAAGAGAAGAGAAAAGGGCCGCTTGGTGACTAGTCTTATGTCTTTATCCGCCTATTTTGCATAGACAACGAAACTATGCAAATTCATTGACGTCGAAGTTAAGAGCCGGCTCAACCCCGGACTCCAGGCAGCTGTCGCGCAACCCAGCGTCGTCCAGCTCGCGACAACACCATCACCCACCACAACGACACCATCTAGCACCCTCACCAGCGCCATGATGCCCGGGGTGCGATACCCGGACAGCTCCGCGGCCGGCAGCAAGCGGCCCTTTGCAGACGACGACAATGCCGCCTACGCCCACCCGCCCAAGCGCACGCGCACCGTCCGTCACGCCCTCCACCACCGCCAGCAATGGCACGCCGACCCGACCCTCGCGCCCCAGGACGAGGCCTTCTTCCAGAGCCAGCTGCTGCGCGCCATCTCGATCGCGCTGGCCGCCGCGGGCTTCGAGGGCGCGAAGCCCACGGCGCTGGAGGCGTTTCGCGCCCAGGTCGACGAGTGTATGTGCCCCGAGCCCATGGGCTACTTGCAGCCGGATAGCCCTAGCAGCAATAGAAGCTCACCAGACGCAATCCGCACAGACATGCGCCACTTCCTCAGCGACGTCCGAACCTCGATGCAGCACTCACGGCGCGCGACGCCCGTGCCACAAGACTTCAGCTACGCGCTCACGCACACGGGCTACAGCTCCTCAACACTAGAGCCGCAAACCTCGCTCCCAATCCCCACCACGATAACGCAGCCGCCGCTCCCGGCACCGCCGCCGCACGAGCCCGCGCCGCCAGACCTCGACGCCGTGCTCGGCCCCGCCCTCTCGGGCGCCGCGGACAAGGCCGCTCGCGAATATATCCCTGCGCACTTGCCCGCCTTCCCCAGCAAGCACACCTGGCAGGCCACGCCCGTGTACAGCGCCCGCGAAACGGATCCCCGCCGCATCCGCGAGCGCGCGACCCAGGAGGGCGTCCTGGCCGAGCAGGCGCTGCGCAAGCTGATGGCTGCGAACCGGGGCGGGGGGAGCCGTGCGAGTGGTGGGCGTGGCCGTTCCAGGGGCAGTGGGGGTGGTGTTGGGGCGGCGAAAGCCGGCGCCCGCGCTATGTGGGAGGACGCTATGCGCGAGGTGTTGCGCGAGGAGGGAAAAGGCGCCAAGGACTCGGCTGGGGATTTGGTCATGGGTGGGATGGATGGGTCGGCGGGGGTGGCGGAGCTGAGGAAGGAGCCTGCTGCTGATGATGAGGGCAGGATTAATGGCGGGCTGTTGGTCAATTACGACAAGAAGTACTGGCGCAAGGGCACGCAGACGGCGGCATGGTCATGAGCACAGGAGAGCGGAGCGAACCGGACAGAGACTAGGTATTTTTGGTGACGGGGAAGAAGAAAGACAGGCACAGGCACAGCCCAGGACGGACGGAACAACAACAACAACAACAACAACAACAACAACAACAACAGGCAAGGGTATGGAGCAGGACCAGGATCACACACAGCGCGGCGTTTTTACTTTTGGAGGAACCATTTGCCAGGGTTAGCCAAGCAGGCTACGCTACTATACCACTCGAAAAGGCGCACAAGAGAGCAGCAGCAGCAGCGCGCTCGCTCACCTCAGCCCGCCGCCCTTGCCGCCAAAGCCGCCGCTGTCCTCAATCTTCTTCTGGCCGCGCTGGCTCTTCTGCTGCGCGGCCTCGTGCTTGCGCAGCTCCTCGGGCACGCGCGAGATGGAGCTCTTGCTGAGCATCTGCTTGAGGTCGTACCTGGGCGGGGGCAATGAATGTTAGCCAGAGCAAGTCTTTCAATCGCAAAAGCAAGCAACAAGCAGGAGCAGCTACTACTAGAACAACAGCAAAAAGGGAGCAGAGAAGAAGAGAGGAAATGAAAGAAGAAAACACATACATGACGTCCGTGTCCTCGTTGCCCAAGAACGTAATGGCGATACCGCTCTTGCCCGCACGACCCGTGCGGCCGATTCTGTGCGTGTAGCTCTCGATATTCGTGGCCATGTTGAAGTTGACGACGAGACTGACGTCGGGGACATCGATACCACGGCCGGCAAGGTCGGTGGCGACGAGCACGTCGGTGGAGCCGTTGCGCAGGCTCGCCAGCGCGGCCTCGCGCTGCTCCTGCGTCTTGCTGCCGTGCAGCGTGACGGAGCTGAAGCCCATGTGCTTGATGTCGCGGGCGACGGCGTCGCAGTTGCGCTTGATGTTGACGAAGACGATGATGGGCGGCGCGAAGTCGCCCGAGTTGAGAATCTCCTGCAGCCGCTTCTTGCGCTTGTCCTCGCCCGAGACGAACTCGACGCGCTGCTCGACCGTCTCGACCGCCTCGCCGACGTTGCCAATCGTCACGATCGCGGGCCGCCGCAGGTACTTGCGCGCGATGCGCTCGACGGCTGCCGGCATCGTCGCCGTGTACATCATCGTTTGCCGGTACCGGTCTTTGCCGCCCAGGTGCTGGCTCATGGCCGCGGCGTTCTCGGCGTCGTCCGTGTCCGGCTTCTCGTTGCCGACGGGGAGCGCGTCGAGGATCTTGTTGACGGGCTCTTCAAAGCCCAGGTCGATCATGCGGTCTGCTTCGTCCATGATGACGTAGCAGCACTGGCCGAGCACCAGGACGCGCCGCTCGATGCAGTCGACTAGACGGCCGGGCGTCGCGATGATGATTTCCGCGCCGTCGCGCATGTTGTACGCTTGCTCTTCGATCGAGTGTCCACCGACGATACTGACGCAAGTGAAGCCGAGCGGCGTGGCGAATTTCTTTGCTTCGATCTCAATCTGTTGCGCCAGTTCACGGGTGGGTGCCAGGATGATGGCGTACGGGCCATCGTTCTTGGTGAACTCGTTGAGGGGAGGAAGCTCCGAGATGTAGACGAGTAGCGGAAGAAGGAAGGCTGCCGTCTTACCGGAACCGGTGACGGCCACACCGATAAGGTCGCGAGACTGGAGAGCAATGGGAATGGCTGCGCGCTGGACGGCCGACGGCTCAACGTAGCCCACCTCGTTGACAATGTCAAGCAAGCGTTTCGGCAAGCCAGATTCCGTCCATGACCGCATGGGGTTCGGTATGGAGCCACCCTTGGTGCTGATGTTGAAGTCCTCCTTGAAGATACGCCAGTCTCTCTCGCGCATCTGGTCCAGTCTTTTCTCGCTCCAGTGCTTCTCCAGGAGGGCACGACCGCCCTCTTCCTTGCGTCTGCGCTCCATTTCCAGGATCTCAGCCGCGCGCGCACTGCCCGCTTCCCGATCTCTTTCTTCCAATGCCCGAGCATAGCGCCTGGTAGCCCCGTCCACGACGTCGTCGGAGAAACCACCCAGACGGCCTCTCCCAAAGAAGCCCGCCTCGGCGCGGGATTGATAGAGCGGGTTGTAGTCGGTGCTTGTGTCTTCTTCGGCATTCCACTCAAAGTTGAACTTCTTCTCCGTCGTCCGCTTGCGCTTCTTTTTCGCTGAGAACGTCGATGTGTTTTGCTCGGCTCCCATGTATCTTTGCCGTATCAATGCCGCCTCGGTATCCTCTGGCGATTGCCTCTTCTCACCCGCCTTTTTGTCCCCAGTAGGTGCAGTGATCGCGACGGGCTTCGGGGGTGGAGGAGGAGCCATATCGTAGCCTTGGTTGGGCATTCCGCGCATCGCTCTGGGTCCAGTCGGTATGGCAGATCTGCCATTTGACTGATTGCCGTTCACACCGTTTACCGACGAGTTGGTGCTGGGTCTGCTGTTCGCAGGGCTCCCGGACGTCGACCGCTCGGATTCAGCTCTGCGCTTTTGGTTCTCCACATCTTTCTGGCGCTTCTCGATGGCCAACTTCTCGCGCTGGGCTTTGGAGAGGAATTTAGGCTGGTGCAAAGGTCAGCTACACGGGTATCGGAACAAGTGCACACTAAAGACGTCTTGTAAATAAAAGACCATAGCTCTGCATGCGCGATACTTACTTTTGCGGCAGCGGCGTCGGCCTCTTTCTTCTTCTTGAGGATCTCCTCGATGCTCAGCGGCTCCTTCTTGGGCTTCGGGGCGCCCCATCCCTTCTTCTTGGGCGGCACTTCCGGAGCTAGAGACTCCTCGGGCGGAGGCGGCGGTGGGGGAAAGTCGTCTGGCGGAGGTGGCGCGGGCGCATCCTCTGGCGGCGGCGGCGGAGCGAAGCCATCCGGGGGCGGAGGCGGCACTTCGGGTGCAGCAGGAGGCGGGGGGATGTTCGGGTTGGAGTCGTAGTCCATGGCGCGAGGATGTGGTGGTGGGCACAGGCGCGTGTCTGCGGCGAACGGATGTAGGCCGGTAGGTCGGCGGGGGCTTGGCGCGCGGGAGTCCGCCGGGCTCCGCCGGGCTCCGCTGAAACATTCCGCCCCCGGTCGTTGGGCGTCAATGTCCCAGTGATGCCCCGCGCGCCCGCACAGATCTGCAGCGTCCCCCCTAGGAACGCCCGCCATCGAGGCGCCCAGCCCGTCCCACGCGGCGCCAGAGACCAGGAGCAGGTGCAGAAGTCTCAAGTGCGCTGTCAGAAGGCAACGTAGCTGGCGCCCGGCGATTGGCTGCTAGACCCCCTTTACAGCCAATTGCGCCGCCCCAACGAGGGGTATGTACTCGGCGCATGACGCATCATCCATATCAGTCGCCTGCATACGCTTCTTAAAGGTCCACGTCCACCTCGTCCCAAACGCCCCAGAGACGACTCCTGAACCTAGCCGGCCGTAATCTCTGGCTCAACAACTCACCGGTAGCTCCCCACTCTCGCCGCACCAGTTTATTCACACCGCCCTCGTGTGGCTTGCCCTCGAATAAAGGTCGTTCGAGGTACCGCCCAGAGCCGCATCCTTCGCCTCTTTCACTGTGGACAATAACTTTCTGCCCGCCTGACTAACTTCCGGATCTCTTCACCCACTGTACAGCTTCCACGCATGATTCCCATTCTGTCCCACCACTGCCGTGCCTGTTCCTACAACACCCCCGTCCTCTTCTCCGCCTCCGTCTTCTCCCAGAACCACACCTGCAACTACGTAAGCTTATTGCTCTGGCGAGCCTGCGGTCACTGACCTCGACCGAATAGTGCGGAATCACGTCCATAGGCCTGTGCCAGCGCGATTCAAAACCAACAGAAACAGCCGACATGCAGCAAGACGAGCTGGCCCGGCTTTTCAGCCAGAGCCTCAACTTTTCCAACACGCCACAGCCGGTTCAGCAGCAGCCTGAGCCGCAGTATGTGGAAGCCGAGCAGATGCAGCACGAGCAGCCCTCCCAACAACAGCAACAGCAACCCATAGTATACTCCTCCATGCACTACACGCATTCATACCACATCCAGCGCGCCCAATCCGAGCCCTCAATGAGCAGCAACAGCAACAGCACAGCGCCGTCGCAACCGCAGCCCCTCTCGCACAACGAGCTCTACGACATCTTCTCCCGCCACAGCATCGACATGACGGCTCTCATCCCCAGCCAGGTCGCGCTGTTCCAAGCCGCGTCGGACGACCAAAAACTGCGGCTGCTAGAGCTATGGCGGATCGCGCCGCCGACATACGGCGGGCAGCACGAGCTGTCGAGCGCGCTGCACGGGGCGTGGCCGGCCACCAGCCTGCAGCAAGAAGAGCAGATGGCGCGGGCGCGGTACGAGCGGATGCAGCGCGCCGCAACCACAGGCGGGTGGCAAGCGCCGGCGCAGCAACAGCAACAACAGCAACAGCGCCTCGCGCTGCAAACCGATGTAGACGACATGGCCGACGACGCGACGTCGCTGACGACGGCATCGTCGCCGACCTCGTCCGCCCTCGCCAGCCCCACGCCCATGCACGCCGCCCTGCACGCCCACGCCGCAGAGCCGTACATGCTGTCCGGGTACGAGGCGCTCGCGAAGCGCGACTACGACCGACAGCCTGGCGCGCACGTCTCGCGTGCCACGGACCCCGTGTACGACATGGAGAACCGGTACGGCGAGTTCTTGGCCATGAGGGAGTACGGGGGCGCCGGGGGTTGGGCCGCGCATGGCGGCGACGAGGAGATGGCTATGTGAGGGGCTGGGCTGGGCTGCCCTGCTGCTGCGTGGCCAGGGCAATTTCGCTTTTTTTCTTCTGCTTCTTCTTCCGCGGACCGTTGCTTTTTGGTTAGGGGTTACAGTTTTACTTTTTCTTTATTTGTTTCGATTGGGGCTTTGGTATTGTTTTGGCCGGGCGGGGATTAGATGCCACGAAGAAGGCTGGAATGGAAGACTGCCTTCCTCGGCGGACGGGACGCATGATGGACAAATGACGGGGGCCGGACGGCATGGATGGATTGGAACCTTATAGGCATAGCTGGCGCTTGGGCAGGCTTGACAATGCGTTTGGGATAAACAAGGCCGCTGCATACGGGACGTTAATTGTTTGAGACACTGTACGTAGGCGGGAGACAAGGGCCGTCGGCGCGTACTGTATGTATGTACGACGGTCGGTGGGGTAGATATTGCTGCAGTTTACATACCATACCCCCTTGAGCTAGGGCTATGAGCACGAGCTCCGTAACTAGCTAAGAATTGGTCTGTAGAGAGCATTTTGATCTACTTACAAGAGCATGTTTACCCCCGGGGCCGTGATAAGGTGCAGTGGCCCCGAGGCGCGGTTGATTTAGTCGTCTCCGTTGTTGTCGCGCATGCGCGCAGTGTTATGGATATACGCAGACCTACAATAGATGCTAACGCCGACCGGACGGAAAGCGTACCAAACAACAATAAAAGATGACCGAGGACTGTATAAGAAATACATCAGCTTTACTTGCACGATGGTGGTTCCGGCTACACTTAGAGCTGTGTACGGCACACGCACCGGCCGGGACTTATCCGACCGCGCCTCGCCCCGGACTCGGTCATACGTCAGTCAGATAGTTCGATTCAGTACGATCAGACTGCATGCTTCTACGTATTATGCCGTAAGCGCGTCTCATGCCAGCGAAAATGTCTAATTGAACATTCATCATCAGTTCGCCTTGCTCTCTGGCCGTGAGAGCACGGCGCTGCGTGCACCTCTTCCCCACAATAACCCAAGATGGCTCTTCGTTATCAGCCCGGCCTGGATAGTATGTAACTCGACCCCTACTACTGCGTCTAGGTAAGAATCCACAACAAGCAGCACGCCGCCGCCGCTTAGTCCTGCCTGCCCTTCAACAGCCTCTTGGTCACCTTGTCCTTCTCGATGATGTAGACGTGCGCGCCCCAGCCGGATAACGCGTCTCTGTCGACGGCGTTGAGCAGCGCTTGCGAGACGGTCTCGAAGAGATCCTCGGGGCCCTGCGGGTGAAGTCAGATGTTAACGAGCTGTCCCGGAGAAACGACTGCATTGAACAGGACGCGGCACTCACCAAGTCAGGCTCCCACAAGCCCTCGCACGTTCCGAATAGCTGATCGCTCGCCGTACCGCTGACGATGAAGTCCTTGGCGAAGTCAATGCAGCCGATGCTGTCGAAGCCGCAGATGAAGGGCTTGCCGGTGGTGTGGTTGATGCCGGCGATGACGGGGGAGACGAAGTAAGGGCCGAAGCGGCGCTCATAAAGCGTGCTCGAGACGAGGTTGGCCATGGTCTGGGGGCTGATCTGGCGCTCCTCGCGCAGGCGGTACATGTTGACCTTGTAGCGGAAGAGGTCCGAGACGGTGCTGACGTCCGTGGCCAGGCCCGTCAGGCCCAGGTACACGTCGCCGTAGCTGAAGATCTTGGGGAAGTTGTTGGACACCGTCAGCGCCTGCATGCCCAGGCGCAGGTCGCAGGCGATGGCCACGCAGTCTTTGCCGACCATGGCGACGCAGGCGCCGCCGTCTGCGGGGTTGTGCGGTTAGAAATGGAGGGCTTGCGGGGGGAGCTGCGGGGAGCTATACTTATGCTGAAGGGCGATGACTGCGCTGTCGTTAGCTGGAGCTATCATGAGGTGCTGATGGGGAGCTAGCTCACCATGGCTGCGGTCAGAGTCTGAGATGGATGTCGATGGAACCCGAGCTGGAAGCTTGTCCCCGGGAACTCGAGTGCGGTGGGGTGCAGCGGCGGGTGGGCGAGTCGGATGGGGGAATGGTAGCTCGAGGCGGAGGTCGGTAAATGGTGTTGGTAGGCAGCTCGTTGTACGCGGCGGCGGCGAGTCGGTGATGGGAGTGCCAGGCCAGGTCCAAGCTCTCTTCGTTCGGCAAGTGCCGCGCAACTTTCTATCTACCCGGCGCGCATCTCTCACATTTCTCAACCCGCCCGTCCTTGACGCCGAATCCACCGCAATTACCCGCCATGGCGTCCATACAGCAGCACGTACAACTGGCCAAGACGCTGCCGCCGCGTCTTATGCGCTTTTTCCAGAGGTACCCGCCGCCGTCCCTCGTTCCGCCGACCGCGACCGCGACCGCGACCGCAAACACCACCACCGCCGACGCGGGGACGCCCACCACCATCGTTTCCCCAGAGAAGACGTACCGCAACCCATTCAAGCCGCACTTCAACACCATCACTGGCCGGTGGCAGAGCCCTGCTTTTGGACTGCGGCGCCAAGCTGAGCTGTGCAAGCTCGCATCAAAGCACGGCGTCGAAGAACTGTTGCCCTACTCGATCAAGAAGTCCGGCGAGCGTGAGAAGCGCCGTGAGGAGAAGGGTCTGCGCGTCCGCGGTACGGGTGTTGGCCAGAAGGTCAAGGGTAAGGCGTGGGAGCGCCAGCTCAAGGGCAAGTTGGAGGAGAGGAGACAAGCCATGTTGAACATGCCCCAGATGGTCCAGGAATGGAAACAGGTATGTGGTTTATTCAAATCCCTAAGTATTGGAATTATACTAACGTCTTGTACAGCGTGGTCACGGTCGTGGATGGAAGAAGTGGCCCAAATAAAGGTCTGGGTGGGATTGATGCGGTCTCTGTCTCGATTGACGGAGCCATTGGTGCGGCATTGGCTATGTTTCTAGCTGGTGCATAAGAGTCGGGAATGGAAAGTGAGCCATAGTGTCACGCCGTATGGGAAAACATGCATTGGACGGAGCGGTATTGCGCAAAAAGGTGTGCAAACTTGGTGGCGTTTAGAGGAATGAATGTACAGAACATCAATTGTAAGATTCAAGACAGGAGATATCTTACAGTCAAGACTGGTTACGTCTTTTGAGCTGGTCAGCAAATCCCGACCCTTGAAAAGAGGTCTACTGGTCATCGATGCATGCGCGCTCAAAGAGCCAACGGTGCTGTTTGGAAAAATAGTATAGGTATAGGTATGTTTTCATTAATTTGGCTCTTCCTGTTTGTACAATTCTTTTCTTTCAAAAATCATTCGTTATGGTCTGAGTCCAAGAAAGAGGTGTGGAAGCAATGAGGGAGGATTGGTGGTGAGGTTACTAGAACGGAGAGCGCACCTTCCAACCTCAGTGCTCGAGGCAGGCACCTGCCCAGGCTCTCTCCGTCTTTGTTCGGCTACTTTTTAGTTGCTGCAATATCTAGGTCTTCGACACCGCACCTTAAAATTCGAGCTGCAACAAGTTTTTGCGTAGTCGCCTCTATCCACCCCACGCAGCTCCAATGCGTCGTCCAAAGCCATGTCTATACGTCGAGGTGCGCCTCAAAAAGTTAGCAAACGAGTTCCTTCGAACGGATCTGGTAAGTTGTCTCATCGTCTCAGCAACATCACAGACTTACGCAGCATAGGTTCGTGATGAAGTGTCAGCATGGCTTCCAACGGCTTTTTTAAACCTCCGGATCAATCAACCAATCACTGGTTACGAGAGCCTGTTGCATAGCGCAAATATTGAATCCATCAACGTCGTCGACTTTGATGGCGAAACGGATGTCCATCACCGACTTGAAGATGTTCAGCTAGATGTTCAAGCATACGAGCTCTATTTCCCTGAAGACGAGTCAAATGACTCTGAAAGCGCGGACACCGATGGCGATGAAACAGCACCAAAGCTCCGCGTCACTCAGCTTCCAAGTACCTCCTTAGATGGCCTCTGGAAATCGTTAGTTAACTCGTAACGGGTCAGTTGACGTTGACTAACAATCATTGTAGTCTGGTCTTCGAAAAGCAGTTCCATTTCAGGCTCTTGCGATACACAGCACGTATGATGGAGATCTCCAAAAGGCCAATGTTAGACATGAGCCTGATGAACTGGAACCGTCTGCTATTACTGCATGGCCCTCCAGGTAGCGGCAAGACTACGCTTTGCCGGGCGCTCGCCCAGAACCTAACTATCCGTCTTGGCCGACACTATACGAATAGCAAACTAGTTGAAATTGATTCACAGTCTCTTCTCAGCAAGTGGTTCGGCGAGAGCGGTAAGCTGGTCGGTAAAATCTTTGAACAGATCCAAGTGATGGCGAATGACGACGCAACGTTAGTCTGCGTTCTCATTGATGAAGTAGAAACGATAGCAGGAGCTCGCGAAAAGAGCCTTGGAAGTAATGATGTGAGGGATGCTATGAGGGTAGGTCTGCAAGACATTGAATGCTCTATACACATTTACTAACGCCGATCAGGCTACAAATCAGCTGCTTACGGGGCTTGATCGTTTGCGCTACCGCTCTAATATCATTGTACTATGCACTAGCAACCTCTTGACTGCTATAGTATGACACATACCCACAACGATAGATCACTTATTGTTTATACTCACATTATGTAGGATTCAGCATTTCTCGACCGGACAGATGTCAAGCAATTCATCCCTAATCCCGGAGAAAGAGCGATCTACGACATTCTACGCTCGTCGATCAATGAGCTCATACGCTGCAAGCTACTCGTTCTCTCGGGTCCGGATGACATCCCTGAGACACGCACAATGGGAATGGATATGGCTTCTGACAACACTACCCCAGACAATATGACATTGGACTGTCTAACCTTGGAGGGTGAGCGTGTCGACTCAACACCTATTCACACTCTCGAAGAGCCAGTTAGTCTGGCATTTATTCCTACTTTTGCTGAAATGAGACTCCATCTGAACAATCATCCAAACAGTCCTGGAAGAAGACTGTGGCATATTGCGCAGAGATGTCAGGTGTGTCTTTCGAAAAGCTTTCTGCCTAAATCGACCCGACGCTGATTACGTGCTTAGGGCATGAGTGGAAGAGCACTGCGTCGTTTACCTTTCCTTGCATTAGGGATGCATACGTTTGCAGATCCTGTTTTCGTCGATGAAGGGCTTGCAGCGCTGGAGCTGGCTGTAGATGATCAGCTGTCAACATCCCCAGGGGTTGACGACATGCTGCATCTGTAATGCGCATCTGACATATTGCAGCTATCGCCGTTCGTTGTCGTGACACATTACAGAGCCGTCTTGTCCAGCATATCCGCCAGCGCGTCAACGCTCTTGTCCTTTTCCTGCGCCACTGCCGCCTGTTCGGCCTCTTCTGCGCGTTTTACCACGCGCTCAGCCTGATCATCGGCGTCGACACCCTCCTCATCCTCGTCCTCATCCTCACCCTCTTCCTCGTCGCTCTCATCATCCAACTCATCCAACTCATCGAGACCCCACTCCTCGTTTTCAGGCAGAGCATCGACAAACTCCGGGTCCGCAGCCTCCTTGCGCTCATCAAATGCCTCGCGCAGCTTCTCGATGCTCTCATCGTCTTCGGAGAAGCGGTTGCCGTTGATTTCGAAGCGGCGCAGCTTGGGCAGCGCGTCAACAGTCGCATTAGCCAAGCTTTCAAGGCCCTTGGCGTCAATTTCATTGTATTGCAGGCGCAGGATCTCCAGCTCCTTGTTACCGCCGCGTGCCAGTGCCTTGCCCAGCAGCACGCCGCCCTTCTTGCTGAGCAGGCAGTCGCCGACGCCCAGCTCGCGCAGGTACGCCCACCCGCCCACGACGTCTGCCAGCGCGCGCGCACCCATTGCCGTGAATGTGTTGTCCTGCAGGTCGAGCACGCGCAGTTGCTCCGCCGTCCGCAGCCCGTGCTTCAGCAGGTGCGTAATGCCCTCCTGCCGAATACCGTTCTGCACCATCTTGATCAGGCGGATCTTGTCGTGCTTGCTGTATGCCTTTGCCCATGCCTCCATCGAGCCATTTTCCAGCCGGTTGCGTCCGCAGATGACCGTCTCCAGGTCGGGTATCGTAGCGCTGGCGTCGGCCTGACGCGCCTCGGCCTTCTTGTCGGCGAGGGTGGAAAGCGCATCGGCAACGAGGACACCGGCGGCGGGGCCGAGGCCATTGTTGTTCAGTATGAGGTGTTGGAGGGGGACGTGCGCAGAAATAAAAGCCACGAGAGGTGCTTGGGTATTCAGGCCGAAAGCGTTATCGGAAAGGTTGATGGTGTGGAGGTTAGGAATGTTGAGCAGCGCGGTGAGGATGCTAGACAGAGCCTGAGGAATCTCGGAGAGCAGACGTGAAGTAAAAATGTCTGCAAAGTTGGCAACCTATATTTATTAGCCTCACATTTTGTTTACATTTGCCTAGCCGTGGCGACACAGTGTCGCGACGAGAGAAAAAACATACCTTGAGGTTCTTCTTGGTCTCCAACACCTTGGCGAGAGCCTCGGACGCCTCCACGCCCAGAGTATTGCCAACGAAAATAACCTCCTCCACGTCGGCATTATCTTTTAGTGGCTGGATGTGAGGCTCAATGTCCTCGGCCGTGGTCAGCTTCAGACCTTTTCCTTCCAAGCTAAAAACTTTAGACGTCGCCATGATGGGCTTTTGGGAATCGTATGCGGGTATAAAAAGGAGGGTGTTGTTGTTGTGGGCGGCGAAGAAAAGAGTGTTTTGTGGAGGGGTTTGTTGGCGGGGCCGTCTCAGAATTGGTCGAGGCGGCCAACGCCCGTGCGCCAGGTGCGCTCCTTATTAGACCCTGGTCGGTAACATTACACCAAAGGCAGCAGCCTGAAGACAAATTCTCCGGTTCAGCGCGCAAGGATGGCTAACCTCTGAACATCTTGACCTTGCCGGCCGTTGTGATCACCGTTTGTTAATCTTTTTCGGACCATCGTTACGATCTGCATTCATTCTTGCTTCTTGGCGTGTTTGACGGCTTTGCAACGCCGCCCTGCGACATCTCGGCCGTCCCTCGTCCTCATACTCACTCGTCGCCGCCATGTCGCTCGCCGATTACTTAGCGAAAAACTACCTCAACGCCGACCCCTCGACAGAGAAGAAGAGCAAGAAGCGCAAGCGCAAGGCCGCCAAAGATGAGGGCCTCATCATCGCTGACGATGACGCAATGGGATGGGACAACGGACCTAAGCAGCAGGAGGACGAGGACACCCCCATGACAGGTACTCTTCACCTAGCTTTTGCTATCGCAGTCGCTTCGCAAGCACTTACTAACGTCATTCAGTATCCGGAAACAGCGCCGAATTCCGCAAGAAGAAAACATCCGCCTGGAAGTCAGTTGGCGATGCACCACCTAGCAACGCAGACCAAGCGGCAGCCGATGCTATAATCGCCTCCGCAGCCGCCGAGAACCGCGCTTTGGGCGACGCCGATGACGATGACCCTACGGTCGACAACTCTGGCCCCGCCATGGAATCCGGTGCACAGGCAGGGTTACAGACGGCTGCTCAGGTTACGGCTGCGCTTCAGAAACGTCAGAAGGAGGAGGAAGCACACATGCGGGCTGCAATGAAAGAGGCCGGTGCGGTGGCGAACGAAACAATCTATCGTGACGCAAGCGGTCGCATTGTAAATGTGGCTATGAAGAGGGCAGAAGCACGGCGCGCTGCGGACGAAGCAGCAGCGAAAAAGGCGCGTGAGGAAGAAGAGGCGCGGGGTGACGTACAGCGGGCAGAGAAAGAGGCGAGGCGACAGGCGCTTCAGGATGCCAAATATATGCCTCTAGCGCGGACGGCAGACGACGTGGAAATGAACGACGAGCTGAAAGAGCAAGAGCGCTGGGCAGATCCGGCAATGGCATTCTTGACCAAGAAAAAGGAAGCCAAAAGTCGTACGGGAAAGCCGTTATACAAAGGCGCCTTTGAGCCGAATCGCTACGGAATCCGCCCTGGACACCGGTGGGATGGTGTTGATCGCAGTAATGGGTTTGAGAGACAGTGGTTCAAGGCAAGGAACGCGAAAGCGAACAGGGCGAATTTGGAATATGCATGGCAGATGGATGAATGAGTAAGAATTTGGATGGTGTTTTGAATTGCATAGCAAGGCGTTTCAGGGATTGGCGCGGTTTCGGATACGTCACGCAACCGTTGCCGATCCAGACAATCGACATGCCTCAAACGTACGCAGGCATTGTCAATATTCAAAAAAAGACCTGCCAGGGAAGAGTCAATAGCTGAGTTGCTGCTGACGGACCATGGAATCCTTCGACATACCCTTACTCTTACCATGCCTTGCAGATACGGGATGTTGGAACTTGGAGTCTCAACTCAGCTTTGCTCTTTGTGGCCCGAACGGTAGCCTATTCCTGGCGCCGATCTTCCTATTTCTCAGCAGAAGATGACTACCTACATACAGGTTACCGCTGCTTAACGGGGATCAAACAGGCAGAAGCCTCTCCGTATCTTTCCGCGATGCTTCTACGGTCGGCTATTATTAACACTAGCATGCGTTGGCTTTGTTTCACAGCATGGTTGCCCGGGGAGTGGGCATGTACGGCTCAAGATACCTGCAGTTCGCCCCCTTCTGCGCACGTGTCTGAATCCTGGCGAGACATCAAGTGCAGCGGTCATCCGGGCGCGAGTGGAATCGGCATTTCCGCCCCCACTGATGCTCCCGTGGATATACGGGGGACGATTCGCCTGCCCCTTTTCCCGGCGATCCGGCGGACGCAGCGAGGATGGGCAGTTGGGCGGCCAGCGCGTGGATGACGGAGGCTAGAGGCAATGGCGAGACAGTTGGGCTGCAGCATGCCGCTCAGGTGTGGCCTCGATTGGGTTTCGGGAGCCGCAGGAGGGGGCGAGCCGAGCCTCACGGCGCCCGGCGGGCTGGAGCAACGCAACGGGCTTTCCTGGCTGACGATTGACAGGACGCGGCGACAGGGTGCGAGCGTTAGCGCGGGCGAGTGGGCCTACGTGTCGAGCTGTGAGGGGAGCAGAGTGGCGCGACAGCGTCGAGTGGAAGGCGTGAAAATGCGTGTGATGAAAAGCCTGGAAATTGGGCAGCGGGCCGGGCTGCATAATCTGGCCCAGATCCGCTATGACTCCTCGCGATGGGGATAATGGTGGGGAGAGTAGATAAAGCCGGCGGGCGGGCGGACGAGCAGCCATGTGCAGTGCCGACGCCAGATCTTTTAATCCAGCCCTCTGTTGGACCGTCCCGCTGCATTTCCGGTTCCACGGCAGTACTGTACACACGACCATCTGACTGACTGACTAGGTACTGTACTGTCAGCGGGAGCGAGTGAGAGAGAGAGTGTGTGGGCAGCAGCAGTAGAAAGCCGGAGCAGCAGCACCGCCTCCCTCTCGCAGTCCGAAACAGTCCGAATGTCCTGCCGAGATCTCTTCCCTCGCAGACACAGACCACGCAGGCCCGTTCGCCGGCCCTGATCGACAGCGCCGTCGACGGAGCGGGTGTTGCCAAAGGCAACCTGTTTGCACAATCACTCAGCTGCCCCGAGCGACGGCTTAGCCGGGAGCACACACCAGCACATCGCAACCATCCATCTTCCCCATTGACCACAGGTATGATGACAGCACCTGTCTCCGGCACGTTCCTGCCCGACCAATGCGCGTCGTCGTCAGGCTCACCGGTCAACATCCCCATCGCTGACTAGCAAATAGCTCAAGCATACCGGTAGCAAGCAAGGAGCGCCACTGCACCCGTCCTTCATATAATCACCTCGTCCCCCGGAGCACCCTCGTCCTCTTCCTCTTGCGCCTCGTCGCTTCGCCCCAGCAGGAGCGCGCCAAAACCCTCCTCAGTCCAACAAGCGCCCGGTCCCTGCCTCACTCCCCAGGCCATATTGACGTGGGGTCCCCGTCTTCCTCGAATCATCGTCAGCCTTACCGCGACCTGCGACGAACCCCGACTGCCTTCGCCTGCCTGCCCTGACGCTGCTTGTGTCCCCTTAAACTCGCGTCGCACCCCGTCGCATTCCTCAACTCAAAATATTTCCTCTCGCTCGCCACCGTCGTCGCTGTTTACACACACACACACACACACATCGACCCATTCAACCCCGCTTACACTAGCGACACACCCAATCCAAGCTTAGGCTCGTCTCATCCAACACTTACAGGGCTATCTTTGCTCGACCGTTTCTCAAGCAGAAAGGCTCGGGTAAGATAATTCCCTAGAAAAACTGCTCCACATGCCGTAAGTCTTGCATTCTGCCCTTCGCATACCTACCCGGTCATCGCATCCCAGCTATGGTGCATCACACACACCTACTCGCGTGGCGCCTTGGCCGCACTAACGATTCTCACATGCCCCGTCTTGCATTTGTTTATTCAGAGCTGACATAACCTCTTTGCCACCTTAGGAAACACATAACCATCATCCACTCTTCTTCCGGTTCGGAACACCTTTCCGCTTCCGAGGGAGAAGGTTCTGGCATTCGTATCTCATCTCGAGGCAGCCGTAGTCAGGAAGAGTTTTACTCGGACGAGTCGTTTGACGACGACGACTACGACATAGTCGACGACCAAGAAGAAGAAGAAGAAGAAGAAGAAGAAGAAGAAGAGCTGGGCCCGTCTGACTCTGCCTCGAGGCCGCGGGAGGTGTTACGTCACCACCGCATGCCACCACAAGCCCAACCTGCACCTCTCCCTCCCCCTCTTGCTCCTCGCAAACCATCTCATTCTGTTGGAGAGCCAAGGCGCCGCAGGACGCAGAGAGAATCACGACCGAGAGACCCCAGTGAGCACAGCTTACCTCGTCGACGGCCACACTCCGTCGACCTAGACAGTGTGGATCACTACGTCGACGACTACCCGGGATATTCTTCCCGTGGTGTTTTACCCCACCACCCCAGTCCATGGGGGCACATATCGCAGCATTCCGGTCCTCCAACGGGTTACGCTGCTAGCTATGTCTCTGGTCAGCCGTTCCCGCCTCCACCTACTACCAATCCCTTTGCAGGCCTAAATCAAAACAATGCGCTTGCGCCTCTGCAGAATGACATGTACGGAGGATATTCACCAAACCCATTTGCGCCTCATCAGCCCAACCCCTTCGCGCAAGGCCCCACAACGTCCAATCCAAGCATGGCTGGCGGTTACATGTCTGCCGAAATGCATAACAGGCCACAGATGAGGAACCAGCACCGGCATTCTATGGGTATGCCAAGCCAGAACCACATGGGACCTGGTGCCATGACGGCTCCATACTACGGTAACTACGACCAGCAAGCCATGATGCCTTTCGGTATTCAGCCTCAAATGGGTCCCGGCTACCCATTTTACCCGCCCATGGATAGAATGGAGAGACCCGAGCGGCACCGTTCTCACTCGCGACACCGTCACGCAGACTCACGCGAACGCTCAAGTCACCGTGAGCCCTCCCCGCCTCAAGCTCAGGCCCCACCGCCAGCGCCACCTGCACCACCGGCTTCGGCTCCGGCTCAGGCTCCGGCTCAGGCTCCTCCTCCACCCCAGGCGCCATCACAAACTGCCATGATCCCAGTTCAACCCATGGCATTGGCACCAATCCCTTCGCCTGAGCCTCCTAAGCCACCAGAGCCCACCGAGGCAGAGAAGGAGCAGGCTGCACGTCTCAAGAAGCTAGAGGACCTCCTTCTGGCGCAAGCACAAGCGAGAGAGGACAAGATAGCTGCCAGAAAGAAGGAAGCCGAAGATGCTGAAGCTGCTGCTATCGCCAAAAAGAAGCAGGAAGAGGAAGATAAGTTGACGAAGCTTACCGAGCTCATCATCAAGCAGCGTGAAGAGCAGATTGCACGGGACAAGGCAATCGAAGCCAAGTTGGCGGCAGAGAAAGCCGAAGCTGAGGCAAAAGCTGCCAAAGATGCCGCTGAAAAGCAAAAGGCCGCCGAGGATGCCGCGAAGCTTCTTGCGGCCGCGAAGAAGGCGCGCGAGGAGACCGAGGCAAAAGCTGCTGATGAAGCCAAGAAGGCCAAGGAGGAGCACGAAAAGGCCTTGGCTGATGCGGCTGCTGCACAAGAAGCCCTCAAGAAGGAAAAGGAGGAAGCAGAGAAGAAAGCAACAGAGGACAAACAGAAGGCAGATGAAGAGAAAGCCAAGCTCGAGGAAGAAAAGAAGAAAGCAGAGGCAGAGAAGGCTGCTGCCGAGGAAGCGGCCAAGGCACCGCCTCCGCCCGAGCCTCCGAAGCCGCCTATCAAGTTCAAGGATGCGGTGGGTAGGAAGTTCAGCTTCCCGTGGAACTTCTGTAAGACATGGAAGGTACGTCATCCCGTTAGTTTGCTGTCAACGTCACGGGTACTTACGCATAAGCAGGGAATGGAAGACCTCATCAAGCAAGCCTTCCTCCACGTCGATGTCATTGGACGAGAAGTTCACGAAGGACATTACGATCTCGTCGGTCCCGACGGCGAAATCATCCTCCCTCAGATCTGGGAAACAGTGATCCAGCCTGACATGGCTATCACGATGCACATGTGGCCTATGGAGGAACCTCCCCAGCCTGAGCCGGTCCCTCCGCCGCCACCGCCGCCGCCTGGCCCCATGTCGCCTATGGACTTCATGTTTCCCCCCCATCTCGGACCACCTCCAAAACCGTTTAAGAAGGAGAAGAAGCCTAAGAAGCAGCCGGGTCCAATTGCGGCCCCCCCGCCGCCGCCGCCGCCTCCTCCCATGGTAATGGATCCCAACGTCGCCATGCCCCCAATAACCCCCCCACTGATGGATGCCCTCCCTCCCGGCAAGCCCAACCCGAAGCCAATTACTAGAAAGAAGGCGCCGCCAAATGGCTTCCTGCGGTGGACCGCTGGTCAGTCTTCCCGACCTTCGGGAAAAGGACCAAAAAAACCTGAGAGTCCGAATGGCGGTTCGGCTTTGCCGACGGCAGCGAACGGAGGGACGGCAACCACACACCACGCCCATCATGGTAGCGCAGACCAGGGGTGCGCCGTGATGTGAGGTGGTGCGTTCATTCCGGACGTTTGTCGTCGGAGTGGCCCGGGCCTGCCTCCGACTTCGGGGAGGCATGTGTTTTCATTCCGCAGCCGGCGGTTTTCGCATGCCAAAGGGTGTAGTGAGCTGTGGTGACTGTGTGCGAGCTTGTTTTCGAGTGCGTTTGCGTTCTCTTCCCCCCTTTCTTTCTTTCGGTGAGAATGTTTTTGTGACAGCTGAGATGTGATGATGATGGGTTCAAAAACGCGCGAGCGTTCCTTCATGCTTTGATCGATTTTGTTTTTATTTCCTTGGTTTTGTGACGCTGCTACTTATTCCCCCTTTCTTTCTTTCTTTATTTCTTGAGCACCGTGGTTTTTTTTTTTTTTTTTTTAATTGCCCTTCTTCTTTATCCGCGCCTGATACCACCTGCGATCCTTCTGCCCCTTCTTCCCCCCACGAGGAAAAAAACAAAAAGCGTTTTCATCACACAAAAAGGATACCCCGCACTTGTCTGTTTCCTACTCTCTTCTCCGGACGGTCTAGGGGGCTACGGGGGCGGGGCTCGGCAGCGGCGACTAAGCGCATTTTTAACTGGTACGGTGACAAAGCCTTTTCTCGGTGGTGGTGCTTGTGTAGCCATTGTTGACGCGATTGGTATTGTTTCCTTCTTCTTTTCTTCGTGTTAGTGGTGTGCTACAGCTACTGCTGCTGCTACTGCTAGTGCTGGATCTTTGGGTCGATGGCCGGTGGCGGGCTCGGGCGAGCGTGGCGTTGTTGTGTTGCGGGCGGGTGTGACGAATGACGGTCTTGATGATGCTGATGATGATGATGACGACGATGGCGGTGACGACGTTGACGACGGGTGGTAATTGATTTAGTGGTGGTGGATGGGCTTGTAACGATGGTGTTAGGGTGGTGGCGGGGGGTACGAGGAGGGTTGGGGGTTGTGGCGTTTGGCGGTGGTGGTAGTGATGATCGTAGTGGTGTTTGTTTTGGTGGTGGTGATGGTGGTTAGTGACGAAGTTGACGAAGTTGACGACGATGACGAAGCCAGAGCCCACTACCTACATAGGTACCTACGGTCGTAGAAGAGCAAAAATGCCGAAATCAACTTTCGTAAACGAAAACGACTTGAACGAATGGACGGGGAGATTGCCCTGGTAGGAATGCGAGGCGGGGACGGGACGACGGATGCGGCGCGGCACTCTCTAGCCGAGCTGCGGAGATGAGCTCCCTACTTCGTACCCTGAATCAGTGGACTGCTGGTTCCGCTGTCTGATGCTGTGGGCTGACGCGGGTGACGCGCTCGCTCTTTCAGCTAGGTACCTAGCTGTGTCTCGTCTTCCTTGTGCTCCGCTTCTTCTTCCTTTCAGCTTCTTGAGCTTAATCTTCTTTTCCCGCCTGCATTTGTAGCCGGTGGCTTTCAGCTGTCACCCACCTGTCTACCTCTACCTGCCTACACACAACCAAGTCCTACCTACCACGCCCAGCGAGCCAAGCAAGCACGCACGCACAATGCCGACGCCAACCCTCCCAACCAGCTCGACCCTCTCAACAGCCAGCACAGCAGCACCAGCGGCATCGTCGTCATCGAGCGCCCTAACCCGCAACCGCCGCGCCCTGCACCTCCTCTGCCTAGTCCTGAGCCTGGCGTCCGCCCTCCTGCTCGCGCGCTACGCCTATCTAGAGGCTCTGCCCCCGCCGCCACCGCCGCCGCCGCTGCCCCCGCCGGAACGGGAGGGCTGGCTGCGAGAGGCGGGGAGGTGGCTGGAGGAGTATCGGCTTGGGAGGGGTGGGAAGGGCGGCGCTGAAGTGGAGGTACGTCCATCCACACATACACACACACCACTCCCCAAACCAACCCAGCCCAGTCCACCCAACCCAGCCCAGCTCAGCTCAGTTCAACCAAGCTAACGCGCACGCAACAGGTCCCCCCACAACCACAACCCCCCACCAACAACAACCCCCTAACACACCCCCAACCCCCCATCGCCCTCCTCGCCCTCCTCACCCACCTCCTCACCACACCCCCCCTCTACCGCTCCTCCCCGCTCCTCCGCCACCAGCAAAAACACACGCGCCTCTCGCTCCTCATAGCCAGCACCATCACCCTTGCCGCCTTCATGGCCCTCACCCCCGACGGGGCGACGCCCGCGGCGCGCCTGCGCGCGTTCGTGCTCGGCGCTGTGCCCTGCACGCTGGCGCTGGGGGCGGGGATTGCGGCGTGTGTGGGGTGTTTGCGGGGGGTGGGTGTGGGTGGGGGGCGGAGAGGCGTTAGGGTGGGTGGAGGGGGGTTGGGGTTGGAGGAGAATGCCGTGGGGAAGTGGCGGTGGGAGCCTGATGGACGGCTGGGGGCGATTGAGGAGGGCGAGATGGAAAGACGTGAGGTGTAGTGCTAGATGATGCGAGCGGAGCGGGACCGACCTGACCGGCCCCGGTCCGGCGAGTGGTGCGGGACGGCGGCGCACCGGCGCAGCGCGCGGCGCGAGCGTGGTTGCCGCATGGGGAAGGAAGCGATGGGGCGATGGGGCGCCGGCGCTTGGACGGCCGAGGCGCTGGGGCCTGGATGTGGTGGGGGCGTTTTTGTTGATGTTTATTGATGTTTTTGATGTTTTTGATGGAGGGGGTAATGGATTGGACTGATGCTGGATGGATATGGATACCCTGGCGCATATATGGTACAAATGCAGGTATACGTAAATAGACAAACGAATATATATCGACTCAGTAGCTATAGTGATAGTAGTAAATGGCTGTACATCCAATAGGCACAGCACATTCGCCTCACCCACGTATGTACACACATACACACATACGAAAACTCCAATATCGATCGACAGCAGAGAATATAGCAAACCAGCATTAACCCTCTACGTACGTACACCTCTCCCTGCACGCCTCCTTCCCCTCTCTACCACACACGCACACACGCACACACGCACACACACACGCAAGCAATCTACAACATCCCGCCGCTCCATCGCCTATATCAAGACCGGCCATGTACACACCCTTAACAACCAACAACCCAACAACCCATCCGAAAACGTAAAAACGCAAAACCCAAACCACCAAACAGAACCAATACCGCCCCTCCCAAGAACAAAAACAAAAAAAAGCCAAGTCGTCAACGCGGGGTATCCCAAACGAGCGCCCCCCCGGAGAAGAATGAACTACATATATACCGCCGCCAGCCAGAGATAAGAGAGGAATAAAAACGAGGAAAAAGAGAAGACAACGAGATGGACCGGAAAGAGGGATGGACAACGGCAAAAGCAGCAAAAGCAGCAGCAGCCAAACAACGCCCAAGAGGAATGGAGTTAAAGGAAACATAAATCACCAAAAAACATAGGCAGTAGCAGCAGAGAGAGGTAGAGGGAAAAACAAACCACCTCTCCGCTCCCCCAATATACCAAAACCGCGCACCAACCAACCAACTACACCAGGGCCTGCCCAATCGGCCCCTCCCAGCCTAACATCTCAGCCAGCAAATTGCCCACCGTACTCACCGTCCACAAGCCCACAAGACCCCACCCCACCACGCGATCCATGCGCCACTTCCTCGCCGGGACCGCGACGAGCAGCCCCGCCAGCGTAATCAGCAGCGTCGCGCCGCTCAGCAACAGCGTGCTGCTGATCTCGAGCGTGTACGGCCTAAACCGCCACGGCCGATCCGGGTGCTTGTCGTGCTTGTGCTCGGCGCCCACGACCGCCATGTAGCAGCCGCTCAGCCCGATGCCGAGCAGGATGTTCAGCATCGGCCCGCCGAAGCACGCGCTCAGCGCCATGACGGGGAAGCCCAGCCGCGCCACCGTTATGTCCGCCACCAGGTCGCCCAGCGAGTTGCCCACGGCGAAGACAGTCAGGCCCAGAATCGCGTCGCTGATGTCCAGCACCACGCCGATCGTCTTCAGGACCCCGACCACTTCGTTCGCAATGCTGCTGATCCAGGCGATGCTGACTGCGAAGCCGAGGAAGCAGAGCGTGGGGCGCCAGCGCGGCGGGCGCGTCGGCGTCGTCGTGGCTAGGATGAGCGCGAGCGCGCATAGCGAGCATACTAGGCTTATGAGCGCGTGGCGCAGCAGCTGGAACGGGTTGTCGGGTGCCGTATTCGCCCACACAATCAGCACGATGAAGAAGGGCGCCGTGAAGGCTTGCAGGATCACAAGCCAGCGGTCCCATTGCTTCGGCTCTGCCAGAGAGGGTGCCGCCGTCGTGTGTGCCATTTGTTCCGGTGACGTGAGGAAGTGGTTGTGCGTCGTGTTGTCCGAGGGCGAGAGCAGGACGATGGGCGCCGCCTGCTCGTGGTATGCGTGCCGGTGCCGCTCTTCGGCCGCTACTGCCATGCCGGCTGTGTTGCCGTGGTTGGCTATACCGTTCATGATTTCGGGGTTGGCGCCGTCAGATGCTGCCATCGTCGTGGGAGTCTCGTCTGGCCCGGTGATTGTAATCGTGCTGGGTCCTGAAGGGATTTGGAAACCAGGGTTAGCAGCGTCCGGCAGGTTAAGTTCAGGTATCTCTTGCTCCTCTTCCTCGGATTCTCTGTCCGTGTCAACGACAGGCAAAGTAATGGTCAAGAGCAAAACACTCGGGGCAGCGACAATGCCCAGGATCTTCTCCCAGATATTCTTGTCATGCCAACTGTATAGCGTCGGGAATAGTTTGGACACCAGCCGACGCGGCGGCGGAAGCACCTTGTACGGCCACCACCTGAGCGGCCTAAGCTCGTCATCCGCATCAATGTCCAGCAAATGCTCATTCGGGAACAAAGAGCCTCCAGGAGAGGTAGGCGGCCCCAGAATGATGCTGCCAGGGCGCGAACCGCTACGCACAGACCAGGGATACTCGCTGAAGATCGATAGCGGAGAGCCCGCGCTTTGGACACCAGTGTGGGGGATATCCAGTTTTGGAAGTTGTGGTTTTACGTTTGGCGATCCTCTCGGCGAGATCATCGGCGATCCCTTCGGCGACTGGTGTAGTTCCGGGGCAAACATTGGCTGTTGCATGAAAGGATCTGGCGGCGCAAGGAGCTCAGGAGAATGTGCTCGCATGCGCGGAAGAAGTACCGGACTGTGCTCTCTAGACCCCATGGGAGAAATCCCCTGAGATCGCGTAGTGGTGCCCCTAGGGGATACGGCCGGAGACAAGGAGATAGTCGGCGATGGTACGTTCATCGAATTGTTGCTCTGGACAGATGCGCCGGAGTTGTTCCTCGAGTGCCCACGTGGAGGTCTGAGGTTGGCTGGGTCCTCAAGGAGAAACGGTGAAGGTCTGAGGACGATAGGATCTTCCAACAATGGAGGAAGATTCATCTTTGGCAATCCTTTTTTCAACGCGCTCGGGTCGAGTTTCAGTGCATCTGCACCGTTGGCTGACACAGCTCGCACCCGGTTACCAGTTCGGCCGTCGAGCTCGGCATGTCGCTCAATGGTTGGTGTAGCATCATCCTTTCCGGGCGGAACGTTGAATGGCGGTCGCGCAGCAGGATCGGATGTTGTCGACATGTTATCCTGTTGCTGCGCCGTGGTATAGTTTGGGTCATCAGAGTAGCGCCGCAGGTTGATAGGCAATGTCTGGATATTCCTCGACTTTTGCAGTGAGGAAAGGACAGCTCGGAATTCCAGAGCGCCGACCAAACTAGGTCGGATAGGGTGAGGCTTGGTGTGTCGACGTTCGCCCAGACGTGGCCGACTAAGTCGCATGTTCCGGTTCAGTTCGCCCATCCACCTGTCTCGGACCTCTTCTTCCGTCTCTTCAAATCCGACATCGTCGGAATCGCCATCACCACGCTCGAGCGTGGCCAGGTCGTTGGTCGAGGTGCCCCTTGATAGGAGCGGTCTCTGTTCTAAAGCCTCCGGCGCGTCTTCGTCGAGATAATCAGAAAACACCTCTGCCTCTTCCCCTCCAGGCACCACGTACTGCGCTCTCGCCGCGGCTTCTACAAGTCTCTTTTGCTGCCGTCGGTTATGGCGCCAATGCCACCATACCACAAATACCACATAGAACAAGTAGAATAGAACCATGGCAGCGCACTCCCAAAAATAAAGCTTGCCGTCAATGAGGAAGATCATGCTAAATGTGGCCGCCACAATGAAGAAAGCCACGTCTCGAACAAAACTCCGCTTATCAACCTTGAATGGCCGCACGAGGGCCATTGAGCCGGCAACCACGGCAGTGATGAAGCCCGCGGCTCCAATCAACTCTCCAACAGCAAGACTCCCACTGTGTGCCTTCATCGCTGCGAATGTGGAGAAGACATCGGAACTTCCGTTTCCAAAGGCCAAAAAGGTGACGCCGGCTAAGCTTTCGCTCATGCCGAGCAGGTTCGAGATAGTGCTCAGGTTGACGCAGAAGAAGTCGCTCGCCGCAATTCCAATGGTGCTGAAGAGTAGGCCGAGCCAGATGACCATAATGGCGAATGCGACAGGCTTGGCGTGCGGGAGGCGGCAGTAGTATAGCTGGAGATAGGAGAACATGCCCGCCTCTTCGTCCGGGCAGTTTGCGCGCACAAAGGCGCATTTATCAACGGCATCATGGACTAGTCGGCACTGCAGAGAGTCAGCGAGCGGTCTGGAAATTCAGTGAGGCTATGGTATGCACCTCGAGGTCGACTTCCTGATGCTGCGGGACGAGGTTTCTGCGGTGGAGGCCGAGAGGGCTCGGGTCGTTGGAGGGCTCACGGGCGAGCAGGGCGAGGGCCGAGATGAGTGATAGCAAGAGGATCGTCAGAACGAACGGGCGGGCCGAGTAAGGGCGGCGGGCATGGTTGCGGGCGCGCAGCGCGGGGAGTGGAGTAGTCATGGCGACGTCGTCGCAGGGGTAGGATGAAGGAAAAAGAATAGCATCGCTCGGGGGAGCGGCGAGGAGGCATGCAGTCTACGGATATATAAGCCGATGGAGGGGTGGTAGGATCTTCTGCTACCCAGGTCTCGCGAGCAGGTAAAGTGGGCAAAGAGGGACACACGACGCGGCCAATGACGGCGCCGATGTGTGGCGGTGTGGCGGTGTGGCGGTGTGGCTGTCACACCTTCGTGGCGGTGCAGAGCGGGAAACCGCTCGCCGATGTTTGTGTAAACACAACCAAACTTACTTACACTTACCTAAACCCACCACGACACTCCCCACTATAACCCGCGCGCGCAATCATGCCTCGCGCAAGAGACCGCTACTCCATGGGCACGCCCCATCAGGGCGGCATCAAGTCTGTCTCCCGTCGATTCCCGCGCTCCGCTGTCCGCCCGCTGACCCGTCCCGTAGAGTCCCTCTCAACGATGACCGCCGCGAGAAGGAGAAGCGCCTCAAGTCGCGCCGTTCGCTCCATGAAAACCAAATGGAGCAGATCCGCGCCGCCGCGACACCCGTCAAGCGGCGCCAGTCGGGCTTGGCTGCCCGAACGCCCGCAAACGAGGACGACGTCTACGTGGGAGGCGACGCGGTGACGCCCATGAAGCGCGTGCCCATCCTGGCGAATTTCGAAGAGTGGATGAAGATGGCCACGGACAACGTGAGATTTCCCTGAGGGCGGCCTGTCGCGACCGGACACTGCGAGCTCACAAATAGCAGAAAATCAACGCCGCCAATTCCTGGAACTTTGCGCTTATCGATTACTTTCACGACATGTCGCTGCTCAAGGAAGGCGACGGCGTCAATTTTCAGCGCGCGAGTTGCACGCTCGACGGGTGTGTTAAGATCTACACGAGCAGAGTCGACAGCGTTGCGACCGAAACGGGAAAGCTCCTTAGCGGTCTCGCTGACAGCAGGGATAAGAAAAACAAGGGCGGCGACGATGCGGAGGCCGATGGTGAGGCCGGATCTGATGACGAAGAAGGAGAGGATGGTACCAAGAAGCCGAAGCGCAAGAGGGCACAGAGATCTGCCGAAGCTACCTTGGTATCGTCATTCCAGCAACTGGCGCTCAAGAAGATGGAGCTAGAATTTTCGGTTGACCCTCTGTTCAAAAAAGCTTCTGCGGATTTCGATGAGGGTGGTGCGAAAGGTCTGCTGCTGAACCACTTGTCTATCGATCAAAACGGCCGCATTGTTTTTGATAGCAGCGACGATGCGCAGGACGCATCTACAGAGGAGAAGAGGCGGGACAGCATGGAAGCCGACGATGGCGAGGATGAGGAAGATGCAGAGGAGCCAGCGCAAGAAGCAGAGATTGATATTGCAGGCTTGGGCGCGAGGTTCTTCCCCGACCTTTCTAGACTGGACGTTCAGGACATTTGCCCCTCTCTCAAGAACTTCGACATGAGCGACCCGAATGCTTCGAAGGATCTACCCTTCTTGAAAGCCCCCGACGACTGGAGAGATCAAAATCGGGATACGGGTGCGCCGGGTGACAACTCGGGCATGTTCCTTGACGAGGACAACGCGGGCGGCTTTGATGACGATGACGACGACATGGGCGCTTTCGACCTCCCCGCAAACACTGGGTTCGGCGAAGGCGGCGAGGCCTGGGCCAAGGAAGCAGCGCTCGAGACGCAGATGCGCGTGCACACGATAAACCCCGACGGCGACGACGGGGACAACGAAGACGAGGTCGGCGGCTTCGACAACAACACCAGCCGCTTCGGCGTGGCGCTGGCCTCGGGCCGCGAAGAAGACCAAGAAAACATTCTTAACTACTTCGACCAAGCCCTGTCCAAGAACTGGGCTGGGCCGGAGCACTGGCGCATCCGCCGCATCAAAGACAACAAAGCAGCCGCAGCCGCGGGCCCGACAAAACGCAAGGAAAAAGAACCCTTCCAGATCGACTTCGCGGCGCCCATGACGCAGCCCATGGCCGACGCGCTGTACACGGGCGCCAGCTCGAGCTCGACTATCAGCATGCCCAAGAACCAATGGAAGAGCAAGACGCGCAACCTGCTGCCCGACGACAAGCACTTCAACTCGCGGCAGCTGCTCCGGCTCTTCCTAAAGCCCAAAGCACGCATGGGCAGCCGCAGAAACGGCGCCTCAGGGCGCAGCGGCGCAATCGGCACAGGCGACGACACGCGGCGCGACGACCGCGACGCCCCAGACGGCGAGATGGACGAGGTATTCTGGGCGCAGCAGCGCGACGCAGGCGGGGCCAACGACGAAGGCGGCGCAGGCGGCACGTACGACGCCGACTTCTTCCAAGACGACGCGCTGGGGGCCGTGGGCGGCGACGAAGACGACGACGACATCTTCGCCGACGCGCGCGAGATGTTCAGCCCGGCGCCGGAAGGCGCGCCGCCGAACCTGGGCGAGACGCTGGGCGGCGAGGCCGAGGGCGCGTTCGGCGCGCAGCTGGTGACGCAGAGCCGCCGCTTCCGCCCAGAGTACGTGCAGTACGCGCGCGTAGCCAAGAAGGTCGACGTGCGCCGGCTCAAGGAGGAAATGTGGCGTGGCATCGGGCTGGGCGACATCATGGGCGACAGCGGCGCCGACGAGAGCTCCCTGCTGAACAACAGCACGCTGCCGCCGTCGCCGTCGCGCCGCTCCTCCACCATGCCCCCGCCCCCGATCCCCACTGATGGCGGTAATAGCAGTGGTGTGGGCGGCGCGCCCCCGCTTCCGAAGGCCCCCGATGGTTCGCTCATGTTCACGGACGTGGTCAATAACCTCCAGAGCGTGTATCCGAAGAAGACGCTGGCGGATATTAGCACGAGTTATTGCTTTATTTGCCTGCTGCATTTGGCGAACGAGAAGGGGCTGGTTATTGAGAACCAGGACGGGTTTACCGACTTGAGTATACGGAAGGATCCGAGGGGGGTGGGCGAGGGGGGTGAGTAGTCTGTGTGCTGTGTATGTGTGCTTGTGTGCTTGTGGGGGTTGGGAAAAGGGGGAGGAGGGGGTGACGATTCGTTCTGGTTTTGTGGGTTTTGTGGTTTGGTTGTTGTTGTTTGTTTGTTGCTCACGGATGGGTGGGGTTGGTTCAATGGTTGGTTTGGTTGCTTGGTTGGTTGCATACCCGGCGTTAGGAGGACGGGAAAGGGAAGCACGCACGCACGAAACGTTTGAAACGGGCGGATGGACGTACGTTTTGGTTCCTGGCTACCTAGTAGGTTGGCTTGTTATGGACGTCTTCACGGTACATATATGCACGAACGGACGGGAACGGGGACCCGTAAGGCCAAGGCCACGCGATGCGTACGCAGCACCATTCGTCGTCTCGACAGAGCCGATCCCATCTGGTCTCCATGTCTCTAATTGATGTAGACGTACGTGCCAAAACATGCCATTCATTTTTGTTCTCCATCGAAACTCGTGTGCTACATACGTCTTTCTCTCTCGTCTCAGCCGCCCATCCCATGTGATGATGGCGTCCATACATGCATGCAGAAAAAGAAAATGAAAGTAGCAGCAGCAAGCACTCCAGATCATTAAGCCCTTCACAGAGGGCTTCGCTTGCGTCGCGCTGCGTGCGTTGCAATCAGCACCACACGCCCCCCCAGCCACTCGCTCACTCACACCCAACCGAGCATCTAAGCGACGACCTCCTCGCTCTCCTCCAGAATCTCCTCGACAATCTCCTCGATGACCTCGCCGCCTTCGGCGTCGACGGCGCCGTCGTTGCCGCCCAGAACCTCGACCGCCTCCTCCTTGAGCTGCTCGATGACGCGCTCGCGCCACGCGTTCCACTCCTCGAGCTGCCGGCGCCGCTTCTCCACCACGGCGCGGTTGGCCGTGTTCTTCTTCTCGAAGTCCTGCTCGTCGAAGATCTTGCTGTACTCGCGCAGGTTCTTGCGGATCTTCTTCTGCTCCTCCTTGGACAGCAGCGTCGGCGGCCGCGGCCGCCACACCAGCTGCTTGAACCGCTCAATCTGCTCTTCCCGCAGCAAAGTGCCCTTGAAGTCCCAGATCTTGTAGCCGTTTTCCATCTGTGCCACCTTTTGTTAATTGCAGGTCTTGTGTAATGAGGGGGGGTGGGTTAATAACTTACGGGGTGCATGAAAGCGGAGGAAACGGTGGCGACGAAGCGGCCCGAGGGATCCCACTCGAGGCTGGTGATGCCGTAGTGCTCGCCGGTGGCCATCAGCTGGAGGTTGGCCGTGAGGTCCTTGTCCTTCTCCTCGGCGGGACCCTCGTAGTCAAGATCGTAGAAGTCGAGGTCGAAGCCAACCTGCGAGTGCAAGGTAGCAACAACGACGAAACGGCCCTTGGGCGACCAGTAGATACCGTTGCTGTTCTTCTTCTCGAAGGTGCGGATGTGCTTGAAGTTACCAACGACGTTACCCTTCGCCTTCTCCGGGCAGAAGAAGGAAACGGCAGTCTTGGGAGCGACAGCGGCGTTGGCGATGACCTCACCGGCGGTGATAAGGACGAAGCGGTTGCCCTTGGGCTCCCAAGAGAAGTTGATAACGGTCTCCTTGACGGTGTCAATGACCTCGACGGGGACACCCTTCTCCTTGACGCGGAAGATTTCGAGGTTGGTGGTCATCGACTTCCTGGACTTGGTCTTCTGGATGTCGACCTTGACGCAGACGTACTCGGCGTTGGACTGCCAGTGAAGCTTGGCATCCGCAACGTTGAAAAGGTTCCGCGTACGCACAACCTCCTTGGAGGGAATGCTCATAAGACCGACCTTGGCAGGGGCGCTTCCGAGTTCAGGAGTCCAGTAGCACAGAAGCTGCTCGTAGCCCTTGATACCCTCACGCTGGGGGGTGGCCGGCGCCCACTCGAAGTCCATGATGCCCTCGATCTTGATGGAGGTCTTGTCAAGCAGGTTCATCCGGGGGGTCTCGTAGACAGAGATAGACTGGCCCTGGACCATACGCGCAACGTACTTGTCGTCGGCAGACCACTTGAAGGTGGGCCATTGCAGCTTCTTCTTGATCGGGTTGCCTTCCGCATCGGTCGAAGGAGGCAGATCGATGGTGACAAAGGAACGGAGAGGCTTGCCGGTAGCGATATCCCAGATGATGTAGTTCTTGCCATCGTCGTCGGCGGACAGGTTAGGGATCGGGTGGGTCTCGTCAACCTGCAGAGGCTGGGGCGACCAAGTGACGAGGTACTTCTCAGCGGGCGAGAAGTTGATCAGCTTGACGCCGGGGTGAGCAAAACGCCTTTGCCTGCTCCACGACTTTCCACCCCAAAGCTGAACACCCTGGTCGTGGACGGACATGAGGTACGTGCCGAGAGGCGACCACTCGACGAACAGCTCGGTCCAGTGCTCGCGGTCGACAACGGGCTCGGGCTGGTCCTCCTTCTCGTGCCAGAAAACGCCAACCTTCTTGTCCCTGTACATGGCAATCTGGTCGCGCGGGTCGGAAAGCCATGAGCGCAAGTGCTCCTTCTCTTGGAAAGGCTCGATGGTGGGCGCAACGTATTCCTCGTCGATCCTGCCCTCGCGGCCGTAACGGTCGATGTCGGTAAGCTTGTTGACGAGCAGAGTGTGCTTCTTGTCCAGAGGAGTTCCGTTGAGGGCCTTGACGGCGGCGATGGCCTCGCTGGGGGCGCCGAACTCGACGAAGGCGTAACTGTATGTATATGTGAGCCCGAGTTTCGCCGCCAAATTTCGGCCTTGTTCCGCCTTACCCTTCGGTCATGTTCGAGTCGTTCAAGGGCATGTAAACGCCCTCCTGGCTCGCGCGGCCAACGGTGTTCAGCTTGCGCAGCAAGAACTTGGTGAGCTTATCCCTGCTCTCTTGGGGCACGACGGGCAGGCCGTCAATGACGACGAACGCGTCGAGACCCTCCTCAAGCCTAACTTCATATTGTTCCTTCAGGTCGGAGAAATCAACCTCGTTCTCGTCGAAATCGTCCTCGGGCGGCAGGTCTTGATAGCTGGGAGCCATGGTTGCGGTTGTGGCCGGAAATCTGTGGGGTCGATCGCGAAGTACTTCGCGATGGAGGTTTTCTGTCAAAGCCCGAGTGTGGGCGAAATCTAGTCACGTGACATCTTATCACTATCAGCTCCGGGTAGCGAGGTTGTAGACTGGAGACAACACTATCAATATATTGCATCTAGATAATTTACATTTGGTCCATTTGGGCCGATTTCGATTTCTTATAACAGTTACTGTATCAAGCGTATTGTGCTTGTGTTGTCAGTGAAAGGGATTTTAACCGTGTTCGTCCATTGTCCAACAGGTCCACTACACACGCAACGTCGAAGAATGAATAGCTCCTTGTTTGAAAAAGAACAAATGAAGATTAAAATGAACAAATACTAATACTAATCAACAGAAAGGCTTTTTGGAAATAGAAATAATATTCCCTAAGCCCGTATCAATAGCTAAATTTATCCTTTAAATTTGATAGAAGAAGGGAGAACTACGCTCACGGCCATCGGTCAGATATACCGCATAGGGCAAAAGTATGTATCCTGCGTGTGCATTATACGGCAGAATAATACCCTGGATCGCTACATGGTACAACAGAACGTGAAGAGGCACATTCCGGTATACTGCAGAACATATGCTGAGTTTCGAGAGGACTTGTTGATATCCTTCGATATCATGTGTTGCTCTTGAAGAATGACAGCATAACGTAGTGATGCAATAGAAAGACTGGAAGTACCTACATTTCAGCCTTTGCCAGTTGCTGGAGAACTCAGAAGTTGGTGAGTGCCATTGTCAATTCTTCGCACCAGCCGTTCCGAATGGCAGGCTTGCTGCTCAGATAGTAAAAACGACATCGATATATCAAGCGAAGTGAGAGTCAGAAGTACCCCATCTATTGTTTTGTCCAGCGGCGTTACGCTGTTTCCATCGCTTGACCCGATGGTCAATGCTGCCGAATAACAGCCTTGGTTCCCTCGTCGAAACCAAGATGGTCAGGAGGGACTAAGGCCATCGCCCGCTTAGGTATTAAGTATTGCTGTTTTAACAGCCAGTAGGACTGTTGTTATGCAGTGACTTGTTGCTATGTCGTCATTGTCGAAGAGATGACTGTGGATGGAGGCGGTGCTCGGGAAAGTCAAACCACAAGCTTGATTGATCTCTCCAAGTATGTACGTAGCCTGCGAGAAAAGTTCAGTTTACAGTTCACGCTGTTGATAATGAGACTGCAAAGAGAAGATCGGGTTCTACCCTGAGCCTAGTACCGATATAAGGTTGATTGGTTGGAGGTGGCGAATTTATATAGCAACTCCACTTTCAATCCCCAATCCAACCTCATCAAACGCAACAGCGAAGAGAAGCCGGCCCCACAACTACAACCCGGCGGATTTACGTAGCCGACAGTCCAAGGAGCCAAGAGGTACTCGCGGATTTCGCAGAGATGAAAAGCTTCCTGCTAGTCGAGCGTAGTAACGTATGTTGATGGAAAAGAAGCATGACTACAAGGACTATTTGGTGTCCGCACGCTTACCATCTTATAGAAGCTTGGACAGCGCTTCATATGAAGTGGCGACAGCACCGCTCACGCAAAGCTTCGCCGATAGCCGGTCATGTGATAAAAGTAGTTGCTTCACTGGAACTTAAGAAACTAGGAAATGGCAATGGCTGGCGTAAGAGCATGATCGGCTGGAATCTCCAATGGGCGTGGACAGAGCTAAACATCTTACCGATCGACCTACCGGAATGCCAGCAGCGACAAGGTACCAAGAAATGACAATCACGGGAGATATGTGCTTTGCTTGCGCGAAGCAAAGAAGCGTAGCAGATCACCAATGGTTGAGCGGTCATTCACCCAAGTGAAGCCTCCATTGCAATTGTGATCGTGCTGAAAAAAAGCTCCATTGATAGGCCGCAGTCGTAATTTTTTGTGTAATTACAGCTCCGTGAGAATCATGTTGGTACGCCGACCCGACGCTGAGATTCCTGGGACTCAAGACACCGTGATTTTTTGTCTCCGTAAGCCCTGGAATTTTTGGATTGGATAACCCCCAAACGCTACCACACACCGAAAACCATTTACCGGACGATACCCTCGAACCTGTTCTTGTACCACTTGACGGTCTCGGCCTGGTTGATGCGGTGGGAGGCACCGACTCTGCTCTTGCAGCGCCTGCGCTTGGCGACGCGCTCACCGGGGCGGGTCCTATTGGCCATGTTAGTTTCCCGCGTGTTGCAATTCCGAGACATTGCGCTCCAATGTGATCTGGAATTTTTCGGGGCGGGTGGACGTACATGCAGACGTAGAAGTCCATGCCGTAGATACCGATACCGGGGTCGTACTTGATGCCCAGATCGATGTGCTCAGAGATACCGAAACCGAAATTGCCGGTCTCGGAGAAGTTGCGCTTCCTCAGCTCGTACTCCTTGACCTTGAGGCCACGCTCGAGGATCTCCTCGGCCTTGGGGCCACGGACGGTGACGTGGACAGAGATCTTTTCGTTACGGCGGATACCGAAGGTACGGACGGTGTAGCGGGCCTTGCCTACAAACGCGATGAATCAGCTTGCGATGTCGTCGAGTTCGTCCGAGGTGGTATGAGCGTACTGTAAACCGGGGTCTGACCGGACAGCTGCTCCAGCACCTTCGCGGCACGGGTAAGCCTGTCACCAGACTCGCCAACGGAGATGTTGAGGACGAGCTTCTGGACGCGGAGCTCCCTCATGGGGTTGCCGCTCTTGTCGGCGCTGCCGCCCTCGGCGCTGACCTGCTGGTCGGAGTTCTGTCCCTTGGCCTGAAAAGAAGCATTGTCAGCGATGCGCTGGACAGGATTGCGGTCGGCGTGCGGGATGGAATTACCATTGTGACTGGAGGTTAGTGTTGTCGAGGTGGTGTCCGGGTGGTCGTCGCGGTCGTTGTGCAAGACGAACAATTTTGGCGGGTGAGGAGAGTGGGAGCCGCTAGCGCTCGCTTAGTCCGCAGGGATGTCAGTTTGCCTAAGGCAGGAAGCGCGCCAAGACCGCCCCGACATCGCGCCTGCACCTGCTAAAGAGTAATTGAAGAGCCATCGCAACGAGAATTCGCTGCACTTGAGCATTTCTTTCCCGTATTGCGAGAGACACAACCCATTCTTCACATTCACCGTCTATATCCCTCTCTCTCGCTCGCAGCGTTGTTGCTTCACCGCGCATCATCGGTGCCAAGACTTCGGCCGCCGATTTCTCGAGAGCGACACCAGAAACATCTACAGCTCGCCGCGACGCTACGACATCCCCACCAGCATCAGCACCTTGCTCCACTACCACCTCTCTAGCTGCTTCTCGAGTCGTGTTCGCACGCGCCATTTGAACCATGGCGGCAGCTAACAAGCAAGGAAAGATGGTAAGTCCTTCCTGCAGACGTTGGGAAACTGCCAAACGATCGTTAACGGAACCAGCTAACTTGAACCTATTCAGCAAAATCTCGTAAGTCGCTCTTAGCCGCCCGTGCACTGCGCGCGCATGATCTGAGTGGTTCTGACCAGCTATAGATCAACTACCGCATGCGCGCCACACTCAATGACGGTCGTCAAATGGCCGGTCAGATGCTGGCATTCGACAAGGTCCGGTTGTTCAACCCCGCAATTCCGCTACTAGGAGGCTGACAGATATTGTTGCAGCACATGAATCTCGTCCTCGCCGACACCGAGGAGTTCCGCCGCGTGAAGCGCAAGTCGACCAAGTCCCAAGCCCCCGGCGCCGCCGCCGCTCCCCTCGTCGAGACGGAAGAGAAGCGCACGCTCGGCCTCACCATCGTTCGTGGAACCCACATCGTTTCCTTGTCAGTTGAAGGACCGCCTCCCGCAGACCCCTCCGCAAGGCTTGGAGCGGGCGGCCCCGGTGGTGCTGCTGCTCCGGCGACGTTGGCGACAGGACCAGGTATCAGCAGGCCCGCTGGCAGAGGTATGCCGGTTGGCCTGACTGGCCCTGCGGCGGGCGTTGGTGGCCCTGGCCCTGCTGGTTTTGGCGCGTTCCCTCCTACGGGTGGTTTCCCTGGTGGTCCCCCAGGCTTCCCTGGTCGTGGTGGCCCGCCGGGCGGTCCGCCTGGCTTCCCTCCTGCCGGTTTCCCCGGCGCCCCAGCCCCCTTCCCTGGCGGTCCTCCTGGCTTCCAGGCTCCTCCTGGTGCTGGCAGGGGCTTCCCGCCTGGGTTCGGCAGATAGACGGGTTGGTGCTATGAATGTGTTGATTTGAAATCAAAACTCGTCGAGGAGGAAGCATTGACTGCAAAAAGTTGGCTGCGATGCATCGAAGACAGCGGGGAGCAGAACGAAGCCGAGCATGGATGCAGAAACTCATGCCAGGCGTCCCAGCCTGACAGCACGCTCGCCCTGCGGGTAGTACGATGGACATTACTGAGGGGAGGGACATGGAGGGCGTTTAGGGACAAGACTTGCTGCTTCGGACAAAAGCACAGCAGTATAGCATAGGCGATAATCAAGATGCCATGAACGAATTGCCCAATGTCCAATGACACAAGCGGCATTGATGATGCACGTGACTAAGTGCCCACTTTCCGACGGCCGACGAGCGGACCTGCGCGCGCGACTCACCATCGGACTCCGCTGATTATCAAAGCTACGTCGAGAAAGCTGGGAATCCGCTCTCCACTCCGCACACCACCTCTTCATACATTTCTCTTTTTCCCTCAATCCTCAATCCCGCCACATCGCCCACCATGGCCGCTGCTATCAAGGCTCTCAACGCAAAGATCCGCTCCAACCCGGCGCTGGACTACTTCTGCTCGACCCGTACGTGACCAGGTCGTCCGGTTTCGGTGCGCGCGCGGCCGCCGCCGCCGACGCGGACGCAACTGCGTCTCGCCCCGGCAATGAAGGCGGTCGCATGCAAAGCAATGGACTGAGCGAGCGTCTAAAAGAATGAAAGGCTGACCTTGTCGTGTGCGCAGACTTCTGGGGCCCGGCGTCCAACTTCGGAATTCCGCTCGCTGCGGTCATGGACACGCAGAAGGACCCTGAAATGTAAATACGCTCTCCTGCTCACTCGGAGCACAGCATGCCACCGTCTCTCGAGCCCATTGCGCCCGGCCTCTTTCTCGCTTTGCCTGCCGCTGTCGTCGCCTCCGCCGCCGCCGCCGCCGCTGCCGCGCACAACTCCGCTGTCGGAATCGTTGCCGCGCTGAGGCGGAGCTGACGCGAGATACTCGGTCGGCAAGGCACGAGCAGACAAGAGCCTGGCACAATGGGCGCAAGGCCAGGCGGGCTACGCCCCTCCTGTTACAAGTCCTTGAAGACCGTGAGTCAGCGCGCTGACGGAAACTCTCACAGCATCTCGGGCCGCATGACCGCCGCCCTGACGTGCTACTCGGCCGTCTTCATGCGCTACGCCATGGCGGTGCAGCCGCGCAACTGGCTCCTGTTCGGCTGCCACTTTGTCAACTGCTCGGCGCAGGCGACGCAGGGCTACCGCTTCTTGAACTATTGGAAGTACGTCATGCCACCTCGTGCCATCATGTCATGTCACTATAACCCACCACCCACCACATACAATAACAACCTACCCTTTCCTTATACCACTATATACACACGTACACCAATGCCTACACCCAAGTCTCTATCTCCCTCCCCCAACCCACGCGCAACCCCACTGCCCCCACCCCCACTCTCACCGACCCACAACACCACCACCCATCCACAACGCTAACAATACACTCCCGCCACAGTTTCGGCGGCCGGGAAAAGGTTCTCGAAGCGCAGGCCAAGTCCGGTGTGCAGCAAGCCAAGGACGCGACAGTAGATGCGGCGCAGAAGGTCCTGGGCCAGAAATAAACGGCATCGCACAAGACAGCAAATTGACATCACTCTCTCTGCCCCCTTCTCCCTTCATCGATAGACGCATACACACATACGCGCACACACGCACAGGCAAAAATGAGAGTGACAGAGTGAATGAGAGACTGAGGAGAGGAGGGGAGGGACGGAGGGAAGTGGAGGAAGTAAGGCAGCGAAAGGGAAGTGGGTTCTAAGACCTTGCTCAAGGAGCGGCAGGTAGGCAGGCAGATGCGTTGGGGTGGTTGCAAAGAACGGCCCCGTGTATAAAAAGACGTACTGTAGGTAGCTGAGCAGCGAGCGCGACTGAACTAAGATCAGGTTATAAAGCAGTTCTTCTCTTCCGGGTGCATTGCGTAAGGCGTGGGGTCAAGAATTAGTTAAGCCCACACAGACTACGGTTACATGTAAACAGCACTCACGCCGCGGCGCCGCCGTTGCTGTACGTCTCGCGTCCCCTTGACTGCCTCGCGGCATACCCGCCCACCACGCCCTCCCGTACGCCTCCCTCTTTCACGTCCCCATGGCACGCACAAGCATACATCCACAACCAGCAATCCACCTACCCATCCGCAGCCCACCCCCACACCTGTACGACTCTCTTCAAAGCGCCGTCTAACGTCCGTCACCGTGAAGCAAGATCCCCCATCTAGCGATATGGGGAAAGATATAAGCAGTCCCTATGGAACACTCCTTGTCTAGCTATAAGTCTGGATCTTGGGTATAAGTCGGCGTTGCCCTGGGTGGGCAAAAGAACGTATTCCCTGGGTGGGTAAAAGAACCTATTCCCTGGGTTACTGCTCCTACCTAGGCTGGTGCGATGGCATCATGCTCATAGGCAACCGCTGCTGGCGACCTAGTCGGGTCGCCCCCCATGGTGCAAAGCGGTTCTCTCCCCCAAATCAGAGTATCTCCAACCAACAACATCACCTTCCCATTGCCAACGCCAGAAGCTCTACCGATCACCACTCCTCTCACTAAGGAAGCTTACAGCACGCTTAACCTTTTCTTCCACACAGCACTTCACGCCCTCCTCGCCAGAAGATCTTCAAAGCAAAACTCTTGTTTGCGACTTGTTTGGTACACTCGGCGTCCAATGGACAGAACAGAACATCAACAACCGCTCACGCCGATGCCGATGCCGCTACCGCTGCCGCTGCCGCTGCCGCTGCCGCTCACGGCCCCAACCACGGCACTGTCTGTCTCTACGCCCAGCCGCAGCCGTCCTAGAGAGCCGTCCACCGAGCCCCCCAAGCTCGGCAACAACACCAACAGACTAAAAGCCAGCTTCTCAGAGCTCAGCTCAGCCATCACAGACAGCACAACGGCCACTACGGCTCTCAGAACATCGGCTGCAGTCATTAGGTCCGAGGTTGAGAACCTTGGAACTGCCGCGACGCAATTTTCAGATGGTATCGAGAAGCTGAAGGCACATATCGTAAAGATTGCATGTTTACTGAGCTCACGTGAGTGCCTTTGATGCATAGTGAGGTTCGTTGCGTTGTGGTTTGGGAATCTGTCGTTGTTGTGATAGAGTAGCGGTTAGCTTTCGTTGAGATTCTTTCGTGGGTATATATTAACTAAATACTAATACACTGGGTCTGCTGAAGAACGGCATTGGGTAGAAATCAATCTCGTTGTTTGGATTTCTTCTGCTCCAACAGCTTGCTCTACCACATTCCCACTGCACGCATAGGCACAAATCCATGTCTAACTACCTAGACACCCGGCTATCCACCTACCAACACACCCGCCAGGTTTATACGACTCCGATCAAAGAATCACACATCTTTGATCCTCCGAAATAGACAGAAAATATCACAGAACGTTACACGCACCATATTAGAAGCAAAAAAGCAGCTACAACAATCAATGTAACAACCAGCAATCAAGCCACTCCATTACTTCACACACACCACGTCCCCAACTACCACAACCAAGACTACAGCTCGACGCTGCCCTCCTTGCCCCAAACCCTCTCGCCCTCACCCTCACCCCTACCCCCACTCCCATCCCCTATATCCCCACCACCTTCCCCACCATCACTCTCACCATCATCCTCACCATCATCCTCACCAAACAGCACACCCAGCAACCAATCCCCCTCGCCCAACTCCTCGGCATCAGCGGCTCTAGGCCTGCGTGCGCGCTTACTCGCCTCCATGCCCTCGGGGAAGACGACGGCCTCGGGCGTCTCGGGGATGATTGAGGAGCGTCTGTGGCGAGGTAGTGGTGGGGTGGAGGGGGGAGACGAGGACGACGACGACGACGAAGAATGTGGGGGTGGGGAGGGGGGTGGTGCGTGGGTTTCTTTTTCAGCTTCGGGTTTGTGTGCGTCTTGGTCGGGCTGTTTTTCGTTTTCGGGTTCTTTTTCTTGTTCGTGTTCGTTTTCTTGGGGGCGCGTGATGTGCGTGTGCATGTTGGCGGTGTTGGTGTCGATGTCGTCGGTGCCGTCAAGCAAAGACTGCTGCTGCTGCTGTTGCTGTTGCAATTCAGCCACCGGCGCCATACCAGGAAGTTCAGGAAGTTCAGGAAGCTCCGACGAAGGCGAAAGCTCAAGCTCAAGCTCATGCGCAGGAGGCACGCAGTGGCGCGAGGAGCGGGAGCGGGAGCGGGAACACGGGGGGATGGCGTCGTCGAGCTCAAGCTCGTGGTCCTGCCCGCTGGGCCGCCGCCTTGCAGCGGAGGCGCAAGCTTCGACGACGACGAGGGGCGACGTGGAGCGAGGGCGACGAGTCGACGAGCTCTGGCTCAGGCGAGGCCGAGGCCGAGGACGAGGACTCGCGTCTAGATGGTGCTGGTGCTGCTGCTGTTGTTCTTGCTGCGGATGCTGCGCGTCGTCAACACGCACGTCCTCAGCAAAAGCAAAAGCAGCATCATCGCCCTCTGCGTCTTCCTCCCCTTCACCGTTGTCCTCGTGCTCACCTTCGTCCGTGTACTCGTGCTCTACTCCATCATCATCCCTATCCTCGACTCCATCTTCGCCTTCGCCCTGGTCTTCCTCGTCCTCACTGACCACCTCTCCATCGCTATCCACCCGGACCTCAACCCCCCTCTCTTGATCCCACCGCCACTTGCCAATACGCCCAACACCACCCTCGGCCGGCTTCCTCTCGCCGGTATTGATATCCCAGTCCCAGCCCTCGCGGAGCCACAACCAGCGCACAAAGCTCTTGAGCTCCTTATCACGGGGCAGCACCCTGCGCCACTCAGGCTCGAAGCCCGCGTCGCCCACGCCTTCGCCGTCCCACCCCAGCGCCACCCCGCGCAGCGCGTCCCGGCAGAAGATGCGCCAGCTATCGAGCGCGTATGGCCCCCTGCAGCCGGCCAAATGCACAATCTCGAACGCGCCGTCGCGTGGGTCCGCATCGTATAGCACTTCCCGGGGACGAATGTCTTTCCCGCTGCCCTTCTTTGGGTAGTTCAGCGTGCGCGAGCGGTAGCCCCGCATCGGCGGCTGCTCAAGCCATCCTTGCGCGAACTTGATCAGCGTCTTGGCGCGCACGTTTTGCAGGCCCACGCGGCGCAAGATGCCTACTACGTCGTCGAGGTTGGCGTGGGCCAGGTCCGTTGGCGTTGGGTAGTGGGCCATGAAGTCCCAGAAGACGGGGATCGCGACTTCGCCTGAGGTCTTGTTGAGGAAAGTTACTGCAATGATGAGCCGGAAGGGGTCGTCGCAAACATCTTCTTGGACCAAGCCAAAGCGTGGCGCCGAGACTTCAGGGAACGGAAGGCGGGAAACAGTGCCTGGTGGTGGGCGCTGAGACGGGAAATGGTTTGACCTCAATCCTGTACGGCGCCGAGGTGTGGTTGGCGGGGCGTCCTGTGAAATAAAGCCTTTTGGTTCTATTTCATATGAGGATTCCCTGCTGGACGGCGAACTATGCCGGGATAGCGAAGCTTGTGGTTCGGTGGCGTCTATGGCACCGTTCAATTGTGGAAGAATGAAGCCAGGAGGGTCCTTTTCGTAGGATGAGCCTCTGGTTTCCGGAGTGCTTCTCAGGGCAAATGGAGGATTTGCCTCATGCTCCTGAACGGGCTGATGCATGGTGGCAACCTCCATCTGGTCAGGACCTTGTGTTTGAACATCAATCCGGGAGGCTGACCTGCGTGAACCGGCGGCAGGCGACTTTTCGACGCCCTCGCCACCCTCCTTTCTTTCGTCCTCTTCCTCATCAACCTCTTCCTGGCTCTCGTCACTACTCTCTTCATCACTCTCAGTTTCGCTTTCGCTTTCAACTGCCACACTCCCTGCATCGCTCTCCTTGCCATCCAGAAGTTCTTTCCTAGAGCCACTCAGCTGTGACGCGTTCGAAAAGCTCGACTTCAGGTGTTGCCACTGGTTTGACAGCTTGCGCGCCCAGTTGTTGTTCTGCGCGGGAGATTGCTTGTTGACGGTAAGGTTTTCGCTGATGGGTTCGTCAACAGAAGAGTCTTCGCTCTCCGGCTCCTCAACAGGAGAATCCTTGTTATCAGGCTCATCAGGAATAGGCAGCTTCCACTGGCCCGAGAGCTTGCGCGACACGTTATTGTTCTTCGCCGGCGATTGCTTATCGACAGCAAGATCCTCGTCGACAGGTTCATCAACAGAAGAGTCCTCACTCTCAATCTCCCTCACAGGAGAGCCCTCGCTATTCGGCTCATCGGGGATCGACTCCTCATATTCCGACGACGACTCATCTTCTCCGAACAAAGCCTCCCTCTCAAGCTCCGACGGCGGCTCCATCTGCTCATCTTCTATTTCCTCTTCAATGTCCGTATCCTCACGTTTCTCATTCGCATCTGCAATCGGCTCGTTTTGCAACTCCGAGAATGATACTGTGAACCAAGGACGCTCTTCTTCTTCTTCTTCTTCTGCTGCTTCTTCTTCGTCGTCGTCTTGTTCCGTCGAATCTCCTGACTCTTGCTCTTCCTCAGTTTCCGGAGCTTCTTGCTCATCTGGCACTTTTTCCTCGTCAGATGCGGCAGAAGACGCAGAGCCTTCTTCCGACGCGCTTCGAGATTCAGGCAGCGGGATCTGCGCAGGGCCCAACGGTGACCGTATGTTCGAATCCAAGTCCACGGGCACGCCGGACTCAGCCTCAGACGCGCCATCCACAGAAGCCTCCTCAGACGCCTCAGAGTCGTCCTGCTCAGAGCTAGGCGTCACAATCTCAGCCTCAACCTCAGCTTTAGCCTTCTTCTGCGCCTGCTCCAGATCATACAGCTCCCTCTCTCTTCTGAGCACCATCGTCAAGAGGTTTTCTTCACTATCCTCTTCCTCTACTTTAACACCCTCGCTCTTATCGCCCGCTCTAGCAGCCATGTCGCGCCGAATCTGCCGATCAACCTCATCCTGAATACTAGCGCGCCGACTGCGCCGCTTCCGCGCGCTGCCAGCAACAGACGAAGCGCCTGATGTCCTGCGCCTCACGTCCGAGGAGCGCAGGATGCTGGAACGCCAGCCTTCGGTGCGGTCCTGGTCTTCGTCATCCTCGTCATTCTGCTGCGCCAGGAGCACGCTGAACGTATTCGTGATGCCGGTCCTGCGCGGCGCGGCGGGGGAGAAGGAGTCGTCAACGCTGTTGTTGTCCTCGGATGCGCTCGTGTCGAGGTGGTGACGTACTGCTCTGCCCGAGAGTTTGCGCTGCCTCTTGACAGGGCGCTGTGTCGTTTCAATAGTGGAGGGCGAGGCGTCGCGTTTTCTGGTCTCGTGGGTTTTTGGGGGCTGAAGTTTGGGTTCAGATATAAACTCAGGTTCAGGTTCAACCTCGGGCTCAGGTTCAGCCACAGGTTCAGCCTCGGGCTCAGGTTCAAGCTCAGGTTGACACTCAGAGCCAGGTCCTCGATCCTCACGTCCAGACATTTGCGCTTCGGCCACTTCTTCCACAAGCTTACGCTTCTTCGCAGCCAGCCTGGCCCGCCTTCTCTGACCCTTACTCAACCGAGGCTCAGGCGCATCCGAAGCAGCGCCAGCCTGAGTATCCAAAGTAGCATTAGCATCGCTAATACCATCAGAGGGCGAAGGCGAAGGCGAGCGCTTGCGCTTCAGCGGCGGCGTCATTGCCAGAGGCTCCGAAACGGGCAACAGGTCGCCGTTCTGTAGCGGTTCTTGCTCTGCCTCGTCCTCTTGCTTCTTCGTGGGCTCTGTGAGCAAGCTCATCGGCTCTTCGGAAATGGATGTGGCTTTGTTGTCCACCTCTGTCTTGGCCTCTTCGTTGCTGTCAAGAGATGGTGAGTGCGCTTGATTTTGGTGTGAAGAGGACTGTTGCGCGAGCTCTTTGGCAATGCGTTGTTCGGTTCGCTTCTGTAGTTTTTTCTCTTTTTTCCTCATTTTCCTCTCTACCTTCTGTTCTTTGGAGAGGACTGGATATTGGTGGGCTGGTAGTGAGACTTCGCTACCATGGTTGGCAACTGAATGCTCCTTATCGCCCGGAACAGCGAGTGCGGATACCGTTTCAGTCTCGACAGGAGCTGTCTCAACCTCTGGTTCCTCAGTCTGCACACCATGGTTCTCGTCAAGTGTAGGAGGCACCAGCCGATCAACGACCATCTCATCGTCCTCACCAGTATCAGCAACCAGGTGCTCTCTGTCACTCAAAGCAGGCCCTGCAGTCCCCGTCTCAATCTTAGGCGGCATCTCCACCACTTCAGGCTCCTTGACTTTAATGCTGTGCTTCTTCTTATTTTTCTTCTTGTGAGGCTTAGGTTCCTGCTCCAGCTGCTCGACAACCGCATTTTCAACCTCGGCGGATTCCTTTTCAACTTCTTGCTTCTCTCCCGCTGATGGATGGTGCCTCTTGTTCTTAGGAGTGTGAGGTTTTGGTTCCGGTTCCGGCTCGACAACTGTCTCCTCCACCTCTCGCTTCCCTTTCGTGGACTGATGGTGATTCTTCTTACGCTCCAGTCCCTCTTGTACCATCACAGCATCCACGCCACTATCATGCGGCACAGCCTGTTCTAATTCAATATGCGCAGAAGCAGCGGATATCTGCGGCTCCTGATTTTGCTCAAGCTCACCGCACTTCCTCATCTCTGTCTCCTGCTTCTCTTTCTTCTCTTTCTTCATCCTGCGCTTTTCCTTGGCCATAAGCTTGGAAGCGTTTCCGATATCTGCTTCATGAACAAGAGGCGGCGGCGGCGGCATATCTGCCTCGACGATCCTTTCTTCCGCCACACGCTTCTCTTTCTCCAACCGTTTCTTGTCTTTCTTCTTGAGGTATTTTGTCGATTCGTCTTCAGCGGCTTTGGTCGAGGCGGACGACTCTCGAGCAGGCTCGGGTTCGTCTGTGTGCTTGGATTTGTGCTTCTTCTTTGGAGGCGGCGAATCGGGCTTCAGAGCTTCTTGATGATGGTGGTGATGCGAGCGAGCCTTGTTCTTCTTGTCCAGTTTGTGCTTCCTGTCTAACTTGGACTTCCTGTCATTTTGGCTGTGCTTGTCCTTGTGCGTGCTTTTCTTGTCGTTGGCAGTGAATTTAAAAATCTCATCGGTGGCATCAGGACCAGACGTAGTCGCCGCGTCATTGTCCTTTTTGCTTTTAGCCGCGGCCGCAATGGCAGGCTCGCTCGTGGCCTCAGGAGCAGACAATGTAGTTGCCATGTCTTTGTCCATCTTGCTTTTAGCCGGAGTGACAGGCCTGCTCGTAGCATCAAGCTGCTCGATAACGTTCCTCATATTGAAGAGCGTAGTCTTATTAGACTGAATGACTTCGCGCTCCAACTCATTATGCAGCGCCTGAGAAGCAGTCGTTCTTGGAGACGATTGGGAGCGTTTGGACGCCGGTTGTGGGGGATGTGCAGTCCCGTCGTCAGACAGCGTCCTCTTCCGCTTATTTTGCGATTTCGGAGGTTCGGGCTCTAATTCTGGGGTTGCTGCTTTCTCCTTTTTGATTGGCTTGGCGGGGATGTCCGTCTTTTTCTTGCCCTTTTTAGTCGGCTTGGGCTCCTCTGTATGCTTGTTGAGCACTGTTGTTGAGCCCTTCTCAGCAACCTTGGGCGGTTTGGCTTTTGGAACAGGAGCCGAAGGAGCAGACTCCAACTCTGGGCTTGACTCTTTCTCCTGTTTAATCGGCTTGGACAAGGCCTTTGTCTTCTGCTTGCCCTTTCTCTCCCTCTTAGTCTCTTCAGTATGTCCGTTTACCGCCGGAGCAGCCTCCTTCTCAGCAACATTATGTGGCTTGAACTGCGGAACAGGGACAGGAGTACATCCCGCATCAAAAGTAGGAACACGAACCGGAGTCTCGATCTTAGAGGGCGTAGTAACAGAAGGGCCAGGAGTACGACCTCTCGGAAGCGGCAAAGGCACAGGCGTCTTGCTCTGTCTGACAGGTCCATCATCCACCTTCACTCCGTCACTCTTATGCACCGCGTCTTTCTTCTTCGCATCTCTGCCGCCATCACCGCTATCGCGCAATGCCTTCCTCACCTTCTTCGGGAACTTCATCTTGGTCTCCTCCACACACTCGTCCACATCTTGAGCCAGCAAGCCCTTCTCCTTCGCTTGCTGCCTCACTTCATCGAGAAACTGCTTGAGCGCAGCAGCGCTGACACCCGCTCTGTCTGCCAGGAAAGTCGGGTGTTTCTCCGCGAAGGCGCGGACGCTATGCTTGAGGACCTGAGCGTGAAGTGCGGGCGGTGTCGACTGTGCAATGGCGGGCTGGCTCCTCGATCTTGGTCTAGGCGCCTCTTGCGCCCGCGGTCTCGAAGGCGCCCGCTGGCGCGGCATCCTTCCGTGGTTTCGAATCGACTCTTCCGGAGCCTACTGTGGCGACAACTCTCCTCGACCAAACCTCCAAAGAAAGCTCTTGAATACAGTGGCGGCACAGCGGTAGAACCGTCTCCTACAAGTTAGCAGAAAGCAGAGCGAGCTCGGCCGTATCCGTGCTCAGCAGGCAAAGCTAGGGCGAGAACGGGACAGCAGCGTGACAAAGCAGAGGTACTGTGATATCTGACGCGATCGCGGTGGAAGACAGGCATTGAGGCCGGCAAGAGTGGTGAGAGAGAGAGCGAGAGCGAGAGAGAGCGAGAGCGAACGAGCCCGCGAGCCGTCGAGGGCGTTGAGTGGGTGAACAAGTCTGCGAGGGCGGGCGTGCGTGGAGCTTGCTTGCGCGATGCAGATGCAGGCGTGGAGCAAGCAGCAGGCGGAGAAGCGGGCCTGCGTGAGAGCTTGCTTTTTTCGCAATCAATCGGACGTTTCACGCGTCTCAACCCCTGCGTGCGGGCGCGCACCAGTGCTCTCTTTCGTCCAAGAACCGCAGGATCAGAGGGCGTAGCGTCGTCGTGGCAGTCCGTCAAGCGCGACGGAGCTCTGGGCACAGAAAGCGGGAGCTCAGCGTACGCGGGAACGCGACGTCACGTTCGGTCGACAAGAGGTCGCGCTAGCCGCTTTGGACGTTAGCGCCAGGGTATCTGCGCGCCGGGCCGCTGCACCGCACCCGTCTCAGTGACCAGTTCCATGGATACGTGCGATATATCACACTGCATGTTCCACCGCTGCTTCTGCCCGGCCGTTGCGTATCGTACATGAATCTCATAGCGCATATCTAGCAGGTACCTAATTACGTTGCCAAACCCCAGTACCCGCAGCCAGCCAAGCCCAGCAACAAAGCCAAGTGTGTGAAGGAAGTAACTAGTCCGTCCGCCTGTCCCTCCGCGCCAGTCTCACTGTGTATTTGTATGTCCATGTCCTGCCTTAACTCATTACTCTGCGAGAGTAGTGTTGCTCAAGCTTTGAGGGTGTGTGTGATTCTAACTCTCTATGCGTGTGCGCTAGGAAACCTGGGTTCGTGCCACAAAAGGGGGTACTCGTATAAGGACAGCATTGAAGTGAAAGAAACGTCGTGCGCATGCAGTCAGTCTGAGCTGAGTGTGTCGTGAGATGGGCCAAAGCCTCTTCGTTTACTCGTTCTCCGAAAGCTTTGCGAGCTTCTGCAGAACTGAGAGCAGACCTGGATTACAGTCAGATCGGTGTAATCACACAACTATACCATCAATAGTGACTTACCAGTAGTTCCCTGAGTCAGCGTAGCATTGGCTTCGGTGTTGCGCGTACCAACGCTGACCGTCGTGACGTCCCGAATGACACCCGTCTTACCCAGCTGGTTGGCCCAGCGGAAAATGGGTTCATCCTCACGGTCGTCGCCCGCGACAAGCAGGAACTCGGCCGGCGAGTCTCCCTCCTTCTCGACCACTCTGTCGCGGTACTTCTTGAAGATGTGGGTGGCCGCGCTACCCTTACTCCAGTCGAGCGGCTCGACGAGGATGCACTTGTCAATCGGCACAGCGTGCACGTGCTGCGCAGCGCAAACCTCGTTAATGTGAGTGGCGCACTCGCCAGCCTGCGTCGCAGCAGCGTCGAAGTCTTCTGCCTGCTCGTAGTGGAAGATGAGCGAGCAGTGACGCTCCTCAACCCAGCTGCCCTCGACACGGTCCTTGTAGTACTGCAGAATCTCCTTGACGCTAGCCTTCCACTCATCGACCTTGGAGGTATCCGCAAAGGCGACCCACTGGTCCGTCCCAAATGGACGCACGAAGCAACCGTTCTCGGCGATCAGTCCAAGGGTAGGGACGCGGCTGAACAAGCGCTCGAGCTCCTCTGGCGTGCGACCGCTCATGACATACACCATGTTCTTGTTGTCCATCAACACCTCATTCAAGGCATCGATGACTCTCTGCGGGCTGGTCATGATGATGCTCGTCGGCGAACCATACGAAGCCAGGGTACCCTCGTAGTCAAGAATGAAAATGCGCCTGTTGGCATTCTTGTACTTCTCGCACAGCTGAGAGGTCGAAAGACGAGGGATGGACATCGTATCGCGCATGAAGTGCTCCTCGTGAACCTTTGCGAGGGTGTGGCTCAATGTTGTACACCAGTATTCACCGGTGTGGTGCATGATGACGTTGTTCAACTTCGTGTACCTGCGTTCCTTCTCCTCCGGAGACATCTCAAGCGCAGTCTTGATGGCCTCGGCGCACTGCTTGTAATCCCATGGGTTTACGGCCAGTTCGTTCCCGCCAAAGATGGAGGTACTGCCCGTGAATTCACTGAGAATAAGGGGACCGTGCTTCTTCTCGGTGGCCCGGCCATCCTGGCAAGCAATGAATTCGTGCGCAGTAAGGTTCATACCTTCACGAAGACTGGTGATCATGAGAACATCGGCCACGGAAAGCAAGGCCAGATATTGCGAGAACGCGATATCCTGCCTAAGGAAGACCAGCGGCTGGTGAGCGAGCGTCGAATGAGTGGACTCGATGCGGGTGACAATATCCGACACGGTCATGGCAAGCTCGGAGTTCTCAGTCGTAGACGTTGCAACTTGGATCATTACAACCTAAATACCTGTCAGCATTGTGAGAAGTTATATTATAAGAGCACCAACTGACCTTATCGCGGAACTGGGGGTACTTGTTGAGGAAAAGCTCGAAAGACAACAGCTTTTGTCTGACACCGCGGACTTGGTCCAACTTATCACGAGCGACAATGAGCATCTTGCCCTTGTACCTCTCTTGCATGACCTTAATCCACTCCTTGACGGTCGGCTCCTCGCGAACGAGCGCCAAGCTCTTGGGGTCGATACCGATTGGCAGCCATGCAACGTTGACGAAACGGTTCTCCAACTGCACGCCATCGTTGGTCGCTTCGACGATGAGCAGACGACTGCAGGTTTGAAGGAAATGCTGCGCATACTCGCGGGACTGGAAGGCAACCAAGTTGGCACCGAGCATACCCTCAAGAAGCTCCCTGCGAACGGCCAAGCAACGGAATACCTCGGACGACGGGAAGGCCGTGTGCATGAAGAAGCCAATCTCCGCGTCGGGAAGCTTCTTCCTGACCATACCGGGAACTAGCAGCAGATGGTAGTCGTGGACCCAGATGACATCTCCGCGCTTGTAGCTCTTGATAATGTTATCGGCGAAAGCCTGGTTCAGGTGGACATAGTATATCCAAGAGTGGTCCTCATAGGCCTTGCTCTTCGGGTGGTCAGGAATCTGGTAGTGGAAGACGGGCCAGAGGATGGTTTTGCAGTAGTGGGTGTAGTGACCATCGAAATCGTTGTCGTTGACAAAGACAGTCAGGGCATCGAACTCAGACTCCAGCTTCTCGTGAATCTCATGCTTTTTTCCGTCATCCAGGGCATCAGTGGGGAAGCCCACAGTGCCGACCCAGTAGACGTCTTGCAGCTTGCCTGCGCCGATGGCGGCCCGCACAGCATTGGCAAGGCCACCATTACCTTGAACTGCCGGCTCGACGGTCCACTCCGAGCCCCACTGCTGTCTAGAGCTGCTCGAACTCCTATTGCTGCTGACGCTCATCCGCTTCGGCGAGCGGCGGGAAGGCCTGCGCTGGTGGTGCGCCGCCGCCGCCAGCTCCTGAGCCTTGGTGTACTTTAGAATGTCTTCCGAGGGAGGCGCAGCAGCCCGCGAACGAGGCTGGTTGAAGAAGAGACCGCTGCCCCATTCGGGGACGTGGGCATCGCTGCGGACAAGAGAGCGAGGGTCGTGCGGTTTCGGGAAATGTGTTGAGACGCTAGGTTGCTCTTGCGTGAAGAACTCTTCGTGCGCCGCAGTAGCAGAAGGCGTTTGCGGGGGAGTGGGCTGCGCGAAGAGACTCGCATGCTGCTCGCCCGGCTCCGCCGCAGGCTCGAGTTTTGAGGCGTTGCGCCGCGGAGGACTCGGCCGACGGCTGGGAGGAGAGGACTGTGGCAAATCGTGAAAGTCGATGGTATAGGGCAAAAACCTGCGATAATGTAAGAGCGAGGCCTTTGACACTCGTTTTGACGGCTACTAACAGGGATACGATAAAAGTCGGCATTTTGATGGCGGTCAGCTATTTTTTTTCTAGCTACCTGAGCAGTGGTGAGACGGTAGGGCCAAGGGCCAGTGTCGCAGAAGGACGATGAAACAGGCCCCCGGAGGAAGGCGACTGGAAATGGAGAGTCCGAAGGTTGAATTGGACGGGGGAGAAGGAGAGGAATTGGTGGGGGGGTGTTGAAGTTTGTGTAGAGGATGGGGCGCGCCGTAGGAATGACCAGCAACTCACGTCACTGCCAAAACAGCCCGGGCCCCGGCGGGGGGGGAAGAGATGCTCGGAGCGACGTGCAGCCCTAGCGCTCCCGCAGGCTGATGAAGACGTTTTGCGATTGCTAGATGCCATGTTTTTGCCCTCCCTCTTACCTACGCGCTAAAATAAAGCTGAAGTTCCTGCGCGCGCCAGCCCGTCGCACCGCATGCGCCTGGAGGCATGACGTCTCGGGCTCATCCTCCGTGAGGCAGACCTCCGCCTACGACCTTGGACCTTTTTTTTTTGTGCCCTCCCTTCTCTCACCGGCCGATCACTCTCCGTTTTTGCCCGCGTTCCTGCGTGCAACGTCTCAAACTACTAGGTACATTGCCATGACGAAGCCGCCAGAAACTTCCTCGCACCCCCCACGTGTGCCCGATGTCTCTGTCCCACTTCGCGGCGTAACCCCAATTCAGGCCGGATGCTGCTGTCGCCGCCCTCTGAATGGCCGCTTCCAGAATCTTCCTGCCAACAGCCATTGCAAATAGCGTCGACTCGACCTCTAATAGACTGGCCTAGGCAGCCTCGCAACTCGGGTGATCTCCCTCGTGCAGTTCCGCGCGCGCAGTGGATCCACTCCGCCGTCATATCATCAGCTAGCCAACCCGTTACTGCTCCTTCACGCACGGGGGTATCACTACTACATACTCACTGCAACGCTTTTTCCCACAACCACTATCACCACCACCCGGCCGGCCTGATGAGCCCTCTCACATGCGCCTACGTAGTATATGCGTGCGCCGGCGCGGGGATGCGCCATCTCACGTCCGGATGACGCCCGCGCCTCCGCCACAGCCAACGACGCCCTGTCTCGCAAGCGACATACATATCCGACACGAAGCGCGTACGCGGCACCACTCGGCGGGCGTGTCCCACCTATCAGCGTAGCAAAGGTAGGCAAATCCCTCAATAGTCGGGCAGCGAGCCAGGTGCCAGAGCTGCTGCTGCTGCTACCTATGGCAAAACAAGTTTTGCCCGCCGGGCTCATTGTCGCAGGAATCCGGGGTAACAGTAGACCGGAAACGAGACCTGAGTCAATCAGGCAAGCGGCGTTGCCAACACCTTCGCTTCCGAAATTACCGGATCGGCTGCGGGTGAGTGGGCAAACGCGCACGCGCGGTGGGCAGCCTTGCGCGCTGCGGGGCTGCACGTTTTTGGGCCGGTGGCTTGTGGAGATGCTCGCGTTGGCTGGTCGCTGTTTGTGGCTGCTTCCGGTGAAGAGCCTGGTATAATCTTGAGCGATTATATCCTTTCCTGCTGGCGATATGGTCGCGCGTGCAGGACGCCAGCGGCCATGACTTAATTCAGCCCGACGCGGTTGGGCGGGCCTGTCGATCTTATCGGCCCTGTAGCACTCCCGCTAATATATTGTATCTCACTACCGCCTTCTACATCTTCAAGCCCCACACACTACCTGATAACTTGATAACCCAGACGGCCCAAATCCTGTAAAAGCCGAGAAAAAGCTCACAATACCCAGACTCTCCAACATCCCGCCACTAATTTCCCGGCTCACGTGCAAAAACCATAAAAGCAAGGCCCCGGATAATTTGCCCACCCTTTGACTACATGAGTAAAACCTACAATACCTACAGAGTACTCCTTAGGTAGTTATAACTACGACTACTCTAACATACCAATATACGACTACTAAGGGTATAAAAATAAAATATTCAAAGGGTACAAAGGTACTTATACGGGTATAGAGACCTAAAGTTTTTAAGAGTAGAAAACACATCATATGATTCTGTAGATGCTATCCACGTGGGGAGGGCAAAATATCTAGAGGGGGTAGGCAAATTACCCGGTGCCAAAAGCAAGGGCATTCTTGCAGGAGTTGTAAAGAAAAACACGGCTAAATACCTAGGACCCGTTGGGTTCTTCGAGCCCTACCACACCCTCGACTCATGCCAGCATGCCCTTCCCGTGGGCACCATATACCCACATGGATAAGACAGACGTGCTTCGAACTTCGAACTTCGGACACTCCTTAAAACCCCATCTTTCTCAGTCCCGACATCAACGACAAAGCCACAGATACTCGTCGAAGACATCATTAACCTGAACTTGGACCAAGATCTGGAAAACGAAGGGACGATGACGGGTCTGTCTCCCTCGCAATCAGGAAGAGGGGTTGCGCGCTTTAGCCTATGACTACGCACTGCGGTGCTCTGGCTCTCGATGATGTTTTCCTACGCTATCGCTCAGTGTTCTTCTTCTTCGTTGTCTGTTGATACTGGTTTACACCACTTGCTGGCGCTGCTGCTGAGCATCAAAGTCCCGGAAAACGAGGTTCGCCACATTCGTCAATGTGCTTGGAATTTTGCTTGGCTGAGACAGTTCAGACAGGCCGGTATTTCGCCAGTTGGGGGTCGGGACTAGCCGACGAGGACTCCGTCTTGCGATGGCAAAGCAGAGGCTGGACGGAGTCGATCAGCTGAAACTGAAAGAATATGATCACACATGTTGCTGTCTCAAGTCAGCAATGATGATTATGTACCCACTGCCTTGCGTAAAACCGATCGTGCTTGTGACGCCCGTCACTGTGAACCGAGACCTATCGTCTAGCGAGACAGGAAACCCTACCTACGGAGTACTCCTTGCCCAGCTCCCAGCCCGTGTCCTGGGTATGGGTGAAAAGATCTCAGAGCACATGTAGACTCTACATATCTTAACTGGGTATCTTTTTCTACTCCGTACAAGTATCACTATCCCGCTTCATGGTGAATATCGCTTTACGGCGACGAACATTAGACCGCTTGCTTATTGCGTGATAGTAAGAAGTACATTGTCCAGACTTCATTTGAGACGTACTGCTAAATGTCCCTTTATCCTCCTCACTCTATAAAAGGCCCAAGCCAGCAACATCCCCATCTTTGTTCAGTCACTAGCATAATCGTTTGCAAAATCCGACTAAAGCAAACCCATCCTATCACTTCACTGGGAAATGTGATCGGCACATCCACTCCCAGTGACTGGGGACGTTCATTATCGAGCATCTTCTATTATGTTCATGTTTGTTCCACGCCATGTACATAATAATACTATCCTCCTTCTCCGCCTGCCAATGCCGTTCTTCATCATCTACTAACACTACTACAAATCATCAACACCAGCATCTTTACAACCAGTTCTTCTAACATAGCGAATATTAACCAAGCCGGCCAAGCCCTGTTATTGATTTTGAAGAATATAACCCCCGTTCTAACCTCTCCTATACTTCCCTCTCTCTACAACACCAACACCAATAGCACTCACCCACGCACCAACCACACCAACAAGCAGACAGACACTCGTGACAATTACCTACCTCATATACTACGTGATGCACCGACGACCTCAGTCCACCCCACAAACCCACAAACCCACACACCCGACGCAAGCTTACGCAGTAAGACTAAGCAGTCAAGTGGAAAACGGAAAACGGAAAGGCGGGGTGGGAGAGGCAGTCAGGATTTAAGATACAAAGAAAAAGAACAAAAGCAACAAGAAGGAGAAGAATAGCCTGCATATCGCTCAGGGCGATGGGTCAGGGTAAATGAATACAACTCAACTCAACTCAAGAAGGAGAAGAATAATAAGAATAATAAGAAGCGAAAGAGAAGAAGGAAAAGAAAAGATATACGACAAAGAAAAAAACAACACCAAGGTATAAAAATGTACGAAGAAAAGAAAAACAACAAAAGAGCAAAAGAGCAACCCAGGCCCAAAACCCAGCCTTATTACCCACCCTTCACAGCGCACCAACCTACGCATGTAGGCAACCCACCAACACCGTCTTCTAAATCAGAAGCCAACACAATAGAAAACGCCAATACCAATACCACTCCCAATACCTTCCCAACCCCAGCCAGAACCCGAACCAAAACCAGCCCGTAGCAGCAGTAGCAGCAGTAGCAACCCCTCACCCAACGCCACCAATCCCAGCCAGCCAGCAAAGATATATACTTTTCTTCCCCTAACCTACCGCTACGCCACCACCGTCGTGGTGGTGGTGGTGGTGGTGGTGGTCGTCGACGTCATCATACTCTCGACCGACGAGTCCTTCAACGACTTCCTCTTCTCCTTCTTCTCCTTCTTCTCCTTCCGCTCCCTCCGCTCCTTCTTCTCCTTCCTCTTCTCCGCCTCAGCCGCCGCACCCTCCGTTTCCCCCTCCCCCGGGGGCATGCCCACATAGTACCGCTTAATCGTCGATCTGCGCTTCATGGGCGAAGGCCTCTGCTGCTGGGACGAAGGCGACGCAGTCCTCGACACGACAGGCGAAACAACCGGGGAAATAACCGGCGAAGAAGAAGAAGTCGCGACGACCTCGACGACGGCCTTGGCCCCAACCTCGACCCTAGGCACAGGCAAAGCAGGCAAAGCAGGCAAAGCCGGCACCGACGGGATCGCTGCCGCCGTGCTGCCCCTTCTCCCCTGCTGCTGCTGCTGCTGCTGCTGCTGCTGCTGCTGCGCCAGGTTCTGCGCCTTCAGGCCCTCGCCCAGCGACTGCCGCCGCTGCCGCCACACGCGGGACGCGTGCTCCCAGCCCGAAGCCATCGAAGCCGGCGGCGCGCTGCGCAACTGGTTCTCGGGCGTCGGCGTCGGCGCATGGACTTGCAGGGTTGGGAGGACCGGAAGCGCGCGCGACGCGGGCGGTGGCGGGGGTGGAGGCGCGTGCTGTGGCTGCGGCGGGACGGTCGAGAGGGGGCTAATGCCCTCGTCTGCGGGGGCGGGCGAGGGGATCTTCTCTTCGGACTTTGGCGCGGTCGTGACGCGCAGAGTGGGAGGGAGCGTAAGCGTGGAGACGGAGGCGGAAGTCGAAGCCGAAGCAGTAGGGCTGGCGCCTCTGCTGGAGTTGGCGCCGCCTTCCAGTGCAGAAAGCGCAGCTGCGCGCTCCGCGTCCGTGAGCGTCACCGTCGCCGACGTCTTGCCCGGGCGGTACGCTTCGTAATACCTCGGCCTCTGCGGCGCCATGACCGGCGACTTCAGCAGCGGCGGTGTCGGCGTCGTCTCCCTACTAGCGGGCTGCTGCTGCCAGCTGCTCGGCCGCGAGAAATTGGGTGCTGACGGCGGGGACCGCTGCTGCTGCTGCCTCTCACCATCCTGGAACCAGCTTTCTGGGCGAGTGCCGGTCGGGGTGCTAGTAGAAGCGCGCTCTCTGCTCCTCAATCTCGCAAACTCCGACGCCGTAGCCGCGTCCATCGTCGCCCTCGCCGGTGCGCGCGCGCGCTCCATCATATTTGTGCTACAGTGGTGCGGCAGCGTGGCAGCCGCGACACGAGGCTTGGTCGCAAGGGCGTCCATGGCAATGTCATAGGGAGACCCGCCGAGCGAAGCGGCCACAGTGCCAAAATCTTGGATCGTGGGGCCGGCTTCGTCGTCATCGTCGTCGTTGACGGGAAGGCTGGGGACAGGTTCGTCGACTGAGGAATCCCGCGTTGCTTCCTTGGACTTGCGGGAGAGATGCAGGGACAGGGAGCGTCGGCGCGGGGACTTGGATGGCAGGCGAGACGCGCTTTCGGTGCGCTTGGGCTTGCGTTCGCGGGTGGTAGGTTCAGAGGCCTTGGTGTCGGCATTGGTGTCTTTTTGGGGCGTGGGAGAAGGAAAGCGGATCGAGACAGCAGCAGCATTGACGGCAGCATCTTCCTCCTGGATTGGTTCCTCGTGGTTAACAGACGCGAAAGTATGGTCGAGGTTCGCCATCTGAGGAGACTCAGTCAAGCGCCTCGTATACTGCGCCGAGACTTCAGCCGGGATTTCGGGCACGCTGCCCTTGCGGATAGGCTTGAAGGCCTGCACGATGGGCGAGGACGGGATCGAGGATTTCCGTTTCCTGAGCAGCCTCTTAGACTTACTAGGCGCGAGGCCGGACTGCTCAGTCGAGATACCCGAGTCTTGACGCAGGGGTTTCGCGGGCGTGATGCTGGACTCCGGCTGGTCGGCGATGAAGGGAACAGGCGAAGGGGGGACGGGCGACGACGGCGCACTGCTCTTGAAGGAGAAGCGCTTCCAAGACTTCGTGCGCAGAAGAGGGAGACGGTCGGGCTTTGCCGCTCTCGATCCTGCAACCGCCGGCTTGGGCTCTTCAGGCGGCGTCATTGCGAGCATGGCACGGATTGTGTACATGCTCTTGGCGTCTTCGTTGGATTCAGCGACAACGGCGCAGCGCTGTTTCTGACCCTCGGATACGTTTGTAATCGCCTTTCCTGCCTTCACCGCTTTGAGACTGGCTCCAGATGAGTAACCAGAATCCGTGTGTTTCTGAGGAGGCCTCTGCAGCTGGCCGTCGGTGGACTCGTTTGAGTTCAACTCCAGAGAGTTCTTGGTCGACACATCAGTGAGGAACATCTCGTCGGCGAAGGGGCTCTTGTTCAGCGTGTCAAATGCTTCCTCTGGGAGGCTGTGGTCTTCACTGGGAGCTTGGTAACCCTCGTCGTCAAAGTTGCTCAGTTGCGCGTATTCCGAGGCGTCGTCGTTAGCCCAAGGGCTATCTCCAAACGGGCTCGACGCCAGTTCCGAGATATACTCTTGAGCCGTGACGGCCGCATCAGATATCCTCCTGGGCTCGGTTGCAGATCCCGTGAGTGTCTCATCACTAGATCTTCCGGTGTTGTTTTGAAAGTGACGGCTATCGAAGGAACTGCTAGGACGAGGCGACTTTCCAGCTGTGCTCAGTCCTTCCGACACAGGTGGTGCCAATCCGGCAGTAGACGATGACGAAGTAGCGACGGTCGAGCGGGCTCTCCGATGAGCGGTTGTAGGGCGGTTTGAAATGGCCATGTCCGGCTCTTCAGATCCTACCACGCTCTCGAACTTTGCGAAATAGTCCTGAGGTTCGTGCAGATTTGGCATGGACATCTGGTTTGTCATTGGCCTAGTCAAGACGCTGGGGGCCGGAGATGGGGCTCCATTGGTGATAGTAAGCGTGCCGATTTTGGAACCCAAGAGCGCATAATCCATGTCTCCAGGGGTTGTCGCACGAGGTCCATAAGAGCTCTCCTCTCGCGGTGCTTCCAGGCCAATCATGTGGTTCGATGGAGAAGGCGCAAATTCCCGGAGCTTCGACAATTGCTCCCGGTCCGATGAAGATGACGAAAGTAGAGAGACCTCATTTTGCTTCCGCAAAAGGTCATAAGTACCACGAGTCGCCAGTCCAGGCACAGCCAGCGACCTACGACGAACTAGTGGACCAACAGGCGCATCTACAGGAGAAATAGGGTTGATAGCAGGCTCAATGGGCTTTGTTGGAAGAAGTGCCTTGTCTAAATATTTTCAACGTTAGCATTCTCTTTGCTTGCTCGCAATCTCAGTTGGTCTACATACGCAGAGCCACGAGATCCTCTGGTGATGCAGTTTTCTTCAACTCTTGCAGGAGTGCAATAGTCGATTCGATATCAATGGTGCGCGGGTCCGCGGGCAGAGACACTTTCGAACCATTGAACGGGTTGGTGATCCTTGTAGAAGAAGTGCGTGGGCTAGGCATGTCTGATAAAAGGGATCCAGTCCTGGAGAGGCTAGTCAAACGGTCCTTGACGCTCGACGCGAGCTCACCCAGGCTATCTCTCCCGTCCTCGCTGTTGGCTGATTCTCTGTAGATCTCAGCGTCTTTGGAGCCGAAGAGTTGCGACCTTATTTGCTGGCGGGCTTCGTCGGTACTTCTAAAGGTCCCACCGGAAGTCCAGACAACGTCATCGCAGTTAGGGTCGGAAAGCTGGGCCGTAGGAGAAGGCGGAGGCTGGGGAACGAGCCTAGAGGCTTGTAAGGATCCGTGGTTGTTTGTCTTAGGTTTGGTCAGCTTTCGCTGCTCGCCGACGGTCTCGGTAGACGGCACGTTGCCCATGGCGATACGCGAAGGATGGCTGGTTCGAGCAAGGCGCGATGCAGACTAGCAGCATATATGATTACACACGGCAACTTATCCCGCTGTCGGTAAGGCTTAGCCGGGGGGAAACCGAGGGGTTGGGAGCGTGGAAAATGCGCTCAAATCATAGGCTCGTTCTCCTGGTAGGTGGCGCGGGTACCGGTGCGTAAATGGGTGGTGACAGATCTCAATGTAACAAAAGCGAAGGTGCTTCCATGATCGACGAGATGCCGTGCGAGGCTCTGGGAGAAGGAAAAATCAAAAGGAAAAAGAGGGCGGCCAGGCGGCGGGGGAGCAGCTGAAGAATATCGAGAGGTGGGCCGAGACCCATGTAAACAGGGCAGCGTCTATCCCAGAGTGTCGTTGCTCAAGCTCCCCGTTACAGAGACGCGGGCTAGGCTCCTTGCAGCCTAGACACGATGCCAAACAGCTGAAGCAGCACGGGCAAAACTTGAAATGCCCACTCAGATCATGCAATTCTGAGCCGCCAGCCGTCCTTGTCGTCGATCCGATTCGAAGCCGAAAGGCTTCCCCTTCATCTCGCTCCCGGGCCTTTGCCTCCACACACCTCCTCTTTGGTCAACTCGAGGCCCGGCCCTTGAATCCTTCCGGCCTTGTAGCGGACGCGTCACGGTGCTTTCCAGGCGCACGTGTGAGGCGCGGAACGCGCGAAGTCGGCGCTCTTTTTCCTGCTGGAAAGATGCAGCCACGCAGCACAGAGCTGCTGCGCCCAGAGGCTGTGCATGCATGCATAGTTTCAGTATAGTCGCACTCTACCATATGCATGCCGCGTGGCTGCGTGCGCCCGTAGGTATGTGGCCGGTTTTTGGGCCAAAGAATGCCGGGGGGGGATCGCGCAACAATGGCGGTGCCGCTTAAGGACTTGCCTCCGCGCGAAAAGAAGGATTCCCCGCTCTCCCAGCCACTTCTTTGTGGGCCGGCACAGTCGGGAAAACAAAAGTCAAACGCCTGCCAGATAAGACATCTCTGGCGTGATATTCCCCGTCCCCTCAAGCGAACGTGGCATCATCTCGGCTCCGAATTGCCACGACCTTGTGCTGTGGCGGGAGAGTGGTTGGATGTGGCGTCTTGTTGACCTGTGGAGCCGAGACATTGAGCCTCAGCCACTCATCGAGTGAGGCTCCTTGTCACCTCTACACTCTGCAACGTCCAATCACCTATGTCTCGACATTCAAAAAGAGGACATTTCTCGTCGCAGGTTGAAAGGGCCTCTATAGAGCACGTTCATCTCCGGCCGGAGGTCCTACCGTTTGATCTCGAATCACACCGCCAGAAGGTCAAGTGCTCGGGATGCTCATCAAAGCTCGCTCTGTGAGAGTCCGTGTTTCTGTTAGATCGCTTGCGATCCTGTCCATGACATCAGTCTTGAGCAATCCATGACTAGCAAGCCGAAATCTTCATTTGCTTCCCGCTAGAGATCCCAACGTGCTCTGCGTCTAGCCCGCCTGCAAGAAAACTTGCTTGGACAAATCTTACCCCGCGTCCTACCCCATTCGGTTCTCTCGCCATTCTCTGACGTATCAGAGGTGCCGCTGTTTTACGCTTGCTGTTTGCGCGACGTTTGATGATCCGGCTGTCGCTACGCGCTCGGGTAGGTTGTCGATCAACCACGTCAAGCTTGAGGATCTACCTACGGCTCGAGCCTAAGGTAAGGTACGTCCGAGTTCGCGGTGAAGATGCTGAAGTAAATCGGCGATGCAGAAGGCCATGGAACAATGCTACTTTGAATCCGTGCTGGAGGATGCCTTCGGCAGGCCAATTGCGAGCCCCTTTTTCCATGCTTGTGAAACCGGAAATGATTGACGCGCGGAAACATCCCTCATGTTAACTGTAACAAGCTGCAGCACATACAAAGTTAGAAATTTGACGGAAATTCATGAGCGTTAGAGATGTGAGGTTGTCAGGAGACGGGAGCCAAGCACCTGCTCCTGAATATAATTTCCATAGAGAAGCAAATTCCCCTCAGCAATTTTCAGCAACTCCCCTCAGCAAATTCACCTGGAGATTATTGAAGGTGGACGTCGGTACAGACCCGATGTTAGGACGGCAGCAAATTCGCGCTCAGAGCTCCTTCAGACCTTCCTCCTCTTCGTCATATTCGTCTCCATAGTAAGTCATCTTCAACTGCACCATGGCTTCTCTGTCGCCAGCAGTCTGCTCCTTGAACCACATTTCCATGCTTTGAATCTGCTCCGTCCATGCCTCCGCAGCCTTTCGATACGCCTCAGCCTCGGCTCTCCTTTTCTCGACTTCGACGGGATCGTTGTCACTGTATCCAGCCAGCTCTTTCTTCAGTGTTTTCAACTCTCCCTCCAGCGCAGCGAGCCTCGTGGTGAGTGTCTCTCGGTCTTCGCCTCCACCCATGAGCATGTCTTCTTCATCCTCACGTACAGCGTTGGCTTCTCCGACTTTCGCTTTCAACTCCGCCACAGTGTCATTGGCCTTGTCGCGTTCCTCCGTAGACTTTGCGATCAAGTCTTCCTTGGCTTTCTTTGCCTCGCTGGGGAAGCTCCAATACCAGTTGCCGGAGCCGATCTTCTCGACGCGGATTTTGTTGTCATCGGAGAGCGCTTGAAGGTAGTCTTTGACTTGCATGCCATTGATGGACGCCACGGATGGAAGTGCCTTTTCAAGATCTTTGATGCTGTGAGCGACGCCTGATTGCTGGAACCAGGTGAGGATGAGGGCCTGTTTGGCCGCTGGCGGGAGAGTCTTCGGCGCCTGAAATTGTATCTGGTAAGCTGAAGTTCATAGAGACGTGATCGGCTCACGGCAAACGTACCATGGCGGGGCAGTATAGCTACCTACTGAAGTGTGATTGGGCGGGACTGTGATGAAGTGGGGAAGTGAGAGTGTGGGTGTTAGCTATAGTTTGGGTGCCTTCCAAAAGATCGGATGTGTGCCGGCAACGCGCCTTCCCATCGAGCTGCCAGCTTAGCAGTTGAAGCAGCATGAAATCTCCAACCTTTACATGTCTACCAAAACTTTTTCAGAAGTATCAGCGCGGTCAAGCAAATGCTGGAAAGTGAAGCTCGGCGAATGAAGACAGATTGATCAATGCGCCAATATTGGTGGCTTTATAAAAGACATTGGAGACCATAAGATGTTAGCGCATCGTTGAGTGCTGTTTAGTATCCGCTCCACCGCAGAGCAAACGGTCAGTCAACTGTACCTGATAAACAAAGCTTCAGCGTAGCACAGTTAGAACCGTCTTCCACCACATCGTTACCACCATCCATTGGACATTCCCTAGACGGCCAAAGAGCCGAAGCTGCGACCTTACTTATACATTCTGCGTGAGGACCATGCCAACAAGTGATTGGCTGACGTAGTCACTCACACAACCCACTTCAGCGTTACCTATAAAGACTTTCAGCGAGATCCTTAGCGCACTAGTTGGTGCGTCCTCGTGCCGTTTCACAGGCCGAGAGGTAACCACATCAATGGTTCCTAATAAAAAGGTCAACGGCACTTGAGTTCTGGTCTCATCTACGCAACCCTTCTCTTGAATACAAATTTTCTCTCTCGTCGCTGGGAGAGATGAGAGTTCTGTCACTTGTGTTAATAGTTTGACCCACTGAGATCTTCGATTGCGTTTTTGTTAGTTCTCCGTTATGGAATCTTTTGGTTCTGTTCGTTGTTCTGTGCACTCAAGGGTGCCTCACGCAGCAACTGCATTCACATTTTCGGATCTCATCCGTTTCATGAGCCACTATGCCATGGAGCTTGGTATCATCAGTGGATCTGGACAGATTGGAATACTGCCTGGTAAAAGGATATTGCAAAACTGGAAGAATGAACCTGTATCACTACTCTCCGGGAGATGATAATGTGTAGTCGTTAAATCAATTGCTTAGTATACCTACCATCGCCTCGTAGACACCTGTCGGCGGCCATTATCGTGTCCCATCTTTTAAAACCTATCAACCCCTAGAAGCTTTTTGATGCCCCGAGTCCCCAGCTCCCACGAACGCCTCGCTATGCACAAACCGCCCATCCCCAAGCCATTAATACTCCTTCTGGAACGTCTGCTCTATCGGCCGCGCCGCCTGCTCCTCGCATCAGCATCTCTGGCAAAACAAGACAACAGCGCCGCATCCAGGAACTTACTTCGATAAACTTCTCCAAGTCCTTATCCAGATTGGCCAAGTCCTCCTTGCGCTTCTTATTCTCGGCAATAAGGCCCTGCTTCCTCTTCAGGAGGCCCTGCCTCTTCTCCTCCAGCGCCATGCGCTCCTTATGCTCGTGATCGATGCGCGCAACCATAAGCGCATCCTCATCCCCGGCGACCTCATTCGCAATATCCGGGAACGCGGCGCAGAAGTCGTCGACAGGGAGGAGGGGCAAGCGCTGGTAGGGGTGGTCGTAGGCCTCGCACGCCGCGATCTCGCCCTGCAGGTGCCGCTCCTCGTAGTACAGGTTCTGCAGCTGGAGGTGCAGCGTGTCGACTTCGTGGCGGGCGTCGGCGGTTGCGGCCTTCGTCGCTCGCACCCCGTGCAGCGCTTTGCGGTTCAGGTTGCGCACGTGGGCCAGGTGCGCGTGCAGCGTTTTTTGCGCGGTCGATACCGCCGCTTCGACGTCGCTGGGCAGCTTGTCCGTTGCCTTGCTGCGCGGGTGTGCGGCTAGCAGCGAGAGCAGCTCGTCGCATTGTTGGCGCGCGAGGTCGGCCGCTTCGAGCACGGCCAGCAGTGACGGGTCTGTGATTATCGTTTCGGAGGTCATGGTTGCCGTTGCGAGGATGGATTGCGTTGCCCGGCGGGTGAGTGGTGGTGCTTGCGGACCGCGCATGGTGTTGTGCTTGGTGCTTGCCGCTGATTGGTCGGGTTCGGCAGATACTGCGACATGGAAACTGTGCGAGCAGGACGGGCAATGAACATTCATTTTGGCGAGAGATGTAAAGATGAAGGTGGCATACCTCTGCGCAGGAAGAGGGGATTTATCTTCACGTGGCGTTTCACTCTTTACCCGTTGGCTGCGGGCGTGTTAATGACTGTCGCACTCCAGCTCAGAGTTAACTGAGCTCACTATTTTGAATTTCCTAATTGAGGACTAGCTTCACATGGCTTCCCGCGATCGACAACACGAAGACAAAGCCCCATACATGCTTACTACAAATTTCAAAGGGGAAAGGCCAAAACTTGGAAGTAGTACTCCTAGTGCAACGCAAAAATATAAATTGCGAATGTTTAATGAGGTTCTACCTATTGCAGCAGCAGCTAATTTCAAAATAGAGCCCTATATTTTAAGGAGATTGATTTAGCGAATCAGTGCATGCCTCTACCAGAACTCTCACTGTTAGTTGCCGGCTTATGTTTACGAGCACGACTGGCAATGGATCCAGATATGAACCACCAAGATACATCGGAGATATCTGGTGGAGAATATCGATTAACGCACGTAGGAATTAATGTAGCTTCGACGGCCGCCAACACAGACAACAAACATGTCTCTCTTCCGCAGCCTGCCGTAGATCAGGCGTGGTCACCCAAGCTCTTGCACGTGCAGTGCAGGCCGCTGAAACAACCTACCCGACGGCCGGAAATACAGTTCGCCGTAATCCAAGACAACGGACATTGCTTTTTTAACAAAGAGGCCGAGAACTGAAGACTTTCTCAGGCAGCATCTTGCGACATCAAACGACTGCCCCTTTTGGACTCTCGAAGCTCCTTTCTTCGCGGCTTTCTCGGGCCTTATCGCTACTCGATATAGGCCTTTGGGGCGACGGTGAAGGACCCTCAGCTCGCTCGCTGCGCAGGCGGGGTCCGGGAGCGTATTGAGGGGGCCCCCCTTGGCGGATGGAAGGAAAAGTCAGCGGTGCCGCAAAGGTGAAATTGCAGACAAAGCCAAGCAAAATCGTTAAAGCGAAGGCCTCGTCGGTCCCGCCACTCGGCGCGCTCGGCATCGCTTACAGGCATCCTAGCTGAAGATCCCCCGGCGAGCATTAAAAGGAGCTGAAGACGGTTTCAACCGCGCCAACGGGAGCAATTGGAGGTTCGAGGGGCCCAAGAGATGCCGCTTACTCCGGGGCGGAGGCAGGGACGGGCGCCAAGTGGTGTTGCGGAGAGGCGCAGGACGGCGGCAAGAGGGGCGTAATTGATGTCAACCAGACGGATAAGGACCTTGCGCCGGGATTTGCATGCACGGCACAGCGGCAAGAAGAATGCCTGTAAGGCTGGGACTGGTGGCAACCCAAGCCAACAAAGCTGCCAGGGCAAGCTTGCAAGAGGGCAAAGGGAAGAGGATTGAGGAGGCCCGTGGGGAAGTCAGCTACCTCATCTCCTCTCTCCGCTTGCCAGCTGGTTTTTTTCTCCCACTTGCCCAGGCTTGTTAAGCCAACACGCGCCGTCCAGAACGTTTCTATTCCTTGGCGAGTCATGGCCGGCCCAGCCCTTCACATGCAGCCTAAATCGCAGCGCGCCCCACCCGCATTGTTCGCCCGAATCAACAGAAAACCACTCACCATCCTCCTCCTCCCCACGTTGTAGATAGCTTTCCTACTTGCTACTTTTACTTTCCTTTACGGTCCCCCGCCTGACTTTCGTCCCTGCCTCCGCTACACTCTCTTTCCTCTCCTTGCCCAGCCCTGCCCGCCGCTCTCGGAGCCGCAAAAGCCTCCGTCTCGAATCCACGGTACGGTACCACTGACGTCTTCCGTCACGGCGCCGAGGCCACCTCGTCATTTTGATATCTACACCTATCAACCACCATGGCCTGCACCGGAGCCAGCATCATGACCGAGTCCTACGAGGAGCCCACCCTGCGCACATCGACCGACATAAGCTTGAGGCGGAACGAATTGCGGCGTCGCAGGCACTCTTCCTACCATGTGCGGACCACCTCGATGGACTTTGACAATGTCCAGCTCCTGGTAAGTAGCAAGCCCAAAAATCCTGGCGTGTGTGCGGCGTCCTAACAGCTGGCAAGATGGACCGTTTCCTCGCCGAACTCGGCCGGCGTCTCGATTTCCTCGAATCCTACGGGCAGCTCAAGCTCGACCACGGCAAGGAACGCGCCTACGCGACGCTCCGCTCCGTCCGCGACTCCTGCTCCCACGTATCCGACGGCGTGCTCGACGCGGGCAGACGGCGCGCCCATGTCCTGGTCGACATCGCCGAGGGAACGTACAAGGACGCGCTGGCGCGGAAGGAGACGATGGAGCAGAAAGTGCAAGAAGGGGTCAAGCTGATGGAGTCGACGCTGGCCGACTTCGAGGCGCGGGCATACGCCATGCGGGAGGCCGGCCTCGGGGCGGTCGCGCACGAGATCTACGACGAAGGGTGGAAGCGGGTGGGCGAGGCGAAGGGGCGGGCCAAGGAAGTCGTGGGCGAGGGCCTGGAGAAGGCGCGCCGGGCCAAAGAAAGCGTCAAGGAGGGCGTCGAGCACGCCGTCGAGCGCGCCCTCGCCCGCGCAAAGGAGCACGGCTTGATCAGCTACGAGGACCTGCCCGACCCGTGGCGCGTCAACCCGCACATCCTGCGCGGCTACCGCTTCCACGACGGCAAGCTCGACTGCCTCCGCTCCGTCTTCGGCATGTCCAACGAGACGTTCAACATCTGGTCACATGCCATCGGCCTCTTCATCGTCCTCGCCATCGCCTTCTACTTCTACCCCACCAGCGTCAACTTCTCCCAGTCCACCAAATCCGACATCTTCATCGCCGCCGTCTTCTTCTTCGCCGCCTGCAAGTGCCTGGTCTGCAGCACCATGTGGCACACGATGAGCAGCATCTCGGAGCAAAAAGTCATGGAGCGCTTCGCCTGCGTCGACTACACGGGCATCTCGATGCTGGTGGCCGCCTCGATCATGACAACCGAGTACACAGCCTTCTACTGCGAGCCCATCAGCCGGCTCGTGTACATGAGCACAACCTTCGCGCTCGGGATCGGCGGCGTCATCCTGCCATGGCACCCCACCTTCAACCGCGCCGACATGGCCTGGGCGCGCGTGAGCTTCTACGCCTCGCTCTCCGCGACGGGCCTGCTGCCCGTGGCGCAGCTCATCTACACGCGCGGCCTCTTCTGGGCCATCTACTTCTACGCGCCCATCACCAAGAGCATCGCCGTCTACTTTGTCGGCGCCATGATGTACGCGGCCAAGATCCCCGAAAAGTGGTTCCCGGGCATGTTCGACTATGTCGGCGGCAGCCATAATATTTGGCATCTTGCTGTCCTCGGCGGCATCTTGTTCCACTATTTGGCCATGCAGGAGTTCTTTGAGCAGGCCTTTTTGAGAGCTCAGACGCATTGTCCCGCGTGATGGCTGGAGCCGGGAGGCGGACGCTGAAGCAGCGACGTGGGGGGTCCGGCGCAATTGCATGCATGTACATTTCCTTTTTCTTCTTTCTTTATATTCAGCGGTGTTCATTGCGCATTAAGCGATCAATCATTTAGAGAGAGCGAGAGCGAGTGCGCGGGTCATGGGAAAAAGTGCGGAGCGGAGTTCGTAGCTGTAGGAGTAGATAATGTTTTAGTTCGTTCGCTGTTTGTTTACTTCGTGGTTCACTGCCTGCCTATTTGATGCCTAGGTGCTCTGGTGGGTTTGTAGCCTTTAGAGGTATGAGAACTGCATGGGTAGTTGAATGGATACATGTCCAAGGCTGACACTCTGTGTATCGTTCTTGCGAACAAGACAGCCGCCTAACTAACTACTCAACTCGACCCTCCTCTCCAGCACATGCCGCGCCTCGACCTCGCCCAAGCTCTCAAACCCCAACTCCTCAAGCACCAGCCGCGCCTGTTCATTATCGGCAAAAAGGCGACGCTCCACCTCCCACAAGCCCAACCCCGCCCTCCTACTCCCATCAACACGGACCTCGTCCTCGTCCCCCCGGCCCGCAAGCCCGTCCTCCTCTTCACGCTCCTCCTCCCTCACCGTCCCATCCCTGTTCCGCTGCCCCCTGACACTAAGCCCTAGCAGCGCAACCCCCTCCCTTACCTTCCGCAGCCCGTGGACCGCCACCCCCTCGCCAGCCCAGCGCTCAATGACTTCGCTGGCCGCGCCGACATCTACGCCTAGCTGCGTCGCCCCCGCCGTGCTGAAGCTGTGGCGCAGCAGAATGTCGCTCCACAGCGCGGCCTGCAGGCCCTGGCACGCGTGGCGCGCAATACGGCGGAGGGGGGAGCGGCCGAGGGCCTTGGCCAGAAACGCCAGCGACGTCGTCAGGTAGGTGAGCAGGGGCTCGAGCTCGGGCGAGATGGCGTGCGAGGTCTGCGTCGTCAGCGTCGACCACGGGTTGATGCTGCGGTAGGGCTTGAGCGCGTCGCGGATATTGTCCGTCAGCACGTCGACGATGATGCTCTCGGAGCGCACGCGCAGCCGGTTGTACGCGCCGGCCGTCTCGTCGAAGAGCGCGCCCGTGTTGTCGTCATCCGAGCCGATTGCGTTCGACGTCCGCTGCGCCACGTCGGCGATTTTGAGCGGCCCTGCTAGCGTGCTGCTCGTTCGTCGGCGCGCCCGGTCTTGTAGCTCTTCCCACAGCTCGAGGAAGAATAGGTCGTCGCTCCAGTCGCGCATCGCCCGTTCGAGGTAATCGGCACTGCCGTACACGCGGCAGAGGCGGTCTAGCCCTGCTACGCCTTGCAGGCTGGCTTGCTCTTCGCGGCTGATGCCTTGAACGGCGCGGCCGACTGAGGATGTCATGGTAAGATAGGCCTCGAGACTGGAGTGTAGACGCTCGTGAAAGCGGTCGAAGATGGATATCTGGACATCAATGAGGAAGGATAGTTTCTGCGAGAAAGAAGACAGCGGCCTGTAGCGATCCGTGATGGTTTCCAGGAGGTCGTTGACCCGAATAGCGGCCTTTGTAGGCTTGGTCGCGCTGGGGTCCACGCTGTCGAAATCGAGTTCTCCGCTTTCTGGCGTGTCGATGATGCTTTGGTATCTTGAGAGGGCAAAGTCCTTCTCAACCTGGAGCCATCGGCCGAACCAATCTTGCTGGACCAAAACCTCCCAGGCAAGGCCTTTCCAGCCTTCTGAGCCTTTGCCTCCATCATAGCCCCAATCATCTCGGAGCTTGGTATCAAAGTTCATAATCTCGTGCATCAGGTGGCTGAGCAGTTGCGGTTGGCCCGAAATCAACGGCAGGGTAGATATAATCTTTGTGCGGACCATCGGCAGCAGTGCAGTGATCATCGCTGAAACTGCATCAATATAGACGGGATTGAACGCAAGATCTGTGCCTCGGAAGTGGTCCAGAAGAACGGGCTGTAGGTTGTCGACCATGAATCCATTGTACGAGCTCAACAGGTCCACGATGTGCGAGAGGAAGTACTCTGGTTTGTCCAGCCGGTTGGTGGGCTTGTCTCCCTCGAAGTGGTATCTGAATCTCATCTCCAACGGCTGGACCAGCACCTCGAGCGGAAGCAAGATCAATGGGGACCTGGGTGTCTGCGCCGCGGTATTTTCCGCAGCATCCAATTCCGGCTTCTGCAGCTCGAGTAGATTTCCCACGCTCTTTGCCCACTGCTCCTGCAAAGAGCCCATGAAGGTAGTCTCAGGCCGCTTGGGCCAATCGACCTTCTTCAGCACAGCCTCCAGGTCAGCGGAGAAGGCGTCCTTGAGCTGTCCCCTGACGTGTTGTGTGGTCCGAGAAATGTGGTCGATCAGATGGGGCGCCGCACCCTCAGCCGCATCCTGTAAAGGCCCCAGGCTCGCATCGAGCTGTTTGAGTTGGCGGTAGGACGCGAGGGCCGCTTCGCTAGACACGCTGAGCTGGGAATCCGCCTCGTTGCTATACAAAACTTAGCGGGTGTCGAGGCAGAGCTCCTCCTGCGGACAGTATACCTCAATTGGTCGACCTCTCGCAGCTTCTGCGTGTAGTGGGCGGCGATCTCCAGCGTCTGCAGCTTGCCCATGCTCTTCTCAAACTTGCGCACGGCATCGTCGCTGGTTTCGGACTGGGCAATGATGGTCAGGCGGCGGTCGATGTCGGCCTGGGCGGCTTGGAAGCGGTCATTCTGGGCCGTGAGGGCGGCGGCGTGTTCCTGGGCGGCCTGGCGCGCGTCGTGGGCATCCTTGTCGGCTTGCTCGAGCTACATGGGCGTCAACGCGAGGTCTGAGAGGCGTCAAGAGGCGCGATGGAGTGCCTACCTGCTGCTTGAGCAGGCCATGCTGGGTCCTGATGTTGGACAGCAGCGAGTCGAGCGACTCGAGGTCGGCAGCGGCCTGCAGCTGGTCGTCCAGGTAGGCGGCCACACGATCGGTCTGGTCGTCCATGGCTGGGGGAAGTGATTAAGAGTACTGCGTGAGGTAGTAGGTACTTATAGGCGCACGGGCCAGTGTCCAAACCGCCAGGCCGCCGCCGCCGCCGCAGCTACGAAGCTCCAGCAAGCAGCAACCACCATCCCCATCACCTGTCGCTGCCACATCCCGCCCTGCTCTGTCCGGATCCTTCACCACTCGCACCCGACACATATATTCCACCATGGACTCGCTAGTGGCGCAGTACAGCCAGCCGTCGCACCAGGACGAGGGATACTCGCACCATGAGCAGCAGGAGCTCATGGAAGTGACGCCGCCGCTGTCGCTGAAGTTTGCCCTGCCCCCGGTAGCTCAGGTAAATCCAGATGCAATGCAGCTTCGGCAGCAACAACAGAACCAAGACAGCTGACAACCATCGCCCTGCAGCCGGCATCATGGCTCCGCGCCATGACGGACGACTACTCCAACCCCAACTGCCCCATCAAGATCGCCCACGGCACCACGACGTTAGGCTTCCGCTTCAAGGGCGGCATCATCATCGCGACCGACTCGCGCGCCACGGCCGGCAACTGGATTGCCAGCCAGACGGTCAAGAAGGTCATCGAGATCAACAGCTGCCTGCTGGGCACCATGGCAGGAGGCGCCGCTGTAAGCCTTGCCCTGCTGCTCTCCCCATCTGGACGGGTGCAATGACGCGGTACACGTGGGCTAACGCGGTCGCATACAGGACTGCCAGTACTGGCTCGCGTATCTGGGCATGCAGTGCCGGCTGCACGAGCTCCGCCACAAGCGCCGCATCTCCGTCGCCGCGGCATCCAAGATCCTCGCGAACCTGGTGTACTCGTACAAGGGCATGGGCCTGAGCATGGTGAGCCAACCCCGGACAAAAGCGAACGAGAAAGAAAGTCGAAGACGAAAACAGCGACGCTGACCAGACCGCAACACAGGGCACCATGTGCGCGGGCGTAACGCCGCAAGAAGGCCCCGCGCTCTACTACATCGACAGCGACGGCACACGCCTAGCAGGCAACCTCTTCTGCGTGGGCTCCGGGCAGACGTTCGCGTACGGCGTCCTCGACGCCGAGTACACGTACGAGCTGTCGGACGAGGCGGCGCTGGAGCTGGGCCGCCGCAGCATCCTCGCTGCGACGCACCGCGACGCCTACTCGGGCGGCTACATCAACCTCTACCACATCAAGGAGGATGGCTGGGTCAAGCACGGCTTCAACGACACGAACCCCATTTTCTGGAACACGAAGCTCGAGAAGGGCGAGTTCTCTAACGTTACCGCTGACTTGGAGTAAGTAGGTTGGCTGCGTGGCGTGGCGTGGAGGAGGGAGATGGGCTAGGCTGTGTGGGGGGTTCGTACGGTACGGGCGCGTAGAGATGCTGCATGTAATCGTTTATGACTGCGCTGGGAGTACTGCTACGCTACTACTAGCTTCAATAGAAGAGAGGTTAGCACGACCACCATGCCCAGAAAGCGAGAAAGCGAGATTGTGGCATGTTTTCTTGTGTCCTGCCTGCCTGCTCATCTTGGTTGTTGAGCGAGCGAGCGTGCATGCGTGCGTCGCTCACTGGAGTCGTGGTACGCACGCACGTAAGTAGGTGGATATGCACTTCCGAGCATAGGTAGGTAGGTAGGCTCTGCCATTGAGCCGAGAGAAAGATAGGGGGGAAAAGAGGTTTAAGAGCTTGTTTGTGGAGAAGAGGAGGCGGCGGGTACGGTAAGAGTACATATATACCCACTTACTCACCCGTCTCTTTCCCATCTCTTCCCTTATTCATTCATACATACCCAACCAACCAGCTAAGGTACCTAGGTATGGCGTGTGTTGAGTAGGTAGGTGTGGACATCGGGTAGTCATCTATCTATCTGTTCTCACACACACACACACACACACACACACACACACACACACACAGGCTTCAGATCCTGCTCTTTCTCGTTGTCTGCCCGGTTTTGTCGACCCGTTTTTGTCCGTCTTTAGACTGGCTGGGGTTGGTGGTTGGTTCGGGGGACGTATACGCCAATACCACAGTACAAGCACGCACAAAAAGCGGCATAGCCAGCCAGCCAGACAGACACAGACAAAACAAAAGATGAGTACTACAATTCTCTACCCACCCTGCCACAGTCTCCGCAAAGAGGACTAACCACCTCAGTAAGCTGTTCTGTCCAACCCACCTCCCAACCCATCTCCACCACCAGTCCTTATTGCAAGCCGCATTACCCATCCCATCTCCCATGCATGCATCCCTCTCTCTCGCTCATTTTCGCAGCATCATCAAGCAAGCACCACCGCACCGCACCGCACCGCACCGCAACGCAACCATTTTTTCGAACTGCATTCCGACAGCAAAAGGAACCAAATGAAAACCTCCCCAACCCAGCCCATCCCATCCCAACCAACGCTAGCCCCCATCCCCTCCCCCTCTGTTGAGAGAGCCAGAGCCAGAACCAGGGTCCACGTCGACGCGCTCGCGCTCAAGCTACAGGTAGGTAGGTAAGTAAGCAGCAACCCAGCACGCCTACTCGGCCTCGACCTCAGGCGCCGCAGCTGGAGCCGCACCCGCGCCACGCTGCTGCTGCTGCCCCTGTCCCCTGCGGCCCGCATTGCCGGCGCCGGCGCCCGCAGCCTTAGCATCGAGGTCGCGGAGCTCCTGCTCCTTCTCGAGGATGAAGCGCTCCTTCTCCTGGCGGATGACGGTGAGGACGCCGGCGAGCGAGTTGCGCCACATGGCGAGGCGCGAGGCGACCTCGCGCCACTGGTTGTCGCCGAAGACGCGGTACGTGCTGCGGTGGATGAGGAAGGTCTGGTTGAGCTGCGAGAGCTTGCCCTCGACCAGGCCGGCGCGGATCACGTCAATGACCCACAGCTCGACCTCGTCGTCCGGGATCTGCAGCGCCTTGGCAATGTGCGCGTACGGCAGCGCGCGCGTCTGCCCGGAGCTGGCGGCCAGCGAGGCCAGCGTCAGCAGGCGCATCTTGCGGTCGAGCGCGCCGCCGTCCAGAGCCTCCTTCTCAACGAAATCCGGGTGCGACTCCTTGAAGTCGTTGAACTCCTCGAGCAGCTCCGACGTGAAAATCTCCAGCAGCTCAAAGTGCTCCGCGTCGCTCTTGCGCAGCGCCTGGATCGAGTCGAGCGCCGTCAGGTCCTGGAAGTCAAAGTGCGCCGGGTGCGTCAGCGCCGTCTTCAGCGCCCGCAGCGACAGCTGCCGCGCCTCGTCCGTCGACGCCGACTCGCTCGGAATGCTGCGCAGCGCCCGGATCAGGTACTGGTAGGCGATCTCGTCCTCGCCTCCCTCCTGCGCCACGTCCGCCACGGCCAGGTACAGCTTGCGGTTGTCCTCCTCTTCCATCTGCCACTGCGCCAGCCACGTGTCAATGTGCTTGAGCTGCGGCTTCAGCGTCTCAAAGTTGCCCGACGACTTGACCACCCGCAGCGTCGCCAGGAACACGTGGTACCGGTTGTCGTTGTCCGCGGGCAGGATGTTGAATACCGTCTGGAGGATCGAGAGCGACAGGCCAGTGGCGTTGCCGGGCGACGACGTTATCGGGCTCGACACGTTCTTGCAGATGGGCGGCAGGTACATGTTGACGTTTGGCGATTGCCGGACCAGGTGGATCAGCAGGTTGTATGCCGCCACGAGCTCTGTACATCAATCGCGCCTGGTCAGCTTTCTTTCCTTCTTTCATTCTTTCTTTCTTCTCTCTCCACGGGGGCTCCACGACCGTCACTCACCCTTCTCCGGCGCCGAGTTAAGGGCCGCGCTGCCCGAGACCAGCTTCTTCAGCACCTCATCCTTGTGGTTCTCCTCCAGCAACTGAGCGCATTCCGACTGGAGCGCGGCGGCCTCGTCGCCCTGCGACTTCTTCAAAGCGTCCTAGATACGGTCAGAACGAGACCTTGTGTGCCTTTCATGGATTTCGACGCCTCTTACAATGTACTGTGCGAGTTCGTCGACGAGCTCCTCAAAGGTGCCCTCGATCAGGAGCGTGTTGGTAGGTGCCGGCATCTTGGACGATTCGTGCTCGGGAGTGGTCCGACGGCGAGTGCGATGCGGGTAGTGGCGGGTGGGTGGAGGAATTGGTGATGGCCGTCCTGAACGCGGCGCCGCGACGTTTCGGTGGGCTGGATGAAAATCGCTTATCGATATGCGTCAACAAGGTGAACCTCTAAACTCACCACCACCCACCACTCATGTCGCCAGCATAAAAACAATTCCTTGTTTGCGATCCCTCCCGATCTCATCACACTGGATTATTCGCATTCGCATCTCATTCACTTGGCCTTGGTTTGGCCTTGACCACCTCAAAGCCCCGTCCGGCCATTCTCTCAAGTCGTGGCCTCATTCGCTCTCAGCGGCCCTCACTGCACCGGCCACAACTATTTCTCTCCCCTCTTATCTGCCCATTACTTCGTACTTTGTACTGTCACAACTCATCCAGCCCTCGCGGCTGGGATTTTACCGGCGCCATTCGCCAGCGACTACCTGCTCTTTTGTACAGGGTAACAAAATCATCCGCCAAAGCGTCGTGCATCTCCAGCACACGAGGCGTGCGTGCCCTCTGCCTCCAACCCCCCTCCCATCGCCATCGCCATCACCAGCACCACCACCAGCACCACCACCACCTCCACCATCCCCCCTCCCGCCCTGCCCGGCCAAGGCAAACGAAAATCCCACATGCAAGTGCCCCGGATAGAGCCAGACTGAAGCCAAACGGATGGATGGATTCAACCCGTCTATCCCCAGCCCCCGCCAAGCGCCCACCCAATGCAAGAAGGCCCGCCCAAATTTCCGACTCTGAGCGCGGGAACGAAGAAGCAGAAGAAGAAGAAAATGGAAGCAAAGCGGCCGTTGAGAGCCGCGGTATTAACGTGCGCGAGAAAATAAAAAAAGCCTGGGGCCGTGGGGAACAACGACCTGCCTTCATCATTTGTGTGATTTCGAAATTCGAGAGCGGAGTGCGCAATTGCTTCCAAAAATGACGAGACGCCCAAACCAAAAAGGCAGTTGCAGCAAGTGGCAATCTCGTGGAATGCTGCGCCCGTGCTGAGATGCCAAGCGCGCGTCCTGTCCGTTTGCGGCTAGTTCAGGAAGCCCTTACAGTTGACCGAACCGCAGAGGCAGGGGATACGATCATCGCTGCCAAGCTCACGCTCGAACTTGTAGTCGTAGGTGAGTTCTTCGTCTGGAATTGATGTCAGTAAATGTGTCTTGGGCTTTCATCAGGAAACTGGGATACTCACTTGTCTTGATATCCCGGAGTGCATAGATGACAATGCGCTTCGTGCCATCAACCCTTATGATCTTCGCCGTGCAGTTGGGTGTGCAACTGTGGTTGATGAAACGCGCAATGCCACCCTTCTTCGTAGCATCCACAACACTATCTTCATCGATACGGAAGAGGTAGCTGCTGCCAACGCCCTGCTTGTCGTACTTGATCTCACGAATGTCGGCTACCTTTTGTCGGACCTTTTCGCCGACGTACTCGATGATCATGTCGTTGGCAGCAATATCCTCTTGGGCGTACAGACCCCAATTATGGATGGCGGAACGGTCGAACTTGACGAGCTTCTTACGCTTCTTCAGTTGGTTGAACCGGAGCGAGAGATTGTCGCCGTCGGACGCCAGCGCTTGCTTTTGCCCGCTAATCTCGTTCTGGAGACGCCTGTTGTTCGCACGGTTGGTACGTGAGTTGGTTGTCGACGACACCTTGGCTGCAACAGCGGCCTTGGCCATCTGAGCGGCAGCCGCTGGGTTGCTCTTTGCCAGTGCCTCGCGTTCCTCGCGCGCCTTTTGTACACGAATCCGATGAGGCAGATACATGGACTTCTCCCACTCGGGTATTTTCTTGTGACCCTCAGTGCGAGCCGAGCCACTCGTGTTTGGTCGATAGTAGTCCTTGATTTTGACTTCATCGTAAGCGACGCCTTCCAGACCGGTGTTGAGCTTCTTGACGAGCTTCTCCTTGTAAGCATGGACGTTGGCATCTCCTAACGCGGCAGGACGGATATCCTTGAGTGCTTCTTGGAGGAAACGAAGATCCTCAGCATCCTTGACAATGTGTTGACAGCCGTCGATATCCAAGACGTAATCCAAAGTCTCCTCCACCGTGGATTTGGGGATGTCGAGTGAGAATCCCCAGATTGGATCATCCACCAAGACATCTTCCTCAACAGCCACCGGCGCCTTGGTTGGCTCTTCGGCGACTTCTGAGTCAGGAAGAACAATATCATCGACCTGGGGTCGGAGGGCCAATGCCTTTGCCTCCGCCTCGGCAGCAGCTTGCTTCTTGGAAGTCGGCTTCTTCTTGGGCTTCGCCTTGGGCTTTTGAGCCTCGACCTTCGCCGCTTCTTCCGGCTCAGGAGTCTCGGCCGGCGTTTCTTCCATGACCAAATCGGGCGTGGATACCTCCATGCTAGGAAGCACGCTTCCAGCCCGGGAGTCCTCCTCGTCTTGAATACCGAATAAGTCGTCTGCTTCATGGTAAGCTTTCCGGAACTTCTGCTCCTGCTTCGCGCGCATGTAGAGCTCCGACGTCTTCGGGAAAGCATGGACAATCTGATCGAGCTCGCGATCAGCCATGTTGCTGGGATCCTTGTTGATGAGGTGAGGATAGAGCTGGCGCGCCTGCGCATCCTGCGTATCGGCATCACCCCACGAAGGGTCAAGCTTTCTGCGCTTCGTGGGCCGCGTCGAAATGATTTCCTCTTCCTCTTCTGGAGCCACGGAGCTCATGCGGCTGATAGACCTGCTGTCTTGCTCCTCGGTATCACGCGTTAGAATGCTCTGTTCATCATCCGATTCGTCATCATGGAAATGCTGCATCTGGCGATGCAGGCCTCTGAGAACGTTCGTCGGCCTCTTCGGAACAGGCTTCTTGCGGCGCTCATCGGCGAACGCGTTGACTTCCTGTTGAGGACCGCCCTTCTTACCCCGCTCGCCTTTAGCAAGCTGAGAAGCGATTGACTTCCTGAGTGAACCCTTCTTCCAGTGCTTGCCCTTTGTCGTTGCGAGTTCATCCGCAGCGGTGAAAAGCACAGTCGGAGTCTTGACTTCGTTGCTGGTTGGGTCCCGGACCCCTAATCGTCGTCTTTTTGCGACGTGACGAACAGGGTCGAGGAAATCATGTATCGCCGGACCAGCGATCCTCGTCTTGATGTCGTTAATGATTTGTTCCACCAGCTCCTGATTCAATCTTTCGAGGGCTGCATTGACAGGGTCCAGGTTTTCCGCTCGCTCTTTCTTCTCCTCCTCGAGATCCTGCTCTTCTTCTCTCCTCGCCTCTTCCTCTTCCTCCTTTCTCTTTTTGTCCGCAAGCACCCGTTCAGGGCTTGGACTTCGTTCGTAATTGGGATTGCCATATTTTTGGCACTCCATGTTCATGACGTAGGTAAACAGCGCGCTCATGTTGCACTCCCTGAAACACCTTTCGCACTCCGATTCGCCACGCCCCGAGTCTTGGAATATTATGTAGTATCCCGTCCGGTCTACGCGCACATCCTCCCAAGCGTACAGCTTTAACCTTTTCTTCAGGTGGGGGATGGTGGTACCAAGGACCGGGACATAGCAGTGCGCAACGAAAATGTAGGGTTTGCGTTTGATCTTGTCCACAATCGGCTCGTTTTCAACGAGCGCATGCGCCGCATGAATGGGCTTCGGTGCGACAAGACGGGCACCGTCGGGCATACGGGCGCCTTTTCCAGAGGGTCCCTTGGGTGCATCCGGAGGAGGGCCCGTGTCTGCGACGGCGGCATTTGGAGTCTCGGCTTTCTTTGCCTTTGCCTCCGCGGCCGCCATTTTCTCTTGTTGCGCCCTGTTCCGCCGGACAGCGGCATCGACGTGCCGAGCGCATCGCCGACCTTCACGATCCAGCTCAACCCTGACCTGACGAAGCTGAATTCTCTGTCCATTTCCTTGCTTCTCCGCCAATTTCGCCGAGGTTGCAGCCGGCACAGAGGAGCCTCGCAGAGGTTTGCTGTCGCGATACCGAATGGAACAAATGCCAAGAAAGCTTCCGGTTGCCGGGTCAATCTTGTTGTCAAATTCCGCGATTTCGCCGTAGCTACTGAAAAAGGTGCGAATCTGGGATTCCGGAGTGAAGGGGTCCAGGCCGGTGATGAGGATGCGCGTGGCGGGCCCGGGACCAATGGTGTTCTTGTCGGGAGCGTACGGTCTCACGACGTAAGGCGCGATTCTGAGCTTGCCTTTATTCCGACCATTGTGGTTCCCGGTCGTGTACCCGGCTATTGCCAAGCGAGGATCTGGCGGCGGCGCAACATCCTATTCAAATTGCCAATTAGCCAGGTACACGACCAGAGAAGACTCCAACCTTGTATAAAAGTATATAGAGCGGAGGCACCAAACATACATCTTTGTTTATCGGTCTCGGCTGGGCTTTCCGCTTGTGTCTCTCGTTGGGAGGGAGCTTCGAGTCGAGGGCGGGATCGTAGTGGAGTATCAGGCCTTTATCCTCGCCGGGACCTGGCCGAGCTTGTCGTCGGGACTGGGGGGGTGTGGTGGCGGGGGTGACAACGTCGGCGGCCGCGACATTGTGCGAGGCGGACGTGGGCGCGGCGGCATAGGATGGGGTGCCGTTTTGAGGCATGGTGCCATTCGACAACTTGGAGGGTTTCGGGCTGGAGGGTTTTCCCGGAGGCGAGGATTCGGTGTTGGTGAGGGGGGTGAGCGCATGTACAGGACACGACATGGCTTGGAGATTGGGGTTGCTGAAGACGGAAGACGCGGTGCTGGAAAGTGAGCTTGCTGAGCCAACGCCAGTTAGAAGAAGATCGCCGGGTTCGGGTCGCAGCGCTGCGTCATCGTCGTCGAGCGGGCGGTGTTGATCGCTGTCCTTCTCGCCCTTGGACGACGAGCCTTTGTTGGGCGGCGAAGGTGAAACGGCACGTGGAGGTGCGCCTGTGTGGTGTAGATGTGAGGACGGCCTGGCGCGCTTCTCCTTCAGAACCGAAGGCGCATTAGGGAAGAAATCGGCAAAGCCAGCTGAGGCGCGCGACATTCTACCTGGCACCCGCCTGCCGGAAGGCCATCGCAGTGTCCAGAGGCTTGGGGGAGGGAGCAGTGAGGGAGCGGGCTTGGTGCTGCAGAAATGGCGGGCTGGGCGCGCAGTCGCAGGATGCGAAGGACGCGGCGAGGTGCGAGCGCGAACTGGACACGAGAGCCGACCGCGGGGGCACAGCGCCGCGCGAGGACTCTGAGGCGAATTGCGCGGGGGGCGATGCGGCTTGTTGGCAAGGCGGACGGCGGTGGCCAAGAGCGAGGAATGCGAAGGTGAGTGAGGTCTTCCAGCAGAACCGCACTAGCGGCTTGTTCGAAGGGGTTGGCCTGCCTTCTTTTCAACAACTCCGCTGCTCGCTCTCTTCATTTTACATTCATGGCACACTGCTTCACTTTTCCATGCGCTTCCCCTCTCTCTCTTCTCTCTTTCCTCGCTCTCTCCTCCCACGCCTCCCTCCCCTCCTCCACGCCCACCTACCGACGCTCCTGGCACCCCTGCGCGCACTATGTCATCATCGCCGCACAAGCAAACACGGCGAGAACGCGTCGTCCGCAATCGCCCTGCCCCCAACACGCATAACCTATAATCTTCTTTATTGTCTCACGTGCCGTGCCGCCGTACGTGTACGTGTCCCGAGCCCAGAGCGCGCAGCAACCGTGGATGCATGCGGAACGGCCCAAGGACGGCGTCGCCCTAATAATCAAGGCCACGGGAAAACCTCAAAAGGTTGCGTTGGACATACAGCAGGCTCAGTCGGTCGGGCGGAGGCCAAACAGACACCCACGAGTGGTGCCAGCTTTCCAGTAGTCACACTTTCTGCGCGGGTATGCTTTGACGAGATTGCCATTCCACCACCATCCCTCAACGGTAGGTATGCTATGCCTATGCCCCATCACCGCTCCAGTCGAGCGCCAGTACGTGTGATATAGTGCAAAAATGATTCAATAACCATCGCTTCTCCTCAGACCGGAGCTGTTTGCAACGTCCCAAGTCTAATCATCCATCTTGCCCTCTGCCCAGCCCCTCCTCTTGACGCCCAGCTCAACGGCCGCCGAGCCCCAGTCCAAGCCGTGGTTGTGGCCCTGGTCGCCGTTGGGGCCAGCGATGCCCGCGCGTGCCAGGCCTTGCTCCTCGTTCAGGACGGTGAGCAGACCGAAGATGACGGGGAAGTTGGCATCGAGCTGCACGCGCATGAGAGCGTGAGACACGGTCTCGGCAATGTATTCAAAGTGCATCGTCTCGCCCTTGATCAGCACACCGATGGCAATAACGGCGTCGAACGGAGCAGTCGACGCAGAGTTCTTCGGGTCTTTGGACAGCGACGTCAGGTCTGTGGCCGAGGACGAGGTGAGCAGGTCGGTTGCAGCGTTGACGAGGGCGCCGCCGGTGCCAGACGAGGAAGCCTGGATCTGGGACGCGGCGTACATACTGTGATGAGGTACATTGTTAGCTAGTTCTTCTTCCTAGACTTCCGCCGGCGGTCGTTGACGCTCTCGGCTCAACGGGCATTGGGAAGAGCGAGCTTTGAAGAGTGTGTAGTTCCTGAACATACCGCTGAACAGCAAATGGCAGCTCGTAGCTGCCGGGCACGGTCTGAGTGACTATGTTCTCGTCCTTGACGCCCGCCGCGGCGAGGGACTTCTTGACGCCACCGATCAAGGAATCGATAATCTTGCTGTTCCAGCGCGCGTGGACAATACCGATGCGAAGACCCGAGCCTGAAATTGATGGTTAGCAGACTGCATCACGCTCGGGGGAAGCTGTTGTGAGTCAATGGCGTGCTTACCATCATAGGTACGAGCTTCACCGGGACCCTTGAGACCAGCAGGAGACATTGTGTATGAAGAGAATAGTTTTATTTAAGAGAAGAGGTTAACAAGGAGCAGGAGGATGGAGCAAATGGCGAGGTTGTTTGGTTTGGTTATAAACGTTGACGTGGAGGAGGGGAAAGGGTTTCGTAGGGTACCTTGCATCGCAGCCCCACCATTTGCGTGTGAAGCTGAGGGCTGACGATCATCAATGGGGCGTAGGGGCCCCACAAGCCTCTGGTGCCTCCACCCCAAAGTAGCTATAAATCGACGATGCTCGTTTCATTGCCGACAACTCCTGTTTCACTGGGGCGAGCAGATTGTACGTTGGCGAGCGACGCGTATGGTTTGCATGGCAAAGGTCCCACGGTGCCCCTTTTCGGCGTCGTCACTTGGGCAGTAGGGAGTTGCATGGCCGTCAATGTAAGGCATATTATACAACAATTCGCTTTCATAGAGCATTCTACCATACTAAATCGCTGACGTCCGTGATAGATGACGCGCGATTGCTTTTCCCTCCCATGTGCCAGATGTTGGCATCATTCTCATCCTCAATAATGTGCATTAAAAAAAGCCCGTAACGCGACTTCAGCATACAACGCCCATGACCCGCTGAGCGTCCGATGCTCGAATTCCTTTTACCGTACCCCTAAAACCAAAGAGAAAGCGGCTTCGAACGCTTACTCGACGGTGACGGACTTCGCCAGGTTCCTGGGGAAGTCGACGTTGAGGCCCTCGCCAACGGCGAGCCAGTACGCCATCAGCTGCAGGGGAATGACGTTCAGCAGACCCTGGAGAACATCGACGGTGTGGGGAACCTCGATCTTCTCGGTCTTGTCGGCGGGGAACTCCTCATCACCCTGGTTGCAGATGATGATGGGGCGACCAGCGCGGGCAATGACCTGCTGGTAGGCGTTGAGGGACTTGGCGAAGAGACCGTCGCGGGTCAGGATCATGACGATGGGAAGGTTCTCGTCGACAAGCGCCAGAACACCGTGCTTCAGCTCACCGGACATGACAGCCTCGCAGTGAAGGTAGGAGATTTCCTTGATCTTCAGGGCACCTTGATGTCGGTTAGCAAATCTGTATAAATAGCGCAATGTAGACTAAACTTACCCTCAAGAGCGGTGGCGTGCTGAGCACCACGGCCGAGCAGCAGCAAGCTCTTCTGGTTCTTGAACTTGAGGCAGAGCTCCTTGATGGACTGGTCGAGCTTGAGAATCTCCTTGAACTGGTCAGGAAGCTTGCCAAGGCTCTCCATGATCTCCTCGCGCCTCTTCTGCTTGGACGCACGGTCCTCGCTGAGAGACAGCGCGAACATGACCATGCAGACGAACTGGGAGGTGTAGGCCTTGGTCGAGGCAACACCGATTTCGGGACCGGCGTTGATGTGGACACCGCAGTGGGTGAGCAGGGAGATGGAGGAACCGACAACGTTGACGATACCAACGGTGAGAGCACCACGCTCCAAGCAGTAGCGGAGGGCCATGAGGGAGTCGGCGGTCTCACCAGACTGGGAGACGAAGATGCAGGTGTCGTCACGGAAGACGGGCGCCTGTCTGTCAAGGAAGTCGGAGGCCAACTCGACGGAAATGGGAATGTCCGTCAGCTCCTCGAAGATACCACGGACAGCCATGCAAGAGTGGAAGGAGGTACCGCAGGCGACGAAGATGATCCTCCTGCAGCGGCGGATGGTGGAGATGTATTGGCGAAGACCACCCAGAGTGACCTTCTTGTTGGGGATGTCGAGACGACCACGCATGGCGTTGACGACGGACTCTGGCTGCTCGAAGATCTCCTTCTGCATGAAGTGGTCGAAGCGGCCCTTCATGATCTCCTGGAGCTCAATCTCCAGAGTCTGGATGGCACGAACGTTGGAGGAACCATCGTCCTTGTTCAGGCGGTGGATGTTGAGGGAGCCCTCGTGGATGTGCGCAATGTCGTCATCCTCGAGGTACAGAACCTTCTTGGTGTGCTCAACAATGGCAGAAGGGTCGGAAGACAGGAAGAACTCGGTGGGCATGGGAGCACCGTCGTCGGAAAGGAAGGCACGCGACTGCGAGCGGTGGAGAAGGGACTTGTCGGGGGGAGCCAGCAGATTGTTGCCAGACTGCTTCAGGGCAACGTTCTGCGAGGCGAGCTCGGCGGGGAGCGCATCGGCCTCGGTGGAGTACTCGACGTCGACGAAGTCAACCTTCATCTTCTTCTGGGTCTTGACACCGACGACCAGGGGCGAACCCTTGCGGGCGGCGATGACCTCATGGGGGTAGTGGACGGACTTGAGCAGGAGACCGAAAGCACCCTCAAGCTCCTTGATGACGGCCTTGGCGAGAACGGGGAAATCGATCTCGGGGTGGCTGTCGTAGATGTACTTGGCCAGCTTGGCAATGGCCTCGGTATCCGTCTCCGTCTCGAACCTGAAGCCCTTGCCCTCCAGCAGCGCCTTCAGCTCCTTGTAGTTGGTGATGATACCGTTGTGGACAACGGAGAACTCCCAGTTGGCGTCGGAGCGGTGGGGGTGGCAGTTGACGCGGGAAGGAACACCGTGGGTAGCCCACCTGGTGTGGGCGATACCGGCGTGCGAGTCAAAGACCTTGGTCAGGTCGGGCTTCTCGGTCTCAATGAGCTCCTTCAGCTTGGCGACCTTGCCAACCTCCTTGAACGCAAAAACCTCATTCCTCTTGTTGCCATCGACGGCGAGACCGGCCGAGTCGTAGCCACGGTACTCAAGGCGGGACAGACCTGTCTAGGCGGTTAGCGGGGCGGCGTTCTCTAACGGGCGGACAGCGGGGTACTTGCCATTGACCAGGGTGTCAAGAATGAACTTCCTGTCCTTCTCCACCAGGTAGTTGACGTAACCAAAGATACCGCTGTGGTGAGGGGTAGATGGTCAGCATCGAGCGGAAAAGAAAAAAAAAGGAGGGGGTTTTAATTCTTACCACATGGTGCTGGAGTGATTGATGAATTGAAGCGGTTGACACGAGTTGGGCGGGTAACGATCGTAAGATGGGCGTGCAGTCGTTCAATGGATGGAGAGGATGGAGAGGATAGAAGAGAGGGGTGTGGGAAAGAAACGTCAATGCTGGAGCAGCGTGAGGGCGATAGATTTGGCTTTATAGTTAGGGAGCTGGGCCAAGAGCAAGCAACAGCTCAGCTCCGGCGAGCCCCCTGTTTAGCCTGCGCCACGAAAACTAAGTGAAACGCTGCCACCCAGACTCATTGTTCTCCTTTCTCGCCCGCGCTGCTGGGGCCTCTGCACGCCCGCCTTGCTCCTTTTCCTCCCAGTGCTCCCCCATTTCGTCACTACCGCTGCCCGCTGCGCACCGCTAAAAGCTGCACATGGGTGCTGTGGAGGCGCAGCGTCGGTCAGCGGCTGTTAAAAATAGCCCGCCCTTCTCTTGCGGCTCGCTGAAGAGAAAGCTCGTGTTGGACCCTCTCTCTCGGTCACTTTTGCGCCCGCCCGCGCCCGCCGCGCCTCAATGTCGCCACGTCCGCTGTCCGCTGTCCGTCCCAAGCCTCCGTCTCAACAAAGACCCGCGGATCCTCGCCCATCCACACATCGTATCCCGCCGCGACGATCATTCGTTTACGGCCTGCTATCCAATATCTCCATATCACAAGATATGCAATGGCCACGATCGAATGATGCGCCAACTGTCTGTCCCCCCAATGCCTGCCCACAACAACCGCTCTACCCGCCTGCGAGCCCAACCACGTCGGCCACCCTGCAAAAGCTTGAAGCGAATAGAGTTGGCTGTCGCCTTCGCTAAGCCCTACGCCCTTGTCTTCGCGTGCATCGTGATCGAATCTGCACCGCTCCCGCCGGCGTGGGTCTCTGTTTGGGGCCTTTTTCCGCCGCTAGCAACCTTCGCATAACGGCTTGGCTGTCCGTGTCGTGCCTTCCGTGCCTTCCTTGTTTTGCCCGGCTCGCCGTCGCGAACAGCTACCTACTACATAGGTACTGTCCTATTGTAAGACGACAACAATCATGTCATGAGGGGGTGCATGATGTGACGGAGACGTCGAATGGCATGCTCACACCGCTGTACAATTGTCTACCGACATGTCTAAGGTTATGCCAACGCTGGATCGCCCTCTGAGCTTACATATGCCCCTCTTCCGGTCTATCTATCGACAACAAACAGATTTTGAAATCAGTTCTTGGGCACCTCCGCCACAGCCTCCTTCTGCGTCCTCTCTCCCAACTTCTCCTCAACCCCATTCAAGGCCTCCTCCTCTGGAAAATCCGTCTCCACAATACCTGCCACACCTTTCTCACTTCTGCCCATGCCCCCGCTTCCCTCTGTGCTCTCCCGCTCCTTCAATTCGTACTGGCCCCTGGAGTACTTCTCAACAAATTCAAAGACCCGGTAGTCCGCATTTGCGTACCTGCGCCCGCTGACGGCGCAGCGCAGGAAGCCCGAGTGGCTGACAACGATGATAACCTTTTCGGGACGATCGTAGAGTGATGCAAGAGCCGATTGACCACGTGCAACTACGGCGGAGCGCGTGAAGCGGTAAATGTTGTCCTTCGGAGATCGCTTTTCGGGATAGGTGGCATCAAGATCGGAGAAGTCCACCTGCGTGAATTCCTGTTGCAATTTCGGGATAGGGCTGCCCGTGTCGCAAGGTTTGTCGGAGTTTTCTGAGCAAGTAAGTTGAGTGTTGCGTCAAAAAGTTGGTTTTCCCAATTACGAAGGCGGGGATGAGGGAAATGAGAATGATAAGAAGTACGAGGTTTAGGAGAGGAAAAAAGGGAATAGACGTAGACGATCCGATGACTTCCAAGTTTTCAAAGAGTAACGGAGATTGTGAGCTCTTGAAAGATCATCCATAGATGCCCATTCTTGGCAAACAAAAGGCAGAACAACGTAGCCTTCCGCATCTTGAAGACAGCAAAGAAAAAATGCAGAGCAAGATTTCCATCAGGATTGATCAATCCGAAGCAAATCTCAAACAGAAAAAACTCCGCAATGACAGAGAGACAAGGACAACAGCAAACGAAACAAGCTATAGCAACTCACCCTGCCACAAGGCATCCACGCGCACGCGCACCCCCTTCTTGATCAACCAATCCAGGCCTCCCAGCGCCGTCTGCAGGGTCCGTCTCATCGGGCTCACAACCACCAGCTCCGCCTCGTCAGCCAGCGGCAAGTGCTGCCGGAGGTGGTCACGCAGATCCTTGCACTGCTGCAACCCGAGCAGCGACAGCTCCGGGTCCGGGATGTGGTATTCGCGGTTGACGTTGTGCAGCGCCTCCGCGTGCCGGATTAGGATTAGCGTTGGGGGCATCGTGTGCTTTGTGAGAGGCGCGGGCTATAGGGGGGTGTATGTCTATGTTCGGAGAAATGCGAAATATAGGTACTGATATAGCTGGATGGCTGGTTTGGAGTAACGGGGGCAAAAGGTCGTGGCGGCCGTGGGCAAAACTGTTGTCCCCCAGGGCTTAGCGTTGCCGGACGTCATCCGAAACCACGGATGCGTAGGCGATGCAGCCGTGTTCGAATTTGGTACCCGCTGCATGTTGGTATCAGAGAAACGATTGTGGAACAGATGATCCTGAGAAGCAGGTCAAGCTTTCTAAAGTTAATGACGTCCCATTACTCCTATCGCCGGCAGACTCTACGCGTGCATATATCTTCCATAACTATCGCTCACGAGCCATGCCGACTTCGTCTACTCCTCCATCCGCTCGCCCTCGGTCTTCGACTCCTCCTCATCATCATCATCACCCTCCAACGCCTTCTTGGCCAGCTTCTCAGCTTCCTCCCGCAATGCCTTGGGGACCTCCTCGTGACGACCCTTGGTCGGGCCATCGGCCGAGCTGATCCATGTCATCTCAAGCTCGAATTCCTTGTCCTTGATGTCCTCGTGCGCAAAGTAGATGATGCGGGCCGCTTCCTTCACGCCTTGCTCCAGCGTGAGTTGGCCCTCGGGGAGTTTAAGCTTCTCCAGCTCCGCCTTGGCGGCCTGCCGGCCCTTGCCTGTGGCCGCACCATAGTAGCCCCAGTACAGTCCGCTGGGTTCAACCATGTAGAGGAACGGGCCACCGTGCTTTGCACCCTCTTTCTTGCCGCCAGCGCCAATCGAAGGACCGGAGCCGACCTGGCCGTCAACCGGCACCTCCGTCTCACTGTCCCAGCCGCCAATGATCGCAGTCACACCAAACGGCCGTACAGAGTTGTAAAGCGTGTACGCTTGAGCGAAGCTACCCATGCGGTTGGCGAGCGTGGCCGTCTTCATCGGCGCCTTGTAGATGTTCCTCCACTGTGCCGCTTCATCGCGGGCTCTTACCACAAAGTGGCGGCCGTCGGGGACGATGCCGGAGGTGGCGATGCCCATGTTCCTGTCCACGGTGGCTATCCGCTTGTTGGCACCTGGCTTGACCAGCTTGCTAACGACGATCTTCTCGAGTGCGAGGATAACGCCATCCTTGCATCTTAAGCCGATGGCAGTGCCTCCGTTCTCTACCGCCTTCTCCGCATACTCGACCTGGAAGTTGCGGCCATCGGGAGAGAAGACGGAGTTGGACAGGTCGTAGCCGGTACCTATCGACGTCTGTTGATTAGTGCTGAGTGGCTAGACTGTGAGAACGCGGAAGCCTACCATAATGCCGGAGTAGATGCAAGCAGCGGCTGTAAATGAACGGGAGTCAGAGGAATGTGAGGGTGCAGAGCAGAGCAAGGTGTTGGTGTAAGGTAGTTGTCACGAAGCTCCCGAGAGCTTGAGCCACGGCCTTCGCTGTCCCATCTAATCTAATCAATGCCGTTCCGCCGGCCTGCTACCTGGAGCCGCTCGGGCCATTTCTAAAAGCCCAACGTCTTCTAGTCTTCGATAGTCAAATCCATCGTTTGGCACCGAAAGCATTGACATTGCCACGTCGCTATGGCTTGGAAGAAGAAAGATTTCTTTCATTTTAAAGACTTTCTAGAATAACGCCAACTGTGACTATGTTTAGCCTCTGCCATTCCTTTAGTCCGCCTTTCGTCCCCGCGTCGCGCCTGTCATGGAGAATGTCCGAAGACAACGGCAGGCAGCTAGTTTGAAACCCTTCTTCACAAAGTTCTCACTACTATCATCATCTTTCTTTGTCTCGTCCTGATATTTCGACGGCTACGAGTATTGACTCCCCTTGAAGTTTGCCCACCTCATGAGACATGCAGACGACCAATCCGTTATGGAACCAACGATAGTTCTGGGCGATCGAGGTAGAGCTGTTGTTCGAATCGAGCATAGCCTGGTTGCATCAGGAGCTCTCCAGAAAACACCACATACAAGGGCGGGTGTTCTGCTTTTGAATCCAAACACGTCTATCAAGCTCGCAGAACTCAAGGTTTCGCTTGGGAACTCGTTGAGAAGGAAGCATTTCCAATTTATTCTACGCGATGGTAGTTCCGGTGCCTTCCTCATGCGTGATCTTGGGCGTTTGTTCCACGCCTTAAAAACTGGAAACTTGAATTTCATTCACCAAACTCCAAACATCACTCACCAACCAAGAACATAAAGCCTGACCTTCGCCCCGGACAATTCCTCCTGACTTCTTACTTTCGCACGACCTTCACCTCGACGGCCAAGCTACTCTTTCTCTCTTCTTTCCTGCTCTGACAGAAGCCAACTCACCTTCCAACCATCATCATGGCTGCACGCTTCAGCAAGGACTTCATTGAGAGCCTTAGCGAGAGTGAGAAGACGAGACTGATTTGCTGTTTCTTGTACCACAACACTCCTAACGACGTATGTACTCTTTTTACAACATGGATCGCATGTTGGTCTAGACTGACATGACTTCAGGTTGACTGGGATGGCGCTGCAGCGCAGATGGGATCTGCATCCAAGCACAGTTTCAAAGTCAGCTTCAGCAACACCATGAAGAAGATCAGGGACGCTGCCAACGGAGAAGGCGGCACTGCGCTTCCCGTCACCCCCACTACTCCGAAGAAGGGTCGTAAGAAGCGTGCTGCCGACGAGGACGATGTGGAGGGCGAGTCGCCCAAGAAGAAGAAGGCGACTCCTAGGAAGTCTAAGGCCAAGCGTAAGCATGCTCACAGGGCTACCGCCATATATCCAGGACTAATTCTAATATCTCTTGTAGAGAGTGAAGTTGAGGCCGAGGAGCAGGTCAAGGCCGAGCCCATGGACGAGGAGCCAGAGCAGGCTGGAGAAGAAGCTCCCGTTGCCTAACTGAGCCGACAACAGAGAGACGCCCACGTCTACGATTACGGCCTTTTCGTTGGAAGACGGTCTAGGTCCTTGGTCAATTTCGAGGCAAAGACAAGTTCAGGGAAAAAGCGAAGCACAGTTCATTGTCTTTACACTCTTCAGTTTGGCTCCTGGTCGGATTGCAAGCAACGATTGATTAGACAATGAGTTGATTATGCTTGCACGATACCACTCTTGAATGGAAACAAATTGCAAATTGCTCATTCTAGAAACAGCTTGAAAAATGAGCGACTTTAACATGTGAAAGCTTCACACACACGTACCGTGATTGTTCAGTCCTTAGCTTCTGTTTAAATGGACTTCTTGTTCCAACTTTTAGTTCTTTCTCCGCTTCGTCCGCGACAGTTCACGACGATACTTCACGGTCAGTGGAAGTCCACATCAACCTTGTCTGGGAAAACACAACCCGCAACGCCACCGCCGTGTCTAGTCCACATCGACTTCCCGAACCCAACGTGTAAGCAACTTCTCTAAGAGCTCGAAGAAATCTTCTTACTCATCGCATCCTTCAGGCAAAATGACTTCCAAATACGACGTGAACAAGATCCACGAGCTTTCCGAGGCAGAGAAGTTCCGCATGATTGTCATTCTCCTCAACCACAACGAGCCCAACAATGTAAGTCCACTACACCTACCGACGTCCTAGCACGTCAAGTGAAATGCCAAATTTCACAAGCTGATCCGCTGTTTAGGTTGACTGGGACACTATTATCGCTCAGACCGGTTCAAAGTCCAAGGCTTCTATGAAGGTCATGTACAACAAAACCCTCAGAAACCTCAAGAAGGCCGAGTCCTCCGGCGATGACGGCAATGGCGAGGGTACTCCGAAGACCCACAAGAGAACTGCCGATGACGACGCGACCACTCCGGGTACCGCTAGCCCTGAGGCCGAGACGCCGAGTCCCACAAAGAAGCGCAAGAGCATCCCGAAGAAGGCGCAGGTCAAGACCGAGGAGTTCTAGTCCAACTTTACATGCGCGATAGAAATGACGGCATCGTAGAGATTTGGATCGGTTTGCTGAGGGATTGCTACAAAGGACATTCAAGACAACAATCGGACAAACTCTATAGAAATGAATGAGAATTCAAGAGGCTACTGTCCAGCTTGTTCCATGCACTGAAAAATGGTCTATGGCTTTGAAATTCTCTTTGAGAGCCACTATCTTCTTTTACGAGCCAGTGACATCTAGATCATACCAGGACATGGTCTATGGCCATGTCCGCATTTTATGTGTAGTCGTAAATATGCTTAGACCTTACTAGATGCCCGGGTTTCGACAACCAGATAGCGACTAACTTATATGTGAGTAGAGTGAAAGTGTATGTTGTAAAGAATAAAAATAAAAATATTCAAAAAGAAAAATAAGCAAAAAGAAGGTGAGAATCGAACCCGTCCCTGGCCAGGAGACTTCCCTTAACGGGATACCTAACAACCTACAGGCATCTTTTAAGGGCATTAGTAGCACCGAAGTGCGAGCTTTGCCACACCAATAGACCACTAGGCCAGGGTAGTAGGCCAGACTACCCCGTACAGTTCGATGTTAAGATGTTGGAGTCCCCCTTATATATACTGAAGGTTTTCTCTTCGAATGTCAATAAGCTACGTCATGCGAATTTTAGAGAGGTACTACCTTTACCTGTGTCCATCTTCCGCTCCTTCCTTCACACTCTCTTCCCGCGACACAAAAGGTACCATTTTAACAGCAGTCATACAAGCTTTGGACAAGATTGATTTGACGACACAACGCGGCAAGCGAAAAGCCCGCAGTTAAGCCAAGTTATTATATATTATAAAGGTCGCTTTTTCGCGCGCACAAGCGCTCCTCCGCCCTCCTCCGCCGCATGCTCGCTATCTAGCGGAGCAGTAAGGTCTCGTAGGTGGCGGCGAAGCGGTGTTGCAGAGGTATTGTATATGGACGTATTATGATATCGCGAAGGCAACTTTCTATTGGGCGCTTTACCTGATTAGGCAGCGGTGGAGCCCTGGGGGTGAAAATAACTAACTGGTGGGGGGAAAAATAACCTTTGCCCTTTAAGATCTACTTCTCGCCCACGCTCCACTTTACTCTCTCGCCATCCAAACTTCCTTCCTTCCCTGTCCCGTATGTAGGCCTTCCTTCAATCGTCAAACTAGATCATGGAACTAACTTACCGTTGTCCCAGAACATCAACCATACAAGATGGTTTCCTACGGTACATCCAAGGTCGACAACCTTAGTGATGCCGACAAGTTACGTATCATTTCGGCGTATCTTAACCACAACGAGCCCCAGAACGTAAGTGGACATGCCTTTTATATGTCTCAGTGCAAATGCTAATACCGTAACAGGTTTACTGGACCTCGGCTGCCACTCAGGCTGGCAGTGCGTCCAAGGAATCGTACAAGAAGATGCTCAACACCTCGCTTCAGAAGCTCCGCGCGACCGAAGGCGACAAGGGAGCCGATGGTAATGAGACTGCACCCAAGCCCCAGCCCAAGAAGGGAGGCCGCAAGAAGCGTGAGGCTACCGATGATGGCGGAGAGCAGGAAGGCAATCCAACGAAAAAGGCTAGGAAGTCAGCCAAGCCGCGTGCTAAGAGTAAGTTCTCCCACATGGTTTAAGTTCCTCTTCGGCTTGACACTGATAAATTTCAAAGAGGCCGCCGTCACTACCAAGAAGCCGGATACCGATGGAGAAGAAGCTGAGACTGCTGCAGTGAAGCCAGAGGCTTCCGACGACGAGGATGCTTGAGCGTCTTTGAAGGAGATGCCCACTATGTCTGTCCTCTGTGACTGAGTGCGCTTGACGTTGCACTTTTCCGCGAAGTCTTCTCGAAAAGCAAGTAGATAATGCGAAAATTGACACTCTTGACCCTTCATGACTGGAGAGATGACGTGTTCCATTTGTGTGTTTCTTTGCGTGTCAACCTCACTTGCACTTGCCTTCCATGGATCAGTTGCGCACGAGCGGAGCATAAATACCCGCCCTCCACCATTCTTCTTGCTTCAACCTCCAACCCCTTCCGATTTTCTCTTTCAAATCAAACTCTTCCACAAACAAAGACAAACTTGACCCCAACCAACATCTAAATAACCGATTGCAAAGATGGGGAAGAAACAACGTCCCGACTTCTTGACGTTGCCGGGTGAGATCAGAAACGAAATCTACTCGTACTGCTTCGACACGACATATATCGACCTGACGCCTAACGCCCGTCATATTCTCAAGTTCAAGAAGGACACAAGCAAGCCCAAGCCACGGCGCGTTCGTGTCAAACATGACCTCGGACACTACAACCTAGTCGCCGGCCTCAAGACCAACTGGGCCAAATCCTATAGCGGCGCCGGGCTCAGTCTTACCTGCAAGCAGATCAACTGGGAAACCCGAGAGCTGTACTATTCCACCCCAGTCTTCATCGCTTCATCCACCAACCGCTTGATCACCTTCCTCAACGTCGTTCCTGCGGACAAGCTGGCCTCCATCAAGAAGTTCCACATCTCTCACGCGACCTACGGCACTCCGCAATTCACCCAAGACATGGAGTTTAAGCGCCGCCACGACAAGAAATGGCTCCAAGCCATGCATCTCGCCGCCGAAAAGCTTACTGGTCTGGACTGGCTCAGTATCCGGCTCGTCCCCAACGAAACACCGCTAATCTTCGACCTATCACAACCATGGGTCCAGCCACTCCTCGCATTCGCACCGGCATGCGCGACGAACCTTACCACGACGGACGGAACCTCGGCCGCCGCGCGCAAGAAGCCTCTCGAAATGCGCATCAACCTCCAATTCGCGATGCTGGGAGACGGCATCAACGTGAACCCCCTACTGCAAGAAGCATGGCTGCACCTACGCCGCGCCTTCGTCGACGCGATACGCGAGCAACTCGCAGGCAAGAGCCTCGAAGACGCAATGGCGAGTTACAACGCGGCGAAGTTCGAGAAGTACAAATCCCTGCGCGGGCTGGGGCTGGATCTCTTCCTTCTGTGAAAGCACACTGATACTACATATTGGATTAGACTCAGGCACCATCCGCTATGCCGCGTATACGTGGGCCGTTCTTACCTGCGCAGAATCCTGTACTTGCACCCGAATGGGAAGCCGAGAATGGTCATGTCCGACCCTGTTCGCCATGCCCCCGCTGCGTGGGAGCTGCTGGGCTGGGCGCCCCCGGCTGTGGGTCGCTTGCGTCCGCCTACCCGCCCGGATTCGGAGTTGTATGCGCGTTCGGTGATGCCTTTCCTTGACAACGACCGCGAGCTGGGGGAGTACTGGATGAGCCCAGTGGTCTGACTGGTTGGGATCGCTTAACGGTGATGATATGACGACTGGGCTCTGGCCGAATTGCGCGTTGCCGTACTGCTGGACTAAGAGAATGGAGTGCGGACAAGTGCTTTAGCTGCTGAACTGGGGAACCGTGGCTATGGTGTAATGTATTCATGGATAGCGGATAGCAAACAGCAGCGGATCGAACAGGTAACAACTACGGAAACCGATGGTACTGTACGTCCATCTGCATTAAATTCTCACGTGCCGTGATTGTTTAACAGTACGATAGCATGACGGGCAAAAGACGAGTGCAAGTCCGATATAGTGGCCGCACAAACATCTTCAACAACCCCAACAAGCCCAATAATATCCTCGCACCTCTTCCACAGCAGCTCTGCCTACACACTTACACCCCACCATACACACAAAAACCTACCTACCTACAAAAGGCAGGCATCGTCTCCGCCCATCCACCTCTTCCTCAAAACTCAAACCCACGCCCACGCCTTAAGAACTCTCCCCTCTCACCCCGCACCCAAATGCACATCCCACCACCACCCCGCGCCCATCCAGCCCAGACCCCCGTCCCGGCAGCAACAACACACACAGTAGTACGCAATACCAGCCAACCGGACCACACGCACCGCCGCGCGAGACACTCGCACCACTTCCCCTGTCCTGCTTCACGAGCGCACAAAAGCATGCATGGGCTAGAGTTCAGCCCATCAAAGCCGACGACGGGTCCGGTGGGCAGCTCCTGCGCTCCTGCGCTCCTGCGTTCCTGCCGTGGCTACCTAGCGGACGGTATGCCTGCGCGCGGGCGGGGAGGGGGAGAGGGGGCTTTCGGCCTTTGGTACTGTTTCCGGGCTGTGCTCAGAGCAGGGCGGTTGCTGGTGGGATGGGAGGGGTTTTTGTTTTTTTGAGTGGTTGGGGGGTGCGCTGGGGGCTTTTTGCGGACAGGCAGACAGACGGTGCTGCTGGCTGGGTAGCTGGTGGGGATGGTGATGGTGGTGGTGAGAGTGCCGTGGTGGCGTCGCGGTGGCAACACGCACAGCAAGCCAGCAGCACAACAGCGCCCACCCGCGCGCACAGAAAAGCGCAACAAGCGCCCCACCGGCGGCGGCATCAAAAGCCTCTCACCCAGCCTCTAGCACTAGCCCTGGCCCTGGCCCTGGCACTGGCCCGCAGCAAACAAAGCGTCCTTACACCGCCTAGAAAGACCTCGCGAGAGCAGACTTGCGGCGCATCCACGGGCCAAAGAAATACAGCAGGTAGACGAGGGCGACGATGCTGAGGCTGATGAACGCCAGGCACGCCATGGCCCACGTGGTGCCGAGATTGGCGAACATGACGAGGCCGATGTGGGCGAAGCCGGCGGCGAGGGTGAACGAGGGGATGATAAATGCGGCGACGGCCGAGGCGGCGAAGTTGGGGTAGGCGTCTGTGGGGGGGCGGAGGGTGTTAGCAGTTGTGAAATTCGAAAAAAAAAAAGGAAAAAGATGCCAGGGTGTGGTGGTGGTGTGGTGTGGGTTGTATGTACCGGTGATGTAGTTCAGCATGGAAAGATAGAGCAGCGGGTCCGAGAAGCCGAGGACCGCGCCCGCGACTATTGGCGACCAGTAGCTTGTGTGCCCGTTGCTGGTGAAGGCGAACCAGAAGAGCGAAATCGGGAAGCCCCAGACGGTGACGAGGGAGGTGAGGAAGCGGGCTTCGGGGCGGCCGGAGCCGCCGTGTTGCTCTCTGTCGCGTTTGTAAAAGTACGTCTGCACGGGCAGGAAGCAGAACATGACTGTGACGCCGACGACGAAGTTCAGGTACGTCAGGTCGGCGCCGATGGGGCTGAGGCCGTTGTTGTCGCCAAAGACGTCAAAGACGCCGTCGAGGTACAGGAACAGCAGCCCGTACGCGAAGCCGTTGTAGATGGCCAGGAACGTCACGATGGGCTCGAAGACCATAATCTTCAGCGCCATGGTGAAGACAAAGTAGATCTCGTGCAGCACGTCGACCTTGCTCTCGGCGACGGCAATCTCCTCCGGATCCGCCGACTGGGCCTTCTTGACGGCCTGCGCGATGACCACGCGGGGCAGGGTCTCGGGGATGAAACACAGGACCAGAGAATAGGCTCCGCCGATGATGACGCTGCCAGCGTTGTTTAGTAAGAAATTACCCTTTCGGGAAGCGGAGTTCGCCTATTGCCCAAATTTCTCAACTTACTTGATCCAAAAGATCCATCTCCAACCCATATTCGGGTTCGTGAACGCGATCCATTCTCCCACTGGGGACCCCAGGCTGGGCCCGATATTAGCAGAGGCCACGAACAGGCCCATTGGCTGCGCAGCATTGTCCGCATCCGCGAACAGATCCGCAATGGTGCCCGCGACGTTGGAAAGGGCCGTGCTACCCGCCGCACCGCAGAGAAACTGAAAGATGATGAGCATGGGCAGGTTAAGCGCCAACGCAGTTCCCTGGAGCAAACAAATTAGCACCGGTGCATACCCGCGTCCTCTGGCTGCGCGTGCTCACAATGTTCAAAATCGCGTAGACCAGGATCGACCCAGCGTAGACCCATTTGCGGCCGCCTATGTCACTGTGCCCAACGCTCAGTATCACTCCCCCAATATAAACCAGCTCTCCGGCATCTACGCGACGGCGCTTTGCTTACGACAATGGCCCCAGAAACGCCGGGCCTACCGCGTTTCCGACAATGAACATGCTCTGTCCCAGCGTGATGACCTGTGTGCTGCCGCCAAACTTTTCCTGGATTGCTCCTTCCGCCGAGACGTAAGAGGTCGAGGTGAGAGTGACGAAGATCTGCAGCAGGCAGTATGCGATCGTAATGGCCCATTTCTTGGCCGGGTGCCAGTGGACGGGGTGGTGCGCATCGTGCTTCTTGACCACATCCAGCGCCTTCAGCGTCACGGAACCATGCCGCGCAGGGCCATCCAGCACTGCTTCCTCCTCCATGTAGCCTTTCTCTTCCGCTTCTTTTGGAGTTGGTGATTCAGTGACGGGCGAGGAAGACGTCATAACGTGCTTTCGCGTTATGCAATGGATAGGTCGCGTGAGAAAGAGAGAGCGGCGAAGATACGTGACAGGAATGGGATGAGGTAGAAAGAAAGACGAGAGAACAGGAACAGACGACGACGCGTGAGACGCGAAAAGCGGCAGAGGCCAGAGACGGTGAGAGCAGTGCTGGCCGTAACTTTCTTTCTTACGTCGTCAAAGGGCCCTGCACTCCGAGCGGGCCCGAGATAAATAGTGGAGAGAGGGCGACGGCGCGGATAGGTCGACCCTTTGAACGTTCAACTGCTACATCGTGCCCTTGCGTCATGGTCAGAGGGTCCGGCAATCTTCAACGCAAGCAGCAACGGTCCAATGCGGGGATTCGGAAGCTTTTAAATGGTGCTGGAGCTGCTGGCGGCCGCGTCCGACTGTGTCTCAATTTGTCCATGAGTTGCGCCATCCCTGCTCGTGTAGGGCCGACTGACCTGCAGAAAATAATTAATGCTTGTGTGCGTCACTGCGTCAGGCACACCCGGCACGCCGCAACGCCATCTACCCAGCACTAAGAAACGGCTTCCACCACTCCTCAATCTACTCAACTACAGCCTATACAATGCCCTCTCAACTCACATCAGACTCGTCCTCCCCCCAATCTCCGTCCCGCCCTGCCCATTCGGCATCTCCCCGTTCCTGCCCACCAAAAACTCCCTGTAGATTCCGGCCAGCCGCCTACGCTCCTGCTCCGAAATACTGCTCCGCGTCGCCTGTAGCGAGTTCAGCACGTGCCGCCATTCAATAACGGGCTCCTTGCTGCCCTCAGCTGCATCCTTTGCCGCCTCGGCTTCCGCATCGGCGACGTGCTGGCCTTGTCTTCCTGAATGCTCGTGCTGTGCCTGCTTCTGCTTCCTGCGCAGTGCCTGCATTTCTTGGATCTGCGTGGCGATCCTCGCGCGCTCGCCCAGCGCTACGGGACTAGCGATTTCGCCGTCGACTTCCGTGTCGTCGCCGAAGCGGAAGTGCATGAAGTCCGTACTGCTGCCTTTGCCTTCCTTTCTTCCTGTCGTGGGACCATTGACACCATTCGTCTTGTTCTTGCCGTTCCCTTTCTTCGCAACCGCGCCAGGCCCGTCTTCCATGTCTAGTTCCGCATCGCCCAGGACGTCGTGAATCGCCTCGAGCTGTGCGTTATATGCCACGGCTTGCAGATCTGCGCCAGAGTATCCCTCGGTTCTGCGTGCAATCTCACGAAGGTTTTCGCCCTCGTCGCCATCCGTCAGCACGTCGGGCGCGATGCGCAGCTTCCGCGTCACTGCTCGTAGAACATCGATGCGCTCTTCGAGGTTCGGCATGTCGCAGATCAGACTCTTGTCAAGACGACCGGGACGCAACAGGGCCGGGTCAATTAGATCCGGGCGCGATGTTGCTGCTAAGATGTACACGCCTGACAGGCCCTCAGCGCCATCCATTTGCGTCAGCAGCTGGTTGACAACGCGGTCCGTTACGCCTGTAGAATCGTGTCCTCTCTTGGGTGCAATAGAGTCGAACTCGTCGAAGAACAGCACGCATGGTTTCGCTGCCTCTGCTCGCTCAAACAAATCCCTGACGCTCTTTTCTGATGCACCGATGTACTTGTTCAAGATCTCGGGGCCCTTGACACTGATGAAGTTGAGACCGCATTCTCCCGCCACGGCCGATGCAAGCAATGTCTTGCCGCATCCTGGATAGCCATACAGCAGCAGACCGGATCGCAGGCGCAAAGGGCATTGTGCGAAGATGGGCGCATACGTCGTCGGGTACTGAAGAGTTTCCAGAAGTGTTTGCCGAGTAGCGTGCAGGCCACCTATGGAGTCCCATTTCGTAGTGCTAGACTGCAATGTGACATTCCTCAGTGAAGCCGGTGTGAAACCAACGAGAGTGCGCGAAAAATCTTCCATGGTTAGCGTTACAGTGTCGGCAGCAGATTCTGCGCTGATGGAGCGTATCAGAGCCTCGCTCCAGGCGCGCGACACCAGCAGGACTAGGTCGCCAGGCATGTACCCATCCGTCTGCCCTGCTAGGTCCAGAAAGTCAATGGTGGGGTCAACACTGAAACCCTCCTTTTGCTTGTTCTTGGAGGATGTGCTCGGCCTGCTGTCATTGCTGGAACCATCCATCCAAGGGTTACCGTCCGCTTTCGGGCTTGATTGGGCGCCATTGCCGTCAACCTGGGGTGCTGAGTTTGATTGCTCGTCTTCTTCGTTCACCAGCTTCTCCAGCACTTTCCGCCTGCCGTCTTTGTTCGGAGCTTTGAGGCTCACAATCTCACGAACTACGTGGCCGCCAATGATGACGTTGTTGATCGCTTCCTTGCCTTGTCCGGTAGCCAACAGCACGACCCGCGAGTCCATTGTACAGTACTGTCGAACAATGGACTGGAGGCATTCACTGATGTGTCTGCTCCGTCCGTTCTCCCCTCCGACTTGTAGTTCGGTCTCCACAGGGCAAAGCTTGTCAAGGTCATCGAGGATGACGATGGCATGTCCTCCAAGCCGAGCGCCCCACGATGCCGCAGCAAAGAGCCGGCCCATCGTTTCCTTGATTGTCGATACGCGTGTCTCGTCAGTGACTAGCGAGCGGCATGGAAAGTAGGAAGTATGGTAAAGATATTCGGTCCTTAGACGGTGGGCGAGAAGGTGTGCAAGGTTTGTCTTGCCAGCTCCCAAGCCTCCAGTGAGTAGCACTGATGATGAATGCGTCAAATGTGACATCAACTGATCGATCAGCGGATCTATTCCGACCAAAGCCGGAACAGATGCAGGTAGCGCCTCGCCTGGCGACCAACTCTGCAACGCACTTGCTGGCCTGCTCGTTTCCACATCCACTTTTATCGCGATTCCCTTTCTTTCCGCGCCTACTAACCATGAGGGTTGGAGTCTAGTGGTTTCCGGTGAGCTGTTTAAAGGTGAGTCGGTCTCGAATCTTAGAATGCCACCGTTCCAGCCTAGGTCGCCATCTGCTGTTACCGGCAAAATCATTCCATCCGTAAGAGGACCGTCAAGAAGGGAGTTGACGATATCCTTGCTATAGTAGTCCTGGATATTGCGCGCCGCTTCTTCTCGTTCTTGCTTGGATTCACCTCCAAATCTAAGACCAGTGTGTTGTGCGGTACTGGTCATACCAAAAGGTGAGATCTTCAGAGCCTTGAAGCCAGACGCCTTGGATTTACCAACTTGGGGCGGAGCTGCTTCAATGCGCACCAAGCCACCAAGCAATCCATCGGCACCAAGGGCCGCGCATAGTGCAGACGAAAGAGCCATGTGATGACTATCCGGAGCGTCTTCCCAGACATCGAGCTTGGCAACAATTTTGGTGGGGGGCTTCACTGTCTCCGCATCTTTCTGAGGATCAACTGGCTCTTGCAAACCAGTGGGCTTTACGATCGAGACATAAACCCAGGTGACTCCGCGCATAGCCTTTGCCAGCAGGATATCTCGATCCACCCAGACTTTCAACCCGCCATTTTGTATGCTCTCATCATCGTCGAACCAATCTCCTCCAAGGCTCCGATCCACTCCTCGCAGAAAGATCGCACCACGACTGCTGGTGTCTTCTCTTTTGCTCCCCCGGCGCACCGTGCTGGCCGAGCTTTTCCCTCCTTGACTCTTGCGACTTGTGCTCGCGACACTCCTGCTTTCCCTTTCATCACCGCGCCCTGGTCTCTGTCGAGTCTTGGACGCTACGATTACTTCGGCATCCGGAGATATCTTTATGAACGGAGATGATGATGCCGGGGCCGGCGTGAGGGAGGTGACTGTGATATTGGCGGTAGACGTGGGCGACAGATGCAAGGTAATAGGATGTGGTGGTTGTGCTGCTGCTTCCGGAGTGGGTGTAAATGCCGGATTGGGCAGTGCGCGCACCTGCGACAGGAAGTTTAATTCTAGAAACTGGGCATGGAGCTCGATCACTACAATCATCCTATTAGCTCGGGCGCTTTCGGGACCAATGGCTCCCAGTACACACTCTCCCAGTCAGCTGGTGTCAACGGTTCAATGTTGATAGTATGGGCCTGTGGTGGATCCAAATGTAACAAGACGCCGACCTACTAAAGCCAGTCAGTGAGCGTCCGCGCAAGGCATGCGCCAAATGTGTCTGCGTACCTTCTGCCCATCTTCGAGCCCAAGCAGACGTCCGAATGCAGCATCCAGCTCGACAACAGCTACATCTTGATCCCGGCCAACCGCGCTTCCCCTGCTTCCAGCTATGCCATCTCTTCCGACAACTGGCGCAAGCTTGCGCTTGGCTTGCATGCCGGTCCATCCCACGAAGACGGACTTTTGGAGGTTTGTTGGGCCATTGGCTTTTGGTGAGCTGGATGGAGCAGCTTGGCGATACGTGAGCTCGACGACGACATTCTGCGCAATCTGGGCGACACCGTTAGCAACTGTCCGCCAACCCGAACGTGTCAGTACTTGCTGTGTCGGCGTTGACCAGGACGGTGACGAGCGACGCCGGGAGGTTGACAAGGCAGTTCTTCAATGAGGGAAACAATGACAGTTCAGCTTGCGCCGCTGGCTTTCTTGGCGGTGGAGCCATGGCTTAGGACTTGGAAGGATCTGAGGGTGGTGAGCATGTGGCATCGCGCATTGCGACGGCTCGTGGTGGGCTGTAGGCGCATGACAACTGGGGAACGGGCCGAGGTAGAGATGGCCTGCGCAGATCCGGGTTATGGGGAGCCGTACAACAGTACGGCGGACGACACGGCTAATTGTGCTGTCGCGCCGGTTGCCCTGTCGCGCCCCAGACGCGTTTGGCGGGCGCTCGGACTTGCTCGATCAATTGATGATTGTTTCGCCGTTCGCAAAGTGTTGCACCAGCAACCCGCCTAACCTCCACCACCCTCCGCTCTCTCCCCACCACCACGAACTTGCGCCGCTGCATCGCATCCCTATTCCGTTTCCCCTCCAAACTCTTCGGCTAGGGGCGCAATGGCGCTTCTTACCTACCGCAACGTCGTCAACTACGGCGAGCAGCAGGGTTTGTTTTGATCCCATAGCAACGGGCCACCAGCTAACCCACCAACCAGCTGCGTTCGAGGACTTTTTGCGCTCCTACAAATCATCGTCAACCGAGGCCGCGGATGCATTGGAGGACCTCCAAATCGACGGCGAGGATGAGTACGACTTCATGGACGAGTCTGATGACGGCGAGGCTGCGCAGAGGAGTCGGCGGCGCGATCGTGACCCCAAGGTCAAATACATGCAGATGCTGCAAGACGTAGCCGATCGGAAAGTCAATCAAGTCGTCATAGAGCTGGATGACTTGGACGTCTACGAGAAGGGCCTCGACGAGGAGCATGCTGGTCTGCAGCTAGTCGATTCCATCGCGAAGAACGCCAACCATTACCTCGAGCTTTTCTCGAGAGCTGTGGACAAGGTTATGCCCGAACCTAGCTCCGAGCCAACGTAAGCAACTCAACTGTAAGTGGGCTAGTATCGGGCTGATAGGTTCCTAGCTTCAAGGACGACGTGCTGGACATTATCATGACCCAGCGCTCTAGACGCAACGAGAGGATCCAGGAAAGCGCCGCCGCAGACAACGCAGGAGTTGCGCCCGATTCAATTTTCCCTCCGGAATTGACAAGGAGATATACTCTCAACTTCAAGCCGCTTACTCCATCGGGCTCGAGCAGCGAACGCAGCATTAAGGCGCTCGCCGTGAGACAGGTCCGCGGAGAGCACCTTGGTAACCTGATTACCGTCCGTGGTATTGCCACCAGGGTTTCCGACGTCAAGCCGTCTGTCCAGGTCAACGCATACTCTTGTGATAGATGCGGCTGCGAAATCTTCCAGCCTGTTTCGGCCAAGCAGTTTACCCCTCTCGTCCAATGTCCCTCGCAAGAATGCAAACAAAACGATGCCAAGGGTCAGCTCTTCCTTTCAACTCGCGCGTCCAAATTCCTTCCGTTCCAGGAGGTCAAGATTCAAGAGATGGCAGACCAGGTGCCTGTCGGCCACATTCCCCGCCAACTCACGATCCACTGCCACGGCGCGATGGTCCGTCAGATCAACCCCGGCGATGTGATTGATATTGCGGGCATTTTCCTCCCTACTCCCTACACTGGTTTCAAGGCCATCCGCGCCGGCCTCTTGACGGACACCTATCTCGAAGCACAGTCGGTCAACCAGCACAAGAAGGCTTATGATGACATTGTTCTGGCTCAACCTACTCTCCGTCGCATGAATGAACTGGAGAGGTCCGGTCAACTATACGAGTACCTTTCCCGCTCCATCGCACCGGAAATCTTCGGTCACTTGGACGTGAAGAAGGCGCTGCTGCTGCAGCTGATTGGAGGTGTGACCAAGGAAATGGGCGACGGCATGCGCATCCGTGGTGACATCAACGTCTGCCTGATGGGTGACCCTGGTGTTGCCAAGTCCCAGCTTCTCAAGTACATCACCAAGGTCGCTCCTCGCGGTGTCTATACCACTGGCCGCGGTAGCAGTGGTGTCGGTTTGACTGCAGCCGTGATGAGGGACCCCGTTACCGACGAGATGATTCTTGAGGGCGGTGCCCTGGTCCTTGCTGACAACGGCATGTGCTGTATTGATGAATTTGATAAGATGGACGATTCTGACCGCACTGCCATCCACGAAGTCATGGAACAGCAGACCATTTCCATTAGCAAAGCTGGTATCACTACCACATTGAACGCCCGGACATCCATCTTGGCTGCCGCCAACCCGCTGTACGGTCGCTACAACCCGCGCGTCTCTCCCGTAGAGAATATCAACTTGCCCGCCGCCCTGCTCTCCCGTTTTGATGTCCTTTTCTTGATCCTGGATACCCCGTCGAGAGACGCAGACGAGGAGCTCGCCCGCCACGTTACCCACGTCCACATTCACAACAAGCACCCCGAGCAAACCGGCGGAGTCGTCTTCACACCTCACGAAGTGCGCCAATGGGTCGCGCGCGCGCGCTCTTTCCGGCCCGTTGTCCCCAAGGAAGTCAGCGACTACATGGTGGGCGCGTACGTGCGCATGCGGCAGCAGCAAGCGCGCGACGAGTCGGCGCGCCGCGCCTTCACGCACACGTCGCCGCGTACGCTGCTCGGTGTCTTGCGTCTATCGCAGGCGTTGGCGCGCCTGCGCTTCGCGGAGACGGTCATTGTGGAGGACGTCGACGAGGCGCTGCGGCTGGTCGAGGTCAGCAAGGCCTCGTTGTATGCTGACGACCGCAACCGCGGCGCCGACCAGACCCCGAGCAGCAAGATCTTCCACCTCATCCGCGCGATGAAGGACAGCGGTGCCGCGGCGGTGGGAGACGGCAGCGGCGGCGAGCTGGATCTCAGGAGGGTCAGGGAGCGTGTGTTGGCGAAGGGGTTCACGGCGGATCAGTTCGAGGAGGCTGTCGACGAGTATGCAATGCTGGATGTGAGTACACCTTTGCGTTTTGTTCTTTTTGCTTGCGTTCCGTGGCGACGGCATGCTGACAAGTGCGGAAACAGGTCTGGCAAACGGCGGGCGAGGGCACGAGACTCGTGTTCATCGAGGCCGAGGACGATGGCATGGACGAGGACTTGTAGTAAAACGAGCGTAACTCTACGGCGGCGGCGGCGGCGGCGGCGGAGACGGAAATTCGCGCTGGCGTTCTGGTGGCGTTGAGGGCGGGCGTGGAGGGCTCTTCTGTGTTGTGTTGTGTTGTGTTGTGCTCTTTCGGGCGGGAGGTTGCGTTGGATACCATTGTGCGGACGAAAATGGATGGGCGGGTGCGTTTGGAGAGGAGCTTGCTCGGAGAAGCATGGTCGGCTTGGGGAGATGCAGCTATATGTAAATGTATCATGAAAGTTTGTCGCAACGGAATTAGCTCACTTGGATCTGAGACTGCCAGGCGCCGTGATTGAGGCGGGTAGAGTAAAAACTGGTCCCTCCTCCACTCACTCTCTTCCTAAATCCTTGGGCGGTACCGTAGCAATCAATTACTTACAATGGTTATCTTGCGATGTCTCGCCTTGCTCGTCCTATCCGTATCTACCTACTATATATACGTACAGCAACCCAAACACAAAGCGGTCCAAGTATATAGGCATAGTGCTATTGAGACGGGACCGAACACGCCTACAGTAACAAATGGCTTTGCTCGCCCCGGTAATCCGTAGTCATGGTCACCGGGAAGGAGGAGCGGGGTGGAGCGATCGACGGCTTAGCGACCTCGCTCAACCCAACCCTGCGTCACCCTTGCTCTCCTCTCCTCTCCTCTCCGCAGCCCGCAGCACGCAGAACGCAGCAAATGCAGCTGCTGTTATCAGCGCGCTTGGAACTCCGATACGTACGTAGGTAGGTACATGGGTAGGCGCTTGAGTCGTTCGTCCGTGGCCAGCCCGCGATAGACGGCGCCCGCAAGCGCTCCCGCGTGCTGGCCCCGCCCCCAGATAACTAGTTAGCGCTACTGTGGGAGGGCCCACCCACAGGGCTGCAACGGCTACGGTACTGCTGCTGCTGCTAGCTGTAGCTGTTGCTGTTGCTCCTCACACGAAGCTGCAAGCTGCAAGCTACAAGCTACAGGCAGCAAGCTGCAAGCAAGCTGCTAGTGGCCAAGACAGGAAGGCAGGGAGCGACGATGACGCGGGCGGCGCCGCTCAAGCTTTATCCGCCCGCCTGCATCCCCGCCATCCCCGGGGTACGTGGGTGCGGAGAGAGGAGGAGAGAGGGGAGAGGGAGCGAGGGAGGGGCCTGCCTAGGTAGCTGCCATCACGCATCACATCACGCCAGGCTAGGCCGCCCTGTCTTGCTTTACCTTGGCTGGGCCTTTCTTCTTCTTCTTCTTCTTTCTCTCTTTCTTTCTCACTCTTTCTCCGCACACACGCACGCACGCTGCTGTCGCGACACTCCGGCGTACTTACCCACTTACTACTTCCGGCCTGCTGTCTCGCTCGCCCTCTGCTGCTGCTAGCCAGCTAGCCAGCTAGGTAGCTACTTCGTTCGTAGCCGTAGCCGTCGCCTCGCTACCTGCGTGCTTGCCTGTCTGTAAGTCGTGCTTTTTTCCTCATACACACATACATACATACATACACACGTACGCCCCCAGGCTAGGCCATTGGCGCCCGCCCGCGCTGTGCCGGACGCGGTGCGCCAAGCTGTGGAGCCACGCTTAGTGGTGGTGGTACAACCGCCCGTTGTTGTTATCTTCTTTCTCGTTTCCATCGCGTGCCTGTCTGTTTGTCTGTCTCGTGTGCCTCGCCATTGTCGTTATTGTTGTTGTCTCCAAACAGCTTCGGATACCGAGCCGCTGATAGCTTCGCGCGCAGCTGCTAGTGCTCACAAGCTCCCACTGCGTGCCACTGGAGTCTGGTCTGGTTCGCTGGCCGGCCGCGCGCGCAACCACAACACCACCGTCCGAGAAGGAGGACAGGTACGCGGAATTTGTAGCAAAAGTCGCCCTACGCATTCACTCACTCACTATCTCACTACCTCTACTACCTCTCCCCCATCCCATTCCATCCCTTCTTAATTCTACGTCCTCGGCACCTCCAATCGCTACCCCTCTCTGTACTGTACCCCGCTCGCTCGTCCAATCGCCGCCGCCGCCAAAGCCGCCATATACCTACCTTCCGATTCGCACACGCGCTCACCTCCTCCCCAAATCTACCTAAGTAGGGCTGACGACCGACTTCCAGCGACACAGCGCCACGCCGACATCGCCTGTAAAATCTCCTCTTTCTCTCTCACACCGGTGATCGCACCACCACAGCAACAGCAAAAACACCACCACCCACCTTACCACCACAACACCACAAACCCACCAATCAAAATGCCCCCCCTCCCGCACCCCCTCGCCCTCTTAGCCCGCGCACCCCACCACCAGCTCGTAAAACGCAAGAACTGGGCCGCCCGCGAACCCGGCGTCGTGCTAGTCTTCTGCATCGTCTTCATCGTCGCCCTGTTGCTGGTCAGCCTGTTTATACAACGCAAACTTACTGCAAGGAGGGAGTTACGCGAGAAGAGTGAGGGGCGGAGATAGGTTGGGTGGGAATGGGGAGGTGGATAGGATAGAAGGGCGTTGTGCGTGTGTGTGTTGGGGTGGGGTGTAGGGGGAGGAGGGGGGAGGAATAACTTTGGAGGGTGGAGAAGAGGGGAGGGTAATGGGGTGGGGTGTGGTTTTTTCTGGTGATATATCTATGTCTTCAAGTCTTTGCGTACTGATCGGTGTGGCTGCGGCGCGGTGCGGTGCGACGCGATAAGTAGCTAATCTGTTGATTTTCCATCTACCTACCCCATCATAAAACCAGCTACATATCCCTCACTATCTCACTGTTCTGCACAACCGAGCGTGTTGAGGGGATTGTGGGTTGATGGTGAAGTGTATATATACAAGCGCACAAGCAAAACCAACAGAACACACGATGGAACAGACAGTTGAGTCCCCAAGATCGAGCAGCATTTATCAAAGGCCTGGTGGCAGCAATGAAGCATTGGGTGCTGTGGCGCGTCACCGTCAAAACGTACGCGATACTAGTCTCTACATATACACACGTCACTCTCAACCACCAAATCCGCGTCACGACAGCCAACACACCCCTCGCACACCCCTCGCACGCACACGCACACGCACACGCACACGTACACCACCACCAGCAGCAGCAGCAACCATCCTTCTCACCCACCGCACGCCCAACCCAGCAAACCGCTCCAGCAAAGCGCACGCACGCTAACGAAGTCGCTCGTGCTCAGGAAGCCTCTCAACGGGACCATTCTCCTCAAAGACACCATGCCATTCCATCCCTATTCAGAATTGGCAGGTTGTCGAATACGTACATGCGCGGTTGGTCAGCACCTACTCCTAGGTGGGCAGTCAGTAGCTAAGACTCGTTTCGTTCGCTATTTGATACTTCAAATGCTGTGGCGCTGTCACTGTCACTGTCACTGGCACGCAGTGCACGGACTAGTCACACGCGCACATACACATATATACAGGGGAGAGATCAGTGGCTAGTGGCTATCCCGATGACCCACCGTCAATTTCTTGCTATGAAGAAAAAAAAAAAAAAAAAAAAAAAAAAACAGAGAAGGAGGAGTAAGAGTAGGAGGTGGAAGAGAAAGAGAAAGAGAAAGAGGATGAGTAGTAGTAGTGGTAGTAGTAGTAGTAGTAAAAGGACGAGACCCCCAAAACCCACCCCAACCCCCACGCCTACAACGCGTTCAAAATCTCCGGCAACCCCTCCAACAGTGTCGCAATACCGCCATACTTGGCCAATGTGCCAAACGTGCTGCTCCCGCCCCCGCTCCCACTGCCACCACCATGCTCCTTCTTGCGCCGCGACGACCCCGCCTTGCGCCGCGTGCGCTCCGAGTCCGAGTCCGCCGAGTACTCCGTGTCGGAGGCGTCATCGCTGTGGCTGCGGCTGCCGCGCCGGCGGCGCCGATGCTGGTGGCGGTCGCGGTCGCGGTCGTGACGAGAAGAGGACGAGGAGAGCGTGGGCGCTGCTGTCGTGGCGGGTGTGCTGGTGGAGGTGGAGGTGGAGGCGCGGTAGAGCTCGATGGAGCGGTCGACGAGGCGGCGGATCTCGGGCTGCGTGAGGGGTCAGCACGTCAGCATCCCGGACGAGTTATTTAGGTTTAGTGTGGGCTGTATAGCCACCACCACTTACATATGTCAATGGTCTGCCGATGCAAAAGCATGTCTCGAACCTCGTGCGGCCTCCCTCTGACACTTCTTTCTGCACCTGGTTGAAGCTATAGCGCGCCTCCTCGAGCGCCTCCCTGCGAACCCACTTCTGCATGATTTCCGTCCACGCCGCGCGGTCCGTGAACGCCTGTTCCGGCGGGACTGCCGCGTTGGTGCTGACGACTTTGTCGTCCACAAAGTCCCAGCGGTTGCTCTGCAGCCACAGCCGCCAGGGGATGTCAAGCCCATCGGCTGTCTCCTCTTCTACCTTTGTTGTCGTCGTAGTGTCAGGAGCAGGGGGCGGCCGTGGGGGAAACGTGCCATGGAAGCTTGCGGATCGTGGAGGTGGTGCCTTGAAGCCCGTCGTTGCTGCGGCAGCCCGTCGTGGCGAGCCAGGGAAATAGGCTGTCGATGCCGGTGATGCCGAATAGGAAGGGCCAGGCGAGAAAGGCCCAGTTGAGGGCGAGTAGGGTCCAGCGGAGGGCGAAAAGGCTCCAGTCTTGGGCGAAAATGGCCCAGTCGAGCGGATGACCCCGGAAGTTGGTATCGGTGCGGGGAGCGTGGTTCGAGCACTTGGAGGCCGCTGTGGGTTGGGGGACTTGACGAGTTCGGGGCTGTTCCGCGCGGTGGGAGGCATAGAGTCGCTGGCGACTGATTCGACCGTTGGCTGGTAGCTTCTTCTGCGCTCAGCTGGCTTGGGCTTGTCTTCTTCCGAATCTGTCAAGGACAGTCGCCGCTCAAGGGCTTTCAACTGCGTCCACCTTGCCAATATCACATTGCTGAAGTTCACTGATGCTCTCCGCACGAGGGAAGAGGTCTCTGCAAGAGGCCGTCTTGCCTGTGGCTCCCCTATTGACTCATCCCGGTACTTGCTTAGCTTGGACGGAGGCGGCGTAGAATCCTGCTGGTGTGCGACGCCCTCTTCTTCCCGTGTTTGCTGATACGTAGAAAAAGCATCGAACACGTCCAACAGGAGCAGCTGTTGCTCGATGATCAAGACTTCCAACTGGGCTCGTTCATTTGCTACCGCATCTGCTGCCGTAGGAGGCAAACGATCCTGCCGAGACCTACATCCAGCTACATATTAGACGAGACGAGTGAAGGCGGCCGGCGCTCACGTACCTCGACCACGCGATGACTCTCACAGTATAGAATGCCTGAAGCATAACGGCAAGTGTCGAGTTCAACGACCTGACATATGGAAGCATATATCGGAGCCTGTCATGGACGACATCGCTCCACCCGCGCTCTTTGACCCCGTCGTGTCCATTTTCAAACCTCACGCCGTCCCTCTTCGACTTGTCGGGCACGGCAGCCTGGATAGCGGCAAAGACATCGTTTGCCTGCAGCACAATATCCTGCACTGTCTCAAACGCCTCGCCAGACGGAATGGTCGTGTCTTCCTTCAGCGACGTGCCGACTTGCTTCAGCATCAAAGCGAAAAGGCTGACGGACTTGGCGAGGGTGTTGGCCTCGCGCGTAGACGCCGGGTTCGCGATGGCGAAGTCGTAAAGGTTGAGCGACAACCTCGTGCCCCATGCAACGACATGGATGATGGACGCGGACGACTCGGCCATGAGGGGCGGAGTAGGTGCTGGATGGTGCGAGGGCGGGCTGTGCGTGCCAACTACATGTTCAGGACGAGAGTTGCGAGGGGCAGGCCGATTCAAGCCTCGTGCTGAAGCGACGGTGCAGCGTCATATGTATGCATGGCTACACGGCAGGCGTCGTCTGGGGCGACGTTGCAACTGCCCCGGTCGATCGTCCGCCACCGGTTGGTCGCTGCCTTTGCTGCTCTGGAGTCCTCGAGAGCCCATGACGTCAGCGTCCGCTTCTGCCTCACCGGTTCGTCTCGCGCGCTTGAAGGAGCATTAACCTCGTTGCACCCCTACGAAAAATCACCCCGCCATACCAGCAGCCTGCTCTTAGCGCTACCCCGGACTGCGAGCTACTGCCCGTGGATGCCGCACATCGGACTGGACGTCCCGAAATACCACTCTACTACTCGGCCGTGGCGTCTGCACTAACGGCTGGCCTACGAGACGAGTAAAGTTGGGCCGGCGTAATGATGGACGGAGCCGCGTTGGGTAGTACTGTAACACGTCCTGTACCGACTGTGAGATGAGAAAGCAGTTGTTCGAATCATCCCACGTCGTGATGGACACACAGCTACGGACCCTGAAGATGACGATGCCACTTTGGACGCGCCTGGCTGAGGGAACACAATGCTGCTTTCATGCAACACCAACTCTACATCTTCTCACCTTCGACCGACTACCTATTCACATCGCCGCTTTAATGTACATACCCGCCATAGCCATATCCCCCTCACTTGATCCTTAACAGTTCAAACAGCAATCACTGAAGCCCCACCGCCCGCAACGCCATCAACAGTTCACTTCGCATAGCAAGCATCAAGCAGCACTATCCAGCACCTCCAGCGCCCCACCCACCAAATGCAACGACCCCGTAACCAAAACCATGACCTCGTCATCGCTGGCCTCGCCCACAGCCTCGCGCGCAATCTCCCTCGCCCAGCCCACCGCCTCCTCAATCGTGCGCATAACGCGCACCTCAGTCTTGGGATCAATCTCCGCCCACGTGCGCGCCAGCGCCTCTTGCACAGCCAGCTTCTCGACGTCGTCAGCATTCGTGTTCACGCTCACAAGATCCGGCTTATACCCCGTCTCCACGAACGTCAGGTTCGTGCTGAAGACGGCGTGCGTGAAGGGCTGCTCGGCCTCGAGCCCGGCCGCCAGAGCGCCGTGAAGCGCTTTTGCCAGGCTGGCCGCGTCGCGCGTCTGCTGGTTGAAGATCAGGATGCGCGGCTTGGCGGAGGCGCTGGCGCTGCTCTTGGCCGCGGCCGCTGCGATCTCCTCCGAGAACCACCGACCTGCTACCTCGATGCTGTCGAGCGTGTGCGCGCCGTCAATGTGCCAGGCTACGTTCTTCTCGCGCCGGATCTCGCACCGCCCCGGCCAGCGCACCTTTTCGAGCCCGCGCCGGAACTCCGGCGGCAGCGTCCAGTTGCTGATATCTGCCAAGGAGGTGGGCATGGAGGAGTCGCCCAGGGCGCGCAGGTGTGCTGCCGCGATGGCGATGGCGAGGCTGGCGTTGGTTTTCTGGAAGTCGGCGGAAAGGCCTAGCTTGAGGGTCTGGAGATCCGGGTGGCGCGTAATGGTGTGCAGCGTTGCGCCCTTTTCACCAGCACGTTGGCGCAGAACCTCCATAGCTTCCTCGGGCTGCGGAACAGTCAGCGCGACGGCGCCTTCCTTGAAGATGCCAGCCTTGTGCCATGCGATTTCGGGCAGCGTGGAACCGAGCATGGCGACGTGGTCGATGCCGAGGCTGGTGATGGCGCTGACGGTGGGGTGGTGGATAATGTTGGTGCTGTCGTACTCGCCGCCAATGCCGCATTCAATGACGGCCGTGTCGACGCCTTCGCGCAAGTACGCGTGCATGGCCATCAGCGTGAGGAAGCGGAAGTACACCGGCTTGGTACCCGGAGGGCTCGGATCCTGGCCCGATGCTTTGGCAGCGGCCTCTAGCCTGTCCCATATCTCGAAGAAGTATGACGAGAACGCCTCCTCGCTCAGCGGTGTATTGTTGATCTGAACGCGCTCGCGGACGGACTTAAGGTGCGGCGATGTGTAGAGGCCGACTTTCTGGATCTTGGCATCGGGCTTCGCGGCGGGGAGGTACTCGGACAGGATCGAGGAGACAAACGCGCTGGTTGAGCCTTTGCCTTTCGTGCCAGCGATATGGATAGGCTTCAGCGCGTCAAACTGCGCGGGCTATCTCGCATGTCCAGTCAACGTCCATAGCACCGGAGCGGACGGAGAGCCGTATACCTCATAGCCAGCCTTGCGGCTCCACTCGATCATCTCGGGGATGGCATTTTGGTTCATGCCACGGCCGGACTTGCGGATGGCATCGACGATGGAGAAGTTGGACTGCAGCGTGTTGAGCGCTGACACGGCGGCCTGCGCAAGGCGGTTTCGTCAGCGGGGAGCTTGAGCACAGGCGCGAGGGCGGGTACATTGTAGTCGCGAGCCATTGTGGCAGAGGTGGACAACAGGCGCAGGTTCTTGAAGACGACGGGGGCCCAAGAAGGTCTTGGGCTTATGAGCATGAGGGGGGCATTGGTGGTGTCGAGCGTGGATGTAGGTGGGAATTTCAGTCGAGGCCGTCTGACTCGCATGGATTTCTGACATGCAGAACGCCACAACGCGGCGCATCCGCCCGCCGCACAGCCACAGCTTCGGGGCATCGTGGTCGCGGACGGTAAATTCCAAGGCGAATGGGCACGTGAGGTTCATGGCACGTCGGATCAGCATGACACGGAGGACAGAGCGCCGTTGCCTTATGGTCCCCAGACTCTGGTCGCACGCGCGACATGCCACAGCGGTACCCGGCGTGCCAGGGTGCCGGCGCCCTGGAAAACGCTGCGGGGGTGGGTTTTAGGCATCTTCGCCGGCTTGTGGGGGCGGCAGCACTGCCGGGAACGCCCTATCTGGACGGCGCAAAGGCAAGATAGAGGGACATGCGGCCACAATAGGAAATTGTAGGCAGAGAGAGGATGGTTGCTCCGGCGGCACGGAGTCCGGAGGCGCGGGATACGAGAGATAGCGAGCGCAAAGACCTCAAAGAGAGACCATGCTAGAGATGAGTCCCAGAAAAGATAAAGAGCTCCCTGGCCTCGTTATCACGCCAATCCGGGGTTGACCTGCACGTCAGGTCCTCGCATGAGCATCACGCCGGCGGATTCTTAATATTGATCCTGCTGCTGATTAAAACGGCGTGAGAGTAGAGTGGCGCACAACGCCAAGGTTTCACTCAGATGTCGGACGAGGTGGCGTGGGATGTTTTGAGCCGCATTGACTCACCAACACCACCAGATCTTGGGATCTAATGATAAGATCCAGACCAATCCAGCCAAGACAATCGGCGGTAAGCGATGTCGGGCCCGCCACACCGCGGCACCGCGGATCGAGTAATCCAGGGTTCAGCAAAAATCGGGCCTGTCCGTCCACCAGCAAAAAGTCGTCGCGGCATCTCTGCCGGCAGACAAAAAGCGGCACGCAGTGGGTCGAGTCTGGCGCCCAACGTCCCGCCGATAAGTAACCGCACGAGCAAAGAGTCAGAGAGATGCTTGGATGCGGCTCGAGCACAATGGCGACAGCGAGCTGGCAGATGGTGAGTTCGCCGGGCGGCGGAAGCGTAAACGGCATTTTCGGCTGTCAAGCTGCTAGTGCGGCGTGTGCGGCTACGGCTGCACGTTGCCGGCGGCTCTCGGCCAGGATTCAGGAACATGTTCGCGCACGCGAACTGATGTGTGCAGAAAGATTGATGAGTGATTGATTGCTTGCCTGCCGAAATCGGAGAGAAATACGAGCTTCTAGAAGACGAAAAAGGCCGAGCTGGTTGGTGAGAGCGTTGCGGGGAGCTCCAAGGCGGGCATGCAAGGGTCGGCCGCCGGGGAGCGGGAGCGCGGGCGCCCCAAGGCCCGTGGCCTCGGCTCTCGGTCGGCAGCGAGGTGAGGGCGAATTTTGGTACCGGCACAGTCCGACGCGGTGGGCGGAATGGATGCAACGTCGAATTGCTTTAGCATGGCTCTTGTCACACTGTGGCGAGGGTGAATGACACTTGGATGTTATCATGGCCGTCGGCTTGCGTGCGTCGAGCCCGGTTTTGTCGTATCTCGCCGTGCTCGCGTGCTCGCGGGGCGGTTGCTTGGTGTGCGCCAGCCGGCTTGGGCTGCCAGATGAGGAAGGCGCGGCCGTGGGTGGGTGTTGGTGGGTGCGCGCCACTCGATCGCTGGAGATTGAGCCGGGGCAGGAGGGTGGCACGGTGGTATCGCCGCTGCCAACGTTCTTTCCACCTATGGCCGTAATGCCAATTCCAGCCCACCCGACCTCTGAATCACCGCCCACTGATAACACTCGAGCGGATGGTGCAATTCGCCCGCCGCCCTCTTTATATAACCTGGGGCCCTCCTCCTGTTGTAACACTACCCTAACCACTCTTTCCCCAATTTCCCCTCCTCCAGGTCCTTCCCGTCTGCCACAATGCCAGGCGACATCACAGATACCTACGCCGTCGACAAGCTCGACCCGGCCTTGATCGACGGCAGTGGCGACCCCAAGCGCGAGCTTTCCATCCACCAACACTCGGTCGAGCCTGCCATCTACGTTGACGGCCAGATCACCGAGCAGGGCGAGTTCCTTGCCCATGATCTCCCCAAGCCTACTCCCGAAGACCTGCAAACGCTGCGCCGCGTCAGCGAGAAGATCCCCCTCAAGGCCTACACCATTGGCTTTGTCGAGCTCGTCGAGCGTCTGTCTTACTACGGTACCACTCAGGTATGCAACTCCACGTGATCACCTTCCTCGCTCGTGTACTTACTTACCTCGCCAGGTCTTCGTCAACTTCATCCAAAGGGACAACCCCGGAACTGCTACCGGAAAAGCCCTCAACCCCAGCGATGACAACGCCCAGCCCGGTGCGCTCGGCTTGGGCCAACAGGCCTCAACTGGTCTGACGACCTTCAACCAGTTCTGGGTCTACCTCATTCCCCTCTTCGGCGCCTACGTGGCCGACACCTACTGGGGTCGGTTCAAGACCATCTGGATCTCTGTTCTGACTGCCATTGTCGGCCACGTTATCCTGACTGCTTCCGCCGCCCCCAAGGTTCTCGAGAGCCCCCACTCTGCCATTGCTGCCTTCATCATCGGTCTGATCATCATGGGTGTCGGCACCGGTGGTTTCAAGCCCAACATCTCTCCCCTCATCGCCGAGCAGATCCCTCGCAAGATGTATGTCAAGACCGAGAAGAACGGCGAGCGTGTCCTTGTTGATCCGGCGGTGACGACGGCGAGAATCTACAACTGGTAAGCATTGGTCCTTACAAATTACGCTTCCGCACATACTGATTAATCCAACAGGTTCTACTTCTTCATCAACATCGGTGCTCTCGTCGGTCAGCTTTCAATGGCTTACGCTGAGAGATATGTCGGCTTCTACCTCTCCTTCATGCTGCCGACCCTCCTCTTCTGTCTCTGCTTGCCCGTCTTGTACTTCTGCCGCAACTCGTATACGCACACCCCGCCGACGGGCAGCGTCCTCGCCCCTGCCGTCAAGCTGCTCTGGCGCGGAATCATGGCTAGAATCCACTGGAACCCGATCAAGACCCACAAGCATCTTCACGACGGCACCTTCTGGGAGGATCTTAAGCCTTCTAAGATGGACCCTTCTACGAAGCCCAAGTGGATGGCCGCATTCGACGATGCTTGGGTGGACGAAGTCTCCAGGGGCTGGAGAGCTTGCAGTACTTTCCTCTGGTTGCCGCTTTACTGGCTCACCTACAACCAGATCAACAACAACTTGACTTCTCAAGCCGGAACCATGGCCCTCCACGGCGTGCCGAACGACGTTATCGCCAACCTGGACCCGATTGCCCTGCTTATCTTCATCCCCATTTGCGATATCCTCGTCTTCCCTGCTCTGCGCCGAGCTGGTATCAACTTCACTCCTCTCAAGAGGATCACCGCTGGCTTCTTCATGGGCAGTTTTGCTATGGTCTGGGCTTGCGTCGTGCAGTACTACATCTACAAGAAGAGCCCGTGCGGCAACCAAGCCTCGAGCTGCGAGAACGTGGACCTGAACGTGTGGGCGCAGACGGGCTCGTACGTCCTGATCGCCATCTCTGAGATCCTGGCCTCGGTGACGTCTCTGGAATACGGCTTCACGAAGGCGCCGAAGAACATGCGTTCGCTGGTTGCGGCCTTTGCGCTCTTCATGTCGGCCATCTCAGCCGCCATCGGCGAGGCCTTCAACCCTCTCAGCGCTGACCCGTTGCTCGTCTGGAACTACGGATCTATGGCCGTCATCTCGTTTGTCGGCGGCACGATCTTCTGGTTCCAGTACCGCACGCTCGACGCCCAGGAGGACCAGCTTAACATGCTGCCCACTGGCCATGTTGGCACGCAGGCGCAGGCCGAGGACATTGAGCACAACTTGGGTGTGTCTCATCAGTCAGAGACTGTTTCCGAGAAGATATAATGGCCTGTCTAGCCGAGCGGCTGGCGCGGGGCGTCTGTCGGGTTTCTATTCTTGTATTAACTTTTTTTGTTTTCCTTTTTTATTTTCCTTGGGACGCGCGGAAAGCGCCCTTAGATCTAATGTACGGACAGGATGGATGAACGGACGAGATACGAAGTCGATGGAAAAGGAAGAGAGATAACTCGCTGGTGCGAGATATGTCTTGCAAAGATATATGATGGCTCGGATTGCTGGGAAGGGCATCTGGTAGCTGGTGGGATGCGGGACTTTAGTACCTATACCCATTACCGAATTTACGAATGTTTGAAATAATCTTTTGTCTGTCTTGCGTGATGAGAGGATATGGATGCAGTGGTTGGTTTTTGTTGCTGCTTGTGCGAGATGTGAGAGCTGGGAGCCTGGGAGGCAGTTGTGATGCAGAGATTAGACTTTACCGTATGTGGTTTAGAGTGGGGCTTAGTTAGCACTTGCTTCTTCCACCACTTCCGCTGCACATCGTGTGATAACTCACTCCTCTGTGCCGCTCGTTGCTCGGTAACATCTCTTCTCTGATTCGTCCACACAAACCCTAGTATGATATGGGGTATTCTCGCATCGGAGCTGTTGCACCTTACTAACGTTAACGTTTCGCCGGTCGCATTGCTGGTTGCCTTCGTGCTGAATGCAAACTTCTTTACTGGTTAGGGCGGAATAAGCAGGTATTGGGTAGCTCGTCATGTGTAGCCGAGTGTACGGAGTACCTACCTGCAGATAAGACGGCGCACAGCCACGGACGGGAGCCACTTTCTGGACGGTTGCCTAGTTTAAGACGGTTCACCGGGAGTTGTGTACGACATACTTTAGGACCCACCTTACCTGTAAGAGTTAGGACACACCATACTGGACCACTCATCTTGCGCTGAAATATCTCACCGGAAAGCCTTGTTGGATCTAATTACAGCAGCGCGTCAACTTGTCGCAAGGCTGAGCTGTATCACTCTATTTAAACCTTGGTCTTTGCATACGATATCTCAGGTGCCGAGGTGCGCCGGGTATATGTACATTTATTGGATGGTAGCCTGCCGTACCCTGTCGTGCTGAGCTTTTTTATATTTACACCACTTCTTCATGTCCGACTGCTAACGCGTCAAGGGCTAGCCAAGAGCTGAAAATATAGTGATCAAGATAAACATTGCGGTACTCGCCAATAGGATGTCGCCCCAAAGACGCATCTTACCCATGTTAAGATCTTACATTTGCAGCCGGACATGGGAACAAAGTGTAATTGCATTCAACCCCTGAGGTGGACATGCTGGTATCAAAGCAGCACCCGCGAAGAAAGCTAACTATAAAGCTACCAGAGAGATTGCTATTTTTCCTCCGCAATGCTCCCCTCTTCTTCAACATGCATTCATCTCCTCAACCAAGTTATTATACCATTCACCTAGGAACATGGACCAATTGGTCGCGCGGTCCAGTCTTCGGTGCCACGCTCACTCTTAATCAAAGAGATGGAGCGCTCTTAATCGCATTCGTTGCGCTCTTCGTCACTATTGTCGGAACCAATTTCTGGAGACTGGCCTGCTACGCCTTGCACTCTTATCGCTCGACTGAGATGCCTCGCGACGCCCTTCATCATCAGGTACAGGCAGCTCTCCGCAACTCAGCCAACGGCACAAGTGGAACATGGAGCCTTGTAACCATTCTCAAGGCTTGGAAAAAGGATTCCAAGCGGCCATACTATCGAGTCCTACCCCTAATTGCGCTTGCAATGTGCGTTATGGGTGCTTTTGCAGCGGCATCCGGCTTCTCCTCGAGTATATCTACGGCTCTAGGCAACGAAGTGCTCATTCGGAGCGAACATTGTGGCCATATAAATCTGAAGAGTAATTCGACGATTACAGACATAGACACAACTCTATTTCCGTATTGGACGGACCATACCGTTGCCTACGCCAACTATGCGACCCAATGCTATGCGAACAACTCGATCAACCGAGAGAGTTGCAATTTCTACATCAGAGAAAGACTCTTGCCAGCGCAGATTACAAAAAATACTAGCTGCCCGTTCGGGGGCGATATTTGCAGAAGCCCTAATCACTCACTAGTCTTGGATTCCGGACTCCTCAACGCACACGATGATCTGGGAGTTAATCTCCCTCCGGACAAACAATTCTACTACAGAACCAAGGTCCTATGTTCGCCTGTGAAAACAGAATCTTACCAGAGATTGCATACATATACGAAAAACGGCATTACGAATACCTTTGTAATATATTATTATGGGAATCTCATAGACGAGGACTACAATCTTCCAAACCAGGACTCTCATTTTCAGATGAGAGTCAACTCGGACTTCACCACCGATAAGATGGTTACTGACGCGGACTATACTATCAGGTAAGCTCACAAGTAACTCTTACTGCCAATATACAGCATAATAAACAGATGCAGTCAAATTGAAGCCGTATTTGGTAACGGCTCATACTCAACCTTCTATCCTATCCCAGAACTAGCGTATCCTAACGCTGATATCTCCTTCTTCTTTCTTTCCGCCAACGATGTCGCGTTTGCGCAAGACGTTAATGATGACTGGTACTCAGCGCACAAGGCTAGCCCCGGTACGTATGTCCTTAATGGCATACGTCACCATCTACGTCTACAAGATTCTCCGGGATCTGTACTAGCATGTGCAAACCAGCACCAGTGGTGCATAACCAAAGATCATTGCACGGCACTTCTGAGCTTTGACGACGCGATACAGAGTGTTGGGGATCTCATTGGCAGCAGCAACGAGCTGTACAATCGACTCTACTGGGCCATCGCGGCGTTCATCCAAAGCACGCCGACCGTCGAAAACATTGTTCGCAGCTTGCGTACGCAAGCCCTAACGGCGCGCGCCAGTCTCACTAATGGCGTACAAGGGCCGTTAGCGGACAACCAGTGGCAGCTAGAAGTCGAAAGCTGGTTCAACACCGTCCTAGCCACCATACAGGGCATGTATGTGGACGTAGCCACGGGGCCATCAAACAAGGACGTCTTACCCTATCTCAATCGCCCAGGCTCGAAGGAACAACACTATTTTTGCAATAACCAGGTGCGTGTACACGAAATCACAAAACCGCAATCACTAACGAAGTTCCAGAAAATCCGCAGTACAGCCTACACCAACTTTTCACTCTTTGGACTAACTCTAATCCTCGCTCTCGGCACCATCATCATCATCATCTCCACCTTTCTCGAGCCGATTGTCTCATTCATCCTCCGCTGCCGCCGTGCCGACACCTACGCTCATCTCGAATGGGGCGCGAACGAGACGCTGCAGCTGCAGCGGCTAGCACACGAGGGCGTTGGCCTGGGGCGCTGGAAGCGGTGTGAAGAAGCGGTGCCTGTCACGGAGAGGGGCGATGTCTTGGGCGTGCTTGATCTGGAGGAAAAAGGACATGTAAGGCTGAAGGCTCCAGTGAGTGGGTGGGAGGAGGAGGAGGAGGAGGAGGAGGGGAAAGCGACTGTGATGACGGCTGTAGAGGAGACGCAGAAAGGTGGCAGCGACTCGGATGTGGGGAGTGAGCGTCGAGGGACATCGGTCGGTAGTAAGCTGACTGAAGAGAGACAGCAGCGTCGGGAAGAGTGAGATATGTGTAGTGTTGGACGTGAATGTTTATGGCTCTGGATAAATTGCACACCAATCAAGATAACACATCTGTAAGAATGTTTGATTTACTTTCTACTCTTAGGTATTTCATATCGTTGTACCCTTAAGATTTTTCTATTTTCGTCCCTTTATAGGATATTATAGTACTTTTATATATCTATACTCTCGTATATTTTATACCTAATTATCCTTTTTTAATATTTATAATCTACTTAGCAACTACTGTCCGTCGCCTAATAGTTTATTATAAGTATCTAAGAAATACGCTGTAGATACAGTAGTATTTATTTGATATGTAGTCAAAGGGTGGGCAAATATCCTTGCACGCTGCTGCCAGGCGGGCGGACCTCGGCATGTAGAGCCGGCGTGCTGGTGCTGCCGGGCGGGGGGCAGACCTCGCTGCCCGAGGCAGCCAACCGCAACGACGCCGACCAGACGATGCTTCATAACTACGAGGCTGCTCGCATCGCGCGCCTGATTGGGATGGGGGCCGACGGCCATAGACAGCCACCAGGGCAGCACTCACGTATGCGGACTGGCTGAGTGATCGAGCGAGCGACATGGTGGTGTCATGTGCCGCCGGGAACACTCGCAGCGAGTGTCGCAGGTGTCTCGGACGCCCTTTGCATGTACAAAGCCAGAGTCGACGATGGTAAGGGAGGATAGCGGGTGTATCAAATATCCCGTATCGCATCCTCGGCCGCCGGTTGTTTCTTTCCCAGTTCCCTCTCTTTCCCTCTTTCGTCTGCTCCATGACTGTCTTTCTCTCTCCCGGTCCGGCGGCGCGCCCCCAGCTGCCCAAACACCAAACACAGCACACCACACCACTGCGCGCCAGCCCCGGCCGGGCGGCGTACCTACATATGTGCACGTCGCCCCCGGCTTGCCGCTCCGAGACACGCCGCCCTCCGCGCCCGAAGCGGCCACTCCCGCGCTGACATCGCGTGCCCGCGCGCGCGCGCATCCCGCTCACCACACCACTGGCCGGCGCGCGCACCACTGAGCGGGCGTGGTGGCGCGTCGATCGCCGCGCTGGCATAAGTTGTTCGTGTGCATAACTCGGGAGCGGATCCAAGGGGCGGGATGCTGGGCAGGTGATATATAGGGCGAGACAAGGCTGCGGGGGGGGGTTTGGTGCGGACTTTGCTTGATCTTGCTTGCTGCTGATTGTGCTTTCTTTGAACATTTGGATTGAGGGTCCTTTTTTGGGATCTGCTTGTCTAGATTGGTTAGAGGCTGTCTAGCTGAGAGCTGCTTTTGAATACGGTGGTGAGCCGCGACGACGGTTTGTAGAGGTGGCGCTTGTGTAAGTTGGTCGGCTCTCTTTTCGTCATGGTGTTTCTGCCTTCATCGTCTGCTTTTGTCAAGTCAAAGCTTCCAGAATTCGACGTCTTGTTTCCATTTACGGTTTCCTGGCTTGGCATCTTGCGGCTAAGGACGCAAGGGAGCCTGGGTGGCGATGTTGGTAGTGAAAACGCCTCGTTTTTCCCTTCTCGTTTATATCTATATGTCCTCAGGTTCCTGACTACCGGCAGCAACCATGGCGGGCCCACCGCCCACCTTTCCAACTTCCGGCTTCAACCTCCAGAAGCTTGATAATTCGAAGCTGGAGCTCGCGTTCGAAGAAGGACATGATGCCGACATCCCCTCCAACACAGGTGTCTATGATCCCAATGAGCTGCATGGCACCGCTTCCCATCATGCCAAAGCAAAAACAACGCTATTCCACCATGCAGAGCACGATATAGAAAGAGACGCAGAAAAAGGTCCCAGCGGCACTCCAAGCAATGCGCCCAGCGAGCCACCAGAAGAAAATGGCGAGAAAGAGCAGCAAGAAGACGACCCAAACATCGTATGGTGGGAGAACGACCGCGATCCGCAGAATCCGATGAATTGGAGCGAGAGCAAGAAATGGGCGAACATCGGGCTGCTCTCCTTCGTCACATTCGTCACGTACAGGCGCTCCCTCCCCCACACTACCGTATACAACAAGCCACTAACAGCGCTCGCCCATTAGACCCCTCGCGTCCTCCATGTTCGCGCCCGGCGTCCCGAAAGTCCTCGCCGAGTTCCACACAAGCAACACGGAGCTCGCCGCCTTCGTCGTCAGCGTGTACATCCTGGGCTTCGCGCTGGGCCCGCTGATCGTGGCGCCGCTGAGCGAGACGTACGGCCGGCTGCCGCTCTACAACGGCTGCAACGTCGGCTTCCTGGTGTTTACGATTGCGTGCGCCGTCAGTGACTCGATGGGCATGCTGATCGGGTTCCGCTTCCTGGCGGGCTGCTTTGGGTCCGCGTGCTTGAGCATTGGCGGCGGCACCATTGCCGACCTTATGCCTCAGGAACGGAGGGGTGGCGCTATTGCTATCTGGGCTATGGGGCCGCTGCTGGGCCCGGTTGTGGGACCTGTGGCTGGTGGGTTTTTGGTCCAGGCGAAGGGCTGGCGCTGGGTGTTTTGGCTGATTGCAATCATCGTACGTGCGGGCGTCCCTGCTGTATCCCTAACCGTTCTCCTTCCCTTTCCGTCGTTCTCAGCCCCGATGCCATTTCCCCCTCCCTCCGTCCGCCTTCAGACCCAGGTACCGCTGTTCACTGACCACGCACACGCGCGCGCAGGCCGGCGCCGCGACCATCGCCTGCGCCATCTTCATGCGCGAAACGTACGCACCCGTCATCCTCGCGCGCAAAACCGCCCGCCTGCGTGCCAGCACCGGTAACGCGCAACTGCACAGCAAACTCGATGCCGGGATTGGCGGGCGCGCCCTCTTTATGCTCAGCATCGTGCGCCCGACTAAGATGTTGTTTCTCAGCCCTATCGTGGCAGCCATGTCGCTGTACACGGCCGTCGTGTACGGGGTGCGTCCCACTCCCGCCTGGCTTCCTTACCCAGCGAGCCATTGTTGTTGTTGTTGTTGTTGTTGTTGTTGTCGGGCTCTGAACTGAGGGACGCGCTAACATGCCCCGTGTGCTAGGTGCTCTACCTCCTCTTCACGACCTTCACGTTCGTCTTCGAGCAGCAGTACGGCTTCAGCAGCGGGACAGTCGGGCTGACGTACATTGCCATCGGGATTGGGATGCTAGCGGGGCTGCTGGTGGTCGGGGTTGCGAGCGACCGGCTCGTGAGGGCCGAGAAGGCGCGCGGCCGCGCCATGAAGCCCGAACACCGCATCCCGCCCAAGCTGGTCCTGCTGCCCTCGGTGTGCATCCCTGCGGGCTTGTTCGTCTATGGCTGGACCGCAGAGACGCGCCAGCATTGGATCGTCCCGCTCGTGGGGACCCTGGTGCTCGGGTTTGGGCTGCTGGCTTGTAATGTGCGTTGCTTGCTCCTCCTCCTCTCTCCCTTCCCCTCTCCCTCTCCCCCCCCTCTCTCTCTCTCTCTCTCTCTGTTCTAACACACACCCCCACAGATGACAATCCAAACGTACCTAATCGACGCCTTCGCGACGCACGCCGCCAGCGCCATCGCCGCAAACGCCGTCCTGCGCTCCCTCTTCGGCGCGCTGCTCCCGCTGGCCGGTCTGCGCATGTACGACGCGCTCGGGCTGGGCTGGGGCAACTCGCTGCTGGCGTTTGTGGCGCTTGCGCTCGTGCCCGTCCCGCTTGTGTTTTGGCGCTATGGCGAGAGGGTTAGGGAGAGGTTTGTTGTGCGGTTGTAGGGGTGGGAGGGGGGTGGGGAAACGGGGGACGGGGAGGGGTGAAGAGGTGGAATGGGTTGGATTGGGAGGGTGTGTTTTGGTGTGCTTGGATGGCGTTTTTTGGCGGGGTTGTGTAGATGGGCGTGCGTATGGGCGTAGAGATGGCAGTAGGCGGTAGGTGGTAGGCGGTAGGTGACGGGGCGTGGCTATGTTGTTTACCCTTACCTGGTTACCTAGTAATACAGAGAGACGGACGGAAAGCACATCGCTCTTGTAGCTTTGACGCCTCAATCAACGACATGAACGAGAGGGTCAAGGTTAAATGGCCTGGGCGCCTGGATAGGTAGGTTTGCTACAGTATAATCCGTAACACGCTGGACCTAGGTCCTGGATTTTTGTCTGCGACGTGTGCGATTAGTGGAAGATGCGCCCTGCTTTGATTTGGAAATAGCATGTGCGCGTTTTCAGTAGAGAGTCATGTGGGCGAGAGGTAGCGCGGAAGACGGCGGGCGGATGCGGATGGGTGGGCGGTGCTGTCTTATTGGGTAGGTACTTGCATCACGTGTACCGTACACCGTACGCGGCACACCTACAAGCACACCTACCTACAAGCAGACGCCTAGGCACACACACACCTATAGCGGACGCGTTGCATTCACAAGTATTCTTCCCGCTCTCACTGACGCACAAGCGCCCATGGCGCCCATCAAAACAGGTAGGCTCGATAAGACGATATTCGATATTCGATTAAACCCATACAGCGAAAAAGCAAGAAAGCATGCGCATCCGTTCTATACCTTAATGACCCGTCCGCACGTCACGGCACGTAACGTCACATCAAACTAAACGTGTCGAAGTGGCGAAGCAAAGCAAAGCAAAGGAAAGCCACAAACCTGAAGCTAGAAGAAGATGTTGTGAAGCAGAGCAGAAGTTTTGAGAAGAAGATAAAGAAGAAGAGAGAAGAGAGAAGAAGATAGGAGAGAGAAACGACGACGACGACAGTGACGACACAAAAGACCCCAAGCACGAAGAAGCAAAAGACGAAAAAAGAAAAAGGCAAACACCACGACGCGCATCACTTCCTCCGCCGCCGATGATGATGGTGCTGATGCTTCCCCTTGGCGCTTTTCCCCCCACTCCTATCCCTACTCCCACTCCCACCAGCAGTAACAACCACGACCTCGTCATCCGCCCCCGCACCTTCCAACTCCCTAATCCGCCCCGCCACACCCCCCGTCCACGCCGCGCTGCCCACGCGCACACCACCGCCGCCGCCCTGTCGCGCCCGCGCACCGGAACCAGTGCCAGACCCAGAGCCGTAGGCGAAGCCCTCGCTGTCGCCGCCGCTGTCGCTGCCCCACTCGTACTCGACCTCGACTTCTAGCTCGCGGTCGCGGTCGCGGTCGAAGCGGTAGCGGGGTGACGCGTGCCGGAGCACTGGATCAGAGTAGCCACTCCCGCTGCCCGTTGTTGGAGGGCGCACCGCCGCAGCCGCAGAGCCGCTGCTAGACGCCGGCACGGGCACGCGGCGCGGCACGGCAGCGTAGGCGACGTCGGCGTCACCACGGGGCCCCGAGCCGCCGCGGCGGTGTTGCGCGCCGCCGACCTGGTACGCGAAGACGTCTGCGGGTGTCAGCAGCTCGGCTGAGTCGGCCGCGCTGAGGCTCGAGTGCCGCGAGAAGGCGCCCGGCATGTCGTAGTCGTGCTCGGCGCGGCTGCTGCTGATGGAGGTGCTGGCGGAGCGGGAGCCCGAGCCCGGCCGCGACGGCGACGAAGAGTACCCTAGCGGGGCGTAGCTGCCCGTGCCTGGAAGGAGGAAGCCCGGCGGGGCGGGCGAGGCGTCCGAGTTGGAGCTGTGCGGGCTGCGTGTCTTGGTGGTGCGGCTGTTTTTCTTGGTGCGCGCGCTGCTGCTGCTGCTGCTGCCGGTGCGGGCGGGCGGAAAGGCCCGCGCTAGTAGGCTGTCCGACTGTTGTTGTAGTCGCGGGCGCGTCAGCGCCTCGATTTCGTCCGTCGTGAGGCTGACGTTTTGCTGGCCGCGCGAGCGAGCGTTGCGCACGCGCTCCAGGGCACGCCGCACGAGCAGCTCGTCCGCATCTTCTTGCCCCGCTGGCAGGACGGCGCCGCCGCGCCCAGTGTAGTGGTCGTCTTCGTAACCGTAACCCTCCCCATACGCCGAATCTTCGTGTTCCATGCCCATCCCAGCCCTTGGATCCCAACGAGGATCGCTTTCGTAAAACAACGCGTCGTCAGAAATAGACCGCCCTCCTCCCTGCTGCATCATCGGATCAAGAAAAACGCCCGTCGCTGAAAATTCATCGTCATCGCTGTCTCCCAGCTCCTGAAATCTACCTCCGCTGCTGCTAAGACCATGCTGTCCGCTCGCCGGACCCCACCCCCTCTGCCTCCCCAGGCGCGCTCCCCCTGGTGGTCTTCCCCATGGGGGCACACTATCATACGGAGTTCGCGGCCGACCACCTAGACCGCCTCCTCGGAAAAAGCTGACTCGATGGGCTTGTCCAGGAAGGACGCGTGGCCGAGAATCGAGACAGCGCTAGCACCGACAAGCCACAGGACGGTGGTGATGGGCGAGGCCCAGATGAAGACGGGGACGGCGATGACAAACAGGCCGGTGTAGAGCTGCTGCGACGTGGCGCGGGTGAAGCCGAGGTCAAGGTCGGCACCCTGCAGCTTGTTGATGCCCCACATGCCACCGCCGACGAAGATGATGTCGAACAGCAGCCACAGGTTGGTGAGCAGCGAGTAGATGCTCAGCATGACGAAGATGGCAAAGTAGTTGCTGCTGAAGTAGCCCAGGTTGTAGTTGACGCGCGACTGGACCTCGCCGAAGTTCTGGGGCTTGCTGACGCGCTTGATGTCGAAGAACTCGGAGACGGGCTTGAGGTTGGCGAAGCGCGTGGACAGCGAGGTGCTGCGGACGCTGTCGAAGCGCGACGACAGGTTGAGGCGCGACGTCAGGGCGTCGATGGGGATGTTGATGCGGGCCATGATTTATCGCTGGTTGCTGGTGCCTAGAGAGGAAAGGGGTGTAAAGTCAGCTAGAGAGAATAGCGGTGGGAGAGAGCGGGGAGAGACGGACTTGAGAGCAGGCAAGAAGGAGTTAGTTGAGGTTGTAAAGGTGTGGCGTCTCAAAGGTGACAGAGAGAGAGAGATTGTGTGTGTGTGAGGCGAAAGAAGAAGTAGTAGTAGTCGTGGAAGGAAGACAAAAAGCGCAGCCACCTTGAGGCGCGGCGCACGCGTACCGTAGTACGATAACTCGCTCGCACACACAGGACCCACCGCACCGCCTGCCCCTGGCGATCGAACGTTGAGGACACATTTGGGCCTGGCGCTGCTTTTATCCCCCTCCGCGCGGCCCTGTCCGACGCTGATTGGCCCACGTTGATCCTCTTAGCCTGCATCTTGCATCTCACGGCAGTCCTCTCAGCTCTCTCATCAGCCATTGCACACCCCCGCTCTCCAAATGAAGCTCCAGACGCTGACGGCGCTGCTGCTTTGCGTGTTCGCCACGCTTGCCGCCGCCTGGAGCAAGGAAGGTGAGCCGCCCGTGCCCGCATTCACCTACTTACATACCTAACCTCACCCCCGCAGACCACGAAATCTTCCGTCTCCGCGACGAAGTCATTGCCAGCGAGGGCCCCGATGCCACCTTCTACTCCTTCCTCGGCGTGAAGCCTCAAGCTAGCCAGGATGAGATCAACAAGGCCTACCGCAAGAAGTCGCGTCTGCTGCACCCCGACAAGGCCCGTCAACAGTACCTTGCAACCTACAGCAAGCCCGCCGCCAAAGACAAGCAGCAGGCCAAAAAGAAGCCCGGCGTAACGGTGCGCAAGCAGCCCACCCAGAAGGAAATGCGTGCCTTTGACAAGGAGGCCTCCGCCCGTTTCGCCCGCCTGGGCATTGTCGCCAACATCCTGCGCGGCCCCAACCGCGAGCGCTACGACCACTTCATGCGTAATGGCTTCCCGGCTTGGCGCGGCACCGGCTACTACTACTCGCGCTTCCGCCCTGGCCTGGGCAGCGTGCTGTTGGGTCTGTTCATGTTCTGCGGTGGTGCCGCCCACTACGGCGCCCTCTACCTGGGCTGGAAGCGCCAGCGCGACTTCGTCGGCCGCTACATCCGTCACGCGCGCCGCATGGCATGGGGTGATGAGCTTGGAATCCAGGGCCTGCCTGGCGCTGGTGCGCTCGACGAGACCGCCGCCGCGACCACTCCTGGCACCGCCACGCCCCAGGAGCAGTCCGACGACCAGGGCCCACCCGTCGCTATGAACAGACGCCAGAAGCGCATGCAGGAGAAGGAGGCACGCCGTGAGGCTGGCAAGGGTGGCAGCAGCAAGGCCGCCAAGGCCGCCAACAAGGCGCGCGCCAGCGGTGTCAGCACTCCCGTCGAGGCTGAGCTGACGAGCGGCGGCCCGCGTGGTGCCAAGAAGCGCGTGCAGGCTGAGAACGGCAAGGTGCTGATTGTCGACTCTGTCGGCAATGTCTTCCTCGAGGAGACGACTGAGGACGGCGAGACGCACGAGTTCCTCCTCGACGTAAGTTTCCCGTCCCTCCACCATCATGACTAGGTCTACAGCTAGCTAACGCGTTTCTGATACAGCCCGCCGAGATCCCCAAGCCTTCCCTGAGCGACACTGCCGTCATCCGCGTGCCCGTCTGGCTCTACAAGCGCAGCATTGGCCGCGTCTTTGGGCCCTCGTCGCACGACTTGGCCATGGAAGCTGCCGCCGAAAATGACGAGCTTGAGATCGACATTGGGAGCGACGGCACGAACGGCGATGCTAAGGAGGCCGACGCCGCAATTAGGCTGGGCACGGCGCAGAACGCCAACGCCGAGGCTCGCAAGCGCAAGATCAAGCGCTCGAAATGATTGCGTGCGAGGAAGTGTGAGACGGATGGACGTAAGAGTGGAGAAAATGCTGGTTGACGTGGGCGAGATGCGGTGCGCTGGCCCGCTTGGTGAAAAATTCCGTAGACGGGATGCCGAATTGAAAAGTAGATGATGCTGGAGAGAGAACTGCGACTTGCTGCCGAGCGACTTAGCGCTTACATTCATATATACATACCACGTACGTGGTTCGAGAGCAAGAATGGAAACGTATGACACAAATGAATCGAGGTATGGTCGCGTGTGCGAGTGTGACTGGGGATGAGCTAGAAGTGGAAGGCGTGGGTCACTCTCATGGGTGTGCGTCTGCATGGCTCTTTCCTCTACGGATGACCCCTTCGCTTTTCCCCTTTTCCGTCTTTCTATTTCTCCTGCCACTCCTTCCCTCTGTCCCTGTAACATACACACCCGTGGCAAACACTTCACACACCAATGCCTTCGCCAATCGGGTACCTAACCGCTGTGAGTGAACAGACACAATGGAAATGACTAATCCCAAGTCCTGATCTCGCCTGGCACTGCTCAGAGATGCAACAAGATCTCTATTCACAACTTGCTCTTCGCCCGAAGTGGTAGAAAGACGAGAGAGCAGACTGACACCTGCTTACCTGATGCGGTCTAGCCTGCCGCGCCACAGATAGGTCCCATACCGACGCGTGCGCCGGCCGCGCAAAACACCTACCACACCTACATTGCACCTACACCGTCACTACGGCTTCCATCGAACACGGTGTCGGCAGAACAGTGAATTGGGCTTCACTGTCGCGGCTTCGACTGTGTAGGAGGACTGGTCCTTCGCGTTTGTAACAGCTCCGTCTTCATGGACGCGCTATATTGCTTGATTGATCTGCACAGCCGACTACCTAGGGCCGGGCCGGTAGCCGAACTCCGCTCGTCTCGTAGTAGATGTATAGGCGCCATATCGACCAGCACGGGATGCGGCACGTTCGATGAACAGTACCAGTGCTTCGACTCACTGCGCGTGGCAGGGATGACTCCTCCTCAGGGGGTACGTACACCGAGCCCAAACATCACTCATCAGCCTCCCCAGCAAACAACGAACAATGCATAACGCCTAGTTCCAGTATGCATGCGAGCATGAAAGTATTCGGTTGCACTATCAGTACACAGCAGCTGCCAAATCTCATTCAGGGAGAAGATTCTCGCTCAATACAAGACGCGTCGGAGCAGCATCTCGCAGACACCGACACAGCACCTCTTACACACATCGTCACAACCTCAGATGTCCGTCTCCACCTCTCATGGTTGCCTATTCAGGCAATTCCCGGATTAAACCAGCCACACCACACCAGTCAATGCATTCTCCCAGGCCTCGGAGATCCAGACCCATATATACCTAGGTCTAGAGCGAAACCTAGAGCCAGGTAGGCAAACGTCCCGTCCGCCGCGTCCCAACAGCCCCGCCCCGCCCACTACTCCACTCCAAGGCTCCATATTCCCCGCGCGGGGGAGGGGCCCGTGGGTCGACGGCGATGATTGCTGGCGGCCGGCCGGCAGCTAAAATAAGGCGACCAGCGGCGCGGTGGAGAACGCCCACACGCCCACATGCCCACACAGACGCACGCACTCGCGCTTGCGCTTCTGCTTGCGCAATGCCGTTCAGGCGCGCGCAGCTTCCAGAGTACTGGGACTCTAGGGCTGACTAGCCAGCATGATGGAAGGTAGGCAATATAAAAACGGTGTATGTTTCGTCTGCGATACGAGCAGGTTGAAGGTCTAGTAGTCGTACAGGTTCATTCGTTGGGGCACCGGCGGTCTCAAGAGCGGCGGGTAGCAGCCGCGTCGCGTCTTCCTTTTCTCCCCACGCGCGCGTGCGCATGTTTAGGAACCGCCAGCCTTTCTATATCTCGCGTTCTCTCTTTTCGCACATCATCATGGCCTCATTGCTCCGCCGCCGCCGCCGCCGCCGCTTTCAACTTTTCCCTGCCGAATGCCTCCGCGCGTTCGAATAGATTGGCCACCTTGCCTGGCATGCTTAGGAAAGGCGAGTGTCCGGAATTCAGCCGCACAATCTGCACGTCATTGCCCATACGCTCAACCATCAACTCCTGGCGCCACGGATACACAATCTTGTCGTGTTCAGTCAAGACGTACATTGACGGCAAGCATTTCCATGGCTCGCCCTCGGCTGGAACCATGAAGACCGACTCGGGCTGGTGTAGCAACGTCTTGACCCATTTGTACTGGTTCACTTGAGGCATGTCACTGTAGAACAGCTCCGCCTCAGGCGGGGGGAGCACGCCGTCCTGAATACAAATAATTACATCAACGCCGAACGATTTGCAATGGGGCGAAACCAGTTCCTGGAAAACGGGGTGGGATACATACCACGAGCGGCGACCAGGCCTCCCGGTCCACTGGTTTGTTGAATTCCAAAACGGTCTCGCCAGGCTTCAGCGCAAACGCCGCAATGTACACCAAGGACAGGATTCTGCCATTGCTCTGCATTTCGGCGAGTTCGGCCTCGTCCTTGAGCGCATGCGCCACGACGGTGCCGCCGTACGAGTGTGAGACCAAGATGACGTCGCGGCCGTTGTCCAGCAACGTCCTCAGCTTCTTCTGCAGATTGGAGACATCATCAAAAAAGTTGGTGTCGGTGGGGTTGGCGCCGGCCGACGGGTTCCTAATAGCCTCGCAAGGGTAGCCGCGCTGGGTGAGTTCGGTTATCAAGAGACTGAAAGAGTTTGGGAGGTGCCAGGCACCAGGGACGATGACAACGGTCGGTTTGACAGACATGCTTTTCCGCCTGTTGTTGCTGCTCACTCACTTTTGACGCAGGGATGGAGGCGCTTGCCCATGTTATACCTACTCGGGCACCAACGGCGGACCCGACTGCATGGTCTGCCTATGTGGGTACCTAACGGACGGAGTCGAGCACCCAAACCGACGATAACTGTGTCTCGACGACAAGCGCTGACTCGAGCCTTTGGGAGGCACGTACGTACGTAAGAGGAGCTGCAACCCTGCGGCCGCAAAGGCCGGCCTTGTGTCAGCTGCTCGCCGAGCAATTTCGTCTCGCTCGAAGACGGTCCCACCACCCCCACTTGTCCGCAGGGCAGGCAGGGCGGAACGGCAGTGCGCAGGCTGCAGAAGCGTGCCTAAAACAAGGGAGGTTGGGCGAGAGCAACGGTAACGACAACGACAACAACGAGGCAAATGGGCAGAGAGGGGGGAGAGGGCGGGGGTGGCCGATGGGAGGGGACCCAAGCAACCCGCCGGCAGGCGCCGCCGCGCCGCAGCCGCAAGCTGCTGCTTTGCTCGACGACACAGACCGGTCAACGCCCCGCCCTCCCCTCGTCGCGCCGCAGAGGCCACGCCGCCTTCGCAGCCCTTTCTTGGGTAGTGGGTACCCACAGCAGCGCTGCACACCTCAGCGCGCCACGGGCCGGCATCCGTCCCGTACCCGAGCACACGGAATCGGTAAAGTTCGGCGGGCGGTTGGCGGGAGTCGCCTACCTATAGCGCGAGCTGCGCGAGCTGTGCGATGGGCGTGGAGGCTTTCCCGCGGCTCCTCTGCTGTGGCGACGCGGCCCGCGAACCCCTGCCCCCGTCTCGTGTGCCCGTGTCGTCTTTGTTTCGTCTCGTTTCGTCTCGTTTGGTTCTGCCCGAGCACGGCATGGCATAAGCAAGGTGCAGGCGCAGGCGCGCGCCCCTCCCTTCTTCTTCTTCGCTGTCCTGAGTACCACATATGGCAGTCGCCTGATTAGGCGGGCGTCCGGCGTCAGGCGTCGGTGTTGGGGCCGTGTGTAGTGTGGCGTGGCGTGTGGCGTGGAGTGAGAAAATTGGGCTGGGTAGGGCAGGGCTGAGGGCTGGCTTTGGCGCGCATGGGCATGGGCATAGGTGTGCCCGGCGCGGTGGTCGCTAGGTAGGTACCTAAGTAGGTAGGTCCTTCCCTATTGTACAATATTGTACAAGATCTTTACCGGAGAGCTGGATCGCGCGCGGGTGTTGGCGCGTACCTGGCTAGCGAGGTAGGTATAGGTAGGTATAGATCAGGCATAGTAGGTGGCTTCCATGGGATTGTACAATATATTGTATTGCATATTATATTGTGTTGTAAAATACTATAGGTAAGTAGGTAGGTACGATAGGTAGGCAGGCACCTAGGTAATCTATTGTGCAAACTCGTGAGTAGGGGTAGGGTGGATTGGATTGTATTAGATTGTAGGGACTGCCTTGGTACGGTGCGGTGCGGGTTTCTGGTGTGCTTGGGGGTAGGGAGGGAGGTTTTTCTTTAATTTCTTCTTTGATTGGTTTTGGTTTCGTACTTTCTTCCCTTTCTTCCTTTCTTCCTTCTTCTTCCTCGTCCCCTTGTTTCTTTGTTTTGGAGGTGTCTATCACAATTGCGGCGGCCTGTGGTGTCTGTGTCTGGTGTGTGTGTAGTGTGTGCTCTCACAAGAACAACCCGTCCCCGTCCCCGTCCCCGTCCCCGTCCCCGTCGTCTCGTGTCGTCTCGTCTCAGCAGCATAAGAAAAAGAAAAACAAAAACAAAAAAAAAAAAAAAAACTACAGGGGCACATGATGAATGAAGGTACAATACAATGCGGACGGCACATGGCGGGCGGGTCCCTGCGTGGGCGGACGGACCTGCCTCCGGCTGTTGTACGGTGAAACGAGCTTGCGTCCGTGGCACGGAGTAGGGCTGACATTCTGAACTGGGTTGGGTTGGGCTGTTTCATGCTGGGGTGGGGTGGGGTGGGGTGGTGTGGTGTTTACTGATCGTGTTTGTATTGTAGGGAAAGGAGATTGGTGGGTTGGGATAGGGATTGGGTTTGTGGTTTGAGTTGGGGCGTGTGGTGCTCTCTCTCTCTCTCTCTCTGTCTCTCTCTCTCTGTCTCTCTCTCTCTCTCTGTGTGTGTGTCTCTCTCTTTTCTCTACAAGTCTACGTCCTCCCTCCCGCCTCTACCTACGTAGATAGGTTCTCTCACTCCCTAGTAGACCTTCTTCATTCCCTTCCCTTCCATTTCCTTTCCTCTCCTCGCGTCAAGTGTGTGTGCATGCATGGCTCTCCCACACAGACCAGTCGATACTTATGAGTTTCAAGCCCGATCGCCGGCAGCGGACACGGCGCGGCCCCCGCGCGGCCGTGGCCGTGGATTACAGTACCACCCCCCTCCCAGCCCCAGCAGCGGCACCACGTGGGAAGCGAGCGGCAGATGGCGAACGGGCGGGCCTTTCGGGACTACCTACACTATGTGCCACGAGACACGCTAGTCAGCGGGCAAGCGGGCACGCGGGCTTCCGCTGGGGCGTCTGCTGTACCTAGCGAGCGGGAAAGTCGCCGAATGCACGCACGGGTGGGCTGGGGATCGGGGTGTAAAGTGCGCTGTGCGAGGGCGGGAGATGCGATGGGTGCGTGTGTGCGTGCGTGTGGGCGCGGCGGTAACGGTGGCGGTGGGAGCGCGAGTGGGATTACGAGAGAGAGGGGGCCGCGTGGTGGTGACGGCGTGGGTAGCAGACTTCGTGCTGGGGTTAGGGCTGTGGGCGATTGATTGGCTGGTTGGTTTCTGGAAGAAGTTTTTTTTATTTTAATTTTTTGGGCGGCAGGGCTGCTGTGCCTGGCGCGTTGCTGCGTGCGTACAATAGTATCCTGGGGAGGCGGTGAGCAGGGCGCGGGCTGCGAAGTCGGCGTGCTGTAGATGTAAGTAGTTAGCTGGGACGGGGGAAGTGTCGGGCATACAGTAGGTTGCGGCTTGGGGCGGGGGTTGGGCGGTGTTGTAGGCCTGGTGTTAGGTCGCCGGGTGTGGTGTTGGGCTGCCTGCTAACGTACGGAGCTGTGATCTGCGCGCTGTGGCACCGCTTGTCGTCCTGTGCTGTGGTGGCATTAATTAGATGGGTTGTGGGAGGTGAAGGGGAAAGGGGTGAAACTGTTGCTTGTCAGTTGTGTTTGAGGCTTTTTGCATTGGGTTTGGCTTTGATGGTGGGAATGGAGGTGAGAGGAAAGACAAATTGAGGTGGGGCGGGTATGATTGCCAGTGGCAGGCGTGGCGGCTTAAGACGGGCGTTGATGTGTTTTCTTCTGTGTGTTATGGTGGTTTGGAGTAGGTGAGGTTAGGTGCTGAAAGTATAAAGATCTGGGTAGATGTGTCTTTTGGTGGCATGCTGATTGATTAAGCCGGCTAGAGTATCTAGAGAAAAGACAAGGACTTAATAGCGTCTGTGGCGAATGCTGCCCTATTAGGTAAAGGAACAAAAAGGTATTTGAGTTGGTAATGAAGGTTAATCCCGCCGCGACACGGTCAGCTTTCGTTGTTAGTAAGTATAAATACCTTGCCGTATGCCACTGCCAATCAGTCTTTCTTCCTATAGCAGATATTCTCTCGAACAGTGAGGAAACTGCATACACTCGGCCCCTATAGATCAGGAGAAGACCGCAACTGTTGATGGTGCGGTTGCTACCAAACAAAAGAGGTGTCGAAGTTTCAGCGTTCAGATATAGTACCACAAGATCCACCTACCGTCATTCAAAATGCCCAACATCGCCATCATTCGCCACTGGCACGAACCATCGCTATGTCCTGCATGTGGCGAGCACCTTTTGCCTGATATAACGACGTAATCCTGTACGGAGCAGCAGGCTTACCTTGTCTTCATACTTCATGCTTTTTGGGAAAATACCTTGGAGATCCCCGTCTTGTTTTTTTGGCGCTCAGGTTCCCCACGTACGTAGGGCATGGGGTCCGGCCAGTGCCAATCTCAATGCCATGTAGATGTGCGGAAGAAACTCACCTTGGCCGAGACTTCTCTCTTTTATCTCTCCAGTACGCGGCATGTGAACAAAGTAAATAAGCACCTAAGCTAGCATCAGGAACTTAGCAAAAAGAATAAAAACAAAATAACACGAAGTAATAAATAGCACCCACCTCTAACACAACAGCAAAAAGTCAGGCGCAAAGTCCCTATAAACTCGTTCCAACCCCACTAACGAGTTTCCCCGGCGTGTTAACTAATGTTGACGCCGCCGTGGATCGAAAACTGAAGCTCCAAGTTGTTACACCCAAAGTCAGGTTGGTTATGGTTACCTTATGGGTTATGTGGTAACTCTATGAGTGACCACTAAACCACTCGACGCTGTATCCCCGTCTTACTAAGTGATCCGCCGCGCGAGCTTATAAAGGTACCTGGCGTCCTTCGCGGGATTGTGTTTAGTGAGTGTGTTGGACGGACTGACGTGCAAGACATTCCCCGGCCGTCGCCTGCTCCTCGTACGTATGCACACTCACTCACTCTCACTCACTTTCACTCACATTCTTTCTGCTCTCTCTCTCTCTCTCTTTCTTCCCAATGGTCGAGACCTTGGCAAAAGGCGGCAGTGATTAGCAAAAGTAGGGTGGTGCTTCTTACGGACTTTCACTTCTTGTTCTCGCTTTCTTCCTGTCGGATGTCTTCCGGTAGGTTACGCTTTACGTACATGCTGGAGGGCCGTTAGACTGGTACGGTAATTAAGATGTGTGACGGCTTTCGATACAAGTCCGCAATGGCAGCGTAAGTACCCGGTCGTCCTGAATACGGAAAAGGGACCGTATCATGGATCTAGACGTCAGTTCTCTACCAATCAACGACCCTCTATGAAAATGATAAAAGACGCAGAACAGGAACAGGGAATAGACAGCGCGAAGAAAAAACTCAGTTCAGCTCAGATCGACTCGCTCGCTCGGGTATCAACTCGCGGAACTAGGCCGCTATAGACAGCCAGCCATCGAAAAGCAGACAGACAGACAGACAAACAAACAGACAGACAGATAACAGCAACAAATCGCGGAACCAAAACACAAGAACAAAAAGACGAGATACCGTCTCACCACCCCACAGCCGCCCACCCTGCCGACCCTACCACCAGCAGCGTACTCCACTTCAGACCCCAGACGGCACCCCTTGCAACCGCGCCGTTCTTATGCGCCTCAATACAGCCATTCTCGGCACTCACCTTCCCACACCTCCCATTGCCGCTCTGTCCCCCACCACTCCCAGCACTATTCCCGCCCTCGCCCTCCTCAGCCCCATCCATAGCCGCCTGCACATTCCCCTCAAAAGCACCAATGACGTTCCCACGCGGGGAATACTCGCAAACGACGTACCAGCCGTCGGCGCTGCCCTCGCTCGCACTGCAATCTTTGCGCGCGCACCCCACGCTCGTCGTCCCCTTCCACACCAGCTGCGAAAAATGGCCCGTCTGCTTGCTGAAGCCCGGGTCCTGGAAGTCGAAGGCCGCGGCTTCGTTTGCCCAGGCGGCGAGCGCGGCGCTCGTGTTCGCGTAGTTGGTTGCCAGGTTTTCGCCGTAGGGGCCGTTCTGTTGGGGACGTGGAGGTTAGCTTTGTTTTCTTTTTGGAGAGAGGGGGGAGGAAGAGGTTAAGGAATATAATCAACGCACCGAATGCCTGAACCCACACCCCTTCACCCAGTCCTCAGCAAACGCAGCCAGGGTATCATTCCAATGCAGCGCACTCGCATTATGATTCGCACGCACAGCATTCGACCCATCCAGCAGCGTCTTCTTGAAGCGCGTCGCATTCGTATAATCCGCCGACGCTCCTGCAGCGCCAGTAGCCACAGCGCCCAACGTCGTCGTCGCAACCGTAGTCGTCACGATGGCGTTTCTCTGCTGTTGCTGCTGTTGCGGATCCTGCGTCATCGTAATCGTGAAGGTCGAGGTGCGCGTCGTCGTTGTTAGGAGCGTGCTTGTTGTCGTGTCTGCTTCTGCGGAGGCAAAGGCAGAGAAGAGAGAGAGGAGGATGAGGACGCAGAATAGCAGGGGTGATGGTGATGGTGACGATGTCGGTGATGTCAGGTCCACGTGGGAGAAAGGGCGAGGAATGCGCATGTTGGCGGGTGATTGGCGGAAGCTCGTGGTTGTAGATTGTAGTTGTGTGTGAGGCGGTTTTTATAGTCGAGATAATTGATTGTATGGTGGGTTTTGGTTTGTTGGTTTTGTCGTCTTAGTTTGATGAAGAAGGAAATGCGAAAATGTCGTGGAGCCAGCCAGAACGGTGGAGGTAGGTATATGTCAGGTCCGTCGTATATCCAGCGTCGGTGTCTTTCTTTGTTCCTTTCTCATGCCCTCTCTTTGCTCTCTTTATCTCTCTTTATCTCTCTTTCAATCCCTACCCTTCTCTTTATTTATCCTCTGTCTTTCCTTTTATCTCTATCTTTTCTTCTTTCTTCTCTTAACTTAGCAAAGGACCGGACCAGCCAGCATCAAATCCAAAAAAACAGTTCATATACGTCCAATCACACAAACTCCAATCTTCACAGCCAAACCAGCACCACACAACAGCGCGCACGCTCTATATACCCCCCATTAACCCCCCAATTAACCCTACATCCGCCAAACACCCCCAAAACAAAACGGTTCCACGAACCGCGCGCGCCATTTTGTTTCTAGTCGACAGCTCGCATCGTAACCACTGGCTCCGGGCGCTCGCGAAAGCGCAGTGACGTCTTGTAGGCGCCGGCTTGGCGCCTAGAGTACGGATTAGGTGGTTGTTTGTTTCACGTCCTCTGTCCACCTAGCCCTCCCGCCATCCCCGCCATCCCCGCGGTGCTGAGCCGGCCCGCCCGTTCGTCCCGTGGGAAGTGGATGCGCGTGTTGCGTGTTGCGTGCGTGCGTGCGTGCGTGTGTGTGTTGGATTTGGATGTGGTGTGGATCTGATGTGGATGCGGCGAACGGGCGGGCGGGTGTCGTATCGTATCTACGTATCTAAATATAGATATCTAGATCCTCCACGTACTCGTACCCGCCTACCCTACCCCGTGCAGCGCGCCAACAACGACAGAGCTCCCACGTACATATTATATTGTACCTGCTGACGCAGTTCATGCATTCATTCATCAACAGATCAGATCAGAGATAGCTGTGTTTTTCCCATCCACCTAGGTACAAATACCAACACACGTCTCCACAGCAACGCAGCCAAGCAACCAAGCAGCTTAAGAAGCTTTTATGGCACCGCACGCTAGCAATCAATCAATCAATCAAGCAAGCAAAAAATCCAGTTCTGTAATCAAACATTCTGAGCCATGGAATATGTACCCAAGAAGCGAACAACAACCACAGCAAGCCGCAAAAACATTAACAATACCCAAAAGCCCCAAACGCCGCTCCATCTTCCGTCTCCTCTCTCTCCTCTCTCCTGCCCTCTCCTGCCCTCTCCTGTCCTCTCCTGCTCTCTCCTTCTCTCTCTTGACGCCCATGCCATCCCATCTCTATCGTAGTAGTAGCAACAGTAGCAACAGTAGCAACAACAGCGCATTACCCGAATCTAGCAAGCGAAAACGACAACCGAAAACAGACACGCCCAAATGCGCGCGCCTGAAGTAGCAGCAGCAACAGCAACGCAAAGCGGCGTAGCAGCGGACAGGCTTGTCGATGGCATCGGCCGACAGGGAGAAAAAAAGAAGAAGGTAAGAAACGTCGTCGTCGGTGCCGACAGTGGCAGTGGGGAGTCGAGAAGAAGAAGAAGAAGAAGAAGAAGAAGAAGCGGACGGAGAGAGAGGTAGGTAGGTAGGTGTAGGAAAAGTCAAGGAGATGGAGATAGAGAAGGACGGACGGCCAAGAGGAAGAAGAGGAAGAAAATGCAAAGGTCCCGACTTCTGAACCTTGACATGTGTGCCTGCGTGTGTGTGTGTGTGCGTGTGTCATGCCATGAAACCCCTTTCCGATTCTTTGCGTCTGTACGCTGAAACTGGGTATATGTGCTGTCGACCAAGTCCCCTTTTGTGTAAACCCGCCTTCCCCACGACCGCCTAGGAGAGAAGAAGAAGAAGAAGAAGAAGAAGAAGAAGAGCAGAAGGGCAGAGCAAAGAAGAGCAGAGCAGAGCAGAGCAGAGCAGAGCAGAGCCTGAACAAAAAAAGTCGCTGCAAGAAACCAAAAAAAAAGAAGAATCCCTCATACACGGTGATACGCCATTGGTCGCAAGCTCGATGGTGCAACGGTTCCTCCAATAACTCCAAGGCAAAAGTCCAACATACAAGAGAGCAGGAAAACGGCAAAAACGAGGACAAAAGAAGGCACACGGAAGAGACTCTGTGCACCGGAGTAAAGCGGTGCTTGTTCCTGCGATAATAAAAACCGTGCGGTGTGGCTGGAACGCGCGGCGCCGCGGACGGCGCGAGGTCCGCGTGATGGGATGATGGGATGACCGAAGGGTCGTGTCGTCCAAGGAGTGGTATGGTTGCGCAACGCTCCGCCGACGGGCGGGCACTTGAGACGTGCGAGCGAGCCTCTTCGTCCGGTGGTACTACCGATGCATATGGATGGATGATGAAGCGAACAACATAAAAAAACCAAAAAGGGCCAATTGAGAAAAGGGCGACAAATGTGTCACTCCCCTCAGTCGTCTTTAGGAATGGTGTGGCTCTCGCCCGTGCCGGTCCAGACACCGCCACCGACGGCTCTCGAGATGCCGACGCTCAAACCCACCGCAAGCGCCACGATCGTCAGCCCGATGAGGATCTTGATCCACATCTTCTGCTTCCGGCTCAGGTCGCCCCACCACCGGCATGATCGGTCCTTGTACTTTTCCTGCTTGGCCTTCTCGCGCAGCGTCTGCTTGGTCGGCCAGACAGTGCACTCCTTGACGCGGCCGTCGACGCTGACCTTGGGTTGCGTGGCCGTCGTCGCGGCGCTCAGGGTGGGAAAGGTGGTGGGATTGCTGGTGCTGGCGTTGTCGTTGCCGAGTTTGACCTCGAGGAACTGTGAGCCGGCTTCGAGGTCGTTGGCGTTGGGCGCGAGCGGACGGTTGACTTCGAGGTGCGAGCGGCTCTCGGGGTGCTGGTAGAATGCGCTGAAGGGGTTGGCGCTCTCGTAGTTGGGTGACTTGAGCGACGTCTCCTCTGAGATAACGCTGGGCTTGGTGTTGAGGGCAGGGGGCGGCGCAGCGACGGTTCCGGCGAGCGGAGCGGACTCGTCGTCGGGCGAGTCGGCGCGTATGATGGTTACGCCAAAAGTCGTCTTTTCCTCGGCCGTCGACATGTTGATGGAGGAGTCGTGCTGCTGCAGGACTGCCACGAAGAAGCGGTTTCAGGCGGACAGAGATGCAGAAGAGGCCCCTTGCGGCGGGCGGCGGCGTATCGGACGGGTGGGAGATGAAAGCTGGGCTGCGGAAGAAACGATTTGACGCTTGACGCAATGGAGCGAGGCTGTGCAACGTGCGGGATGCAGGAGCGATTGGCGAGCAGTCGGGTTCGGGAGGAAGCAAATTGGAGCAGTTGGAAGAAAGAAGCAAGAGAGAGAGAGGGAGAAGGTGGTTGCCGGGGAAGAGGAATGTGGGAAGGAGTGAGTGTGACGAGCTAATCGGACCAGCGCCAGCTCTTTTTTGGGTTTGATGTTTAGAGAGTAGTAGGAAAAGAAAGAGAGGGAGGGAAGGATTGCAGCAGTTTCGTTAGCAGCGTTCCTGAATTCGCTCTTGCATGGTCCGTCCGGCGCGCGCTTCAGCTGCCGCCGTCAATCCAAATTCCACTGGCTGCCATGTCGCGCAAATCGCAAATCGCCCGTCGCAACAGCGCAATCTCTCATTCAGACATCATAGCCCTTGGGCCAGTGTGGCCCCCTACCATCCACAAACACATGGCACGACAGGCCATGTCAAGTGTCAATCAACCGACGAAAACAGGCCACTGTCGTCGCTTCCGTCGCACCCAAGCTCAGCCACGACTTAGCCTAGCACAAAACGACGCGCGCGCGCGAAACACGGGGCCACAACAGCTTCTGGACCAGTGAGCGACCCGCGCCCTCGTCCCAGTGTCCACTTCGCCACCAACTCACAAACGCCTGCCTCGAGCTTCTTCCCTCTTGTTGCATGAAGTGCGAGCTCCGCGCACGGCTGGAGATGAGCTTTCCATGACGCCCCCACGCCAAAAACAACCGGTTTCGCTCCTCGCCAGCCCGCAAATTTGACGCCTCTGGCCTCGCACACTCGCTCGCGCACCCGCCTTTCCTCTCCCTCGCTCCCGCGCCCGCCTTTAGCCTGCAGGCTTCCTGCTCCTGCTGCTGCCTCTTCCTTGCCTGCCTCGCACTCCCTCTCTCCCGCTTGCCGCCTCCTCTTTTTTCTTCCTCCCGACACATCCCAATCTGCGCCCGCACAACGGCCCAGTTTTCGCAAACCCGCGCACGTCTCTTCCAGCCCGCAACCCGCCCGCAACCCACCCACGCTCAGTGCTCACGTATCAGGGGCGCGTCCGCTCCAGCAATCAATCCGCATCCACGGGCCCCGCCGCGACGACGACGCGCCGGCGATCCCCCTCGCCGCGCTAACTCGTTGGGCTGCCCGGAGGCGGCTGATGACTACTCACTCTACTGCCACGGCTGCTGGCTCTAATCAATCACATGCAATCCGTCGATAACTAGCAGCGTCGGGAGTTACCGTGGTATGTAGTACATGGTAGGAGTACGGTACTCCATGTTGCTCCCGCTTCGTTGTCGTTGTCGTCGTCGTCGACGATGAGATGAGCCGAAACGCCCTCGACACGGCTTGCTGCTCATCAGGACATGCGCTCGCTCGCTGTAGATTGCCTACTACGTACGACGTAGTTATTGCCCCGATCGCCCGTCTGCTTCTTTCAAGAAAAGCGGTCGGTGCGCGCGAGCCGCTTCGCTCAAGCTCATTCGCTCATTCGCGACTCAGCTAGCGAATCGACGAGCGAACCAACAAGCGAATCATTAACGAGCGACACGGCGAATCAGCGATAGTTAGTAGAGCCCTACCTACAATATTGTACAACGCAACGCAATGCAGCGTACGTAAGTTAGCACGGCAAATTGGCACAGGTCCCCACGGTTTCTTAGGTACGTTACTTAGTATAATGGGCGATAGAATAGACGAGTGAGCAAACGAGTAACGAGTAACGAAGACGCAAACACCCCTGACTGCCCTGCCCCTTCCTTTCTTTGTTGTGCGCTTCCTTCAGCGTGCATCTCCATCTCTCTCTATCTCTCCGTACGCCCCCACTCATTGCTAAGATAACTTAACTTACTCGCCGGCCATAGGCGTCTCGCTTCGTCGCTTCGTCGCTTTGCCCACTGTCACTGTCCACTAGCACACACACGCACACGGACGCGGCCCCATGCGCTGCGACCACCCGCGTTCATCTCCACGCCGGCTGCTGGGCCGCGCGCTGCCCTGTTGGCGTGGTGGCGTTCGGTTTACTTACACAGTACCTAGTGGTAGTGCTTGCGCTGTGTCGAGGCAGGCGTGGGTGTGTCTGCTTGGTGCTGGTGCGGTGATGGTGGTGGTGGGTGCGTGTATGGTTGTGGTCGTGGTTGTGGGGGCGGGAAGCGCTGTGCGCGTGGCTGGGGACTACCTACCTAGGTAGGTAGGTACCGTCTTCGTCGACGGCAGCAGCATAAAACGCCTGTACGTGAGCTTCTTCACTGAGGCCCGTAAGACCTGGCCTTGTCGACTGCACCCATTTACTCCCAGGGAAAAGGCAACCCGACCAGAAAGAATTCCGACGTACTATAGGGGCTACCAACACACCCACACTAACAAAATCTCTGTGAAACATCCATTCAAACACAGCGCCGTCAACGAACTGGCTTCCCCTCCCATCATCATCAAAGCGCGGAGATGGTGACGAAAATAATAAATGCCTGGCGACGAAGAACGGTATAACGGCGCATGTGTAAGTGGCGTTGTTGGCTGTTCTGCTGCAGTTTGGGGGAGTGTGTGTGTGCTTTTTACTAGGTAATACTTAGGTATGCTGTTCATTTTTGTGGTCCCCGATCACCCTTGACTAAATATATTCTCGTTCTGCAGTTTGTGGTAGCTTGTACGGGGTGTTGAGCGGGATTGTCGTCGTTCTCGGTGGTTTTATATGTATGTAAGGCGTCGTCTCCGGCTCTCTCCCCCTTAGCCTCTGTCGTTATTATCGCCAATGCTAAGGTCTTAGTTCCAACCACATTACATTATACATACCCTATAATAAACACAACACACACGCACACACACACACACACACTCACTCACTCACCCACCACAGCCAGCCAACAAGCCAGCCAGCAGAACCACGACCTCGTTCGTCATCAGATGGGCCACACATGCCGGCAACAAAGCCCCATCTCCCTACCCCACCTACCACTTACCCACCTACGCAAAACCAAACACCAAACCCCAAACCCCAAAACTCACTCACCCCACTCGCCTCACTCACTCAAGCTCAAGCTCAAGTGCAAGTGCATGCATGCCCAAACCAAAGCCCAAAGCCCAAATTTGAGGTCAAGGTTGAGGTTGAGGTTCCTAGCCCCCCCACCCCTCTCTCTCTACCACGCAACGCGCAAACACGGTAGCGGCAGCGGTAGTTTGCTCGCAGGGTTTTGGCGCAGGTGCTTAGCACCAGCACACAAAGATGATGCTGAGTAGCAGGTTAGAGGTTATATGCACGACGTCAGTGCTGCAGTAGAGTGCAGATCTGTGTATGCTGCTTGCAGAGATTGTGGATGAGTGTGGATGAGAGATGGTATTGATATGATTGCTGCGCCCTCTACATGATAGGCGCAAAGCTTGACCAGATCATGTCTTTGTTTCTTAGAGCTGGGTTGGGGTGTTGTCTTGCTGTCTTGCTTGCTTGCTCTCTCGCCGTTCTTTATAGAAGCAACTAACTGACCTCCTTTCTCCAAATCCAGAAGCTATGTACCTTTTTAAATTCACAACTGCTTTCCCCCTTCCTTCCAATTTCCCAAACATCTACGACCACGAAGTTGGCTTTTTGTTTCTTGCTGTATTAATTACATGTATGTATGTATGCGTATGCGCGCGTATGTACGGACTGTATAAGCCGCTCTGCTCACCCACTAGTACCACCTAGCCAACATCCCGCAGTATGCTCACCCACCTAAACCCTCCCCCCCTCCGCCGCAGCCAGCACATCCTCCCTCCGAATCCCGCTCCTCTCACACATGCCCCTAAAAACACTGCCCTCCAGATCAAACAATCTCAGCGGCGAATCCAGCTCGGCAATCCCTCCCCGATCCATGACGCAAATGCGATCATAGCCAATAATCGTCCTCAAGCGATGCGCAATACACAGCAGCGTGCAATCCGCAAAGCCATTCCTTATCGTCTTTTGGATCTTCTCGTCCGTCTCGACATCGACACTGCTCGTCGCCTCGTCGCAGACGATGATGCGCGCGCCGCGGACCAGTGCCCGGGCCAGCGCCATGAGCTGCCGTTGTCCGAGGCTGAAGTTGAGGCCTTCTTCCTCCACCGGCCCGTCCAGGCGCACGCGCAGAGACTTGTCGGCTGTGTCCGCGTCCGCGGCGACCAGGTCCGCCTGCCTTAGTGCGTCCCACAGTGCCTGGTCGGCGTGCTCGCCGAACGGGTCGAGGTTGCTGCGAACGGTGCCGCGGAACAGCGTTGGGTCTTGGGGGATGATGGCGAGGCGGGAGCGCAGGTCCTTCAGCCCGACGGTGCTAATGTCGACGCCGTCGATGCTGATGCTGCCTGAGGAGAGCTCTACTAGCCGGAACAGCGCCGACATGATGCTTGATTTGCCGGCGCCGGTGCGCCCCACGACCCCGATGCGCTCGCCGCCGCGCACGTGCATTGAGAGGCCTTGCAGCACCAGTGGCAGCCCTGCCCGGTACCGCATCTGCACTGCGTCGAAGACGATCTCGCCGCGCTCGGGCCACGAGGGCCGGACGGGCGTGAGGTGCAGTGGCGGCTCCTGCTCCAGCTCCGTGCCGTAGTAGTGGATGCGCTCGGTCGAGTTCATGTTGTTCTCGACTTCTGCGAGCTGCCGCACCGAAAACTGTATCATTTGCACAATGGACAGGATGTACGAGAGCACCAGACCCGCGATGCTTGGACTGACGTTGAACCGCGATGTCACAACTAGAATCCCCGTCACGAAGACGAGCATGTTGCCGATGGCGTCGAGTCGCGTGCTGAGCCAGCGTTGGTTGCTGAAGGTGAGGTAGTAGGCGCTGTCCATGTCGTCGATGGCCTCTCTGATTGAGGCTGAGAATCTGTCCTCGAGGCCGTAGGCCCGGATAGATGGAGTGCCGGCGACGGCTTCTCCAAAACGCGAGAAGACCACAGAACGAAGCACGGCTTCATGGCGCTTGATCTCCCGAGCCGAGGCACGGTAGTAGGAAGCCGCGAACACAAACAGGACGAAGAGCGGGCCGAGAGCAATGGCAAAGTAGTGGAAGTAGGCGATTATCAGGGCGAAGACGGAGAGGATCATAGCCATGGTAAGGAAGAACATGCGCATCGAGTCCGTAAGGTTGTTGTCCATAGTATCAATATCCTTCGAGAAGCGATTCGTGATACGGCCAAGCGGCGTCGTGTCGAAGAAGGACATGGGAGCCCGCAGCACGCGGGTAATGGCGTGGTGGAGCATGACCTTGCTAGCTTTTGTCCCGAAGACGGAAAGCACCACGGAGAAGATGAACATGAGAAGGGCCTGAGTGGCACCGAGCCCCGCGTAGACGCCAATCTAAGATTGTTAGCCGTGATGAATAAACGAAGGCTAGGCAAACTTACATAGGTCCCTGTGCTGTAGTGGAACTTGTCCGACGTCCACCATGATAACCACAAACTGGTTGCAATGTTGGCGCCTTGAGACAATATAAGCAGACCTATGACCAATGGCGCAATGAGAAACGACCCCGACGCTCTGACGTAGGCACCGTAAACCTTCAGTGAGACACTCTTGACAGCGCGTTCCTCGGCCTGCATAAGCGCTGCGCCAGGCTTCTTCGGAACCTTCTTTTCCAAGTCTTTTTTCTCTTCCTCGATCTCATCATCGTTGACTTCATCCTCCTCTTCCTTCTTCTCTTCGACCGCAGTAGAAGCCATCAGCTTCATGAAGGTCTCGTTGTGGTTCATGAGGTCCTCGAACGTCCCAATCGATTCGATGCGGCCATCGTCCATCAAAATGATGCGGTCGCATCGGTTGAGCACATGGAGCTGATGAGTTGCCAGGACCCTGCACTTGTCTCTCAACAAGCCGCAGATGGCATTGTCCATAATGTGACGACCGACGTGAGCATCAACAGCCGACAACGGGTCGTCCATGAGAACGATTTCCGCGTTGAAGTAGATGGCGCGAGCGATATTGATGCGCTGCTTCTGGCCTCCGGAAACCGTAATACCTCTTTCACCTATTTCCGTAAGGTCGCCGTTCGGCAACATATCGAGATCGGCGCGAAGGGCACATGCGTCGACAACCTTATCGTACCACTCCTGGTTGAACTCTTTGCCGAACACGATGTTGTCTTTGACTGTTGCGTTCTGAATCCAAGCATATTGGGGGCAAAAAGCACGAGATGCGCCGAGCTTCACCTCTCCATTCGTGCGACGCATATCTCCAGCAAGAGCGGCAAGAAGTGAGGTCTTTCCCGAACCCACAGTTCCAATCACAGCGACAAGCTCGTTCCGCCCGATAGTCAAATCCATGCTCCGAAGCTGGAAAGGTGGTTTCTCCGCAAGAGTGGTAGCGCTGTCGTTCGGATTCGTCTCGTCGTTGCGTTCTGCTTCGTTGGAAGGACGCTTGGCCGCTTCTTTCGCCGCTTTCTTCTCCGCTTTGTGGGCCTTCTTCTCCTCTTTCTTCTCTTGCTTCAATTGCTTGTTGCTCTTGTCTTTCTCCGCTTCCTGTGTGGTCGCCCTCTCCCAGGTGTAGTCCGCATGGCTGAGCACAATAGCTTCCTTCATACCGTGTTCCCATTTCACGTCTTCGTTTGCTTCTTCCAGGAGCAAAAACTCCTGAATACGCTTGACGGACGAGTAGGCGTCAATGACTTGTCCCAGGACAAGAGGCAACAAGTTGAGGGGCATACGGAGAGAGTTGAAGAGGGCCAGCGAAGAGAAGATCGGGCCCGGATCCAGGTTGTGCTTCGACAAAGAGTAGGTAATAAACGCCAGCATGGAAGCGAACACGGGCATGGACATGCCGATGGCGTTGATGCCGTTACGGATAGCAAGCACTTTCTGGATCGCCCGAATCTCCTTGTTTCTGATGGCGCCAATCCTCTCCAGGAAACTCGTTTCCCATCCAAAATACTTGACAAAACGGACGGCTTGTAAGATTTCTTGTGTAAGGCTGACTCGCTGGTCGGTGATCTTGTTAATAGCGAATCTTCGGCGGAACAGGCTTTTTATAGCTCTTCCGAGCAGAGGGAAAGTGATGACCAGTAGACCAAATCCTGCGAGAGCGGAATACGTCAGGTTTACTAAAAGTAAGGCTAGGGTCACCAGAATAGAGACTGGAGAGCACCAGATCATGTGGAACATGGCAGACGCTTGATCGATGCGGTAGGTGTCGACACTCATCAAGTTAACGATCCTTCCGTTACCCCATCCTTGGCCATCTCCAGCGACGCCCTTCGGGCCCTTGGGACCGCCTTTGTTCTCCTTGGCCTTACGCTTCAGCATCTTTTTGTACCACTTCTTCTCTTGCGCGCTGCCCGGCTTGATATCAGGCGGGGGAGCTTCAACCTTACCCCCCGCTTTTGCTCTCCCGGACAGCTTCAGGGCTTTGTCAAAGATGAGCGATATCATGACTGCTCTAGATTGACCACCGACCATCATTCCACGGTACAGAAAGTGATTCGTGCACAAACTCTGTAGGATCTGCATGCCGGTAATACCAAACACCAGCCCAAGACCTTTTCCAATGTGTGGTTCCGCTCTGCCGAGCTTTTGAGCGAGATATGCCTCCGTCGCGAAATTGATCAGGTACCGGAGGGTGAAGGGCGCGAGGACTTGAATTAAACTGGCCAACAGCTGGCAGATGCCTCCAACAATGAACTCAAGTTTAAATGTCTCATACATTGCCCCCACCAGAGGTCTTGGGTCTCCGCGAGCCACGCGTTTGTCGAAAGCTGCCTTAAGCTTGGACGACAGCACCTCGGCACTCCGATCTGGGTTTACGGTCCATAAGTCCTTGAGTTCGAGGGGTCGCTGATAGCCAACCTGAGCGCACACTGTCAGTAACGGTACAGTATGACGCGCGATATCTGCCACTTACGGCCATGAGTGGTGCCATCCATTGAAACGTGAGCCGGCTGAAGAAACCAGCCTCATATTCTCTGGAAACGGCGCGCTCTTGCGGAACGGGCGGCTTCCGACTTCTCTTCAACGGATTCAGCCTCCTGTACCACTTCTTGCGCTGGACGGGCTCTTGATTCTCGCTCTTAGTCTCGACGACGGCGTCGGAGTCCTCTGAGCTCGAGGAGGCGCTCCCGCGCTTGGCAGCATGGTGCTTTTCGGGGTCGAGTTGCGTCTCTGGGTTTAATTCGGTTGCGGTGCCGACTCTCTGCAGCGGCTCGGTCGCGACGGGTTCGTCATGGTTGGTGGAGTTGGCGGCGCCGATCTGGTCGTTGGCGCGCCATTCTTTCTCCTCGCCGGGAGAGGCCATTCCTTAGAGGGCGGGATGGAGGTGCACGGGGAAATGGCACGCCATGGTCTGGAAGAGCGGAGTTGATAGGCGCGGGGGGCATGTCAGGCGTATATGTATGTCAGTCGGATGGGGCGAGGCAGGAGCTATGCTAACGCCGGCCGGGATGCTTGATGGATGACGGCTTGTTTGACGGATGAAAGAGAACGACGCATGTCTGATTGGCTGGCAGCAGGATCGCTGTCCCGGGTCGGATCGGCTTTGCGAAGACCCCGAATGCCACAAAGCTTATCAATCCGTCGTCGACGAGTCATCCCTTCACTTCGAAGCTATCGCAGCCAGTTCGGGCATGCAGTGCGAGGCAGCTGCTGGGGTTTTGCTGGGCGAGACCAACTGTCTGCCTACCTGGCATCAAAACCAACGCATCCATGCCTGCGCTCACCGGTCACCGACGATGCCTGGCGTGCCTGGACGCGGCGGCCATGCAGGCACGCTTCACCGCGTCTTTCTGATCCATCGCAGCGCCGGCCCGTGCTGACGACTCCGCAGAGGTACAAATACAACTGCTGCACACCAACCAATCCAATAATGCATAAATTCGTACTCGTATCCTCCAGTCAGCCAGACGGACGAATTCCACGCGGACGAAACATGGACGATTTAGATGTTGTCCGCCTCCCATGAAGCGGCATTGACTACAGGCAACGAGTACTTTCCTGCTCTACAGGAAACGCCTACTATATTGTAGCGCAGGCCATGTCCGGAAGTACTTGTATCAGGTGCTGACTCTCGCGTGGTTTGACTGCGCCTGACAGCACCTGAGATTCACGAGACCATCGGTTCTCTGACGACGCTGCGAACTGAGTCCTGACATGGTTAAGAAGGAACTTGGAATGAACGGTTGCTAGACTATGCACGGCAAGATATGAAGGAACGTCTGTGGATCGGCCCAAACATCGTTCTGTTGCGGGACGGACGTTTGGTGACGGCGCATCGACCCTATGTATATATCCACGAACCCGATCCACAACCGCTTAAAGAAACCAGTTCGCTGGTATGATTCCTAGAAGGCACGGTGTAGTATGGTCTGTTCTTTCTGTCGACTCCTGCGGGTGCAGAGGGACGTGTTTGCTAAGTAGGATGGCAGCGGTTGCGCGGTTGGTCGTATCGAATGAATGGCCATGCCAGTTCCTACAAATACTGTCCGGATATGTTGGACTGGGAAATGCATAAACCGCGCTCACGCAAGCATCGATCGCATCGTGGCTTTACTGCTCCAATTGATGTATAAACGACCATGATAATCTACCCGCTCGTCCCTCTAACAGCGCACTCACTCAACCCCGTCTCACGCTTCTGCTACTCCCATCACTGCTACTACTATCACTACTACTGTTACTACTCCTACTCCTACTCATCCTCGCTCTCGTCCTCACCACTGCTGTCATCGTCCTCGTCGTCATCGTCGTCGTCTTCGTCCTCCTCCTCACTCTCCTCTTCGGCTTCGTCTTCATCGCCTTCGAGCTTCAGGCCGTAGTCGTCCTGGAAGGAGGCTAGGGTGCGGACTTCGGGCTTGAAGCCCACGGCTTTGAGGTTGGTGACGAGGTTCTGTGGGTGTTAGTGGGTTGGTTTTGGTGAGTGGGGAGAGAATGAAAGGAAAGGCAAGGGGAACGGCGAACTCACCTCCTCCATAAGCGTCGCGCACGACACAACGACATTGCACTTCCCGGGCACGAAAATCGGGAGCACAAAGTCGCGCAGCACGTCCTTGATCTGCTCGACGCCAACCTTGCGCACCTTCTCCAGCATGCCGCGGTTCCAGTCCTTAGGGATGCCCTTGACGACCTGGTTGACGAAGCCCAGCGCCGCGGCACTGACCATGGTGGGCTGCTCGTCGGCGAAGCCCTCGACAATCGTGCTGATGGCGCCCTCAAGGGCATGGCGCTCGAAGGGCCTCTCGCCGGAAATAAACGCCTCGACGACCTTGCGGCTGACGTCGTAGGCCTTGTACGAGTCCGGGCTGCGGTAGATGCGGTAGCCCAGGAGCCCCGTGTCGGTGCCGCGCGCAAACGACGTGCCGTACGCGAGCCCCGTGCCGCGCACCGCGACCCAGAGCGGCCCCTCGACCGCTTCAAGGTACGCCAGCGCCACCATGAGCGCGGGCAGCTGCGCGTGCTCGTACGAGTCTGGCCCGCGCGCCGTGAAGAGTGCGTACGAGCTGTCCACCGTCGCCATCGGCACCACGTAGCACAGCGCGCCCGGGGAGCGCGCCGCGTCGCTGAGCGCCGCTTTGCGGCTGTCGATGGGCGCGAGCGGCTGCGTCGTGTCCAGGCTTGTGAGGAAGGGCGTCCATGCTGAGACGGGCGCCGCGAGCTTCGGCACGTCGGCCACGACGAGCACGCGCATGTTCGAGAAGCGCAGCAGCGTCGTGCGCAGCTCTTCCAGGCGCCCAATCACCGACGCCGGGTCCGTCGCTAGCAGCTTGTTGATGCGCTTCAGGTACAGCGCCTTGACGAGCGTGTTCTGCGTGCGGCTCGACGAGTTGGGCGCGTAGTGGATCATCGAGTCGACGGCGTACGCCATGTCGTGGCCGCTGCGCTTCTCCTCGGGGATGTCGGCGAGCATCTTGGTGAGCGTGGCTTTGAGGCGCTCGACGTCGAAGACGCTGTGGAACAGCATGTCCTTCAGCCAGCTGATGGCCGTCGAATACTTCTCGCGGTCGACGGCGAACTTGATGCGCAGCAGCTCCGAGTTGCTGATGGACGAGCCCGCGTCGATCCGGTACGTCACCGTGTCCTTCTCCAGCTCCGTCACCACCTGCTCGAACTCGATGCGCTTGCCGTCGCGCTCAATCGGCGTCGTGAAGAAGTTGTTGATGTACACGGGCATGAGCGGCTTCAGGTGGAGAGGGACCGAGCCGGTGGACAGCACGAGGCTGAGGTGCACAAAGTTTGTCGGTATTGATTCGAAGTGCATGAACAAGGGAATGTCGCTCTTGTCCTGGTCAATGTGCACCTGCGCCTCATTTTGCTCCACGCCCATCTTCCGCGCGAGGCCGGAGCGAGCGGTCTGAGAGGGGATGAAGTGGATTGAGTCGGTACCAGGAACCTTGAACGAGTCCAGAATCTCGGGCGGGATGGGCTTGTCATTTTCCGCCTTCGCCTCTTCCAGCTTCTCGGCAAGCTTCTTGAGACCCTCCTCGCCGAGGCGGTCCTGCTGAGCCTTGACGCGGGCCTTTTCGTCGCTCTTGAGCTTCTTGGACAGCTTCTTCGACGGCACGCCCAGAATGGAAACGTGGTGAGCATCCGACAGCCACTTGGACAGGAAATCCCGCCACTGCTTATCGGACCACTGCCTCAGCTCCTCGAACACGGCCAGCGAGCTCAAAGACGCGTGCAAAGTCGAGCCGTCGCGGTTGCCGAAAAGGTGGTCCTGAATGATTGCATCGGCGAAGCGGTCGAGCGAGTTCTCCGTCGTCAGCATGACCTGACGCTTCAGTCTGCTGATGCACTCGCTCATGTAGTCCATGTCGAGAGGCTTGGAAGCGGCGTCCTTTAGGATCTCGAAAAACCTCTTCTCCACCTGTCCAAGCTTATCGGTGGCAACACTGCTCAGAGTGAACCAGACTACGACATCCGGGCGGGTGTCAGTCTGGTACCAGACTGCGCTAGCAAGCTGCTCCTTCTCCACGATGAGATTCTCGAGGAGAGAGACTGAAGACTCGGCCAAGTACGTAAGAAGCACATCCATAGCCGTTCCTGCAAACATTAGCATTATCCAATATCAGCCCAAGAAAAGACTCACCATTGACAATGTCATTGCAGTTGGGACCAAAGAACCCTATCAAGATTTCACCAGAAGACTCGTCTGCTTCTGGGAATTCAACGGTATCAACGATAGTCTTGGAAAGCGGGCGAGTCGGGTCCGATTCGACCCACGGCCTCTTGAAAGGCGCGTCTAGCGAGGGCATCTCGTCAACGATTCCGTCTTCGAACTTGTCAAGAATCTCAAGCAGGTTTTCATGATTCACCTCGCCGGTGATGACAAGACAGAGGTTCTTCGGTTGGTACATCTCCTTGTGGAACTCGCGGATGCGGTCGGCAGAAAGGACGCGGAGCTGATCCATCATGCCACCAGTTTCGTAACGGAAGCCGTTGCCTTCGGGGTAGAGCAGGCGGCGAGCGTGAAGCTCCATGAGCTCCCCCTGAGTGTTCTGCACACCCTGCATTTCAGAGTACACGACACCGGCATCTTGGCCGGTGCCGTCAACGTGGTGGACTTCGGTGTAGCAGCCCTCATCGGTCAGGGTAGGGAGGAGAACGTGTTCCAGGTAGACGGGGAGGATCTGGGCAAAGCCGTCCCAGCCCGCCGTATCCAGGGTGTAGGCAGTGTGGTCGGTTGCGGTCCAGGCGTTGGTGTTGGAATAAGCTCTCGTAGCAAGGCGGTCGAGGACGCCCTTGTACTTGTAGCTCTTGGAACCCATGAAGCAAAGGTGCTCTAGGGTATGAGGGGCGCCGGAATCATCGTGGATCTCGGTGGCAAGCGCAAAGTAGCCGTTGACCTTGGGACCTTTCCGGTCAACGACGACGACCCTCATGCCGGTCCTGGCGGACTCGTACTGCGAAAACTCGGCGGGAGCATAGTCGGCCTTGAATTTCTGGATGGTCTTGAAGTGCGTCTTCTTTTCCGCTAAGCCAGGCATGGTGGAGTGCGGGGTAGGTGTCTGCTTCCACAAGAATGCAATACGGGGACTTAAGAAACGCCGGCTAAGCAATATAGAGCTGGCAGCGAGTTAGCAGGCGGCGAGGGATTGGGAGGGAGGGTGGAGGTGGTGCCGGAGTAGCGCAAGTGACGGCCACGGCCTTACGCTTTATGGAAATTCAAGCAGCGAAGACGGTGACACGAGTGACGTCTATTGGAGGAGACGACAGAAATCATAAGATTTATTTTTATTTTTTTCTTGAGCGAGAGAGAGAAGGTAGTCTTACCTAAATATGCGTGTATGTAGGCTGCCGGTCAGGAGGGCGACAGCGACGGCGGGGAAAAGGATGACTACAGTGTGACAGCCCCGCCAATCGGCCAACAATGCTTTTTTTTTCTGGGCGGGTGATAGCAAAGAAAGCTAAGCTGCAGCAAGGATGTGTCGGTGGTGATGATGGAAGTCGTGACGAACGAGCCACCGGGCAAGCAACACATTTCCTTCCCACTTTCTGTGACGTTTTTTGGTCCGGAGCTCCGCCGCTGCTCACCCACCACTCCCACTCCACCACTACCACCATACAAATGCCGCCCATTCTGACGCCCCAGAAATTGGGCGCCGTCGTCCTCGAGTCGGTCGAGCATGGTGCCTACCCGGACTCGGAGCACGTCGCCTCTGCCCAACTGCCGCCCGACGCCTTACCCACGCTGCTCGACGGCATCGAGCGCGCCCAGGAAGAAGTCAAGGTGCGCGCAGCGCCGCATCCGCCCCGCATTGCTGCTGAACAACGCCTGTCTAGGGCGAGATTAGGGCCCTGAGCCGCGACACCGCCCCCGACATCGATGGCTGGATTGCCCAGGCCAAGCAGCTGCAGGCCGACATCGAACGCTCTCGCGCCACAGCCCACGACATTGTCCAGCAGGCCGAGGCCGGCCACTCCCTACAAGCCCACGTCCAGGATGCCTCCAGCAAGTTTGCGCTCCTGCAGAACGAGCTCGCCTTCAACGAGACGCTGGCAGATACGGTTGGCCGGATAAAGGACATTGCTGCTGTGCTGGACGAGGCGCAAGATGCCGCCGCCCAAAACCACATCACCGAGGCATTGGATAAGATGGGGCAGGCCGATGAGGCCATGTCCCATCTTGGCCCTTTCCAAGACACTGCGGTTGCCGGAATACTGCGCAAGAGGTCGACGCAGCTGCGAGCGGAACTGGTCGACAAGGCCATGGGCTTCTGGAACACACTGCTGGAGGTAGATGTCGCCGAGAAGCGCGTTACCATCAAAAAGGAAACAGAGGGTAAGTTCGAGCATCTCGCTTTATAATGCGCCGCTAACCTCTACCAGCTGAGACACCGATAGACCTCGACACCGTAGTTGGCGCGCTTTCTACCCTCGGAAGCCTCGACGCTGCCATTTCAAAGTTCTACAAGGCCCTGGACGTTGCTATATTCGCGCCGCGCTTCGCCATTCATAATGTAAAGGACATTGCCGGGATGACAATTGAAGGCGACACGATGAAAATAGCTAGAGGAGCTGCTACGCCTAGCATTCTTGAGGCAGTGGAAGATATGCGTCATCTGATTACATGGTTTGTTTCCCGTCTACCTACAACAGTATCGAAACCTCTATCAGAAAAGGTTGGACCCATTCTCATAGAGCGCCTAATTTCAGAATGGCTAGACCCATCCATACCCGTATCCCTGGAAGGGTTGGAGCACTTCCAGAAGGTGTTGGCCTCTGTGTCTAGCGTTGCAGATTGCGTAAGTGAGCAAGGCCTGGCAGGCCACGCCGAACTGAGGGACTGGGTGGACAAGGCGCCGCGTAACTGGCTTGCACGAAGAAAGGAAGATGCGTTGGCCTCTGTCCGCACGCTATGCTATAGGGGCACCAAGACTAAGAAGGAAGTTGAGAGGGTTGAGACGCAGACCATCTCCCAGGGTGATGCCCTCGCGGAGACGGGAAGCGCTGGCGCCGACGAAGAAAGCTGGGACGCATGGGATGCTGATGAAGAGCAAAAATCGCAAAAATCAGAGACCAAGCCTCAAGAGGGCGAGGCTCAGGTGGAAGAGGAGGACATGGATGCCAGTGCTTGGGGCATTGATGACGATGAAGCCGAGGCCGACACTGCTGCCGAAGCCAAGTCTGATAAGGGGGCAAAGTCTACCGGAGACGAGGAGGACGACACCGAGGCTTGGGGATGGGGCGACGATGACGATGCCGCCGAGGCTGGTTCAGCGGGCGATACGAAGAGCGACACTGCAGCAAAGCAGAGTCTGCAAAAGCCAAACGGCGAAGAACAACGTCCTCGGACATCGGAGCGGGAGATGACCTTGCGGGAGAGGTACACAGTCACAGAGGTTCCAGACGCGATCATGGAGATCATCCAGCAACTGGTCGCGGACGCCCAAAAGTTGACTGATTCCAAGTAAGTACAGTCATATGCCCCCCAGAAGACATGGACGCTGACCGACCACCAGCTTCTCCGATTCCCCCATCGCTCCGGCCGGCTTTGGTCTCTACTCCATCCCTACGCTCATCCTTGCCATGTACCGCGCCACCGCAGCGACCTACTACACGCACGACATAGCCGGCAACATGCTCATCTACAACGACGCGACGCGGCTCACAGACTCACTGCGCAGCTTCCTGACGACGCAAGCGCAAAAAGACGTGACTTCGGCGCTGCCGCACGCTTCTCGCCCGTCGACGCGCCTCCGCCTCGACGCAGACCTCAAAGCGCTGGAGTCATTCAGCAAGCGCGCGTACGGCAAAGAAATGGAGTCGCAGCGCACGATCCTGCGCGACCTGCTCGACAGCGCGCAAGGCTTCACGAACTGCACCATCGCGCCATTCGCGGGCGAATGCGACAACGCGGTGGCGATGACGGTGGACCGCGTGCGCGAAGTCGCGGCACAATGGCGCGGCGTGCTGAGCCACTCGGCGCGGCTGCAGAGCCTAGGCAGCCTGGTGGCGACGGTGACGCAGAAGGTCATCGTCGACGTTGAGGACATGAGCGACATCTCGGAAGCCGAGTCGAAGCAGCTGCGCGGCTTCTGCGAGCGCATCTCCCAGCTCAGCGACCTCTTCCGGAACGAGGCCGGAGCGGGGGCGGGGGAGGAGGAGCCCGGCACCGCGACGGGTGCTGCGGTTGCAGGCGCAGGCGATATGACGGGCGTGTACACGCCTAACTGGTTCAAGTTCCAGTACCTAAGCGAGATTCTGGAGAGCAGTCTTGCTGATATCAAATACCTGTGGACGGAGGGCGAGCTGAAGCTGGAGTTTGAGGCGGCGGAGGTGGTGGATTTGATTGAGGCGTTGTTTGCGGAGAGCGAGTATCGCCGCAAGGCGATTGCGGAGATTAAGCGCGGGAGCGTGTATCGCTAGGTTGGTGGGTGGGTTCGGTTTGTTGGGTTTGTTGGATAGGCTGGTTGGATGGGTTGGACGGGTTAGGGAGGTGGGGTTGGGCTGTAGTGATAGCGGGATAGGCAATGCTACCTATGTATGCACCGTGTATGTACCTATTCTTTAGCACGGACCGTGGTTGCTACAATGGAAGGGTCCTTCCTGGGCGTGATGTGCGAAATATAGCCATATCGTTTATTGAGCTCGAGGGCTCTTCTTTTCTTTTGATTTATCTTTTTTTCCTGCCAGACCTCTCTCTCTCTCTCTCTTCCGTCCTCCTACCTGGTCTGGTCTTTTAACTTTTATCCTCCTATAGTAGGAGTAGGGGTAACGATGGTGTGCCACCCCCTTGGCCTCGCTCGAGATCTCCTCTTCACTGCCCGTCCGTGGTTTTTTGCTTTTTGACAGCGCGCTGAGATGCCCCTTTCCCTTTTTTTTCCTTTCTTTTCTTTTCTTTTCCCTTCCTCCTCTCTCTCTCGCTATCTCGTAACTCGTAACTAACAACGCACATTCGTGCGGTTCGGTGGGCAGGTACTTAGGCACTGCCCAGCAGCACCTTCCTCGTCTCCATCCCACCAACCCCCCTTCCTCCCCTCCTCCCCCGTTCCGCCCACCCCCTCACCACTCACACCTCCTCAACAACGACCTCCTGCCACGCACACCGCTCCTCGGCCCACGCCTGCCGCCGCTCGTCGACGTGGCTCCCCGCGGCCTCGACCTCCAGATGCAGCGCCTGCAGCTTGAAGGCCGCTTGCTTGGCCTGCAGGACCTCGATGCGGCGTTCGTGTGTCGCGAAGGGCTCGGCCGAGACAGAAGTTTGGAGCGTTATCAGCGTCGTCATGTATCTGCGTTGTGAGAGGAGGGTTAGTTGGGCTGCTGCTGCTGCGGGGAGGGGGAGGGGGGTAGTGGGGTTTTAAGGGAGGGGCTTTTTTTAGGGGAGGCGCACTTGTTCGTCTCGTCTATCAAGTCTTTCAGCACGCCTTTTAGTACCGATACGTCGGCGTCTTGGTCGCGTAGGTCGGCGTAGCGCTGCCCTTGGGCGCGGATGGAGGCTTCGGCTGCGTTGGGGTCGAAGGGACCCATGGTGGTGTTTTCTTTTTTTGGTTTTGGGTTTGATTTTTCTTTTTTGGGGTCCTTGTATGGATATGTATACGCTTCCGTCGTCGAACCAGCGGCGCCGGACGTTTGTCTGCTCTTTTGAATATAAAGAAAGGTAATATAAGAAAGGTATAGTCTTTAAACGGTCTTGCACAGCAAGATAGAGAAGAAGACGAAGAAGACGAAGAAGAAGTTGAAGAAATAGAGGAAGACAAGAAGAAAAAGAGGATGAAGAGAAGTGAAGAATAAGAAGAAGTAGTAGTAGTAGTAGTAGAAGAAGAAGAAGAGAACACAACAGAACAAGACCAGCAAATCCCACAATCCAAGCAGCCAACCCCCCCCCGCCGCTCCTCGCAGCTATTTGTACTCCCACCATGCGCACCCATCGGCAGCAGCACCCACGCGCCCACGCAACCGCAGCCGGGCATCGGGATGGATCCCAAACAACGACCGCCGCCTCCTGCGCATCCGAGCCGGCGCGCGCGGCGGAGGGCGCGCTCCCGCTCCCGCTCGCAGTGCACACACACGCAGTGCACGGCAGGGCCAACCAACGTAGGTGCCATACGCCCTAGCGCTCGCGGACCAACCGCCGCGCATACCACGCACGCGGGACGTTTTGCGAGGCGACGCTCAAGGCACTGCTCTGCGGGGCTCAATGCGGCAATCCGCCGTGTATGAAGCCCGGACGATGTTTCTGACTGGTGGACCCCCGTGTTTGACCTTGCGTGGGCACGCCCGCGCCTCGCTACCCCGTCCTGCTACACGTCGCGTGTCCGTCTTTGGCCCGTTGGCGGCATCGCCGTAGTTATTTCCCGCTCTTCGTTGTATTGTACAGTGCCTACCTACATACATACCTGGCCGCTGCTGGTGCTGCCCGCGGGGCTCGCCGTTTCGAGGCCCGCGCTGCTGGGTGCGCCGGTGCCGTGCGTGCCTGGTGCTGATCTCCGCTTGCTTATTGCTGCTTGGCTTGCTGGCTGAGACAGATTGCTGCTGGTGATGATGCGATCGATCGTGATGCGAAGCAAGGACTATGCGACCAGTCGAGCCGAGCATATAGATGGATCTTCGGTGCTGCGCAATAGTAGCCGAGGACGGTGGCGCCTCGTCTTCCATGCTTGGAACGATTTAAAGCCGAGGTTAAGGAAACGCGTGCATGCACTGCTGCTCACTACAAGTGATTTGCGCCAGGGTCTCAAGTTGAAAGAAAAAGAAGAAAAAAAAAAAGTCTCTTAAAGCTCGTCTGAAACTACCCAAGTAAGATGTATAGCTCAAGTCGTACCGTTGACCCACGCACGCCCTGATGCCCTAACCCTGCTGTGCAAAGAAGCGAAAATGGCGAGCGAGAAGATTTGTATGTGCTGCTGCTGCTGTGCCGAATTCTAGAGCTGAACGCCGCAGATGATGCAAAAAAGGAGCTGTTGCTGGACCGCACTGGAGACGGACGCGCGACTTGATGCGTCGCCAGCTGCATGTGCCGCCTACGTGGACAATCAAGTCGGCTCTTTGCAACACCAACTTGCCTGATCAGCGCAATGGCTCATCACGGGCAGCGTTCAACTTGCGCAAAGCCGTATCCAGCGAGTCGGCACCTCTTTGTCCAACTCGCCCTTTCGCGCGATCAGTTGCCAAGAATCGCTTTGTGTGGTCCGAGGGAAGTGTATAGAGTACGTGGGTGGCAGGATGGGGGTAGTTGTTTGCCGTAAATAGTTTCACATGAAGTCGTCGCTGCAACAATGTCAGTTTGAGCCAGGCACTGTGCAACCGCGTAAACTTACTCGCCGAAGTCATCGTCGTAGGCCGTAGTGTCAGCTCTGGACGTAGTGTCGCGGGCTGCGTTCAGACTGGTCTTGGTCTTCGCGGCCTTGCTCTTCTTGCCGCCCTTCTCCGCAGCCTTCTCCTCCTTCATCTTCTCATTCGACAGCGTCGTCAAGCCCGAGGCAACCTTCTTGATCTGGTCGCTGGGCATCTCCTTGCAGATCATCTTGGCGAACTCCTGCATGAAGATCGTGTACTGCGCCTTCTTGGCATTGGCGGAGATAAGCGGCGCCAGCGTCTCGCGCAGCTTGAGGAACTGATCCTTCGTCTGCGGGTTGAAGATGGGAAGCGTGGAAAGGTCGATCGTGTTGCCAGGGTCGCTGGGGTCGGACATTGTGACAGGCTTCGTAGCAGAACGCTTGCTGCCACCACCGATAGCCAGCTCGCCGAAGAGGTCCTCAGCCGCCTTCAGGTCGGCATCCTGCTCGGTCCTCCGCAAGCGGGCACGACGGGTGGCCTCGTCCTCGGACTCGTCGCTGCTCTCGTCCTCCTCGGCCTGCCGCCTCCTCAGCTTCTCCTGTCTCCGCTCCTCGATGCGCTGGCTCTTCGACTTGTGGTTCGCCTTGGCTTCAGCCTCAGCCTTGGCCTTGGCCTCTTCGGCCTTCTTTGCCTTCTCACGCTCGGCATCGGAGTCCTCGGCGGCGTCCCACGACTCGAGGACCTGAGAGGTATGTTAGCGACCGATCTCGGAGGCAACAGCAAAAGAATTGCGGCAAAAGCGTACATCCTCTTCCTCTTCGTCGTCCCACTTGCCGCGGCGCACGACGGGGGCGGCGGGGCTCTCGTCTTCGGACTCTTCGTCTGTAGAGATGGCGGGGTTAGTCGGGATTCTTGGGCAGCGTTTGCTCCGTACGGCTGGGGCGCGGGGCCCGAGAAAATTGTTGCGGGCGTATGGGTGACGTACCCCACTTGTTGGGTGCCATGTTGCTGGATGATAGAGTGGCTGGATGGAGCTCGGGATGCGCAGGCGAGAGCTGGCTGAAGCGCGGAGGGAGGCGGTGATGTGGTTGCGGAAATTCAAGGTGGGTTGTCAAAGGGTTCGGTGCTTTGTCTTTCTTCGCTAAATTTGGCTTTGGGCTGGTCGCGACCTTTTTTCACCATAATGCCCGCCCAACGTGGTCAACATGGACTGGCTGCGCTGCTATTTTGAGCCTGCATACATATGCGCGCTGCTGCACAACCTTCACTGCGACTTCTCCATAGAAATGTTCCGCGCGATCTTCTCCCCAGCAAATTGTGGAACCCGCCGAGGCTCGGGCTAGCTGCTCGTCCAGGGACTGCACTATGCCCTCCACCAGGGTCTATGGAAATATCGTTTGTAGGGACACGACAGCGTCGTCCACGTGTTGCTGAGGTGAGAGTCCTCATAACCTCGGGAAGCAAGTCTAGGTCTACCATGGCCATGGCGGATAAGCTTGTCCCGTTCAATGGGCTTCGGAGTAGGTAGTAGGCGCAGTGGTACATTGTCGTCCCCCAAATCCGTCTACTTAACTGTTCGAAGGGTTATGCTTGGATTGTGTTGAGAGAGTTTGGGATTGCTCCAGCAAGATGTGACGGAGAGATCTTGGGCTTCTAAACAGTAGTAGACGACGGTACATAGGGATAATTGTATAGCTGGCTCTGGGCTGTATGAGCGGTCACGGTGGCCCTTGCGATCGGCAGAGGCCGCGCAAGACGCAATGCGGAAAAGGACATTCATCAAACAGAGAGTCGACTGTGAAGGGTGTTTGACCTGCTCCACAGGCCGCGAGGAAGTCTCGTGGCGGTGACAATGCCCAATTGAACAACGGGGAGAAGCTGCGTACATGCATGTCTAAGTAGAATTGAAATGTCTACCACTGGTCACTGGGGCGAGAGGGAGTCCAGCTACCATGAAGACAAGCAGCGGGAGTTTGCAAATCACGCACTTTGCCGCACCCTGCAATCTCGCACAAAGCAAAGAGGGATGTGTTCTGGGTCTGGGGAGGGCTGGGTACTGTTTGGTCGGCGACGTCAGCCTCCGACTAGGCTTAGCGCCCTCAGCTCGCGCGGCCAGCTTGCCCGGCCATCAACTCCTGACAGCAAGCCTCCAGCATCAACACCCTCTTCACCGAACCTTTCCCTTTCTAGATCGCTTCCAGCAAGTTAGGCGCCTGGCTTGCGGGATCTTCCTTACTCACGAATTCCTCCTCTCTTTAATCACGAGCGGCGTTGGTACTGGTTGATGAGGTGGCACATTGGGATCGCAATCACTCGTAGTTATGGCTCCTCTACCCATTAAGTTCGCGGAGCTGCTGCAGGTATGGCCCATCCTTGCCCGCTTTCGGCGCTGAAAGCTAACCGCTGACTTGCTCCAGCTCACCGCAGTTGACATTCTTGTACGTACCGCCCACCGCCAAAGCCTCTGCAAGAGCCCAAAACACGCCCAAGAGGACAGCGCTAACAAGACAACCAGCCGGCGTCGATTGGTTTCAACTCATGCGTAAGTCGCCTCCGCCGCCGCTCCGCGCAAGAAATCGGACAGAATTGACCTTGCCCGCAGACGCTCGAGTCCGACTCCTTCATTTGCGTCAGGCAGAAGGCCGACGAATCTGCTTCGCCCGAAGTCATCATAATCGACCTCAAGAATGGCAACAACATCATCCGGAGGCCTATCAAGGCCGACAGCGCCATTATGCACTGGAACAAGCAGATCATCGCGCTCAAGGCGCAACAACGGACACTGCAGATCTTCGATCTCGGCGCTAAGGCGAAGCTGAAGTCTACGACCATGAACGAGGATGTCGTGTTCTGGAAGTGGTTCAGCGAGACGAGCCTAGGTCTTGTTACGGAGAACTCGGTCTGGCACTGGAACATTTTTGACCCTAACCAGGCGACGCCGGTGAAGATATTTGACAGGAATCCTACCCTTTCGGTGCGCTAGGCCAATGCCGATTCTGCAAAGGGCGTCAGGCTGATAAAATCCCAGGGCTGCCAAATCATCAACTACCGCGTTAACGCGGAAGAGAAGTGGTCGGTAATTGTTGGTATCTCCCAGCAGCAGGGCCGCGTCGTCGGAGCTATGCAGCTCTACTCGAGAGATCGCGGTATCAGTCAGAACATCGAGGGCCACGCGGCAGCATTCGGCTCGATCCGTATGGAGGGCGCACCAGCAGACACCAAGGTCTTCACGTTCGCCGTGCGGACAGCGACTGGCGCGAAGCTTCACGTCGTCGAAATCGACCACCAGGCCGGAAACCCCACGTTCCCCAAGAAGGCCGTCGACGTCTATTTCCCCGCCGAAGCCACCAACGATTTCCCCGTCGCGATGCAGGTCTCTCAGAAGTACAACATTATCTACATGGTCACCAAGTACGGCTTTATCCACCTCTACGACCTCGAGACCGGCACCTGCATCTTCATGAACCGTATTTCGAGCGAAACCATATTCGTCACCGCCCCCGACTCGGATTCAGCTGGTATCGTTGGTGTCAACCGCAAGGGTCAGGTCCTGTCCGTGCAGCTGGATGAGAACACGGTCATTCCGTATCTGCTTCAGAACCCCGCGAACGGCGAGTTGGCGTATAAATTGGCCTCCAGGGCGGGTCTCCCGGGTGCCGACAACCTGTACCAGCAGCAATTCGAGAACCTGCTCGCATCTGGACAGTATGCCGAGGCGGCCAAGACCGCCGCGAACTCTCCCCGTGGCTTCCTCCGTACTCCTCAGACCATCGAGCGCTTCAAGGCTGCGCCTGCTCAGGCTGGACAACTTTCGGTCATCCTGCAATACTTCGGCATGCTCTTGGACAAGGGCAAGCTCAACCAGTTCGAAACCTTGGAACTTGTCCGGCCGGTATTGCAGCAGGGCCGCAAACACCTTTTGGAGAAGTGGCTCAGTGAGGGCAAGCTTGAGTGCTCGGAGAACTTGGGTGACATCGTCAGGCTGCATGACCTGGGCCTGTCCTTGACCATCTATCGCGAAGCTGGCGCTTCTCAGAAGGTCGTTGCTGCGCTGGCAGAACTGGGCAGATTTGATGAGATTCTGCCTTACGCAAAGGAGAGCGGCTATACTCCAGACTTCACTGTCCTTCTTCAGCACATTGTCCGTGTTAACCCCGAGAAGGGCGCTGAGTTTGCTACGGCCCTGGCCAAGGAAGAGTCCGGCCCTCTGGTTGATATCGATCGTGTGGTGGACATCTTCCAGTCTCAAGGCATGGTGCAGCAGTGTACCGCTTTCTTGCTTGATGTGCTGGCGCCTAACCTGCCTGAGCAAGGGCACCTGCAGACCAAGTTGCTCGAGATGAACCTCTTGAACGCACCGCAAGTTGCTGATGCGATTCTTGGCAACGAGATGTTTTCGCATTACGACAAGCCGCGCATCTCGCAACTCTGCGAGGGTGCCGGCTTGTTGACAAGAGCTCTGGAGCACAACGAGGATCCGGCAGCCATCAAGCGCATCATTGTCCAGACTGACAAGCTTCCCGAGGAATGGCTCCTCAACTACTTCGGACATCTCACCGTCGAGCTGTCCATCGACTGCTTGGACGAGATGCTCAAGGTCAACATCCGCCAGAACCTCCAAGCGGTCATCCGCATCGCCCAGAAGTACTCCGACTTGCTTGGTCCCACTCGCATCATCGATCTCCTGGAGAAGTACCGCACTGCCGAGGGTCTCTTCTTCTACTTGGGTGGCATCGTTAACCTTAGCGAGGACAAGGACGTTGTCTTCAAATACGTCGAGGCTGCTACGACCATGGGCCAGCTCAACGAAGTTGAGCGCATTTGTAGGGAAAACAACTTCTATGATCCCGAGAAGGTCAAGAATTTCCTCAAGGAGGCCAGGTTGACGGAGCAGCTTCCGCTGATTATTGTCTGCGATCGCTTCAACTTCATCCACGACCTCGTCCTCTACTTGTACAAGCAGCAGCAGTTCAAGTCCATTGAAGTTTACGTTCAGCGCGTCAACCCCGCCAGGACCCCTCCCGTCATCGGCGGTCTCTTGGATGTTGACTGTGATGAGAGCATCATCAAGGGCTTGTTGATGTCTGTCAACCCTGCTTCTATCCCCATCGACGAGCTCGTGGCCGAGGTTGAGACTCGCAACCGCCTGAAGCTTTTGCTGCCCTTCCTTGAGGCTTGCTTGGCTAGCGGTAACCAGCAGCAGGCCATCTTCAACGCTCTTGCGAAAATCTACATTGACAGCAACAACAACCCCGAGAAGTTCCTGCGTGAGAACGACATGTACGACACCTTGACTGTTGGTAAATACTGCGAGGCCCGTGACCCGAGCCTGGCCTTCATTGCCTACCAGAAGGGCCAGAACGACCTGGAGTTGATCAACATCACCAACGAAAACTCCATGTTCAAGGCGCAGGCCAGATATCTGTTGGAGCGTGCGGACCCTGAGATTTGGGAATATGTCCTCAGCCCGAACAACCTGTTCCGCAGGTCTGTTGTTGACCAGGTCACCGCCACTGCCGTTCCGGAGTCTCAGGACCCTGACAAGGTCTCTATTGCTGTCAAGGCCTTCATTGGCGGCGACATGCCCACTGAGCTCATTGAGTTGTTGGAGAAGATCATTCTTGAGCCTTCTGCCTTCAGCGACAACCCGACGCTGCAGAACCTTTTGATGCTCACGGCCGCTAAGTCTGACCGGGGTCGCATGATGGGTTACATCCAGCAGCTTGAGCACTACACTCCCGAAGACATTGCGGCGCAGTGTATCGAGCTTGGCATGTACGATGAGGCGTTTGAGATCCACAAGAAGCACAACAACCACGTTGAGGCTGTTAATGTCCTTGTTGATCACATCGTCAGCATTGACCGTGCTCAGGAGTACGCCGACCGTGTCGATCTGCCTGAGGTCTGGAGCAAGGTCGCCAAGGCTCAGCTCGATGGTCTGCGTGTCAGTGACTCGATTGAGTCTTACATCCGTGCTCAGGATGCAACCAACTACAACGAGGTCATTGAGATTGCGACTCACGCCGGCAAGGACGAGGACCTTATCAAGTTCTTGAGAATGGCCCGCAAGACCATGCGCGAGCCTCCTATCGATACCGGTTTGGCTTTCTGCTATGCCAGGACCAACCAGCTTTCCGAGCTGGAGGATTTCCTGCGCTCCACCAATGTTGCTGATGTTGAGGCTTCTGGTGACAAGGCCTACGAGGAGGGTTACCACGAGGCTGCCAAGATTTTCTTCACCAGCATTTCCAACTGGGCCAAGCTCGCCACTACTCTCGTTCACCTCGAGGACTACCAGGCTGCTGTCGAGTGCGCTCGCAAGGCCAACAGCACCAAGGTCTGGAAGCAGGTCAACGAGGCGTGCGTTGCTAAGAAGGAGTTCCGTCTGGCCCAGATTTGCGGTCTCAACTTGATCGTCCACGCTGAGGAGCTGCAGGATCTTGTCAAGCAGTATGAGAGGAATGGTTACTTCGACGAGCTTATCTCTTTGCTCGAGGCCGGTCTTGGTTTGGAGCGTGCTCACATGGGTATGTTCACCGAACTTGGCATTGCTCTTTCCAAGTACCACCCCGACCGCGTCATGGAGCACCTGCGTCTCTTCTGGTCCCGCATCAACATTCCTAAGATGATTCGTGCTTGCGAGGAGGCGCACCTGTGGCCCGAGCTGGTCTTCCTGTACGTCCACTACGACGAGTTCGACAACGCTGCGCTCGCCATGATGGAGCGTGCTGCCGATGCATGGGAGCACCACTCCTTCAAGGACACCGTCGTCAAGGTGGCGAACTTGGAGATCTACTACCGCGCGTTGAACTTCTATCTCCAGGAGCAGCCTTCGCTCCTGACTGATCTCCTGCAGGCACTCACTCCCAGGGTTGATGTCAACCGTGTTGTTCGCATGTTTGAGAAGTCTGACAACATCCCTCTGATCAAGCCGTTCCTGCTCAACGTCCAAACGCAGAACAAGCGTGCTGTCAACAACGCTATCAACGACTTGCTCATCGAGGAGGAGGACTACAAGACTCTCCGTGACTCTGTCGAGAACTATGACAACTACGATGCTGTGGAGCTGGCACAGCGCCTGGAGAAGCACGACCTTGTCTTCTTCAGACAGATTGCTGCCAACATCTACCGCAAGAACAAGCGTTGGGACAAGTCCATTGCTCTGTCCAAGCAGGACAAGCTGTTCAAGGATGCAATCGAGACTTCCGCTCTGTCCGGAAAGGCAGATGTTGTCGAGGAGCTGCTCCGCTACTTTGTCGACATTGGCAGCCGCGAGTGCTACGTTGGTATGCTCTACGCTTGCTACGATCTCATCCGTCCCGATGTCATCCTGGAGATCTCGTGGCGCAACGGCCTTAACGACTTCACTATGGTAAGTTCATGGTGCTATATCTTCTTGATGCAAATTACTGACTTGGAATTAGCCATATATGATCAACTTCTTGAGTCAGCAGGCCGCTGCCATCGAGCAGTTGAAGAAGGACAACGAGGAGCGCAAGACCAGGGAGCAGTCTCAGCAGAAGAACGAGGAGAGCACGCCCATCCTGGGTGGTTCGCGCCTCATGCTCACGCAGGGCCCGATGTCGGCCGCTCCCTCTCCCGCGCCTTACGCCAACGGCATCCCGCCTCAGGCCACTGGGTTCCGCGGATTCTAAGCAGTGGCTGTGGAGCACGAATGATTATTTGAAGGAGGTGCGCAGGGGTCGCTCCGGGCCGGCATGATATACCCTTCATTACACAGGGCTTAGAGCTTTCGGCTCGGCACAGCGAGGGGCTGGCTGGCTGGGTTGTATTGATGAACGAGCGTTGACGAAGGATGGAATGACTTTTGCATTGTGCGAAAAGAGCTTAAACCTTGTATTCTAATTTTCGGTCCCCATACGGGATCCACCGCGACTTGCAATTTGACTTGTACTCTGACGTTTGTCTGCTGTTGTTGGATGATGGTCATGTCGGCGCGTGGTGAGCCTGTGAGTCACGTTGGCGGTTGGCGGAGCCCGCCACGCCAGCCCGCCCAACCAACGAAGGCGCGACAGGCCGGTTTGACACTACCTACGACTCTTACTACAGGAATCTGCTGCAACAACGGCACACTAAGTCGGCCGACAGATAAGGCGCTCAACAAACGACACATGTCGTGGGGGCGCAGGTACACACATACTCCGTACACACATACACACGGCCTGCTGAGCTGAGTGAGAATGCTGTGTGCGTGTGCAGACGGCAGACCTCACGATGGCTCCAGGTGTAGTAATTCCAGTCGTCCGGCGGTGCACACACGGCAGTGCGGGTAAGCCAGACGAATCACAGGGCAGGGACCCGCCAGCAAGGTGCATGCAGATACGCGTGCAGCCCCAGGCGGAAAGCAGCAAGCTGAGACCCGAGGCTGGAAAGTTTCTCCGCGTCAGCCAAAAGGATGTGCAGCAAGGATTCCTGCTTTTTGCCGCCGCATTTCGCCATTGTCGCAACCGGCATACCGAGCTGAGGTCGGGCGGCCTGCGAGCATGCAGAAGGATGAAAGCGCGCGCGCGCGTTATCGGTGACTGGGCACGGGATCGTTGGCAGAGCAATGCGCGCGGCGGGGCCGTCCTATGATGTATTAGCAGATGGAATTGTGACCTTAGCTCCCACTTATCGCCAGCGATCGCGTCAAAGCTTCAAGCTTTACTCACATCCCGCCAGCCGTGCTGCCCCTCGCACGTCAAAACCAACTTAGCCGCCCGCCGTCCTCTTTCCATCTCACAGTCCCTTCTCCCTTCTTCTCTCTTGTCCCTCATCTCTTCGTTTCCCGTCTTCACATCCGCCCACCATGACGGACGTTATGACCGACAAGGGCACCAGCCAGGGCGCCACCACCATCGAGGAGCACGATGAGGAGCACATTGACACCAGGAACTCGGTCCACAGGCGGCTGCGCGCCAACAGCTCCATCATGCAGCTGAAGAAGATTCTGGGTGAGGCGTGGCCCTGAAGCTCTCTTTGTCCCGCACGCCCGCTCACTGATGCCCCGCAGTCGCGAACAGAGGCGAGATCCCCATCCGCATCTTCCGTACCGCGCACGAACTGTCGCTCCACACCGTCGCCGTCTACAGTTATGAGGACCGGCTCAGCATGCACAGGCAAAAGGCCGACGAGGCCTATGTCATCGGCAAGAGAGGGCAGTACACGCCCGTCGGCGCATATCTGGCCGGCGAAGAGATTGTCAAGATTGCGCTGGAGCACGGAGTCAACATGATTCACCCCGGTTACGGTTTCTTGTCCGAGAACGCCGAGTTTGCGCGCAACGTGGAGAAGGCGGGTTTGATTGTGAGTGTTCCCCCCCCCCGAATTCGGTCATGGACTGCCACGAGTGCCCCTCGGCGCTAGCGCGGGGCTCCGGGCGGAGCTGGCTCACCGGACATGGCAGGCGGACGACCGCCATGTCTCGGCACCGCTCGCCAAGCCACCCCAACACTGCGCAAATCTGCGCAATTGTGGGCACTAATATGGGCACATGGTCTTGGTCGTGGCTGGGCGATATCGGGTAGCAAAAGCTGACGGGAGAACTTGTGCAGTGGGTCGGTCCTACCCCCCATACTATCGATTCCCTTGGCGACAAGGTCTCCGCTAGGAAGCTCGCCATTGAGTGCAAGGTTCCCGTCGTACCGGGCACGCCGGGCCCCGTCGAGACTTACGAAGAGGTCAAGTCCTTCACCGACGAGTATGGCTTCCCGGTCATCATCAAGGCCGCCTTTGGCGGTGGTGGCCGTGGTATGCGAGTGGTGCGCGACCCGGCGTCGCTGAAGGAGTCGTTTGAACGCGCCACTTCTGAGGCGAAGACTGCCTTTGGTAACGGCACCGTCTTCGTCGAGCGCTTCCTCGACAAGCCCAAGCACATTGAGGTGCAGCTGCTGGGTGACAACCATGGAAATGTGGTCCACCTGTTTGAGCGTGATTGCTCCGTCCAGCGTCGTCACCAGAAGGTCGTCGAGCTTGCCCCTGCCAAGGACCTTCCCCAGGAGACGCGCGACGCCATCCTCGCTGATGCTGTCAAGCTGGCCAAGTCTGTCAACTACCGCAATGCTGGTACTGCGGAATTCCTGGTCGACCAGCAGAACCGCTACTACTTCATTGAGATCAACCCTCGTATCCAGGTCGAGCACACCATCACTGAAGAAATCACCGGCATCGATATCGTTGCTGCCCAGATCCAGATTGCCGCTGGCGCATCACTGGCTCAGCTTGGTCTGACCCAGGATCGCATTTCTACTCGCGGCTTTGCTATTCAGTGCCGTATCACCACCGAGGACCCCGCCAAGGGCTTCGCTCCTGATACGGGTAAGATTGAGGTGTACCGCTCTGCCGGTGGTAACGGTGTCCGTCTTGATGGTGGCAACGGTTTCGCCGGCGCCGTTATTACTCCTCACTACGACAGTATGTTGGTCAAGTGCACTTGCCATGGCTCAACATACGAAATCGCTAGGAGAAAGATGATTCGTGCTTTGGTCGAGTTCCGTATCCGCGGTGTCAAGACCAACATTCCCTTCTTGTCTTCCCTTCTCACCCACCCCACTTTCATCGAGGGCACTTGCTGGACTACTTTCATCGACGATACCCCTGAGTTGTTCGCCCTGGTTGGTAGCGCGAACCGTGCTCAGAAGCTGCTGTCCTACCTTGGTGACCTCGCGGTCAACGGAAGTCAAATCAAGGGCCAGATCGGCGAGCCCAAGTTCAAGAGCGACGTCGTCATCCCCACCCTCCACACGCAGGATGGCAAGGCCCTCGACTGCTCTGAGCCTTGCGCAAAGGGCTGGAGAAGCGTCATTCTCGAGCAGGGCCCCGAAGGATTCGCTAAGGCTGTGCGTGCCAACCAGGGCTGTCTCGTCATGGACACCACCTGGCGTGATGCGCACCAGTCTCTGCTTGCGACCAGAGTCAGAACCGTCGACATGCTCAACATCGCCAAGGAGACGTCCCACGCCTACTCCAACGCTTGGGCGCTGGAATGCTGGGGTGGTGCTACCTTCGATGTGGCGATGCGCTTCCTGTACGAGGACCCCTGGGAGAGGCTGAGGAGGATGAGGAAGCTCGTCCCCAACATCCCCTTCCAGATGCTTCTGCGTGGCGCGAACGGTGTTGCGTACTCCTCGCTTCCAGACAACGCCATTGACCACTTCGTCGACCAGGCGAAGAAGAACGGTGTCGATATCTTCCGTGTCTTTGACGCCTTGAACGATATTGACCAGCTTGAGGTTGGTGTCAAGGCCGTCCTTAAGGCTGGCGGTGTTGCCGAGGGAACCATGTGCTACAGCGGTGATAGTAAGTTGATTTTTCAACTGGCCCATCATCTGATGTTGCCTTCCATGATACGTTCAATACTGACTTTGATAACAGTGCTTAACCCCAAGAAGAAGTACAACTTCGAGTACTACATGGATCTTGTCGACAAGATCGTCAAGATGGGTGCGCATGTCCTTGGTATCAAGGATATGGCCGGTGTTCTCAAGCCTAGGGCTGCTACGATTCTCATCGGCGCTATTAGGGAGAAGTACCCCGACCTTCCCATCCACGTCCACACCCACGACTCGGCGGGTACTGGTGTTGCTTCTATGGTTGCCTGCGCGCAGGCGGGTGCTGATGCAGTTGACGCTGCTATTGACAGCTTGTCCGGCATGACCTCTCAGCCCAGCATTGGTGCATTGCTGGCCTCGCTCGAGGGTGGACCCCACGACCCCGGCCTTGACGGCCATGTCATCCGCCACCTCGACAGCTACTGGGCGCAGCTCCGTCTGATGTACTCTCCCTTCGAGGCCCATCTGACTGGTCCTGACCCCGAGGTCTACGAGCACGAGATCCCTGGTGGTCAGCTCACCAACCTCATCTTCCAAGCTTCCCAGCAGGGTCTTGGCGAGCAGTGGGCTCAGACCAAGAAGGCGTACGAGGAGGCCAACGACATTCTGGGCGATATTGTCAAGGTCACGCCTACTTCCAAGGTCGTCGGTGACTTGGCGCAATTCATGGTGTCTAACAACCTTACCTACGACGATGTCCTCAAGAAGGCCCAGGAGCTCGACTTCCCCAGCTCTGTGCTGGAATTCTTCGAGGGTCTCATGGGCCAGCCGTACGGCGGCTTCCCCGAGCCCCTGCGCACGCACGCCCTCCGTGACCGCCGCAAGATGGACAAGCGCCCTGGTCTCTACCTCGAGCCCGTCGACTTTGTCAAGGTCAAGAGGGAGCTTAAGGAGAAGTTTGGCGGCGCGACCGAGACGGACGTGGCGTCTTACGTCATGTACCCGAAGGTGTTTGAGGACTACAAGAAGTGGACGATGAAGTACGGCGACCTGTCGGTGCTGCCGACGCGCTTCTTCCTGGCCAAGCCCGAGATCGGCGAGGAGTTCCACGTCGAGCTGGAGAAGGGCAAGGTGCTGATCCTGAAGCTGCTGGCCATTGGCCCGCTCAGCGAGCAGACGGGCCAGCGCGAGGTCTTCTACGAGATGAACGGCGAGGTGCGCCAGGTCACGGTCGACGACCAGCACGCCGCCGTCGAGAATAAGAGCCGCCCCAAGGCTGACTCGACGGATACGAGCCAGGTCGGCTGCCCGATGGCGGGCGTGGTGGTCGAGGTGCGCGTCCATGACGGCAGCGATGTCCAGAAGGGCGACCCGATTGCTGTGCTCAGCGCTATGAAGATGGTAAGTCACTTGCTGCTGCTGCTGATGATGATGATGATGTTTCTGAAAGCTTGCATGGCGGACTATGCATCCCCATGCATGCATGCACATTGGGTGTTTCGAATTAAAAGAACATGTGCTAACCACACATGTCTGCAACAGGAAATGGTCATCTCGGCGCCGCACTCGGGCAAGATTGGCTCGCTGATGGTGCACGAGGGCGAGTCGCTGGGCGCCCAAGACTTGATCTGCAAGATTGTCAAGTAAGGGCTCTCTCGAGTAAAACAGAAAAAGCGGCTGCTTGGCTGCTGCTGCTGCTGCTGCTGCTGCTGTGCGTTTTGATTGGGCATTTGCCATGCGTGCATGCATGCGTGTGTGCGTGTGTGTGTATGGGTGGGTATGACACTTACCTATGGAGACAAAAACGCGGGGAAGGAAGGTGCCTGCCTGCCTGCCCGCTACTAGGTTAGGCCGCCTGTGATGGGTCGATGGGGCCGTGGGACGTGGGATGTGGGATGTGGGATCCGCATGCGCATGCGATGCTGGACGTGAAAGTGGAGTGCAGGGAACGCACCTCGGGCGTCTGCATGCGCGATGACGTTGCGCTCTTGTCGGTCGGCACACCTTACCTACTTACTTACTCTACTCTAAGTAGGTAGGTGGGCTGGATCTGAAACCTGTGTGCTGCGATGATGGATGGACTATGGCTATGATGTTTGCTGTTTCTTTTTCCTTTCTTTTTTCCCTTTTCTTTTTCCCCTTCTTCTTTCCTTCTTCTTCTACATCTTCGTTTCCTAGAGATAAACTTAGGTCCTACCTACCTATGATGATGATAAAATACTCAACCTGATTTGACTTGAATGGCGTGTGTGTGTGTGTGTGTGTGTGTGTGTGTGTGTGTGTGTGTGTGTGTGTGTGTGTGTGTGTTTCACGTGCATAGCATGACAATCTATTCTCAGGCACTGGTGGTGCGATGGTGTGAGCTGTTTGGATGGTTGTGGTTTGGATTGGTTGGATTGGTTGGAATGGGATGGGAACGGGAGGCTTCCGTTCCTGTTCCTGTTCCTGTCTACCTACTCCGTAGCATCTTTCCGCTCTCGTGCAAGTGGGTGGGAGGTGAAGCTTATCCTTGCCTGTCTGTCTCTCTTTCCCTCGTGCGAGCGAGCGAGGCTTCCATTCACTGGTGGCATCGGCGGCGACGGAAGCGCGATACAAGCTAAGATTACTTACAAATCCGACGACCTAGGATGCGAGGGGCTGGCTAGGAGCAGACGAGATGCGTTGATAGGAGGGAGCATTTGTAAGCTGTTTTGGTCGTGGGAGTGGTTGGTGAGTGAGTGTACGCGTCCAACTAGGTACTCGTACGAAGCGTCGCAGTTGGTGTTGGGGTCGGTGGGGGAACGACGGGCCGCTGTGCTGGGATAGGGTTCATGGGTAGATTGGGGGAGCTGCCGCAAGCAGAAGGTACGGAGTAGCTGATCAGCGCGCCGCGTTACCTACTGTAGAGTACTTACTCGGCCGAGCAAGGCGTGCAGCTGCGCCTGGGAGTACAGTGCTCTACTTCGTACGGAGGGGGTCTCTCTCTCTCTCTCTCTCTCTTTGTCTCTCTTTCTCTGTGTCGCTCTCACGATCTCTCGCTCTTACTCGCACACTCGGACATCGGACCCCAGCCCGATGCGCGCGCTCATTGCTCTAACGGGGCTAGAGGAATGCGGAGGCGTGGCTTAGCTTTTTAGCTGGGGTCCTGGGGCCTGGGGTCGCTCGATTGGGCGCCGATTGCGTAGGTCGGCTGCTGCTAGGGCGGGGTAGGACGGGGATGGGGGGAGGGCGTCATCGCCCTCGGGGTGCGCGCTGGTTGGTCGGTTCGTGGGATGCTTGCTATGCTGGGCCTGTGGTCGGTCGCACGTTTATAAAGGGCGGTTGGGTCGGTTTCTTGTCTGTCTGCTTGTCTCTCTGCCTCGCTGTCTATCTATGACTACTGCTAAGACTACGGCGACTACTATCGACCTGACTTGAGTTGCTCTTTCCTGAGAAAGAGTGTCTACGCCTACCCTCCTACCTCTTACTACTGCCACTATCCATCCTACCTACCTGCCTACCTACCACCTCGACGTCTCCCCCTCGTCGTCACCATCCCCAATGCCCGACACCTTCAACGACCTCCTCCGCGGTTCCAAGCTCCCCCACCAGGCCAACAACATGACGGACCCGAACCCGAAGCCCACGGAGCGCAGACGCGTACGTACTGTGCACACCTTAGTCACGCACTTCACACACACCGGCCCACGTGGTCTAGTGTTTTGGTGTCTGGCTCCAACAACGCTCATGTGCTGACTTGAAGTAATGTAGTCCTCGGGCTCCGAACGCTTCGCCAACCTCACGGCCGCCAAGCGCGACCCCAACAACGAGCGCACGTCGGCTAGCCGCGCCAGCTTCTCGGACCAGAACCGCAAGCCCGGCTTCCTGGGCCAGATGTGGCAGAAGTGAGTCGAGTCCTATTTCTTCGCTGTCCCTTCTTCACACCCCCTCACCAGCGTCGTTTGAGCGAGCTGTATGTCGGTGTGGGTGTGTATATGTGTGGGCAGTGGCTGACGCGATAATAACAGCTACACCCGGGGCTCCGCTACCTCCCCTGATCAGAGCTCCAGCGGCACGAAGTAAACTGCCTTTGGCTGTGGGCGTTGTTGGCGTTGATGTTGTTGTTTGGTGTTGTTGTTGTTGTTGTTGTTGTTGTGGGGAATGCAACGCAAAAACACGCACACGCGCAGCCACGAAGATGAGATTGACGACGATGCCCCTGCTGTATGATATGATAGGGATTGCATGGCAGCGCACTCCTGCTCCTAAGGAATGAACGAACGGCGTTGGTGGTTTGCTTGCGATTGTCCCCCAGACGGCTACGATGAGTGTATTCTGGCTCCGATCCTCGAGACTCTTACCTTGGTAGTTTTCCTCGCTGTGTATGTAGCAGAGCTCAATGAAAGCGCAGTCCTTCCTCAATGCCTGTTACAGTACTGTACCTACCTAGGTAAGCAGGTATCCTGTATTTTCGGTGGACAGTCTTGAATCTGTCCGCGTGTGCCTATGCATGATAGGAGTAGCTTCCGTATTCCGTCATGGCTGGGTTGGAGTGATGACGCTGACATGCTCGCCCGGCTAGCCGCTTTGGGCGCTGGTGCAGCCTCCCCGCATTCTGCTCACCGCCTGCCTCTGCCACACCACCCCTGTCCCTGCCATCTGCCTCCGAGAGCGACATCCTGGCAGCTGGCCATCGTTCATCAACACCACCTTTCGCTCTCTGGCCGTGCCGCAGCGGGCGAGGCGCGCGAGATCAATACTCGCGAAGCATGCGCTGACGAGCTGAGGAAGCGTCGGAGGCAGCGGTGGTTTCGCGACTGACCTGGGTTATCCGCTACTTTGGCGAGACGGCGTAGAGTACGTGCAAGGCTGGCAGTGACGTCGTGTACGCGGACGAGGACGGGGCGTTGGTTGGCTGCTGTGCTGGATCTTGGAGTTGTGGTGAGTTGTGGTTGGGGCCGCTGTTGTCGGCGCTGTTGCTGGGCTGGATGAGATTGGGCGCGGTAATGGTGGGGAGTGTGGTGTTGACTGCTGATAGTTATGTAGGGTGCGTGTCTAATGAATAATTACACTCTAAAAACAGTCACTGAGACGTGCACGACTATTCCGAGTTACATACACATGGCGTAGTTAATGTCGGGATCAACTAACTGAGCATACGTTCACAAGGTACCTGGTGCTGCGATGTAATTTGAAGGTCTGGTTTCCAGTTTGTTTAATGAGATAGGTCCGTATGAAGGCCCCTAACCGCTGGCCAGCTACCTACTGTCATTCTGATGGACCGAATGCCTCCGTGTTGGGGAAGCATGGAAGTATAAACGCCTTGTTAGGGGGATTTAGAGAAGGGAGTAGGGTATATCCAAAGAAAACCAAGGCTCCTTCTGTGTCAGAGAAGCAGACAAGTAAAAACTCCTTGTTCTGGAAGACCAGAAGAAGGTGCTAGGGTATTTCAAATCAAACAGAAGTAAAAGAAAAGGAACAACCGAAGAAGAAGAAAAGATATGAAGAGAAAAGGACTAGGGTATAGTGCATGCAATGATACCGGCATGCATGCATCGAAGGAGAAAGAAAGAGACAACCAGGGGTATATCCAGAACCCAGAACCGTAAACTCCCCCAAGCTGAGTACTAGGATTTAGCACCTAGTCATTCAGATCCGCAACTCCATATTTTAAAAGGCAGGCGGCCGTTATCATCGTCGTCATCATGTTGCTCCAATCCACAATGCCTTCTCAGGCACTCCACTCCAGCGCTCAGTCAAGCGCCTGTCCATAGAAGAAAGTCGATCCGATTGAGCGCTCATTTGAGCACACATTCAACCGCAAATTCAATAGAAGTAGTGCGGATGGTAGCCATGGTACGGGCCATTGCCCTGATGGCCCGGGTCGTAGCCCTGCTGGTTCTGCCGGGCCTGCTCCTGCAACCGACGCTGGCGCTCCGCCTCTATGCAGGCAGAGCACATGCGGGGAGAAGGCGTCTCGTGCACGGTGGGGAGGATGTCTGCGCATCCCGGGTCCTGGTTTCTACGGCAGGCCCGGCCGTGCTGGCGGACGTTGTGGAAAGAGGTATGTCCGCATGTGTAGAAGGTGACGATGGATGTGTAGCACATCTTGACGGTTGTATAGGGTTGGGTTTAGTTGTGTGGTTTGTGAGCGGGGGTTGGTGTGTGTATGAGGGTGTGTTCGTGAGTGATTGTATGTTTGTTAGAGTGTGTCGAGTAGTAGAGGTTGTTGGTGAGGATATCTTTTTCTGAGCGCAGAGCCGTGGTACTTATATATCTTTTTGTGAGAGCAGTGCTCCATCATACACCTTGTCACCTGGCATGACAATGCCATGCTGGCAGATTAGCGTTGGCGCGGCTCTCATGTCACGGAGCTGTGAGGTGGCCATGGAGAGTTTGCTACTATTGTCGGTGAGGCTGCAAGCTTGTTTGTGTGCAAAGGGATCTTGATTGTGAAGTGTAGAAGAGGCATATATCGTAGCCATTATGGAAAAAGAAGTGTAGATCTGCGTGGCGAGGGTGTGCTGACCAAGTGGTACCTTGGGGGCAAATATTGGAGAGTCATTCTAAAATCGTCATTGGAAGGCAACAAAGGTTGTTCACGATTGTTTGAACACTGATAGGTTACGTGGTCGACTCGACTTGCAGACACTTGGCAACAAGGTATATGCACGTGCTAACCTATGTCACTTCTGGGAACTTCATGGGGAAACAGAATCGCGGGTGGTTGTGGAGGATTGACCCGAATAGTCACCTTTACCTTTAACATGGCATGACGAAGAGAGATCTGGGCCTACACCTAACACCAATTTTTGATATCAGAAAAGCACTCAAGAGACCTGCAAAGATCGTCTTCAATGTCAGTACGAAGAAGCCACAATCTCATTACGAAAAAACTATTTTCAGATCTACGTGAAGGTGTTTGTGTAGTCCCAAATCGGCCACGATTTATCCATCTATGGTTCGGTTTGGGTACGCTGACATGACAACAACACAGGACCCCGAATATGTGCCCAGGCCCTTGGTAGGGATATATTCATTCGCTAAGATAAAGTAAGATACAGTCCTAAATGCGGTACATTTTTGTTGTGTAGAAGATGTGGGTCAGCTGGCGCCGGGTAGGTACTGGGAAGATCGGATCAGATAAGATTGCCATTTCGTGAGCTTAAGCTTGCGGAGCATTTGCGCATCGACATGCCTTCCAGGATCTTTCAACCAACCCCACTCCCGAATCTCCACAGGAAGCATCATGAGTGCCGCCGGTCCAGGGTCGCCTCGCGCAAGGAAACGGTCGTACTCCGAAACGAAGGAGGAAGAGCGCAACGGCAATGCGCCAGCAGCTCAAGATGAAGGTAACCAGAGACCCAAGCTTTCACCATCAAGACACCTCCGCTAACAAAATTTGAGTAGATACCTCTTCCGATGATGATGACGACTTCGGACCAGCCCTTCCTTCCGCCGTACCCAGGAAGAAGCGCAGAAAGCTGCCTTACGAGAAGCTCTACATTGCCGCGCTCCCCAAAGGCACCCGGTACACCAAGTCATTGATGCACAGGGAGCAGCTGTGCTTCAACACCTTCACGCCGTTGACCGATTTCCTGATTACAACTTCCGTGGACGGAGTCGTTAAGTTTTGGAAGAAGACCAGCGGAGGAATCGAGTTTGTGAAGGAGTTCCGCGCGCACAATGGAGAGGTCAAGAGTGTCAGTGTGAGTGCGGATGGCAGGAGTTTCGCGACGGCTGGAGCAGACAATAGCGTCAAGATATTTGACGTCATCACGTTCGACTTGCTGGCAATGTTGTCGTTGGAGGCTACCCCCAAGTGCGTCTGCTGGGTCCACAGCCGGGGCGCCTCTTTGCCTCTGCTGGCTGTGTCGCTGGAAACCGAAAAGTCGATCCGGATATACGATGGCAGAGGAGAGAACCAACAACCGATACATACAATCAACGGCCTTCACCGCAGCCCGGTTTCCCTAATGTCCTTCAACAACGAGTACGACTGCGTCGTGTCGTGCGACGAGGGTGGTATGCTGGAATACTGGAAACCAAGCGGCAGCTATGACAAGCCTGACAATGTTTGGGGTATGAAGAGCTCTACCAATCTCTTCGAGTTCAAGAAGGCCAAATCCGTGCCCAGCTCCATCACCATGTCGCCCACGGGACACCAGTTCGCGACTTTCTCGTTTCCGGACCGGAAAGTGCGTGTTTTCGATTTCGCCACCGGCAAGCTCTACCGCACTTACGACGAGTCAATCGCGACCATCACCGACATGCAGCAGGCTGGCACCGCGCTGCAGAGGTTTGAAGACGTCGAGTTCGGCCGGAGATTGGCTGTAGAGCGGGAACTCGAGAATCCAGCAATACGCAACCGGATCAATGTCATTTTCGACGAGACCGGCAACTTCATAATCTATGGCTCCATTATGGGCAGCAAAGTCATCAACACCTTGACCAACCGGGTTGTCAAGCTCTACGGCAAGGAAGAGCCTTTCAGGGCGCTCAACATGACACTGTACCAAGGGCAGCCCGAGAAGAAGGGCGTCGTGACTGTAGAGATGGCTGCGAGTGAAAACCCGTTGCTTCAGGAGGCGGAGCAACGAGATGCCATGCTTGTAGCGACGGGATCGGGTAAAGTGAGGTTTTACATGTTCACAAACGAACAAGAGTACGTTGTCTTTAAAGTTACCCCGCTCTCACGGCATACTGACACCTATATAGATACAACAAGACGGAGCGTGACGTGCAGAATGAGAAGCCGCGCAACGTCGATAAGCGTAAGCAGGCCGAAGCCAAGCAGGCAGAAATGGGCACGTCCGCAATTATCCATACAACTTACGGCGACATCCATATCCGCCTGTTCCCTGAGGCGGCGCCGAAGGCTGTTGAGAACTTTGTCACACACTCGAAGAACGGCTACTACAATGGCATCATCTTCCATCGTGTAATACGCAAGTTCATGATCCAGACCGGCGATCCTTTGGGCGATGGAACGGGTGGCGAGAGCATCTGGGGTAGGGAGTTTGAGGACGAGTTTTCGACGCTCAAGCACGACAAGCCTTACACAGTCAGCATGGCGAATGCGGGACCTGGAACCAATGGATCGCAGTTTTTTATTACGACTGCGAAAACGGAGTGGCTGGACAACAAGCACACGATATTCGGGCGTGCGGTGCAAGGTCTAGATGTCATCCACGGCATCGAGAACGCGCGCGTGTACAAGGAGAAGCCGGTAGAAGACATCAAGATCGTCAGCATCACAATCAGCTAGGCAGCTAGCCAGCTGTTCAGATAAGCGAATTGGAAGGGCTGAAACAGGGGCCCGAAAACCCCACGGAACAGAAAGGCAGAGTTTGATGAGAGCAAAAGTGTACAAGGCCATCATGTGCGTGGTGGCGAGGGCCAACTGACGTGATGCGGCAGTAAAACGTCCGCGACATTTTCTGGGCTATGTTCGACGTTGCGACGTTCGCGACAAGACGCAGCGATTTGACCCGACGCGGTGCGCCGGCGCCTGCAAAAACCTGCACTTGGCAATCAGATCTCGAACCACCACCGCGAGATGTGTGTGAAATGAGCCTGTTCCTGACCGGTGTCAGATTGACGCCGCTTCCGAATCGATCCCTTGGTGGTGTGACATCTCTCGTGCTTGCGACACCGATCCATCACCCGCCCCCCTTTGGCCGCCTTTCCTTGGCCGCGCCACACAGAAGAGTGCCCCAGAAGATATCGTGATATAAGAAGCGCAATGCTTTTCAGCCTGTATTCTCCAGCAATTCATCAAGCATCATCATCATCATCATCAACAGCCTCAGAACAACAAACACAAGCAAACAATCCACTCCACTAGTCTACTTTCAGAGCAACCAAACCATCTACCAACATGCCTATGCTCCTCGCCCAGCAACCCAGCGACGCTCTCCACAGTCGTCACCTCTTCGCACCACACCTCTCGTCAGCCTCCACCTTCTCCGCCCCCGCAGCAGCAGCGCCAACGCAATCCGGCGCCTCCTCGGCGGCGAAACCCTCGGTCCCCGCCATCACGGTCCCCAAGCGCAAGGACTCCAACGTCTCGATCACGGGCGTCGTCTGCGACTGCGAGGACTCGCCCTACGACGAAGTCGGCTGCATCTCGTGCCTCGAGAAGGCCCTCGCTGCCATGGAAAACCCCTCTGTCGAGCTCCAGGAGGAGAACCAGGTCATCAACCAGGCCGAGGAGATCCAGGCCCTGCAGGACTATGCCAACGGCGTCTTCTGCACGTGCAAGAACTCCGAGTACGACGAGGTTGGCTGCGATACTTGCATTGAGCGCGCGTTCAAGGCTATGGCGCATTAAGCGGCCTTTTTTGTATGATTTGACGAGTTTGGTTCTTTCTATCTGTGGGATTGGATTCACTGGGTCGGATGGGAGGTCATTGTTACGGCGCAACGGCATTGGGAGGAGTTTTTGGCTTTTTGGGGCTCTTCTTATTCTCCCACCTGCAGTTGGCTGTTTTAACTGCGCGGCATAGAAAAGGCCCGCAGAGAGAGTGAGAGAGAGACGAAATACCACACTCTTGACCTGTCAACAACATTGCATGATCGCCAGTGAATCAGTCCAAAGAGAGAGTGCGTGAATGATAAATATAGAACCTTGATTGATCCACGGCACAGGCGGCCGGGGACGCCGTCCGTTTGCCGCCCGCCGCGCCGGACAGAGGCCCCCGAAACAGGAACTCCCCCAGCAAAAAGAAAACAAGCTTAACCGTACGTCTGCCTCAGCGCATCGAAAATGGTCTGATTCACGCCGAGCACAGCGCCATGCCTCAGACCAGGCGGAAACGCATCCGCGCCCTGACTGGCCGCCCAAGCAGCACCCTTGACATCCTTACTCTCAAATGGGGCGTACCCATCGCCGCCATAATAATCCAGCAGCAAATGCGCCTTTCCCTCGACCTCATTATCCCAGTACACAGCCGGGCCCTCAACCTGGGTCTGAATGACAGCGTCGGGGCCGCCGGGCCGCGTCCAGGTCCCAAACAGCCCGTCCGCAGACACTTCCTGGTAGACGGTCTTGGCGGTCTCGTTCTTGAGGAAGCGCGCGTACGCGTTGGTGCCGAGGGGCAGGAAGGTCAGGTCGATGGTGCTGGCGGGGGCGTTGTCGATGTAGGTCTGCGGGGCAGAGAAGGCGCGGAAGTCGGACGTGTGCGCGTAGCGGATCTTGATCGCGCTGGCGGTGCTGCTGTGCGCGCTGTCGGTGCTGGCGTAGAAGGCCGAGGCCCAGTGCACGAGGTATTGGCCTAATGGTGGTGGGGGGCGCGCGTTAGCTGCTGTCTGTCTGGCGAGAAGAGTGCGTGTGAAATGGGGAGCCTGCTGTATTGTACATACCTTTGTCCGAGTCCCAGATCGCTTCCGGCGCCCATACCATGCCGGCGGTGGAGTCTTCGACTTCGACCAGCCGTTCTTCGCTCCAGTTTACTAGGTCGCTGCTCTCCCAGACGAAGATGCCTCGCGAGCCGGTCCGCTGCGCGGCGTCCCAGGTCGTCTGCCACAAATCAGTTCAGAGCCTTACGCCAGCTATACAGAATCCCATTCAGAAAACCATGTACGAACCTTAGAAATATCCAGATCCGTCCCGACAATATACCACTTCCTGCCGGCCTCATCTCCACCACCAGCCACCACAGCCGGATCTCTGACCCCTTTCGTCCCCAGCGTCGGCTCAATGACCGGCTCGCCACCATTCAGCGCCGAGAACGCGAGCGGGTCGTTGCCCTCGCTCAAGTAAAAGTAGACATCTGGGTCCGCGCCGAGGAAGAACACGCCCAGGTAGCCGACGAGGCTAGAATCCGCGCGCCGGGAGACAGAAGCACCGCTGAAATCGAGCGATTGGGGCGGATGCGCAAGCGCCGCCTCGCAGAGAAGAAACAGCGCGCTGAGGAACATGCTCTTGATCGCTTCCATGGCTGCCTTGGAGCCGAAAGAGCGAGGGCAACGAGTAGGTAAATCGCACACATCTTCCACCTCCTCCTCCTCCTCCCTCAGTTTTAAGATCCGTTGCTCGCTGCGATGACGTCTGCGCAGGCGCTGCCCCCCTCGCCCCCGTCCCGCTGTTATTTAGGCACAATGGACGGGTCCGGTGGGGGTTTTCATCTATGCTGTGGATGCCTGGTCAGCATGGAGTCACGAGATCAGACGATACTGCCTACAGCCGCTTCTCGCTTCCGTGCTATTAGAATAGTCGTCGCGGGCTGTGATTGGAGGAATCTGCTGTAGGTGATTAGCCGGGCAAGTAAGTCTGCGCGTAGTGCGGGTCCTCGTGCCCCATACTCGTATTATTAACACTGCGCCTAGAACTTGGCCACGTCGGCTTGGACGGCGCGAGTGGGGCCTGATGATGGATGGGTTTTTCTTTTCTTCTTCTCATGTCCATGCCTGACAGTGACAGCTTCTGCTCAAATGCCGCTTCGTACTGCCGAATAAACAAACACAATCGAAGACCCTTGGGCCACAAAACCTACCTACCCCCTTCCGATTTCTTCTGTCTGTGCACTGTGGCTTATAGGTAATTGCGGGGAACCGGTTCGGCAGCTCCGCTCTTCCTGATTTTCGAGCGGGAGCTAGGAACGCGATCCGAAACAAGGATGTGTGCGGCTGAATCCTCTTCATGCTCTTGATGTGACGTCCAAGAATGCTTTAAAATAGCATTTCCCGTCCAGCCGCTTATACGGAGTACAGCTTACGGCAATACTAATAAGTCCTTTAAACTAATGCAGGTCAGAATGTAACCTGCATGTTCTTTTTGCTCGGCAACTGGAGAACGTCGACATTAAGTAAATTGAAAGCAGATGGCAGAGATTGAGTGAGCTAGCCTTTAAAAGGAAGTTGTAGAGCACTCGCTGAACCCCGATGAGTCAACTGGACCAACCATGCAGATGATTTACATTGAAAGAAGACTGCTTATCTCAGTGACGAACCTTCTGATAAGCCATGCATGGATATTCTTACCAGGCTCTGAATTAGGTAAAGATGACAATCAGTCAAGGTCGATGTTGTTTTATTTAGCTCGAAGTAAGCTCTTCAACAATATTGATTCCCCTTAAAGAACACTTACTTACAAAACTACAGTGTCGCTCTTGAAGCCACGAGTCTTACGAATAATTAATCTTTAGGAAGAAAGCCTAGAAAGGTTCTTTATGCCGTTACTACTATTCGAAGATCCTGTTTTTGCGTACTACAGTTGTAAAGGTTGACGTTATTCATCCCCGTAGTGTATGATATTTCGTGGAAACGAAAGCATATCGTGTCGCTCTGAATCTTAAAAATTAACTTACTTATAGGAGCATTGTATGTATGGTTGCAGTGTTTTTATAATGCCCCCTACAGGTTACTTCTTAGATAGATCTAGAAGCTACATTCGTAGTTAGGTATACAGCTCATGAGAGCATGTAAATTATATCAAGACCTCCCCTCTCCGACCATAGTATAGAAGATGTATAGTATTCCAAGGCAATACTCACAAAAGCTTTGCAAGATGGACTATTCTTTGGACTTGGTGCTAACCCGCATGCCGTCATTAGATCCAGATGATGATCTCGCTAAAGGAACAGCGTCAATAAAGTGAGGCGAGCCCTTTCCTCGGGGTCAATGATTATTGTTCGCCAAAGGAATGGAATTCAGGAGGAATGATTCAGATTATCCGTCCTCCTCCTGGGACAGTCAGCCCGGGAATTTGCGGATCCCAAAGCCCTTGAAAGTCAAGGAACTGAAAAAAAGAAAGGGGTCTGGCCGGAACTATGCACGGATACTGCTGAGATGGATCGCCTTCTGAGATCGAAACGGATCTCGGAAACAGATTGACTTTTCGCAAAAAAAGATTAAAGAATCTGCTTTGAGAAAGTAGTACCCCTTTTACACGGCAAAGTGACTTTTTCCCATGATATGGGCATCCTTAATTCGATGTAAGAGATTCAAGTGGGATTTGCCTCAGATTAAAGGCGTAAACCTGCTCATTAGGACCTCGATCGTGTGTTCATACCATTGAGGGGAGGCCGTTGATGAAAGGAGCAATTGTCGTGGCCCGTACGGTGGACTAATTAGGCCATATGGTGGACCAAGCGCAGCCTCATAGAGATGGGACGTTGATTGATGCCGTTTTGGATTCCAGTGATGCAAGAAGCCGTCATCTGCCCATTGCTTGAGTTGCCCCATAGGCCACGACCCATCGCGGCCAGGCGCATCATCCGCAACAGCATCGTGCTCTTTTAGTACCACCAAATGCAATGTCTTTTCCACGTTCTGGCATGAGATTGACGCAGAAGGACGTCTAGACCGCCGATAGCAGGTGTCACTGCTGGATCGTGACCATCACGGATCCAACCGGTTCCTGTGGCACGCGAAAACACGCCACAAACGTACGAGGGCCTGCGTTGTGTGACGCTGTCTGCGATCTCAAAGGCCCATCATGTGGCATCCGTCAGTTGAATATCGCGGTGAATGGCATACCCGTTTTTTGTTTGCCACTAGAAACGGAACTTCGGCAAGAGAGAAACAACGTGTGAATGCGATAGACAGATTTCTAGCGAAGGTTGCTTATAGGACTAGGGTACAGACAGGGGTATCTGAGACTTTGCTTTTCGATTTCAGCATCATGCTCTCGGAGGAGGACGCATGTTTGCCTTAACGCGCTCTACAAGCTCGTCTCTAGTCAACGAGTCGGCTGGATGAAGGTTGCGCTACAACATGGTTAACTCGCAAAGGTTCTTGTCATGCACGGCCCCGGAATGCGGAGGTAAAGGCAGGGACTCGGCGGACAACCACTTACCTTGTTCAGCCATCGGCGCAGCTCAGTGACTGTCCATGCATCGGGATCTAAGTCGGACGGTCAGCTGGGCTCTTTGCATTGCTCGCTTGACAGAACGTGTTGGAGAAGTACCGCCAGTCGGGTCCGGTTCAGCTGGGAACATGTCGTTCCCCCATATCATCCACGCAGCTGCAGCTGTTACAATGCCAGTAAAGGCTTGCGGGTGTCAGAAGACAATCCTAGGAAGGGCATTTCTGGGATGTAGTACCAAAAAACGACCCCTAGTTGTGATGGTTAGAATGGCCTGGCACGAACGACAGAAAGCACTCGAAACTCACTCTTGACTGGGTCAAGCGATCTAATGGCGTAGGCATAGTGGGTCTTGAAGGATATTTGATTTGAGGATTTGAGAAAAGTGGTGTGGGATATCTGGCGTTGATGCTTCTCCAGGCAGCGGCGTTTGGCAACTGGCGGGGGTCTTGACGTAGCCGAGCGAGGGCGCAGGCACGTGTCAAACACCACCGCCTCACTTCAACCCTCTCTTAAACCCAACAAGAACTTGGAGCCTGTTCTGCCAAGCTTGTTGAGTGGTCCCGATGGTTTCCCCTTACTAATGCTCTGTCGTTCTGAAGTTGAGATCTCGATGGTATGACCTGCGTCTGACGAGACAGTCGTAAGCAAGGTCGATTCGATTCGATTGAGCAAGCCATGGCAGTTTCCTAGGTTGACGAAACACTCCGACAAGCTTTCTGTTTGGTCAGAACTCCCGCTAACTCAGGATGAACCGCTTTACCCTTGGCCTCGTGACCTATTCAGGGAGCCGTAGTGGGGTAAGGCACGAATTACCATTCTACATCGACGATGTCGCAAAGACAGTAGCCAACTTGCGAGACGGTCAGAACAGCGCTCGCACGTTCAGCAGTCGACGGAGGATACCTGCCACTGTCTGACAGGCTTTCCAAATGTTTCCAATAACAAATAGCACAGTGAAGCAATCTTCAACGGGTCAATCGATTTGTCTTTGAAAGAATGGTAGAGATTGCGTGAAGACAGGCAAATGAAGTTAGCCTGGCACTAATAACCTCACTTGACCATGATCGAGCTACGAGGGACAAGCAAACCAATACTATATTACGTCGTCCATCATTCTCGCAAGATGCTTGCTTGCTCCATCGTCTTCTGTTTTCGTATTATCATCTGCTACTCCCTCAGCACATGAAGTGCGTTTAAACATTCCTAAGATGGCATCACCACTATTCCTTTCAATCATGAAACAGCCAGACAAATACTCAGACTATTGTGTTAGCCAACAAGTCCAGGAGGCCCATTTCATATGCTGCAAGTGCGGCACGGCCTCCTCGCTCAGCCCTCAAAGAACGCTCGATCACGATGAAATCTCTTGCTCCAAATGCAGGAACTTCATATGTTTTAAATGCGAAATCAAGACGCGTCTCATCAGACCCACTCAACTCCTACTCCATCGCACGACGGCCAAGTCTCGGCAAGACACAAGATGGGGCTTCTTTTGCTGCCAGTGCGGCAGTGTTGAAGAGGTACTGCCCAGCACGCCGTGGCCCCTAATCGATCCCACGGATAAAGAGCTGTACATTAACTACGAGAATACGCAATGCTCCTATTGCGAACACTTCTGTTATGACCGCTGTCTCCGGTTCACAGCTGCTCGGGATCCGTGGACGCACTACGAACACCAGAAGTCTGTAGGGAGCAAGCAACGCAAAGCCAATTTCCTATTCCGTGCAGCTGAGACGAGGTCTAAGATCACCGCGGCATCCCCAAGTTCACCGCTCGCCGCACCTCCAATGACTCCCGCACAGCCACAGAGTAACTCTCCAGAGACATGGAGGCCACAATGCGGGCGAGACATTGCGATTGTTTTTCGGAACATTTCATCCAGGTATCCCGACGAAGACCACAGGACAAAGAAGTTTTTCGCCTCGGTCGGAAGATGTCCTGTTACCTCAAACATATCCGCTTTAGACCTTGATACATGGTCGGGTTCAAAACAAGCCGTGTCCAAAGCATGGGCTTGAGACAACCTGGCGGTGCAATCTCCAACCCTGGTGGTGAAACATCACACCGAGGAAGGTTGACCACGAAAGAAATGCATCGGCTTAAGGGGCTGATGTTTCTCCCTACGGGAAGCATCTAGACCATAATCGACCGGCCAGAAGATAACCAGAGCTTGGTGTTGAGGATGGATTTGGTCGCTGGTACGCTCGCAAGTCATCCGTGGGGCACCCCGCCAGAAACGGCAATTAGTGGGTCGGCACATACTGTATTGCGGTCTCTCCCAAGCAATCGCCTGTCGACATGGTATAAGAAGCAATACGGTAAATGGTCCTGGCAAGCGATTTCCAAGATGTATGGCCCCGTGTTGTAGTGCTCAAAGAAAGTCATCAAGTCTGGATAAGCTCGTTGTCTTGGAGCACCATCGTGTCGGCGTTGGTACTCAGTGGAGAAACAGCTCCATGGTGATACCTGGTCAAAAGTCAGACTCTCAGCTGTATATCTGCGTCTTGTCACCCCACGGAAGGGCAATAAATAACGTAGCAGCACCTGACCGGACAACAGCAGACGGATCACGACATCTCGGCTTGGTCGGCATGCCGTCATTCAAATGGAGATACGTCCCAAATTACAGGAAGCTAAGGAACAAGCTATCGAATTCCGGCAATCGGATCATACGAAACTTCAACGACGCGGAACTCGGGCTGCGCGCACGACTGGCTATGACGAGGTGGATTTGCTGCTTGTGCGGGTATCAGCAGGCCTTTCTCCACGAGGCGAGGGCGTGGCATCACCAGTGGGTAGAGTGCCGGGCGTGCACGCACACGGCGTGTCAAGAATGCGACGTCAGCTGCGACGATGACAGCGACGAGATGCAGAAGATCTTTCACGACAAGGCACAGGCGTGTGCCAATCTCAATAACGGCGGCCAGGAGACGTTCTGCTACATTTGCCGGTGCGGCGATCCGATTATCGTGGCAGGCGAGTCGCGCCGCCGGGTAACGCTCCGGCGGGGAGCAAAGACAATGGATCTCGCACAGGCGTCGCTGGTAGATTTTGCTCGGGGTCGATGCGCACAATGCAGGCGGCGATACGATTCGACGTGTCTCAAATTGGTGGCGCGAGCGAGGGCGTCGGCGGCGGGTGGCGACGCGGACGAGGCGCGGGCCGCAGGATGCAGCAGTAGTGGAAGGAGCGACGACGACTCAGCAGCAGCAGCAGCATCATCATCATCATCAGAGAAGGAGGGGCAGGAGGCGATAAACTCTCGGCAATCAGCAGCGTTCCCGTCGCTCTCGACATCATCATCGTCCGTAGGGCCAGGAGTAAGGCAATCTCAAACCTGTCCGTCGGGTCAGACCTGTGTCTCGGGACGACCGCGACAGCCAGTAGAAAGGCACAGCCCCACCCCCTTTTCGGCGATCAGGACAAGCTCAAGCCCAGAGTCAGCCCCGACGCCTGAGTCTCATCAAAAATGTCAACAGCCGACGGATCCCTACTCTCCCAGGCCCGGCGCTGAGGAGACTTTTCTGCAGCCTAGCCCCAGTGTTGCGCTGAGTCCTCTTCTGGACGACAACCTTCGTGCTCTCCTTGGTCCGCTGCTCAACTCGCCGGAAGACGAACACCGCCTCTCTCAGCTCCTGCAGTCATCACCCGAAAATACAACTCATCATCCACACGACCTGCCTAATCCGCCAGGCTCCGCTTCTGACGAGCTCCACGACGAGCGACGTGTCCAACTCACGATCGACCCGCTGCCTACGTGTAAAAACCCTTCATTAGGAGCCCTCGAGCACCATCAGCAGCATCAGCGGCACCTCGACCTCGACTACTACAGTCCCTACTACGACTTTCATCACCACCGCCAACACCACTTCATCCAAAATGGCTATGAGAGCAGGCCGTATGCTGCGATCTCGCGCCCGCAACAAGAGCATCTCTCTGGTAACCCAGCCTCCTCGCCGGACGCCATCAGCAGCAGCCAGAGGGCTGACTTGAGCTTGGAACAGGTCTCGTCTTCGCAGCAGCGCCGCACCAGCGTCGCATCGACGTGCACAACGCCCGCCGTCGACGCGCCCTTTACGTCCGACGACGTCGACAAGCTGCTCGAGCAGACATACTTCGCCGCGCCCTCGCCAAAGGCCAACAAGCAGCACCAGCGCCGCAACTCGGTCAAGGTCGACATGGGCCGCCGTAAGATCGAGTGGCAGCCTGGCTGGTCCTTCCAGGACTACCTGGCTGAGATGCGACGGCCCGTCAAGGGCAACCTGTGGCGGCAGTACGGCAAGCGCTGTTGATCCGTTTCAGTCTGAGTAGATGATGAGCGAGCGTAATAGAGAGAAGAGGAAGAAGGGTGAAGGGTGAGAGGAAGATGAAGATGAGGAAAAGGGAAAAGAAAGAGGACGCCGCAACGATCTACTGCTGGCTTACGCGTGCGGTGCTGTGCGCCAGCCGCTGATGTCAGTACTATGGAGGACATGCATCTGGGTGGAGTTATCATTTGTGCGGGGGTGCGTCTTCTGGGGTTTGCCTTTTTTTGGGACTTGGGTTCCTTGATTTTTCCATCGACGATTTTCGCCTCTTCTGTTCCATTCACGATCGTCGATGTTGCGGCTTTTTTTTTAACACTTGGTGCTTCAATTCCTTGCTTCTTGCTGGCCAGGACGCGTACCCCATTTTACTCTGTTGAGGAAAGTTTGGGAAGTTCAAAGATAGCCTATACGAGTTAATACATAATGTTAATGATTCAAGCTCGCCAAACATGTTCGTGCCTGGCGCCATATCCATACCTTAAGTCAATGCCCTGCGAGGATCGGTTTTAAAGATAGCGGATCAGCCTCCGCGGGTGCTGGGAGAGGTATAGAGGCGTGGAGCAGGCAGGCCCCTCCGTCCACACTGCCATCTCTCAGCGACGTCACATACGTGGTAATCGCACTCGCACGAGTCGTCACAACGATAGATAGCGGGAAGGGCAACGAGTCATCGCAGCTCGCTCGCTCGGTACCGGAGTGCCCGAGATACCCATGGTGAACATCGCGGGCCCAAGTGCGGGCAGCGGGGGGCAGCGGGCAGCGGGCAACGGGACCAAAGAGGGAAGGAAAGCCTCCGCATCGCCCGCCGTCCGGAGTTCGGAGCTCTTGCCCAAGTCCGCGACGTACCCGTACGTACCGGCGGTAGGTAGGGCGGGTTAAAGCCGCGCGCGCGACGATTAAATCCGAAGGGAAAGGAAAGGAAAGGAAAAA